CCCCCCCTATCACAAAATTCTTTCAAAAAGCGCATGAGAAATTGGCCGCATATTGGTATATGACACAAGTCCAGAGTCAAGCTGGACAATTGGGAAAGGACTGCTATTCGACGCTATTTCTATTCCTAGTGTATTTACGAATTAAAGAAAAGTAAGCTTTTAGTCCCGAGTCTTATCGGCAACGCCGTCGACAACTAGAGAAAAGCATTGTTTAGAGGCGATATACCGTTTCGACCAAGAATACTATTAATGAAAATAACTAGCTGACTTAGTCAACTAGTAAACTAACTAAGTTAGTTAAGAGGCGGTGAATTAGGTAATACTTACTCGTCACGGGCAAGATCATGTCACAATCTCTACTTCAGGCTGCAGCTGAGTATTCTCGAATTGAACTTTAAGTACGGAGTACGAGAATAGTAGTCACGTTTGCTGGCTGTCCAGAAGGATATGCAGATATAATTATTTATACTTGCAGGGCTCTCTCCCCAACGTCGAGTCAGCAGTGATCTCTTTAGCTGCCACTTGATACCTTGGCCGAGAAATTACAACTTATATTCTATCCGTGGGTTGCTATTTAAAAACCGAGACGTGTAATTTCGGAGAAATTGCCCTGACCGCTGTTTCTCTGAGATCTATTCGTGTCCTTCTCGTTTTCTTTTTGCAGGGTTAATAGATATACCAGCCTCTTCAGACTTGGTATCGTCAATCACATCACAATCCACTGCATGTATGTCGGCTCCGTGATCTATCAACAATTCCAAAACTCCAACATGGCCATTCTCAGCTGCAAGGTGAAGGGCCGTACTGCCTCGACAGTCCTTTATATCAACAGGAGCACCAGAGTCCAAGAGCAATCTGACGATATTCTCTTGTCCGTCTGCAACTGCCCAGTGCAAGGGGGCCATTCCCTGTTTGTCGAATACGGTAGGGAGAGCCCCCAAGGACAGTAGATACTTCACAGCCTCACTCCCATCCCAAATAACTCCATGCCCTTCCCAGACTGCCCAGTGCAGAGCTGTCCATCCCTCTTCATCCTGAGTGTTTAGGTTGACTTCATTCTCTGTGATCAGTTGAACAAGTTTCCGAAGCCCCATGTGAGAGGCTATCATCAACGATGTGAGATGATCAGGGAACCTCCAAATTTTAGCGATACTGATCCAGTACAGCTGAAACCAGGTCTGGAAATTTTTTGAACGAGGGTTGACTAGCCGAAGTGCATTTTGCAGGAGGTCTGGTCCGGCTGCAGTATCCGCCGCAAGTCGAGCATGAGCTCCCCAATGATTTGACGCATAGTCTAAAAGTTCGTGTGGGTTTGATTGGAGATTCATAATTGAGTAAAGGTCCGTTTCATCATGGGTGATTTGAGGAAACTGTGTTGCCGCAAAGTCATCAAATGAGAGGTACCAGATGCAGATTTGGGCAAGCTCAAGGTGTACTTGAGAAAGTTCCAGTCGATGTTCCCAAGAGAATGGAGGGGATCGCTCGAAATTGGAAGGACAGAGAAGAAATTCTTTTGCCGTTTGATGAACCAGATAAACTCTTCCATGAATTATACGCACAAATGGGCCGCAGACGCCTTTAATCCTCCTTGACATATTGGGTTGCCATCTTGGCTGGACATCCACTCGTGACCTATCAGAAGGACGAATGCTAAGAGCCATGTTGAGCTCAGTGAGGCTGAGAGGTCTTTGACTCGCAACTATAATTGATAGCAGCTTCACAAGACTTTTTGGGTCCGGGGTTCGGTCAAGAATAGTTTCATAAACTTGGTTCAGCTCCCGGGGCAAAATGGACATGGTCAGAATAAGTCCCTCGTCGGAGGCATCAGAGCTTCTTTCGATAAGATCGAGAATGAGCGATACCCAGAGAAACGTGCGGTCAGCTTTTTTAGTTAGTTCACACTCTATCCTCCGCTTGGTGTCGTCGGAACATAATGTAGCTGCCTGAATTTTGTCCAATCTGAATCTTATCAGTTTAGCGACGTCTGCGTTTGTGAATTCCACCAAGTCTTCTGCTCGGATTCGAATATTGTCAAAGGACCGAAAGCTATCCTCAATCGATTTGTCCCCTCGGCTAGTCATGAAAACCTTGATAGAGGATATATCTGATCGGCTTTTACTCGTCACGTAGGATGTAATACGTTCAATGAATTGTCGCCCGGACGACTCGTCACACTCATCGAGACCATCGACGACACATATAAAATTTCCAGCAAATGGATCTTCGCAGACTGCTTTGAAGATAGTCCAAAGGCTTTGGAATCCTCTGGTTATCCGAGTATTGTTTGTCTTGAAACGATTTTCCGCATGATGGATAAGTTTTGAGTTCGAACAGAATATTTGATGAAGCAGCCCAGCGAGAATCGCACTCCCATCATTTTGAGATTCTAGCTTTTCGTCGCAGAAAAAATAGCATACGGTAGTCGGTGATGACCATTTGGATAGTTTCTCTCTCAAACTGTCAATCAGAAAAGTCGAGAGGACTGTCTTTCCACTTCCAGCATCACCAGAGACCCAGAGGGCGCTGGAACCTTCCTCGTGAAGCCAGTCTTGGAATTTGAAGTTCTTTAGAAACCATGTACATGTCCCTTCGACAGGAGTATCAATCGTCTCCTTGTATTCCTCATAGTCGGTGCGGTGTAGACAGGCTAGGATTTTTTGATGGAGCTCAGGTATTTCTACACGCCAGCTCAGTACCTTGGAGGCAAAGTGGTGCGAGTCATCTTGACATACCCTGCCCATGGTTGATCGCGCTTTCTGCCATCTCCTGCAGAGCTCCCCATACCGGGCGATATCTTTGACTGTTTATGCTGGGATATTTACACATATCCCGATGATTTGCGCCAATTGGTATCGCCAATTCATTTGGTAGATTCAGCCTTGCAGAGTCGATATCCACTATCTGAATAGATGTGTTAGCAATCTAAAAGAAGAAAAGCATGATACCCTTACCAGAGAGTGCATCCCTTCCATTAATTCCGTCTCATAGAAGGTACGAATATCAAGACCCTCGGCGCGTTCAACAAACTGAGTGGATATATCCCAGAGTGCATTGGAGTTCGAGCTTAGAAGGGTAACAAGAGCGCTATTGGTGTTTGTGCCTAACTGAGCTGCTCGCGCTGCGGAAGCAACAATTGATGCCCATGAGGCAATCCGTGACCCTCTATGAGGTGTTCCCAAAAATATAACCCCGAAAACATTACGAAGCAATGCACCGTGGGCTGAGGAGCGTTCATGTGCTAGAATAAGGGCCTGTCACTCATTTAGCTCAGAATGAAATCTGTGATCCGCTGAACTCACTTTCTTAACCACCAAGCCCCCCATGCTGTGGCATACAAAAATGATCGGCCGCGCTTTTTCCTGTATTACTTCTTAGCACTTACTTCCAGGGATGATTCCCCGATAAAATCTAACTTACGGCAGCACACTGGCGTTCCATAGATATTCTGAAAAGAAGATCAGTCGCAAAGTCGTCGATACCTGCGACTGATTTACTGACCAAAACAGACGAATTGTATCCATATGTCATGATCCGAGCGTTTGGAAGTTGAGCAGGTAGAAAATCGGCTAGCCAGACCTTCCCATTGGAATGTTGCCAGGTTTTGAACGGGTGTCCATCTAGGCCGTGGACAGCAATGACACTTGGTATCTTCTTAGCTTAGACACGCCCGCTTGGTGATGCGTACATACTCAACTTGATGGCGATTATTCTCCGATACGCTACTCAGGGTGAACAGACCATACTGTTCCTCGGAAAGCTGAATTGCTTGCGGTGTTAGATGGTTGAAGACAATTTCTGTTATGGCCAAATTTATCAAAGTTCTTCTTACAGCCTCGTCGCATTTCTTAGCTTGCCCCTCCGAATATTCGCGAGCCAAGAACTTAAAGCGGCGCAAAGCCATAGTATGTATAGAGGATTTCTCGTGTCCAGGAATAGTTATGCGAGTATATTTCAAAGAAAAAAAATCGAGGGAAAGCGGAGAATATCCTTCGAGTGGTGGTTCCTGTTGAGATGGGTGAATGCGGATCTTGTTGGATGCGACTTAAAAGGGGGGGCTGAGGGAAGACACGGAACATCAATTACAACGATTCCCCGTCTGGCTTAGCCTGGGCTTTTGCGTGCAGGCACAGCCTCGTTAGGCAACAACTCAGCATCATGCTTATAAAATTTGGAGCACCCCAGTAGAATTATTATTTCTGACACTGTTGGATATAATTCTTCGACATGAGCATGAGGGTCAAAACAACACACGCATACAAAGGCGGACGACGACCGAACAAGGGAAATGCCGCTCTTCACCTTGCTGCCATCAGAGGCAACCACTCAGTCGTCCGGTCCTTGCTCGCCCGAGAAGCTAGTCTTGAGCACAAAAATTCAGAGGGAAATACTGCACTGGCGCTGGCGGTAAAACATCGACATGAACGAATTGCACACATGTTGTTGGAGGAAGGTGCTAAGCCAGACGCCAGGGTTTCAGAAGGGTATACATGCCTGCATCACGCAATTCGATCCCGGCTAGGCATATCCATGGTTTCTTTACTACTGCAGCACGGGGCCGATGTTCTCGCCCAGGGTCCTCGAGGCCAGACTCCCCTCCACATAGCTGTGGGCCAGAGAAATGTGGTAACACTACTAATACAACATGGCGCTGATATCTTTGCCAAGGATGGCAGTCACCAAACTCCTTTTGATAATGCGTTGCAGCATAACGACCGTGAAATGTTTGAGGAGTTAGTCAAGAAAGCAAAAGAGCTTTCTCGCAACGCATCGGACCCTATATATCAGATAAGTGGAGTTGATCTATTCCAGCATCTACAACACAACATTCAACCCAGCGATAATGCCCGGTTTTCACAAGTTGTTGGAGAGCATTATAGGCCATGGAGGAGGCTCCATGTGATGCCTACCCTACATGCCGTCATTCTTGCAGGTAATGCCGAGCTGGCCAGGGCAATAATCCGCGAATCGTGGGTCGACGTCAACGTGACAAACTATTACAAACAAACGGCGCTGCATCTTGCTGCTGCTGAAAACCAGCATAGCTGTGTACTCGTGCTTCTTGATCATGGAGCAAATATTAACGCGCAAGACATGTTCGATAAGACCCCTTTGTATCTAGCGGCCGTTGATGGAGCGCGTAAGTGCTTTCGTACTCTTCTAAAGTATGAGGCGGATGTAAGTGTGCTTCGTTCACCAGGTGAAGCACCATGGTCTTTACCCGAAAGGAAAATCAGCAAAGACTTACTACGTCTCGCTGGGCTAGATGATTAGGTAGCATATAAGACCCTCTCTTCCAGAAGAATATTCCCCGCTGATAGCGGTCTCGGTATAGTGTCATGCAAGATAGAGTTCAAGAATAAATCGAGGAGAAGAAAACGTGAAACTCCTAAGCTCGGTTGCCCGCTTCTTGGGCTGCTTCCCTGGAGTGGGTCAACGAAGGGGCGAGGATCAAGTACCTATAGTATTGGCGATCATGGGCATTCGGTCAACAGCTAGGTGCAAACTTCCTGGCCAATATGTGCGAATCGAATCAAAGTCTACAAAATATCAGCCGTTAAAGGTCATCCGATTCATGTCCTTATCAGAAAACTCGGATCACGCGCTTTAATTGGATAAAAATGCGTCGATGCCATACAGTATCTACTCCAACTCGGTAAAACCACGGTTGTAAACAAAATCATAACCATAGTCCTCCTTCGAACATTCGTTAAAAACGTGCCTTCAGGGGGACTTCTTATTTTCAAATTGCTCTTCTATAGCGATTTGCCGACAGGGCTTGGGGCGTAGCCGTCGCATCTAATCTAACCGGCTTCAACCCGGGGGAGGAGACTCTCGATACTCGTTGCGTTCCGAGCCTGTTTTCTGTAAATTATGGGGCGTCAACTAACAGTTAACTAGGAAAAGAGTAGCTTGTTTCTGGTTGTAGACTAAACGGCTGGACTCCTTTCCGGATATCTGTTCTGGCTTGTTTCTTCGTCGCGAGGAGGGGTTGCGGTTAGCGTCAGAGGACCTTATACGATAGAGAGGCAAGCTGAGATCAGATAGGCTGATCAGCCTGAGCATAATAGTGAGCGATCAGATTGCTCAGGGAGCTTCTCACACTCACTCTGTGCTCCGGGAGCCGATCACTTCCCGAGGCGGCCGTTTTACCGTCACCTAGATTACCGTGTCAGGTTCCCAGGGCAATAGGTTTTGCTGGGTCCTATATAGGGGCCTATGAGACACTGATATTCGTTTGTATAAATATTATCGCTTTTAGGTTGGATAGCTATACAATTACGGTGTTGTCAGAAAGCGACTTGTGACGGCAATGAAGAGGCACTCTAGTCTATGAAGATATGCGAGGCTGAATTCAAGTGCCTACATTTCATGATCTCTGGCGCACCAATATTGTCCAGTGAGCAAACAGTGTCTTTGTTGCAAGGTGCATTGACACAGTCTACAGAATCCTGTGATAACAAGAAATAAATCATGGTTCGTTGCAAAGCTTGCAAGGTTTAGTGTGATGAACTAAATATCATATACTATGCCTTGACTTGCAGTCTCTCTAGCTCATTCACTTCCTACTGAAGTTATATCTTATCTGTTGGTTCAAGATGGGGACCGTTTGGGTAGTCACAGTTGGCCAACTCTATCAGGCCTGCACAAAATAATAGTTTCTCGCCCTAAATTCATCACACTCGACTCACCTTCCTTGGAGCCCTCTGCATGCTTGTGGGATATTGACGGAGAAGACACTTAATTCTAAATATTCTTCTTCGGCCCCTTTTCTTGGTTATATGATCGAATCCAATTTTAAACGTGATAATCACTAACTCTCGTATAATTTTCAATAAGATATGATATCTTAAACCTCTCTCCCATGATTCTAAGCTCAAGCCTTTAGCTATCACATCGGGATGCATCTTTGACCGTGTAGGATTGATATAGTGCTTATACTACCTCATGACAAGTAGTGCTTAGTACAGATGTTGTTTATACTAGAATTAAGAGTAACCTACCATGTTTCTTATACACTTCGAAGTAACCTAGATACACTTCGAGTGAACTTTAGTCTTGCGCATCTGCCATATCCATGATCCACTAAGTTAGCCTCGTTTGCCACAAGCGGGTCTCCGTGGCGCAATCGGCTAGCGCGTCTGACTGTTAATCAGGAGGTTGGAAGTTCGAGCCTTCCCGGGGACGCTTATTTTTGTCTTTCTTGAAGAGCAGTTGCTCTGAAATTGACAAAGTCAATGAAGTTGATGGTGCTGCATAATTTTTGCGTTGTGGGCGGAGCCGAGGGTGGAAAAACTCAAAGTTGTGGGAGAAGGGGGCATCCTAACCTTGATTGTTAGGAATGAATTAGTTCATAATACAATAAATATATATCTCTGGTGATCATTTCTTTTAATATTGGTTTGAAATAGGTTCGAACTCGGATCTGTCTTGCCAAACTCGAATGCACTATGAAAATAGATACAGAGTATCTGGTACGGTTCACTTGCTTGGCGCCGACCGTGCTTGGGATGAGGGCGGCTATTTCGAGGTCATGTATCTACAATACCTATTTATCATATCATATTATGAGTTGTATAGTCTTTTCTTAGTGAGGGGTTATTTAGCTTTTGTTTTGGTGAATAGGCAAACTTTGCTGGGCGATTCGCTCTGCTCTCGGAGATATAAGAACGAGATAGTTCTCGAGATTGTGTCAACCCATAGACGACAAATATGTTGGTAATCGTATACTCTGAAAGAGATTTGGAATGGCTGATCAATTAAATGTTCTCGGTTACTTACAAAAAACCGCAGAATTTAAGCTGGGGATGCTGGCTCTTTGCTGATGCTTCATAGTTTTGGATTGGCTTGAGCCTAGTTCGCGATGAGACTTCGTGTACATTTTCTTACCTTCTGTTCTTCAACACAGACGCTATTTTACGATCCGTGCTATGGTGACGGTGGTGGTTCATCCTCCGGATATGACCTTGTGTTTTAAGCATAGCTTTCTCGTTTGGGTTGGTGCTCAAAAAATCGATCGTTGTGGTCATCATCTTACTATGAGCCTTCTTTATATATTTCCTACAAAAGCCGTTATGGCTCTAAGGCTGACTGGATAAAGATTGCCTAGGCCGTCGGAGTTTTTACATTGAGTCCTTAAATAAGAGGGTTAGTAGAGAAACTCCTTGTTGACCTTGAGCTATAATCAAACGTATCGATACTGCCCGTGATCACATCTGATCTTTATGTCTTCTGATGTGGTCCCTCAAACCACACTTCCTCAAGGCTTAAGCTAGAGAAATACCATTCCAAATATATTTTCAAGAATCGGGCCATTCTACATCAGCCGTCTCCGTGGCGCAATCGGCTAGCGCGTCTGACTGTTAATCAGGAGGTTGGAAGTTCGAGCCTTCCCGGGGACGTCGAGGATAACCTTTTTGCCTACTTTCTTTCACATTGTAGTCGAGGAGTATTCTTGATCACGAGTGCAATTGCTAGCATAGAATCGAAAGAAATTTCACATAAAGTTCAGCTAGATTGACTATAACCATATAAACCCGAATTTTTAGTTTGGCATAGGAGGACACTTGGGAAGGTGCTTGCTTGCTATAGATTAGCAAACAAGTCATGAATCCTTATGCATAAACGTGATGCAGGTTTAAGCAAAGCTCACAGAGATCTCATTCAGCCGGGATGCTTCAGTCAATAATATGTATGGGAGTCATTCATCCCAATTAAACGACGATATCATCTAAAATGATCGCCATGCAAACTCATAACATCAAATAAATAAGGTTGTATCTCGTCAGTGTAAAACGCGCCAGAAACCAGAAGTCTCCAGTCACTTTCAATTTGAAGCCACTTATAGCAAGAGGGGGGGAATATGAAACAAATCCAACAGGAATATAGTATAAAGCTTGACGGGAGAAAAACACATGATCGAGATATTGACAGCAGAATAGTAGATAGGGGATAGAAAGGACCAATCATGTCATTCGCTTTGCTCAATTGGATGGAATAGACAGCAAAGTAAGAAAGGGGGAATCCGAAGAGGGGCGCCCTCCAGTAGAAAAAAAGAACAAACGGTAATACAGACAAAAGAAGCAAAACATACGAAATCACATAGGGGCAGCTGTCCAGTCACGCCCCTTGAAAACGTGCATTGTCGAGAGATTCAGCGTTGAGAAGAATAGACACAGATAGCAGAAAAACCTCAATCCCATCAAAGTCCGCCGAATATTCCGACAGTGAAACCTTCTCTATCGACCATGCATGGGGAAGAAGAATGGAGAAAGAGGAAAACATACATACTCATAGATTTGTAATAACAAAGCGGCTGCTGCATCAACGCCAGAAAGGTCAAGCAAATAAGAAACGCCGACAGAGAATTTCGCCGAACCAGTGGAATGAATAGAATAGGAGATTCGAGAAAAAAGAAAAACGAAACAACGGTGCAAAGACATCAATCAAGACCCGAGCCGAACCAAGTACAACAAAGGGTATAGGGAGGCTGGCCCAGACTAACATTATCGAAAGCCCCTCGATGAGGGGTAGTCACACAAACAGACACGAGATGCAAGGGGGGAGAGGTCACAACAGGTTGATCACCATAACAGGAGACCGAGGAAGGAAACGAAGAGCGGGAATCGTTCAAGGACCTCAAGAAAGCGATAAAAATAACAGGAAAGATGAGCGTCTCTGATGCTGAAAATTGTGTCCCATAAACGCCATTCTAGACAACGCCAAACCGCAATCTAGTAGCCTGACCATCCTCCTAATGGGCTGCCAGACTGACCCGGCTGAGGCTGACCAGGTTGCATCGGGGCACCTGCTCCCGCAGGCCAACCTGGCATACCCGTACCCATGCCCATTGTCATACCTGCCTGCTGGGGGTTGGCTGCCATGAAAGCCTGAGGGCCAGGGCCCTGTGCAGAAGGGTACATTGCCCGCGCCATGCCAGGGTAACCGGCAGGTGCACCGGCAGCGGCAGCATACTGCATTTGCTGTTGCATTTGCTGTTGCATCTGGGGATGCTGCTGCATCTGTTGGAATTGCTGGGGAATCTGTGGCACCGACGGGCGGTGTTGACGAGGAGACTGCTGGGGTTGCTGGCCATGGTGCAGCGGCGATGGAGCCTGCTGCGTATTTGCTGGCATCTGCTGACCGTACTGAGGCATACCCACCCCTTGCGGTCCCGCAGCCGACAATGGAGATGGTTGAGGTTGTGGTGGCGGTTGACCCCACATCTGCTGTGGCTGCTGGGAAGGGTACGCGTAAGAAGCCTGGGGCACTCCGGCTGACATGGATGGATTAGATCGCTGGTGCATAAGGTTGGGTTGCATGCCTGGAGGAATCCCTCTGACGGGAGATTGGCCGATTGATTGTTGATGTGGCTGCTGGGGAAAAGCTTGTTGTCCAGGCACCATAGCTTGAGGAGGAATCATATGTTGAGCATGGGCAGAGGTTGCCATCCCCGCCGGTGGTATTTGGGCAGGTTGAATAGGTTGCGAAACAGACAAGCCGGAGTCAAGAGCGGTGATGGCCTGGCCCTCAATTTCCGGTGCTTCGCGAGGCTTCGAATAGAATTCATCCAATCCCTTTAGGCGGAAGCTTCTCTGAGCATTCAAAGCCTTGTTGAAATCGGCAGCCGTCTGAGCCTGATGAATGATTTCAGCTCCGGTACTTGTCCGTGTATTGTCCTGGTAGGGCTGGCCAGTCAACTCCTGGCGTGAGCGCGGCATAGAATTGTAGTCTCGCAGCCGAGGATCGTCGGTTGTCGCCATATGAATCATCGGAAGCTGAGCCAACGAGGTAGAGTCCGTAACATCCAGAGACAAGCCAGGCGGCAGAGGCTCAACCGTACTGCTAAATATGACATTGTTGTGGGGAAGTGGCAACAGTGTAGAAGTCTGAGTGTCTACCGGGGGATCGCGAGTCTTGGCAGTTCCTGGACGTTTTTCGCCAGCCATGTCTTCTTCGGTAAAGCCCTGTTTCCTAGCCTTACTCTCCCAATAATCGTCACGAACTCGTCTGCCGTTCACGATAACACGGCTGCCGAACTGGCGGAACATAGACCTGGCGGAGACGATGGCGATTTGTCGAGAGCGGTAGGAGTACGGGAGAATGTCTTGCTGAATGAGGTCGTCTTTTTCGATTTGAGACGCAATAATCTTGTGCAAAGAGCGATTCTTGTTGAAAAGTAGATACGAATCCCGATAGTTCAACACCCTCGCACACTCTGTTGCCAGCATGAAGAGCTTGGTGCCTCGGTTGGGGACACGGAAAGTGCGACATTTATATTCGCGACCACCCAGAGGATAGCCCATGGAATCGACCTTTGTTTCCCCTGCATCGTCAAACTCCTTGGGAATGTATTCATCACCCTCATCGTTTAATTGATCGGATGTATGGTCCCTGACAGTGGGAAGCGCTTTGACGAGCGTCTTTGTCGGAGTGGGTTTGTCCGGCGGTGATGCAAGCAGTGGGGACCCGGCACCCTGGTGAGGTAGAGGCCGGCTTTGCATCTGAGGCGTTTGAACAGGGGTACCAGCGGACTGATGGTCGTTGGAGCTGGCCCGAGGCGTTTTGGGAGGACGACCGCGTTTGCGACGACCTTGGTCCTCTGAAATCATTTGGCAAAGTTGTTAGCAAAGTGTGGGAAAAACAAAGCGCAAAGCAAGTGCGACCGGAAGAAAGCAAGGCACGAGCGGAGCCGAATGAGACAAAGGTGATTTCCACGAGGAAGCAGACGAAAAAAGACATAAAGGTGACCAGCGTCCCTCGCTCTCTTTCTCCCCTCTTATCGCGCACGTACCATCATCTTGATCTCCCTCCCCAAGTCCATTCCCACTGTGATCTGGCGTGCGACTACGCTTGACACCACGGGGACTTGGCTCAGCAGTGGATGGTGCCGGCATGGTAGAGACTAGGAGGGGTATCAGTTTACAGGAAGGTGAGGGGGGAAGTGACAAAAATAGGCGAGAAGCAGGAAACAAAAAGCCAAGCGCTGCCAGCGACCGGTCGCGATGAAGCTCAGCGCGCTGAGTTGCGCAACAAGACGACAGGTGCAACCGCGAGATCAAACGAACTCATGTGGGCGCAAGTGCAAGGAACATAGAAAAAGCGACGAAACGACGACCATGCGACCGATAGTATCATCTGTCACAAAGGAAGAACACTTAGACATACCGGAGTTGCTCAGGTTTGCCGGATCGATGGTCCCCGAGCCATCGACTACCTCGCCCAGTCCGTTCATTGTCGCGTGAGATTGAGGCGTGCCATACATAGTTGAACGATCCAACGGCGAAGGCCGCGAAATGGCGCGTCAAGGGAACGCGCCCGGGGGATGGGTTGGGATCGAGTCGCGAACAAGTTGCGACACTATTCGGTGGCGCAAGTGGGCGGGATGCTAGGCTTGCATGCAGATGGGGGAGTCGGGCCTCTGAGGTCGATCTGCGGGAATGGTTGGGTTAGATGTGGTCGAACGATGGAGCTTCGGGCGTCGGGATGCCCTGGGAGTGCGAGAGGGGCGAGGCGGTGAGCAAGTTGAGGTGATAGTATGGGATGCCTGAGTTATGCCGGGTTGGTGCCTGGGCTTGTGTGCCTGTTGGTGCCTGATTCTTTATCGCTGGGCGGTGTCGCCTGAGTAATCAGGACCACAAAGGCCACGTGAGGCTGGCGCGTTATGCACTCCTCAGAAGGTGGGCCGGAGTAAGTCGTTGATAAGTGATCATTAATATGCGCCAACACCACCACCCGAATCAGATAAAGTAGAGATAATAAAAGTCCCAGAAATCCACCAAGCCAGATAGCCGGACAATGACGGTTGACCCACGGTGACGGGTCTCAAGGGGGTGGGAAAAGATGAAGGGATTTGGGGCAAGGGGGGGAGGGAAGACGTGAGATGCCCAGGTGCAGGTGGAATGCAGCGTCGCGTGATTAGTCACGGGAATGGACAGGCCGGGGAGGTATAAAGCCAATTGTCTGAGAGAATAGTCAATCAGAGACAGGAATAATGAGTCAGGATTATGATCAGTCAATCACAATCGAGGATCACAGACCATGATGTAAATCACCCGAATTAAATGTAAGAGAATCTCAAATACATGAAGGAATGGGAGGACTCCCGAGCTGAAAAGGGAAAGATCGTGAAAGTAGTATCAGAGTAGTTCTCGGGCTCGGGATCTGCCGTGGGGCCATAAAGTTTAGGGCATAACTCGAGATAGGATAGGGTATAATGGGTCTAGAAGAGAAGACCAGTTCAAATGTCGAGGGACTCTACAGGCTGCAACATCCAGTTTCCCATAAAGGTCCTCGAATAATAAGGAAATCGAATATAGCCCAATGGTGAAAGATCAGATCTAGGAAGGGGCTCTTGCGCAAAAGGGACTGGAAGTTCTTTTTGATCCTCCTAGGGAGAGGCGTCGCGGATACGGCGCGGTCAGGGTTTGGGGGCTCCTAGGATCCGCGGCGGAGAGAGACAAATGGGAAGCTTTGCGGTGGATATCTCGCCCGACGCTCCTGCAGCAAATGGCTCGAGCGGAAGGTGATTTTCCCGAGGTGGGACAATGATCGATGGGGTTGGCAGAGTAGAAAACCCTGCGTGTTGTGGGCATGGACGGAGTGGACAAAGATTGCGTGCACTTATGCAGTTGGCATATTCTGGATTTTTCCTAAGCAGATAAAACAATGTGTAGTAGAACGAGGAAAGGGGGCAAGAAGATAGTCGTACAAGTTGGATTTCAAATTGAAATCCGCGGGGGGTATCACGAGATCCTCGTGTGGAAGTAGAATGGGATACAAGCTTGGGGAGACTGCACTGTGTAGTATGAGATACAGAATATCTAAGTGATATGAGCTTGTACTCGTGGAATACAGGTGATTTAGAAACGATATCAGGTACAGAATAGAACACCTGTGGTCTATAAAGCCCCTTGCCCCTCTTCGAAGCGCCCTTTCCCTTCATACCTCCATCACACAGCTAGAGAATAGGCTCGATATGATAGGCCTTCCAAATTTTGTTGATCGAATCCGGCCGGTCTGGACTGTGTAACTTGATGTGTCTTAGAACCAAATCGTTAACCGCTCAAAAATCAATAATATCGATATCTCAAGTAAAGAGGCCAAGGGAAAGAAGAGCTAGGGCCGTTTTGATATGGTTAGTTACTCTTACCACCGGCCTAACATGAGAACAATTGTCATATTCAGATTAACCGTCCTTATTTTACTGGACATTGTGTGTTCAAGAAAAATCCAGCCTCATTTCTGCAGAGTAGCGGCAAAACTCCCAGCAAAGGGCCATTCTAGACGGCCTCATGCATTCGGATGATATCGGACTTAACGGTGAATCTAGCTCATCAATGTCCTGGCGCTAAAAAAAGGGGGAAAAGATTTCCCTGGTCAAGCCATCGAGATATATGTCTGGTTTCTGCACCGACCTATTCTTTCCTGGTTGGGCAAAAGTGCCCGGAAAAAACAGGCAATGAGGGGAATTCTAGGATACTACTTGGATCAGAGGAGAAAGGTCAAGGATCTCAGGCCGCATCCTGTCAGCCGGACGAGACGAGCTAGCGACGTTTTAGACCTAGCGGGTTACGCATGAATATGATGCTCGTGCGTGCTCGAGATTTAAGAGAGGCACGAGTCGTCAGGTAGAGACAGACAGAGAATTAATCTGATGACATACTGAGGGCCCGAGACTGTTGATAAATAGACTTGAGTGAACTATATTCTCGAGGAGGAAGCAAAATAATCAATACTGTAACCAGAAAGATATCCGCCATTCTCTAGGGGGTGGGATAGCCGGGCTCGTAATCTGCACGGGAGCCCCGCCAGACTGAGTGGGTTCAAGTGGGTTCTCCTCAGATCGAAGCAGATGACCTTTGTATCATGACCACCGATCACTTGAGACGATCGGCGGTCCATGCGCCTCCTCTTTCAAATTCCAAATAACATAGACCCGCGATCATCTTTGGGTTTGATATACTTCCAGCAGAATGAGTTAGATCGTTTCCCGACGGCTGTACAAGGGCGGCGATGTGCAGAGTTACGTTATAACGAACGAGGGTCCATTTGAGCAGAATAAGAACTTAATGTACGCCTTTCAGAGCAGAAAGAGTGTCTCCAGAGTTCTAATTCATGTTTCTGCTGGGTTTCACAGCAGGACGGGTTTCTGTGTTGCCGTTTATACACGCTCGGTCTCGGTAACTACCTTCTTTAACTTGTTCTGGTTACACAGAGTCTCCAAGAGGAAAAAGGCGGAACACTGGACCCTGATGAGATCCATGGTTCAGCAGCTCTGATTCAGGCTATGCCTAGGAAATATTGGTGCCAAGGGGCCCGGTACATGATTGGCATCATGGATGTAACGTACAGGTTAGACGACCATAAATGGGCAGATTAACACGCTGGAATCTTGTGTATCATGCGCCAGCTCTGTGAGAATATTCAATTGAAGTCTTGAGACGCTCGAGTCATGCTCACGTTAAGCCACATTTATGAGATCGAATGTATGCCCGATGACGAGTTGACGGCCCTCAGATACTGTTTTCTTTATCTTTCTCTACTTAGCTGAACGAAAGCCTTGAATACCTGCTCCTTAATGAAACAGCAGCACCAGACGCCCAATCACTTAATTTGGGCAGGATTGAACAGGTTTAGAGTGACAAAATGTTACCACCAAGCTACGACAGACTAGACCGCTACAGTAAGTACACCCCTAGAAGGCACCAAGCCTCTCATATACCATAAGCGGTAGTTTGATGAGCAAGCGAAGCCCTGATTTGAGCAGCATTAGAAAAATCGGCTGCACAGCTAAGGCATTTGGAAGTGGTGATCACGCGTGCTACGAGTAATAGCAAGGCTAAGCCGGGCCCGAGTCTCTTTCTTTGTTTCTTTGATGAGAATTCCTCAGAGCGTTGCGTGTCGGGCAAAGCCACGCGTTGCACACCGTACATGCAGCCCTGAAGCCCGGGTCTGAAGCCCAGCGAATGCAGAAAAGACAGAATGTGATGTCTAATTCATCAGTATAATCTGCTTACTGCCCATTGAGAGGGCTTGAATAGCCTCAGCTGCTGAGCTCGGCTGGGGTCTGACTGATATCGTCTAATCTCAGACATTGTGACTTGGGCCCGCATGACAGGGGGACCCAAATGATTCTCAATTATTCGCAGATCAATGCAGTCTCTCCATCAGAATCAACTCCAGAACTCCTTCACCGTGTGAGTGATAGGCGTCAGTCCCGCCGTCACAGTGGCGTCGTCTTTTCATTCTTCGAATGTAACGATGGACAAGATTCAGTGACGGGCAGCTTTGACCGCCACGGTCCGAATACGTGGATTGAGTTTGGGTACTAACCAGGAAAGAAAGAAGAATTTGAAATGATAATGAAAGACCTGATGCGACGGAGCTTAGCAAGGAGAATCGCGGAGAGGCTGATCGAAAATTCCTAGTGAAGTTTGGGTAGTAGATTGATGCCCGTTATCCAGATAGGTCATCATCCTCCGTGCCTGGCCTATGGTAGTTGTCGGTCGCACTCTCTCGCCTTAGTTGCATCCAGGAATGTTTCAGACTGCACAAGGAGGGGTTGGCGCGAGGCGTACGTGTTGCGCGCGGGGCAGTTGAACCCATGACCGATAGATCGGAATCCGCAGCGTACGACCTAACGAAAGTCATCCGTTGTCGTGCAGTAGTTCCCGCTGGTAACTTCACTTACTGGAAATGGAGCAAAAGATCGGCAGTTGCCTTGGTGTGAAATGGACAGCAGAATGACTCTTTAATAAAGAGGCCCAAAATATAGATGACTGTTGGGATGTCGTAGTCAGCTGATTTTTAATTATCTGAAGTGTCCATCAATCGATAATACCAGAAATATTGGATATTAGAAACTTTTATCAGTTATCCGAAAAGGAAGCCGCGGTTTGCCTTGTTGAGGGCTATGATCTAACATACAAGGTCGCCAAAAACAAGTAAGACACCAAACCTAAGAAAATAAAGGTTTGTAGTGATTGACATTGCTCGGATGCCGAATCTTCAAATGAAGCCGACCTAAAGACTCTGTCAAATAGAATATGTCACAACCTGAAGATTTGACTAGACCAACTGCCAAATAGCATGACTCGTCTGTGACTTCTTACCATGCTATGATTGCCAACAAAGAGACAGGATTTGTTACAACGGGGAAGAATAGCCAAACAGGTGGAATCGGGCACTAGACACGCTCTTATCGAACTCAAGCCCCTTTCAGTTCTCTTTCTCAACGTCTTCTCTTTTCCTTTCTCCAGGGTTGATGCTTAATACTGTGTGTATGTACTTACCTTTTGCTTCTTATTTCCTTTTAGATCCACAGTGGGTCCCGCACGTTTGCGGTGGCGCACTATGATTGATGGATAAGGAATATGGGACTGTTGGACGATGTCTGCCACTGAGGTTTAAAGCAGTAGAGATCAAGAGGATTGGTTAGTGTGATGTATATAGAGAGCCTTACGCTTCAGAAAATTTGCTTTTGGGATGGAAGGAGCTGTTTGGCAGTGGAAGACTGCCGATGCCACCAGCAATGAACCTCAATTTTCTTTAAGAACACTCCACAAGAAGGATCTCTATTATTAGAGTCTACGATAGCGGGAATACCCCACCAGCACATCGAAACTTTGTCTAAATTACTCCGATTACCTCGTTTGCAGGTACAAAAGGGTGGAATCAATGGGCCTGTTATAGTTTTATTACTAGAGACTCTCACATTTTATCCAAAGATTGTGTCCTTAAGCCGTTGCGAAACCGGGAGAAGAGGAGGGTGGGGCAATGGCAAGAAGATCGACGGGGGCAACGGTTATTAACTCCGAAAGCGAAAAGGCCAGTTGTTGCAGTCGGACGAGTTTCTCCGAGGATCATGTGCTTTTGCAACGTGTGTCCTTTGGGGCGCAGTTTGACAGTTTGACAAGTTACAATGAGTTGGACGGTCACGATGTCTCCGCCGTGGACCTTTGCTATGGAAATGCTTGAAGGAGTTGGTGAAAGCCTTGGCAAGAATGTGAAGCGGGATCCCTCCATAGGGATTAGTTACCTAAGGATTTATCCAGTCAACTTTGTGATTCCTTTTAGTCAAAAGGAGAGGAAACAAGTCCAGTGATATTTGGATTGATTTGGGAGTAGATATTAAACAAAAGATCTAAGTCAGATTGGTTATCAAGTGTTCAGGAAAAGTAGCTCACTTACGACCGACTTTTCTTTGAGAGGGGATCGTGGTAGTCCCCTTTATGGTAGTAACTATCATTGAGCCGTAGCCTTCCTCGTCACGAAGTTGAGGGTGTTCGGATTTCCGGAAATGGTAATCCGCGGAGATCGTGAGTTTCCCCCGAGCGTGGTGGATTATGGAATGTGGTTTGCCAGTGGTTTTGGGAGTGCTGAATAAAGGGAAGATAAGCTCCGCCGTAGGGTCTCCACAGAAAAAATTTCGAAGCATCAACTGATCACGAATTCTCCACTCGTTGCTGGCTGGCCCGATTAGCCGGTCCACCACACGATGCAACGGAAAGTACTCCGTACATTGACCGTAATGCTATTCTGAAGATGAAAGAACTTATTCAGCTAAGAAAGATCTATCCGTTAAGCTTATGAAAAAAAAAGAGTAACTTTATGTAAGAAATAAGTCAAAAGATCATTCGATGGCAAATTTAAGCCGAGTGATGAATCATAGAGAGTCATACCATCGTTCATTACCCGGATCACAATGGAAGGGGAAAAGGAACCTATAGTATGTTAGCTACTATGCAAACTGCAGGAGAAAGAAGGGTTGGTCAGCGTAGAAAGGCCGAAAGCGCCGGGCGCGTACTGTAGTCTGGCCGGACCGACCAGCAGCAGCCAACAAAGCACGCCTTCACGGGCAGGTCTAGATCTTAGTCACACGGCAGAGTTTTTGCCAACACTTTAGCGGGCCTTTTAGCGCCAGTGCTTGGGCCAGGTTCCCCATATTGCAGATCCGTCCCGTCTAAGTCTGGCTTTCCTCCTGCTTTTTTTTAAACCCTCCCCTTCCCTGATCTGATCTCAAAAGCAACACACTATTCGGCTCAACGAAAATACATCACCATACCAAGCATCACATTCAATCAGGAATCAATCATAATTCCTAACACCCAGCACCAAGCTACCAGACTATACCAAATTCTGCTACAGTCACACCATTCACACCATACCTCGCTAGTAATCACACGAGAATGACAGTTGCTCGTGGTCTTCAAACTCCTGCCACTCCTAAGCCTGCATCTGCTGTGCCCAACTTCACCAAGAACACCAACAAGCGGTGGCCCCCTATGGCAAACCGAGATGCCCTTCCATACAAGCTCACCGTCATCTCCAAGGAGAAGCTCACTCGGGAGGCCACCGCGCCCGATCCGGACCTCCGCCGCTGCGTGGCTCACTTCCGGTTACACTGTGGATCTGTCCTTTGGACGGAGAATGATATGAAGTCTCGCATCAGCTCCTTCGACTTTGAGGAGACCGACGAAGAAGATGAGAATGATCTTCCCGAACTCAAGGCACAATATGAGAAAACGGCCTTTGTTCGAGTGCCAGCGACCGAGACACTCATTGATACGCAAGCTGAGACATCTCAATCATCTCAATTATCGCCTGATAATGGCCTCTTTCCGGATCAAAGCCATTGCATCGAAGTGACATCCAAAAACAACCTTTGCTGCATCTCCGTCTCTCCTGCTGCCGATTAAGCCTAGGACCTTCTTCACCTTGATGAACTCCGTCGCCACCTATCACCTTTCTCACCTCATACTCTTCTCTTCCGACGGTCCCCTCATTTATTACCGGACCGACATAATGACTCACGATGCAACGACGACCATGAACATACTATCAAACCAAACCCTGTACATAGCTACAAACACTACCATAATGACAAAACTTTTGCTGGCCAAACTTGATTCCTTGTAAAAACTCATCCATGTGAATAGCAAATCGATGACTCAATCACTCCCTACAATTCGTGCAGAGAATTTTCGGCGAATTACTCCGGACAATCGGGAACTTCCCGAATCCCGAAAAAAGTGCATTGTTGAGTCAGGGCCAGAATCACGTGGGCTGATTAGTACTCGCCACGGACGCAGCCAAGATCGTCCATTGCCAGTCTACCCATGTCATATCTGGAGAATCATTCTCGAAGAAACCAAGAATTATGAAAAAATGTGGATCCTGCCGGCCTGTATGAACCCGCTCATCACTGACCGTACCATTGTATGGGCTCAGGAGTGCAGTAATACGATGGTGAGTGTAGCCACGGCAGTGGCAAAACACCGCCGATCACCGGCGGATGTCATCATGTCCCGTCATGGTTGAGATAGCTTTTCAAGATAAACTAGATTCAGACAACCTTTGATATGACACCTCCCCAGAATCTACAACCAGCTAATCGAATGTCGCTCCGGCGTCAGATGCCCGCGAGTTGAACCAAGGCATTGTACTACTTACTATAGGCGGCAATGGGACACTAGTCATTGCCGAGACAAGAAATCTCAATAGATCAAGGCAAATTGAATCATGTCATCCCCTGTTCAGTCAATGGTACCCTTGACTCTTGATTGCCAAGGTCCAAGCTCCCAAGGCTGCATCACTCCCCCGGATGCTGGACGACTAGTGTGAACTGGAAATTCAGTCTCATTGGCTGGGATTGCATCCGCGCTCGAGGCCCATAATTCTCTAGTAGTGGTATGTTTACATCGATTGCGGAAGTACGGCTAAATGGCGATGTCATTGCTACGATGTCCTTTGCTCAGAGCTGTCATTTCCTGCTGCGATCGAAATGTGGATCGCAACTGCCACATTTGGGATCCTGAGAGGGACTGAATGCCTATGAACACATTTTGCAAAATCAAGACTAAGGCCATGTACAGCATGAAAAGTACTGGTCTCGAAATATGATGCAGCAAGAAGTTTTATGTTATGCCTGGGAGACGGTCACATCAACCCCAGCGGAATCCAGCTTAATCGCCCATCCACCTCTCTGCGTCTCTGCCTGCCCGGAAACAACGTACTTATCAGTGGTGCCAGGTGTCTCGACCCAAACGACAGTAGAGGATGCCTTGGCCGGACCAGGCACGACGCGCAACTTCAAAGAGGTCAGATCAGACGTATCGAACGAAACCTCCTCGATCTGCCCCGCACTGATCGTAACATAAACGCCTAATTGTGCAACATAAACACGCCGACGCACAGCATCCCGCGGATGAATCGTGACAGAATTACCCGACACATCCATGTTTCCCCCATACGTCGCGAGTCCAATGTCCGGATCGTGCACGACGTAGACACTAGACCCGATCATCATGCCGAGGAAGTTCGGGCCGTAGTCTCCCGAATAATCGTCACCACGAAGAGTATCAGGGAATGAGTGGAAGGCGTTATACATGGATCCATCTTGTCGGATGTTACTTAGTGGGCCCGTGATACCGCCGTATCCCACGCGTAGAAGGTAAGTATCGTTGGGGGTTTGACGGAATTGGGAAAGGAGTGGGAGGGCATTGAGGCCAGAGCCATAGTGGTGGATCATACGCTCGATTCGTTCCAATTTGCCCCCATAACTAGAGAGGCGTAAGATAAGAGGATGTTTGAGGTGGTGACTATTCTGGGGAGGGCTTACATGAAGTCCCAATATCTTCGGGCATTTCCGTTCCAGCCCCAGTGGGAAACGGTGGGCATGTACCCAATGATGCTGTTAATGGTTTTCGTTGCCGTCGTCGCGAGATTGAAGTAGCTGGGGTTGTGAAATAACTTGTGAGAATGTATCGGTCACCTGTATGGAGAAAAACTTACTTGCTCCAGTAATAGATTCCCTCTTGGCCGGTTGAATCCCAGGCCATCTCACTTCCGTAAGGCACAGCCTCGGTGTCCCACGCGTCTGCGCGGAGTCTCATAGCAGCTTCTACAGCATCGGCTTCGTTGGTCCAGTTCTCACGCTGAAGATCAGCCAGTAGCTCTCCCACCACAGTCTCCCCCATTAGCCCCACCCGCGAGTACCCGACCAATCCATTCCCATTGGAGTCTGTCGCAAAGCAGGTGATCGTAGTATTATATGCCTGACCAAGGTACCACTGCCATGTATTGACGCTGAGAAGCGACTCATCCGCTCGTCCAGCACGATAAAGTGCCCAATATGCCCCGATCACATGGATATAATCGTACGCACGGTCTGTCGCATATGATGCATTCTTATTCCACGACCACCAGCTACCCCAGTCGATAGACTGATTATACTGGTACCCGGGCACTTGATCGGGCTCATAGAAGAAGATACTCTTGCGAACGGTGAAATCAGGATTCTGAATCGTCTTTGAAAGCACGTCTTTGGCGAAATTTTCCAGCTTCGTAATTTCCGCGGCGTTGCTCAGACCGAATTGTTTCATTGCAGTCGCTAGGTAGATCACGCCGCCTTCGTCACTAAGTCCGGAGATCCAGACTCGCGGGTCTTGTAAGACTTGTGCCCCGGTTGAGTGATCCCAGGTGATGACTGAGGGTGCGCGGCCGAAAGGATCTGAGGCATCGTCAAACCACATGGACGTGGTTGAGAAGTCTCCGAGTTTGCTGATGACTGTTGGTGCAGAGTCGGTGATGAAATAGTGCACCGTTTGAACCTTGCCATCTGTATATTTGATAACCACCTTGTTGGGACCCCAGACCGATCCAGTTGGAGTCAGCGTGAGCGTGTCTTTTGAGTCTTGCGAAATCTTGAATGCGTTGTTGTCGGATACGACCTTTGAGATGGTCCCATGAAACAGGTAAAGTTTGGCAGTCAGGTCAACAGGAACGACGTAGCCTGGAATACCGATAGTTACAGGTGTATTGGTTGATTGAACAGCCTTTTGAATACCGCGTATGCCCTCTTTAACGATGGAGAATCGCAGGCCATACGTAACCGACTGGCCAGACTTGAGCGTCTCGGAGCTTGGTTCATTCCAAGGCGTGATGCCAGACCATTCATTTTGGGCATAGGCCTTGCTATGAGTCTGCCATTCATAGAACCCTTCAAAAGTCTGACTTCCGTAGAAAAGAGGGTCAGTGTTGGGCTCATCCAAATTTCTCCACGCTTCAAATGGCGTGCTGGTGTTGACTAGAGGAGTTACAATCAGTGCCGCTCCTGTGCCGGATGTTGGAGTAACTTGGAGATAACCAGCATCCATGCCAATGTAAGGATCCGTTAGAGAGCACTTCGCAGCCATGTCCTCCGCAGCGCGATTCGTGAAGATACTGTTGAACTCCGTGGGAAATCCGAGACTGCCTATCTCTACAGTCTGTTTGGCCGTGTTTGTGAGAGTGAATGCCAGTCCCAAGTCTCCATCGATATCCGACCAAGTTCGGACCACACGAATTGGTGAATTTGATGGCAATGTAGGCGAAAGGTCTGCAGCGGCAAGACGATCAGTCCTGGCGCTCTTGACCTGTTTTCTCGCGGTTGACGAGTCGGCTGATATCCATTTAGTAGCGCCAGAAGTACGATAACGAAATGTAAGGTCGCCATTGTGATATTGACCATTACCTGCTCGGTAGGTGATATCGTCGAATGGCAAGAAATCAAAATCATTGCCGCTCGGTTTCAGCGAGGCAAGAATTTGCGAATCCGTGACCAAATTGATGTCAAAATTAGCGGTTGATAGTGATGTATAACCACTGCTAAGACCAAGTGTGTCATTTTGCCCATTCACTAGGAGGGCAAAGAGAAGAAAAGAGATCTGAGTGCGTATCTTCATGTTGAGGGGTATACTCAATTCGGAGTCGATGCTTGACAACCACCCCGAATCGTGGAAGTTTCATAGGCAAGAGCTTCATCTTTAAAGAAGACACTAACAACAAAATGGGCGTTTCCCACAGGGCATGGTCTCCAAGACATCTTCATTAGAGGAAAATTTCCAGCGGAGAATAAATTTCTTGTTCGAATGTTGATCATTTACCCCACACCCACTCCGCAGCGTCGTATTGAAGGTGCCGCCTGCTCAGTTAGTCGGGACTCTATTTCTGAGCCAGGGGCCCTATAGCCTGGTCTAAGACATCGATTCAAGATATCCAAGAATGTCCGGAGGTCATTTCAAAAAATTTGGTGGATAATGACATCATATAGACTCAAGATCCTCCGGTGCCTGGCCTGTCTCGTCCTTCTTTACTGTATCGAGCTTGCTTTGACACTCAATATCTCATTCGACACTTCCACCCCGGTGATAAGTACATTCTATATAGTTGGAAAGCCTTCTCATTTGTTGTCCTCCTCCACTGCAAGCTTCTAGTTCCTCTCTTCCTGCAGCGGTTGAGTCAATTTTAACGGATCGAATGGATAGATGCCCCGGTCGGCAAATGCATGCTTGATATTTTCGGGTGTCAAGTACTCTTCACGCACGGTACCAAAAGTACCGAGCCACCACATCTTTTCCTCATCAGGATCTTCGGGAGGTACGAAGCTGTTGTATCCATACTTCTTGTAAATCGAAAAATGTTTCAGATCGGAAGGTTGCATAAGATGCGCAACATTGTGTGGAAAGCAGAATGGAATGATCCGGTGCTCCTCGCAGAATCGAAGGAAATTGAAGGTCAAGAACAGAGGTTGGCCCTTGAAGAGGAGGAGACGTGATTCACCGTCGGCGACGCGATGAAAACGTTCAAGCCAGCCCAATGCAAGCTCCTCGGTAAGTCGACCTTTGGGTGATTCGTGGAGTTCCGTGAAATCAGGAATATCATCAATCACGTACCGGTAATCAAGTTGCTCGCCTTCAATTGAGGACTCTTGAATGACAAGGTATGAACCTGTGTCCCATCCGTCGGCAGCAATACAGTCGATCGAGGTAATTCATCCACACCACTCTCTGATGGAAGGACAGGGACCATCGCGGTAACCGACGTATAACCGCGGTCTCGTTGTCAGGCCGATCTGGAAGTTGGTCTCATCGAAATTATAGATGTTTGCTGGAGGAATGTTGGCAATCAAAGGCTTCAAGCGGTCGAACCAATGCTGAACAGTCTCCAGATCGGATGAATCAACGCGTTTTCTTGGAAGCCATCAAGTGCGTTGCAAGTATCTTTACGAGCAGAGCGAGCCGGAGGATTGTTCACTTCTTGCAACGGTTGACGAGTACATGTGCTAATTTCTCGTTTCAAGGCGACAATATTTGACGCGTTCAATGCTTTTGGCTTCGCAGAAGTCTTGGAGACCCGCCCTTGAGTTGTACTGGGACCTTTAGGCATGATGGCGTGGGTAGATTGGAAGAGGGGAAATGATAACAAACCGCGCGACGCGTCTGCTTTATGCGGGCGGTGTCGCTTTCAGGCTTCGTACACGTCACCGAAATGGGCACTCCTTTTAGAACGTTGAAAGTTCTCGGAAAATTCACTGGTAGAGCGACTTCTGCGTGGCTCAAAATCAATGTCATATTTTTACATAGAAGTTGCGAAGGATATGGTGGAGTCACATTTGAATATCCAACCTCTGCTTCCCATCCCAATGGAAGGGCTAAAGGGCATTTTTATACCACAAGAGGAGCACACACGAACAGCATCGAATATCGAAGAGCAAGCCACCTAGTCTTTCATTGAGAAGACCTTGAGATTCACACGCAAATGCAAATATTGCCCCTGGTAAAGCTCTTCTTTTGCACCTACACTGACTGTAGAGAGCAGAAAAAAATTCCATCAACGCTTCGACTTCCCTTCTTTTGAAAGAAGTTTCTGAGTGAATTTATACAGTCTCTTACTGATTCTTTCGAAGCTTAAGACATTGCGTCTTCATGGATTGTCAAAAACCAATGATTAGAAACCATTGAGGTTGAGAACATCTGGATCCCACAAACTGCACATCGAAGACACTAGGACGAAGACCCCCAACTACCTTCCAAATGCCCAAATGACTTAACATCCAATAAAAGTCAGTCGGGCAGGTCTACCAAGGTATATCTTAACGAAAGCGCTGGAGGTTATCTTGCATGGGGCGCAGTTCCAATATTAGATGCCTTGTGAAACGCCTTGGCTATCAGTCACCCTATGCACAAGCACGCCATATCTTGTGCTGTGCCTTCAATTCGACTCAGTCAAGATCTGCACCTGTACCGATCGACTCCGCCCCCAGGGCTGGATTTCTGGCGGTAGGCACGGATACTCCTGCCTCGTAGTCGTGGTCCGCCCCATCTACCTAATCTCGCCAACGTTAGCGGCCATGCAGCTAAGCGCTTCGAATCACCTCCCGACAGAATGTTCCCCCACTTGGGACCAAGATATATGCATCTCCTTGTTAGCGTAGCCCGGGTCACTTGAGATGTTTGACTTCTTGGCATATGCGTTTCATCATTTTGCCGACAAGGTTTACCACAGAGGCTCGGCCCGCGAAATATCCATGTGTCAGGACGCGCTCGCAGCGGCAGTAGCTTAGTTACAGACCACTAAAGAAGTTTGGGAATGGACAATAGTGATTTGAACAGACAGTGCCTGTGTCTCTATAAATACATCAAACTGGGATGCGGTGCCTATCAACCGAGTTCCAACCATCAAAAAGTATGACACTTCCAGGAATGTCTAGATTTCATGCGAGTCATGAGAGAAGCTCTGGAGACGAATCAAGATAAAAATACACATCAGTCCCAATGACTCTACCTAATTACAGCCTTTCAGTTGTCCAAATCCAGAGTAGTGAAAACCAACAGCGGTGCTGCGGCAGGAAGCTAATGCGAACAAAAAGTACGATGGCGGAGTTCTGGCTCTACCTACAAGGGGCCAGAAAGACAAGGCGATTCGGAGAACGCACTTAAATAAGTGCTCACAGATCGGTTACGAAAGAGACTTTTCAACCAGATATCTTTTTTCTCTATCACACTCCATTCGATTCACACTAAGAACCTTGGCTCGATCATGGTTGCAAAGCCAGAAGATAAGGCTATGCACCAGCTGCAGGGCCAGCAATCCGAGCTACTTGATAAGATTGATGAACTTCGGAGCATTGGAGTTGGAGGCCTCGTGGAGCTTCCTCAACTCATTGTCTGCGGTAGCCAGTCCAGCGGAAAGAGCTCCGTTCTTGAGGCCATCTCCAGAGTACGCTTTCCAACCAAGGGTACCATCTGTACGCGGTTTGCGACCGAAGTCATTCTCCGTCGGAAGCCACAAGCGAAAGTAAAAGTTTCAATCGAGCCAGGAGACTCGAGAACAGATGAACGAGAGCGGGAGAGGCTCCGAAGTTTTACTTCGGAGGCCTTCTCGAGCGACAATGATCTCAAAAATCTGATCAATCAAGCCAGGGATTTCATGGGAATCAGCGACAACGTCGATCAGCATGCCGGATTCAGCGACGACGTGCTAAAGATTGAGATCTCCGGGCCAGACAAGCCGGAACTTAGTCTTGTGGATCTACCTGGTCTCTATACCTCCGCCAGCAAGGAACAGAGCAAGGAGGGAATTCCAATCGTTCGACAGTTAACGGAAAGATACATGGCCAAAAGCCGCAGTATTATTCTTGCAGTCATCAGCGCTAAGGTGGATTACCACATCCAAGAGGTCCTGGACATCGCGAAGGACCATGATCCACACTACGAAAGAGTCCTTGCTATCGTCACTCATTCCGACAAACTTGACGAGGGATCAGATGAGGAAGAGCGATACCTACAATATATCAGAAATGAAAGTATCAAACTGAAGTTGGGATGGCACGCTTTAGTCAACCGCAACCACAAGATGCGCGACGTCCCCGATGACGAACGTGATGAAGAAGAGCGAAAACACTTTGCGAAGGGGCGATGGGCCTCTCTTCCTCGAGCACACGTGGGAATTGACCGTCTCCGACACCGCCTGAGCAAAATTCTACTCAAACATATTGCTGGAAACCTGCCGACGTTGATCAGGGATATCGACCAGAAAATTGATGACCGGAAACAGAGCCTAGCCAAGCTTGGCACAGCACGACCAACAACAAGGGATCAACGAGGCTTTTTACTCAACATTAGTTCCAATTTTCAGCAAATTACCGCTGAAGCGGTGAATGGCTTCTACAACAAGGAATTCTTCGGTGGCCTGAGCGATGAGCTCTTGGAGTCTGGAGATGCTCGACGCCTACGTGCCGTCATCCGCGAACTAAATGAGTATTTCGCGGATGCGATGTCCGTGCATGGATTCCGCCGACAGCTCCCTGAAGATGTCTGCGAGGTACCACAGCCACTATCTGACTTTGAAAATCCTAAATTCCAATCCTACTTGAACCAGTGGATACCAGAAAAGGTCACTGAAAAGGATATCATGAACCAAATGATAAGACAAGCTTTGAACAACCGTGGCATTGAATTCCCTGGAAACGCAAACCAGTTGCTCATCGGGGAGCTCTTTCGAGATCAGGCAAGACCGTGGAGAGATATCGCCCAGTATCATCTGAGTCAAGCCTGGGGATCGGTCAACGAATTTGTTCAGCTGGCTTTTGAATATCTTGCCGATGATAGTACCAAGAAGGCACTTTTGGCCGATATTATCAATCCAAGATTGGACATGTTAAGAAATTCTTTGGATGATAAGCTAGACGAATTACTTTCCTATACAACAAGCGGTCATCCTCTGCCCATTGGAAGAAGTTTTCTTCAGAGAATTCAGTCATGTCGAACAAACCGTCAATTGCAAAGCTTGAGAAACAACCTAATCTTGAACAGCAAAAACCCCGAGAGATCAACAAGTGAAGAATGGCAAACCAAATTTACTCTCCGTGACCTGAAAAATGCTGCTACTCAAGCTCAGAGCTCCGACGGTCAGTTTGCAGTTGCCGACATTGTGGTTCAGATGCAGTCATACTATGAAGTGAGTGGACAGCCGAGGTATCGACCTCTACTGGCACACACGCTAATGATTTCTGGATTAGACTGCTATTGTGATCTTCATTGACAATGTCGCAATTCTGGCTATCGAGAATTGCTTACTTCGTCCGTTGGAACACATCTTCTCCAACCAGGTCATCAACAAGATGGACGACGAAGAAATTGAGAGGCTTGCCGGAGAATCCCAAGAAGTTAAAGAAGAGCGAGAACGATTGAGTCGAGAATTGAAGAAGCTGGAAGCTGGCATGCGAACCCTCAGTACTTTCAATGTTGATAGGCCGTCCTCGAACCGACCGTCCCCCCTTGGTAAGGACTATAAATCGATAATGTACAACGTCACCAGCTAATAAAATGATGATCATAGATGCTCATTTGACTTCGCCGTCTCGAAGCCCAGCTCCCTCCCGCAAAAGGAGCAGCGCTCATCACAGGGGCAACCCGCCTGCTATCCAAATGTGAGTATTCGGTACACCAAGGAATCCAGAAGATACTGACCCAGAATCTAGCAACGGAAGTACGAACGGGATAAATCATCGGGGAGGCCTTGAGAGTGGAGAGGTTTATTGAGTTTCGTGCCTTGTTTCTTGCTTTGTTTCTGGTAATTCATCACCAAATTTTAGTCCGAATTCTCGAGGGACCTCCTTACTTTAGCTCCAAGCCTGAGTGTATCTTTTAAAGCTGAACGGATGTACGCGAGGCACTCCGTAGCATTCACAGTAGGTTTTATTCGGAATTTCTTTCTAAACGATTTACTAGAAATGAAGTTCTCTATACAAAAAAGGCTGAAAACATATATACACTCATTTCATCGTACTATCGACCAGCTCCCGATAGATCTTCTTCAGATCAGCGATATCAGCCTGAAGCTCCTCGACCTGTTCGCTCTTCTCGCCTAACATCTCAAGGGTTGTCAAGTATCGCTGGTCAATATCAGCAAGCTTAGCTTCAAGCTCCTCAACTCGAGAGTCAGCAGTCTTCTTCTCTTCGAGCTCGCGCATGAGGTCGACGACCTGCTGTCTAGACTCATCACGTTGAGCCGTGACGCGAGCGAGCTCATCTTTTGACCCTGCGCGCTCGCTCTCCAGTCGACGGACAGTAGCACTCATGCGCTCAACTAACTGCACAGATGGGCCAGCACCGACAGTTGATTCCGAGATGATGTCGTTGATGCCGCGCGAAGGACCTGCTTGCGTGCCGCCGTATGCGGATGGGGTAGCTGGGTCGCCAGAGCTGAAGAACTCATCCGGTTCAAAAGTGATTGAGGGGGTCTCCAGAATCATAGATGGAGGGCCCAGAGTAGTGCCAATCGGGGGTGGAGAAAGAGTTCCTTGAGCGATTGAGGTTGGGTAGGAATTTTGGCGCGGTGGGGTGCCAATGTCTGGTGAGCCTGGGGGCAAGGTAGACGAGCGTCGACTGCTTGGACGGTAGTCCGACAGAATAGATGGCAGAGTATCGAGGTTGCTCGAACGGCGAGTGGACGGAACGGGGGAGATTCCACGAGGCTGTTGCAAACTATTCACTTGCTCTCTCAATTTGGCACGCTCTTCCTCGAGCTTTTGTGCCCAATTTGCATCCCACACCTTCTTCTGCTCGATTAGCTCCTTTTGTGCAGAAATGACCTCGTCGGTTGAATTCTGGAGCTTTTGCTGCGCCCTCTGGAGATCTTGCGCACGCGCCTCGAGTTGACTTTCCAAGTCATGCTCGGCCTCCTTGGCATTCTCTAATTCCTCTTCTAGCTCCTTGACTTTGAGGGCCTGAAAGAAAAGACAGTTAGTGATTGACAATTCCATAGTCCTTCATTGGTATCTTACCGTTTCCCGAAGCTTCTTTCGTAGCTCCCTCTCTCTGTCTCCAGCCTGGTCACGTTCCTTTTCTGCGGCATCAAGCCGAGAAATATAGGAGGCCTCCAAGGCGTGCCAGTTCTCACTAGCAACAGAATATTGCGTTTGCAAAGTCTCGATTTGGCGTAGCAACTTGGCCTGTGTCTCTCCAGTGGCTCCGGAAGAGGCTTCCTCCGCACGGGCGCGCAAGCTTTCCATCTTGCTTTCCAACGCTAATTGCTCTCCCTTCAACTCAACCTCGAGCAACCGGGCTCTCTCTTTCTCCTGATCAACCTTCTCCTTTAGATCTGTGATTTCTTTCTTCGACTTTGCCTGACTGATATCAAGCTCGATTCTGGTGTTTGACAACTCCTCTTCAAGCTCGTCTGCTCTTCGCTTCTCCTTCTCCAAGGTATCCGAGTGAGCCTTAGCTTCGGCGACTTCGGCACGCGTGACCGCTCGGCTGATCTGTGCCTTCATTTCGCGTACGGTTTGATTCAAAGCATCACGCTCATTTATCACGGCGTCGAGATCTTTGGCCGTCTTGGTGTAAGCCGATAATGAGTCGTTCGCCCGCTTCTCTGCCGCTTCAGCTCGTTTGGCTCTGCTCTCGGTGTCAAGCAACTCTCTTTCCAACTTCTCCGTTTTCCGCTTCATTTCGATCTGTATTTTCGAATTTTCGGCAAGCTGTTGCCTCAGTCTCCTAACTGCAGTGCGAGAGTTCGCCGCCTCCGACTCCAGCTTCTGCCCCTCCTTCATCAGCAACGCATACTTCTCCCTGGTCTCCTCGAGCTCTTTCTCGCGGCTTCCTGGAGAAGCGGCAGCGGCGGCATCCTTTGCCGACTTTGCAGCCTCTCCGGCCAGATTCTCCAAATGTCTCTGAAGCTCATCAATGCGGGCCATATACTCATATCTCTCTTGTTGCCACTGCGACTCGGCTCCATTATCTTCACTCGTTCGAGACTCGGACAGTGCATCAACGCTGAGACGAGTGCTTTCCCCGGATGCACGGCCTCCAGATAATTCACTTCGCTGTGAGCTCGGCAGATCCAAGCTGATTCTCCCTAATTTCGAAACCTGCTCATCGACCTCAGTGGAGGCCCTAGGCAAAGATTCTGCTCTGAATGCTTCGCTAGATTGACGTGTAGATCTCTCCGATTCGTGGCTAGTTCTAGCCGCACTTGCATGGCTCGTGACGCTCGCTTCATCTGGTGGAGGGCTCTTCAGACCATCTGCAACTCCTGACGCGGCTGCAAGACTAGCATCGATGTCCATACTTGATCGCTCATCATTGCTCGGCGCTGGACTGGCGGCTGTCGACGAGATCTGCCCAGGGGAAGATTGTGAGTTCCGGTTCGCTGTATTGGATTTAACCACCGCTCGCGCCAGACGTTCTTGGAGTCGATCATTCCTGCGCGCATTGGACGAGCTTCGCGAGATTGCTAAATTTTTGATTAGCCAAGTTCCGATTCGGTCGGTCAAGGTGCCCCTTACAGCCAGCGGGAGATCTTGAGATTGGCGACGCTGTGCTTTCCGTCTCTTTGGGCTTCGCTTTCTGAGCGTCCTCCTGGTCCATCAAAATGTTATCCAAACGCGATTCGACGCCCGCAACGGCTTGCTGCAAGAAATTGCCCACACCCCATTTGGACTTGGAAGTCTGCGAATTTTGCGCCATGGTGAGAGATGTATCGTAAGACGGCCACGCGGCTTCTAGGCGGCAAATGCCTCGTGTTCAGTTTGCATGGGTTCGGTGGGGGCTGTGCTCGGTCAACGGTGTTCTCAGCGAGTGCGATGGGTTATATTTGGATGTTCTGAGAGACTGATTTGAGGCAAATCGAGTTCCTAATGAATGGGTCTCTGCGGAGCAATCGAACGTGTAAATGAAAGACTTGGAGTCGCATCCAATTTCGAAGTAGAAGTACAAGGCAGCCGCCACGTCGCAAGATGAATGTCACACGAGAGCTTGAGTGGAAAAGAGAGCGGAAGCGACAAGCCCACTGATAGCGGCTTATATCTGTAGTACACACGGTATTACCAGGCAAAGATTGAAAAGAGAGGAGGAACTGAGAGACTCGACGACGGAGCGATGAGCCAAGATCCGTTGGGAGGGCCGACATGTGGTCTTGGCGTCGCCAGCTTCCGTCATCCCCCCCAAGCTCCTCCCTTCTCGTCCACCTCCGTCCACCATAATAATCTCCGGCCTGCACTCCTTTCCCCCTGGCCCGGCGTGCTATTCAATCACCATGTCGCTGGAGCCGCCCACATACCTCAGCTCTCTGCAGAATAACATCCGCGCTCGGCCAATTCCATGGGAGGGCGCCGTCCGTGCGGGCAACATCACCGATGACCACCTCAAGAAGATCAAGGCCGTGGACAAGGTCCGCAAAGAGCAGCGCATTCAAACAATAGAGGCGGACCTAGCTGGATACACAAGCTTGCTGGCTGGTGGGTCGCAGGGCAAGAGCATCCTGGAGTCTGCCTCTCGGAGGACCGATATTGTGCAATACATCTTGGTGCTGGCATCAGACCTGATTCAGGGTACGTGTGACATGCGAAGGAGCTTCATTCTCTTTGAACTAACGTTGTCCTGCCAACAGATGTCCCTGCGCTGGCCGACTCGCTCGTCTCTCACCCCGAGCCTTACAAGCCGTTCTTGCCATTCTTGAACACCTCCACCAACGCCGAAGACCCCATCCCGCTGCTCACATCTACCTTCCTCACGGCTCTCGTGTCGCACAGCCTTGTGACCTCATCCAAACCTGCCCAGCGAGACGAAGAGGCACTGCCCCAACTATACTTTTATCTCTCTACCTTGACCAAGAACCATGACAGCGGGCTTCAGGATATCGGCGTCCAAGGTTTCTCCGAGCTTCTGCGGAAGCAACACTCGCGAGAGATCTTTTGGAACCACCGCAAAGAAACCTTGGATCCATTAGTGGAGACACTCCGCGCTGCGGCGGGGACTAAGGATAACGGTAGTATTACGGGAAACAGCACGCGTGGCATTGAGCCTGGTCTCGCTGGTGGCGTGGGCCTGCAGCTGCTGTACCGGGTCCTTCTGGTGGTTTGGCAACTCACCTTCGAGAGTTCGCTCGTTGGTGACGAGCTTCAAGAGTAAGTAATCTCCATCTCCGTGCGGGGGAGGAAAGAAATCGCGGACTGGGTCATTGACTTTTATGCAGGAGCTATGAAATCATTCAACTCTACACCCAACTCCTTCGCCTTTCACCGAAGGAAAAGACAACCCGCCTTTTGCTCGCCACTCTCTACAACTTGTGCGTCAGCAATCGGGCGACCCTATTGCCCGTCGCTGTCTTTGTTCGACTCCCAGCTCTCCTGACCAACCTCGCTGGTCGTCACCTGACGGACCCCGATCTCCTTGAAGACCTTAACGGACTTTCTACCTTGCTGGACGAATACACAAAGACCCAGACCACTTTCGATCAATATGCGGCCGAAGTCCAGTCTGGCCACCTGCGCTGGTCGCCCCCACATAAGAACCCGACTTTCTGGAAGGAAAATGCCCGCCGAATCCTGGACGAAGGCAACGGCGCATTGCCCAAGAAGCTGGCAGAGATTCTTTCCAAGGACTGGGAAAATGATAAGCAAGTATTGGCCATTGCCTGTAATGACGTGGGACATTTGGTGAAAGAGCTTCCCGAGCGACGCACTCAGCTCGAACGGACTGGCTTGAAGACCCGAGTCATGGAACTGATGGCCGACAAGGACGAGACGGTGCGATGGGAGAGTCTTCGTGCAGTGGGTGAATGGCTTCGGTATACATTTGATGGTTGAGCAAGAAGGATAGAAAGGACCCTGGCTTTTTCTTTTCCCTTATCTTCTCGGGGATTTCGGGGGTTCCCTGATTCTGGGATGAACATATACTCTGGTTGGCATGTACTGTGTATTCTTTGCCATAGCGCACATTTGTCTATTTTCTCGGGATGACCGTTTGTCTTTATGATTTACAGCAAATTCTGTAACTGGCTCATTTAGACTTCAATACTTTCCTATAGCAGCTCGGTCTCTACCGATAAACCCCCGCTAATCAGTGGACCCTTCACGAGGATTGGCCGACTACATTTTACAAGGAAACCAACTGATAAGTACTGGTCCTGATAAGATGAGCCAAAGTTATTTTCGACTCTTTGTGTTTTCTCTCCTCTTTTCTGCCGATTTGTTTTCCTAATAGCTGCAAGGACTATACTCCCGTTCTTTTCCCCCAGAACCGGCGATTCGCACTCGCCACGCGGGATTCGACCGATCACCGAGCGGAGATCGCATTCCCCGCAGAATATCTTCTTCTCTCCACACACCAACGACTTACTCACCATCCCCAGCACCCATGTCGAGATCCTTCACCGGCTGCACAAGATGTAAAGCGCGGCGCCAGAAATGTGACGAGCAAAGGCCCGTATGTGGGCGCTGCCAGTCCGCGGGCGTCCAGTGCAAGTACGCCATGCAGCTGCAGTGGGGTGGACGTGCATTCTCGCGATCGCGATTCGGGGCCTGCGTGGACACGGGGAACATGCAGAGACTGGGTACGATACTGGAACCGACTCGAGATTTACTGGATATGCACATACTGACCTGACCATGCAGAGTACTCGCCAGGGGAGTTTATCTATACCACCAAGTCAGCGCAGGCACAGGCGCACGCGCGGGCGCACGCACAAGCACAAGCACCGACTGCATCGGAATTGACCTTAACGAGACCTGTCGATCCATTCTCCTCCCTCTCGCCGGATCAAAAAGCCTTGCTCCATCATTTCATAAACGATGCGTCCCAAATAACCGCGAGCCACTCGGGCATGCAGCAAGATATCTGTCGAATGATTGTGCCCATGGCCCTCCAGACCCCATCCTTACTCTACGCGACCACCGCTTTGTCTGCCATCCACATCCAAGCCCTCCATAATCAGTCGGAATCCGTAAAAACCGCGCCGGATATTGCCCGGTTGATGGGGCTCAGTCTGGAACATTTCCGAAAGGAGCTCCAGAATCCATCGTCCAAGGACTCGGAGGCGCTGGTAGCGACAGCCCGAACCCTGTGTTTAGCAGAGATCCATTCCGGGGCGATCCATCCGAATTCATGGCGAGCACATATCGAAGGTGCAAGGGCACTGATGAAGACATTAGGGACGACGGGTGAAAATTTGCTTCGGACAGAGAGCGGCTTCCGTCGATACCTAGACCGCTGGTACTGGTCAATAGTGTCGCTGACAGCATTGACGGGCAACGGCCCTCCCATTGGAGATACGTCAGACTTTGCACCTTCAGATTTGGCAGGGCAAAGGGAATCACCGGACTACCTAGATGATTACTGGGGGTTCACGATAGACTTGGCAGCTGTCTTCCGCCAGATCGGAGCTGCCGCTTGGAGAACCCACCAGGCCGAGAAAGAGATCCAAAGTCGGGGCTTTGTGGCGGGCGAGATTGATGGTAATGTTGAAGATGAAGCCGCTGCGCTGGAGGCATCAATACGAGAACTCATGGATCGAGGCGCGAATTCTCAGCCCTCGTTCTATCCTGGGGTAGCAGAAGGGCTGTCTGCAGAAAGTGTACAGCATCTTGCACTCTGTAACGAGGCATTCCAGCATAGTGCACTGATCCAAATCCACAGACGACTTCGCAAAACGCCGACCACATCAGTGCTTGTGCAGCAGTCTGTTCAGCGGATTCTAGAGTGCACGGCTCAGATTGGACCATCTGCTGGTCTGAGCCCGTGGGTAATGTTGACGACTCCACTATTTATTGCGGGTTGCGAGGCTCGCGGTGAAGATCGCGATACAGTGCGACAGCTCCTGGCAACACTACACGATACTATCCGGGTGCCGAACGTGTTGCAATCTTTGAGGTTTCTTGAACAGTATTGGGCCAATCAGCTCAGTGAGGATGAGGATTGGAGTCACTTCCTTGGTATGTGTTCTGCACATCCCTTGATTGTCAATTTTCCCGCTAACGATTCTTCTTAGATCGTATGAATTTTGATTTCATCCCCTACTAAAGCCTTGAAGAGTTGTTCAGAAACCCTATGCATAATGTACTATGATTGACGTTCCCAGACTCCCGTCTGCATATCTTGACTTGTTTATTTCTTTTTGATATCAACCAGCTACGGGCGCAAAGAGGGCAGGAGGATTTATGGAGTATATATTTTGATTGGCCTTGGCGTTTGAGTTTTCCATGGGGTTGTGGCAATCTTATTTTAATTTATACAAGCTCATTACTACAAACATCTGAACAATAATCACGAGAACTAACAAAGCGAATTCCTTGAGGCGACGCTGCTCGATACAGGCCTGACTTGTGCCAGCTCTTGAGACCCAGCTTCATGGCCAATTCGACGGTCCCAGCTCGCCAATACAACATTCAGCAGCTCATTCGCAACGCCAAGCAACAGGAAGATGGCAATTACCTGCCCAAAGGTCCATCCCTTTTCTTGGGGATCGAGGGTATTCCGTTGAATCGTCTGTTCCAGCGACACAATCAAGTAGATGCAAAGCCCGATGTATGCGGCCCTATTGAGAGTGAAGTTGCGCAGCGCCTGACCGGACAACTCTTCCCGTTGATTATTGCTCTGATGATCGGCACTCGTTGACATCTGCACGAACCACTTGGTACAATTTCGTTTGCGACCCAACCCACCGTTTCCCTGCGAATCCCGTCGTTGATAAATCCACGCTCCGCATATACACGGCAGCATGCAAGTGAAGGTGAGAATGAATCCTGCAGCACTGGCACCCAGCGTCCCGAGAATAATATATCGGAAAACTGGAGATGTAGCATGGATGCTGACTCCGAATACAACATAGACCGTGTCCGGGTTGCAAGACGGCTGACTGCCGAAATGGGGCGCCGTCACCCAGAGATATACATTGAAAGCGATGAATGCTCCAAGGGAGATGACCTGGATAAACACAAAGAACCACAGGCGCCAGGGGCCAAACCCAGCGTATCGGCCTTTGCTGATGAGATTCAAACCCAGTAGAGCCAGCAGGTGGACCACGCAGATGGCGTGGAAAAGCGTCAACTCGTTACGAAAGGTCTGGTAAATTGCTGTACAGAGCAGTGCCAGACCTTGCATTCCTAGCGCAGAAGATACACCGCGAGAGAACTCTTCCTCGTCCTCGCCTGGAGAGAATACTCGGAGGAAGTAGCTCACGAGCGTCCCGCCGAGACAGAGGGCATAAATAGATGCCCGGATCTGGAAGAGAGCTGAGATCAGTCAAAGTCATTTCCCCAGCGAAAACGAAACTTACCCCGGTCCCAGATACATCCGGATTGGCCTCGATAATACAGCTAGTCGTGTTCATTGTTGATCCAGTTGGGAACAAGATCAAAGACCATAGGAGCAGTTGACGAGCGTGCTAATATTCCCCAGACAGCGAGGCGGTCAAATCGCTCGTTTCTCCGACAGCTCGCGACTCTTAAGGCTTAGAACTTTAGCAGCACAAGACCCTTCAGCCTCCTCGAGAGCGGCGCCAAAATGGCTGCCCCGTCCCTAGTCCCTCGTCCCCGAACGTAGCCAAGCAGCGTCATTGCGCCACAGTCAACCCCGAAAAGCTGCAGAACCAGCCCAAAAACGAGACCCGAGTTACAACCCTACAGCTCCCAAACGAACCTACCTTGGGCAGCCATTGGATCGTATCGTGTTGCCCGGTCCTGCCGTGGCGCAGGGCGATGCTGACTGCAGTAGCTCACGAGCCAAGACCCTCGCCCTGGACTAGTCTCGGCAATGCGCATCTCCCATTGGCTACTGTCGAAGTACACCGTTCAGTTAGCTTGGTCCCTACGGCTCTGTTTTCCCCAGTCAATTATCCTTTCGTTCGCTGGGGTGGGAACTGAAAACCCTTGTCCTTATTCTCTTCAGCCTCCCTCTTGGCGCGCGCGCTATGTGCCTGATGGTCAGCCCTCGAAGCCATAACGATCAGAGCTTCGTATTCCGTCATGGGAATGCATTGACGATCTATCTTATAAGAGCCAAGCATGACCTACCTGACATGCATAGCGCATGATCAAAACTTCCCCTCGAGCTTTTGTCAAGACGCCTGACATAGTATTACTTGCAGCTGTCCCCCGAGTCTGGCTACCATCACAAACCATGGACACGGATCGTCCTCTCCCCGCCATCAATGGTAAGCTATATCTTCCCCCCCCCCTAACCAAAACACTCCCATGCTAACAGACACATCTATCCTAGTATGGCAATTCTTCGCCCTTGCAGCCCTTGACATCGCCGCAAACGCAGCCGCAGGTCCCGCCGCCGTAGCAACAGCCGTCCACGTCAGCGGCGGCGTGCTCACCGCGCGAGCACTGCAATTAGGTGCTCTGGGGGGAGTCACAAAATCCGGTGTCCTAGCATTCGTCGAGTTCATCGCGTACGCGGGAATACCGACTCCGGCATGGATGCTTCTTATTTTGCTCGCGAGTAGTTTTGGGATTTGTGTGCTGGTTACGGCGGAGATTAGTAACCTTGTTCTTGGGGAGAGTATGTACACCGACAAATCCCTGTATTTGAATAGCACGATTTGGGGAGAAGCTAATGATCTCAAAATCGTGTAGCGCCGAGTGGCTTGTTGATTGCGGCTATTGTCGCTGCTATCCCGCTAGGCGGGGAGTGTATTGGGATATATCAGTGTAAGTCTAAAACGGCTCCCGGGGACAACTTTCCAGAAGAAAGACTGGGGCACATAGGTAGAAAGCACGATTCTGACTCTATATTTCTACGAATAGCCGCCGGAGGCTTAACGGGTGGTAAACCCCAAACCCAGGTTTTCATCATGGGCCTCGACGCTCTCGGAGGCTATGTCTTTGCCCGAATGGCTCATAATGAAGGTATTAATCCACCAACGGCCTCCACCTTCTCAGCCAACCCTCCTCCCTATATCACGTCCGCCTAAAAATGAACTAACTCTTCTCCGGGAAAAAAGGCCATGATATCTGCGCATACAATGTCGCCGCCGCCGCGGGAGCCGTCTACGGCGCTATAACCGGTTTCTTCCACACCGTGATAGGATGTATGGCCGGATTCACGCATACGACGAGTACGAATGGGCACTATGTGACTAGTAATATCTTTGGGACAACGTCCGGGTATGATGAGAATTGGCAGCGGAATTCGGTCTGGTAGATCAGGGCTGGACATGATTTGTATCAAATTGTGGGCTTCAAAGAATGGGTTGAAAGAACTCTGTTCTTTTCGTGTTCTTCTCGTAAGGTAAAGCATGATTTGGGCGCATGGGAGAATGATTGTCAGGGCTGTCTACTTGATATACCAGAAAATGCGGAACATGAGACAATTAAAGGGCTTCAAGAGCTCCTACTAGGGCTATTGCAGTCGACCAAGTGAGCGCCAATCAATATGGGAAAATTCAGAATAATTCCAAAATCGCTCTATTGTTGAAGTAGAACATGCAGAACCGAGTATCTCAAACCCCAGAAGAAAAGAAGAAAGGCTGCGGGAAAAAAAACTGTATGTACAATAGCAACCAAATATGTCATAACTTATCGTTTAGCTCACGCTTCACCAAAAAACCAAAAGAATATTCAATATAACCCCAAACACAGGGAGAAGGGTCCGGTCCAAACACCATCTAAGATGGGCGGTGGAACTTGCTCTCGATCCAAGGCATTCCCACGACGGTAGCCTTGCGCACCTTATTCCGGACCTTCACACCAAGCTCAGTGCCCTTCTTGTGCAGGCCGTTCTTCACATAGGCCATGGCGATGTTGGTTCCGCCGAGCGTGGGGCTAGGCAGACCGGAGGTGACGACACCGACCTCGACGGGGTTGGCGGGGTCGGCCAGGTCGACCACGATGGCGCCCTCGCGAGCAGGGGAGCCTTTCTCAACAGTCAGACCGACACGGCGCTGCTTGAGAGTCTTGGGGCTGGCGAGCTGGGAAAGGATGACCGAGGCACCGTTGAAATTGGCGGTGGACGCATCACGGCGGTCACGACCGACAACCCATCCCAGAGCGGCGTCGGGGGGAGTCTGGGCGGTGGAGATGTCGTGACCGTAGAGGCACATGCCCGCCTCGAGACGGAGGGAGTCACGGGCAGCAAGCCCGGCGAGACGGACGGTGTTGCTGTCCTTGAGGAGAAGGTTGACGACCTGCTGGGGGAGGTCTGCGGCGCCGGAGGTGGGGATGGAGATCTCGAAACCATCCTCACCAGTGTAGCCAGTGCGGGAGATAAGCAGAGGTGAAGGAGAGGCCGAGCCGTCGGGCAGAGTAATGTACAGTTCGCGGCACTGGCCGAAGTACAGGGTGCTCAAGTCGGTTTCTTCGGTCGAGGCAGAGGTGTTAATGAGGGGCTGGAGGGCGCTGGCGGCGAGGGGACCCTGCAGGGCAACCAGAGCGCGGTCCTCGAGGATATCCCACTTGATGCTATCCGCGCCGTGGCTGTTGCGGTAGGCATCGATCTCGGACCGCAGGAACTCCAAGTCCTCGGCGCGGCGACCGGCGTTGGTGACGAAGTAGAAGGAATCCTCACCACGGCGGGTGATGACAGTGTCGTCAATGATGCCGCCAGTCTCCTCTTCCAGGAGGCAAGAAAGGGTGGAAGTGTTTGGGGAGAGCTTGTCGAGCGACGAGGGAGTGATCTTCATCAGCAGCGGAAGGGCACCGGGGCCGCTCAAGTGGTGCTGAACCCTATATAGCGCAATTGATCAGCTCCGATTCTCCAATTGACGTTGCTTTCATCTGCCAGATGATACAATTGACTTACATGTGGCTAACATCAAACAAACTAGCCTTCTCACGAGTCCAGGCATGGCTCTCGCCGTGGCTCAAGTCCGCGTACTGCAGCGGCATAGAGTATCCGGCAAAAGGCACCATCTTGGCGCCATGAGCCTCGTGCAAGTCATACAATTGAGTCTTGGCCAAAGATTCGCTGGAGCTAGAAGCATAGCGAGCAACCTGGTTCTTCACCTGAGGAATTGCAGCTCGCGAGGTGATTCTAGCAGCAGGTCTGCGGGGAGCTGCCCGCACCGCGGAGGAAAGCTCCCTCCGCAGAACTGTGGAGCCGAGAGAGGCGCGGGGTGCGTTGAAGGCAGCAGCCCTCGCGGCGACGACGTCGACACTTTTCTTGAGAGAGCGCACGCTAGACATAATGATACAATGGGAATTGACAGGACAGGAGAGAAAGGAAAAGAAGGACGTGAAAAATAGTTCGCGAGAGAAAGTGGTGCCGCCGTCGGGGAAGCACAGCGGGAAAATCACGTGGCGATAGGGAGACCCCGGGGGGAGTTGGAAGACGAGCTGCTTTCCCCATTGGGTACGCGCAACTCCTCGGGGAAGCTACGATTTTCATAGGATTGGAATAGGAGCCTACCTCGCAGGTATATATACCCGGTATATCTAACAGGTCGAAGAGAAGTAAAGCAAGTGCTTGTGACGATGGCCAAATAATCACTCGGAAAGCAACGCAGATAGCTGCTCCGATGCCAGTCGCCCGAATTCAATATGCGGGTTTTGTATGTGCAAGGAATGCTGGTACGACGTATGTAAAGCAAAAATCCCAACGACCCAGGGCCACAACGAATCAAACTAAAATGGTACAATTCACTTGCAAAACATAAACTGTTCTTACCTCGAAACAGGAGTCACATTTGTCAAGCGAAAGAAAAGAGCAGAAGAATCATGCAAATCCAAGGACTAGATTGCGAGCATTGAGTCACCTTCTTGTTCTCGATCATCAAAGTCATTAGATTTCTCCTCAGTCAGCTAGACCAGCTCGGAGAGACCGTAGCAGGAGAGAATTGAAAAAAGAAACCATAGTGCGAGACGACAACGCACTTTCCGCCCTGCGGGAATAGATCAAAGTGCATTGCTGGCGCAAGTGAAGACACCGCCCACGCTGCCAGACTCGTAACTTTGGACCACAGACATGACGGAGGCCTAGCGAAAAAAAATAATTGTTAGTGGCGGGAGAAGATAATAAGAGGGCGTTAGATCAATGATACTCACATATGTACCAGGTCCCAAGAAGAAAAAGCCCACGAAAATCAAAAAGACATTAAAGATGAAACCACACCACCCGCGCAGACCACGAGTCTTATAAAAGTCCGGCCCGTGATCAGCAGCGCGCATGCGAATATACGCCACACCCCAGAAGATGAAACCAAAGAAGGAATCAAACAGGGAACTCATAATCGACAACAAGTCCGAGAAGAAGGGGATAACCTCGGCGATGATCCAGGCCATAATCCACAGGACGACCAGGATACCCGCCCAAGCAGCCCAGCCCACGACGGTATTGTTACCCTTGTGGCGGGTTCCATCGAACAGACGGAAGAAAATGAAACGCGCCGATACGGAGGCATACAGCACGCCTAGGAAAATGATGGTCGGGATCATGAAGGAGAAGGAGACCTTCTTGTAGACTTCGTTCGAGAGGGAGCCAAAGGCGGGAGCGGTCACGTATTGGGTACCCGTATAGGCATACACGATTGATCCGACCAAACTGAAGACGATCACCTCGGCAATGGTCACGGCAGTGACGGACTTCCAGAAATCGCGTGGCTCCTTCATCTCGGCAATGAAGCTGGGCAGGGTAATCTGACCGATGAAAGTGTAGCTGATATTCAAGAATGCACTCATGCCGGAAATAAACGTCGTGCCTTTGGCGGGGATCGCGAGGACGATGGGATTTCCCTTCTGGGGGTACCCGGCGGGATGATCTTCAATGGCGGCAAAGATGGTCGCTAGAAGGACGGAGATGAAGGTGAAAAAGGCGGAAAAAGTGGCCACTCGGGACAGAGCGCTGAATGTGCGAGGCAGAGAGAAGAAGAACGAGATAATTGCAACAATGAGGGAGAAGATAACTGTGCAAACTGCACCACCGGACATGGTGTTCAAGTATTCGGCACCGACTACGCAATGCAGGCCCATGATGAAGGTGTTGTTCAGTAGGAACATCACTGCAGTGGCCCACCAGGCAATTTTGGAATCCCAAAAGAGATACTGGCCAAGATCGCACACATCGCGGATCTCAGGGTGGCGCAGACAGAATCGCCTATAGAAATAGGTCAGCTATGCCGCATGCTAGCAAGTAATGCGGAAACGTACCAGACAATCAACGAGGTATAAAGCACGATGGCCGCAATCACAATAGTACAGATCAGACCGGGCACAAGACCCAAGATAGAGTACGACCAGGGGAATGACATGATAGCCAGACAAATGTACTCGGAGAAGAGCAGGGCGGCAGTCTTTAACAGTTCAGCAGATTAGCACCAATACTCGCAAGTTTCCTTCCGCAACCACCCCGTTATTCAATCGCATCGCATAGACACAAGTCTCACCTTTTGCCAACTACACGTCCGATACTTGATTGTATTTTCCGACTCCATCTCAATCTGACGACCGACACTCTCACTCGTAGACGACGAGTCGACCGCCGTAACATGATGATGCGACAAACGGCGGCCCTGACCATCACCCTCCTCAAGGTCCTTCAGCTTCTGATTGCGATCCAGCTTATCATTCAAATCATTGGAGCGATCGCTGTCCCCCTCATGAGTGTCCATTGCTGCGGTGTCTTCTGGCCGAGCCATTTTAAGCTTAACGAGCGGGCGAGCCGCTGTTGACGGTACTCGGCGGAGTCGAACAGGGAAACGGTACCGAAGCCCTTCGGATACATAAAACTGTCCGTCGTGGATGAGGGTATAGTTGCGTTGGAATGTCGACGGTGGACTGGGTAATCAAGGTACCGAAGTTGCGTAGGGGGAGATGCTCTTTTCTTTTTCTTTTCTGGATATACAAAGAGACCCGGGGGATAGACTGCAGGATCGTGATGGTTGAACTGGGGGGGAAGTTCAACTTCAGTCTCGACACATGGGCAGAAAGATCAAAGGAAAAAAAAGAAGAGACGAAGAGAAGAAAGCGAACCAGGAATCGCAATTATTAAAAAATGGAAAAAGAGGAAAAAATCAAGAGACAGAAGGCCAAGAAGGGCCAGATTTGGTATCCTGGTATTCAGCTATACCTGGCCTACTGTACGTACCGTTGCGATCGTAGCGTGGCGGTAATTTTTTTCTTATGGGGGGGTATTCTGTATTCATGGATCTTGTATGTAGACTGGGAAACCCCACTCTCTAAAGCCGGAATGGAAAAATCTCGTCGATCTGAGGACGTGACGTGATGAAGGGTAGCACGTCAGCCGCAATAGGCGATCCTATTCAAGCCACGGAGTCTTGGGAGTGGAAACTTTGGGAACGCTGGATGGTGCCGCTGGTTGAATGTCCAGGGGGGAAGGTACGCAGTGACTACGAAGGGGACAAGCCACCAGCCCAGGAAAGCCTAGTCAAGCCAAGAGGCGAAGACTAAATACGCCGCCCCCCAAACCCCACAAGCGGACAGCATCGGCCCTGGAAAGGAATCAAATCCCCGTGCATCTGACTCGTCTAGAAAGACTCAGCCATGAGTCTGTGAGTCTGCGAGTCTGACTCCATGCTCGTGAATCTGTATGGGTCTATCGGATATAAAGTTCTCCCTGCAGTCTGCAGCAGTCTCGTGCACACTGCAATGCCTCGAACAAAAAGATCCAAGTTCGGATGGTTATACGGTTCACGGCCAGTCCGAGATCCAACACGATCTCACACCCTCAGCCTTGCATACGACCCAAGGAAGTTCCCTGATGAAAAAGAAAAAAAAATCAAAATCCTTGAATCATAACGTATCTCACATACGTAGCCCCAAATGGGTTGCGCCCGCACGTCAAATCCGTACGCCACGACCTGCCGGAGTGGGCCCTCGACAGCCCCGCAAGCCGGTTGCGATCGAATGAAGGCTTGAGAGCGTGCCCCGCAGACTCCCCTTAGGACCCGGTCGGAAGTCTGAAAACCAGTGCTCATTGAGCAGACTCGACCTCTGAAAACATGGAATCCTGCTGTAGTGGTCTTTGTGCCCGTACTGATTCGATCCGGCGGGCGGTGCTAAGCCCGGATGCGGTGTTGGAGGATCCTTGGGGGAGGGGGGTCTTAGCCTGAGTTTTTGGTTCACTGGCCAATTGAGCATTGATATCGCTGGTTAAAGTGGGGGATCAACGATATTGGTCCCTCTTTGATGAAGCAGGCAATGGCAGTGTGGATGTGCATGTAATTTTGTAATTTCCTGGACTGGATTTGGATGGTCTAGAGGCGAAAAAGAAAAGTGTGCTGAGGAAACTTGAAATCGCCCAAAGCGGACCAGACGGTATTGCCCTGTCCCGGACCACGTGTTACCTGACTCAGCAAAGAGCAGGTGCCGAGTCAACAATCAACCACATAGTTAACTTAGTTACAACTAGTTATCGAATGAAAGGATTATATTAACATGGTCACAGTCCATCAAATCATGAATATCCAATACAGTCTCTTCGGTAGCACCATTCTCAACCACGTTCCCCAGCCACCCTGGATAACCCCGTATACGCGGCATGGCCGCCTTCCCGGTTCTGACGTGCTCGTCCTCCACGATGGCCTCATCCCGAGTCCACATACGGACTCGGCATTCCATTTCCTCCCCAAGTTCCCGCGACTTTGTTTGGTTAAGATGTATCCAGGATTTTTCAACATTCTTATCAAATTGGACTCCATACGCTACTGCAGTCTGCCGGGTGGCGTGCCGCTCGGCTTGTTACCCGGACGCCTTGTACGGTGACCATGGACCCCATCTAGACTACTCCGTACTTGGAGTTGGTCGTACGAACTTGCCGTAGGGCGTGTGTTGCGTGATGGCCACTTGGACCCCAACGTGATCTAGCTGCAAGAATATCGGGTACTCCGATGACATGACATCATGGAAACCAAACTCTAACAGCTACCTAACCTTTACTGGTAGATCTGAGATGATACGAAAGGCCGGAACTCCAGTGTGAGCCTGAATGACATTGATTTTCATCCTCAAGGACCCTCAACTTAGGCGCCATTGATATGTAACTAAAAAATCCCAACAGAGGACTGCCCTCCCATAACGAATATTTTTGATGTAAAGAAAAAAACATATGTCCAAGTATATAGTTAAACAGACGACATAAAAACCCCCTACATACCATCGTCCTCGTCCGCCAGCAGCGCCGCATAGTCGTCGGCAGAAGCAAACGTGGGCAGGTGCTTGAGCTTGCGACGCTTCTTCTTGTTGTCCGAGGCATCGACCTTGGGCTCCAACTCCACACCACCAAGCTCCATATCGGAAGGTAGGTCGTCGTCGCTGTTGAAGAAGGCCTCGTCGTCCGACACGTCCATGTCGAAATCGTCCGACTCGTCTTCCTTCTCCACCTTGGCGGCCTTCTTGGCAGCCTTCTTCGACGGTGGAGGAGCAATTGCCTCTTCCTCCTCCTCCATATCGAAGTCGCTGGCCTCGTTGATGTCCTCGTCGGATGGCACGTCCGACTCGTCGTTGAAGATGACCTCGTCGTCGCTGCCTACGGCTTCCTCGCCCTCTTCATCCTCATCCTCGTCAAATTCGGAGTCAAGATCGTCCATGTCGAGATCATCGTCATCGTCATCATCAGCCTCCAATTCAGGCCGGGAGTCAACAAGAGCCTTCCAAATCTCAGACTCGTTGTCGCTGAGGTCTGCGGCATCCTCGTCGGCACCGTCCTCTGCACCCTTGCCCTTCTTGGCCTTGATCTTGTCCTTGTTAACACGGTTGAAGTACTCGTGGAAGAAGACATCCTCCGCGGCGACATCGTTGGCCTTCTTCTTCCAGAAATTCTCGGAATTGAGAGGTTGGCCCTGCGGCGCAGACTTGCCGGCCTCCACCAGGCGATCTTGAGCCTCGCCACCAGCGAGAGGCTGCATGATCGAGGCACCACGAGAGGTGGCGTTGGCCTTGGGAGTACGATAGACGAAGCGGTCAAGGAAGTGCGTAAGAGTGTGGATGGTCATGTCAGGCTTGCCGCTCATGGTCTCGTGCTCCAAGAGACGGGAGGCATTGACGGAGACGGAGGGGTGGAAGTGGGACACGTAGGGAAGCTAGGATACATTAGCGGGTGTTAAATAATCATGAGTGTACAAGGCAAAGACTACGTACCAATTCCCAGAGACAGGTCTTGTCAGCGTTGCTGTGCTCCGGATCACGCTTGCGAGGGTCGTATCCGTTGTTCTGCTTCGGCTTGGTCTCAACAGGGGCGGGCGCAGATTCCTCATCATCCTCATCGGGCACGTCGCGGAAGACCTCTTCGCCATCGCTCTCATTGTCCTCGGGCTGATCGAACAGAGACTGAAGGCCAGTGAAGGTCTTCTCCAGCTCGCGGATCAGGTAGAAGACACCGCAGATGAACGCAGGCTGGTGCATGCCAAGCACCTGAACGATACGCTTAACAAAGGCCTTGACCCGGCGGACGTTCAGATCGTTCTTGAGTGCCTTGAACAAGAGGTTCAAGTAGAGAGATTGCTTTGATGAGGTGGCAACACGAGGATCCAGGAGAGATTCATACAGCGTTCGGTAGAAGCGATCGCTGGCGACCTGGGTTGATCCAGTGAGTTGCTGGATCAGCAAGAGAGCCTGAATACTAGTGTTGAAGTTTGAAGAGTGGGTGATGCGGAAGAGGGTATCGATATGTTTCGAGAGTCTAGAAGTAATGTTAGTATACTTGGTATCGCGTTCCATTTGGGGGTGGGAGTCCACGTACCGGTCAGAGTCGGCGTCAGTAAAGGGATACGCACGATTAACACCGGTCAAAACACCAGATGTCAACTTCTCGCGCATCTCATCATCCTGTGCTTCTCCCTTGGCGGGCTGGTTGCGGCCCTTGCCCTTGAACCCCTTTTTGCCGTGGGGCTTACCCTGAGGACCCGGCTTACCGGGCTGAGCGGGCTTAAGAAGAGTGATGAACATGCCGAAGTAGATATCTAGTAGCTGCATGGCAACCTTCTCCTCCTTCAAGCTCAGGACAGTCTGATTGAGAGTAATGATGGCGTAATATTTGGCGTGCTGGCTCTGGCCAGGTCGGAACAGCAACTCCTCAACGGCCTTGATGATAAGAGGCTTCATCATAGGATGTGTCTGCTCGAGCTGCAACAGGAGGTAAGAAGCACGTGAAGCGATCTTCTTTCCGGGGTCACCAAGCTTGTTCACAAGAAGGCGCAACAAGTTTGCCTCTTGCTCGGGCTTCTCCTTGAGGAGCTCATAGACGTAGCTGACAGCGCGAGATCGCGAGAATTCGATCTCGTCATTGCACCAGACCTCCAAAATCTTGAGAATCGCAAAGTATTGTTCCTTGAGGAAATCTTCAAACGCCCACACGATCAGGTGGCTCTTCTGCAGACCACCGGGGAGCGGATCACGCTCCGTCCATCTTCCTCCAGCGCCCTGGAATGCAGCAACAAGACCAGGCTGATTGGCAAATGACTTCAAGCGACGATCCGCGGGCAGCAAAGTACCCTGTGCGAACATATCCTTGAGAGAACGAAGAACCTCAACCGCCTGCGCACGGCTGCGCTTGCCTCCAAGTCCAATAAGCGTCTCGAGAGACTTGGTATTGTGTAGAGGCGACTCCTGCACGGCAAGAGTCAGAGCCGAGATTTTATCGCTCAGGGTACCGGAAGACATGATGGTCGTATAGAACTTGTGCGATGAAGAGGCGGATGCCTGCTGAGCTTTGGCGTATTCGTCATTTTCTGCCTGGAGAAGGGAATTGGCGAGCTCGTGGATTCGGTCGATTAGGTGACGAGGAAGCGCGTTCATTTCCTTTGCACTTCCAACTGGAGGCAGGGGAATGGCAAACCAGTCGGAACGAGGAAGAACAGCCTATAGATAACAGGGTTAGTATTGAGAACCAAATTGGCCAAAGCAAGCACAATACATACAAGTTTCGCAAATTCTTTGGGAATGACAACTTCAGGCTCCTTCTTTTTGACCTCTTTGGGAGCTGGGTGTTCTTCCTCGGTGTCGGAGACTTCAGAATCATCGTCCTCGGGTTCGCTATCGCCCTCGGAGGCTTCGTCTTGGGCTTCTTCTTCGTCTTCTTCTTCCTCCAAGTCATCTTCGGCATCGGCTTCTTCCTCTTCATCCTCAACTTCATCCTCAACTTCATCCTCTGCTAGGTCCTCCGGGACAACATGGCCCGCAGCTTCTAGCATCTTCGCGAGCTCCTTGCGTAGGTCATCATCACCACCCTTAGCCTTGGGCTTGTAAGATGTGCCTTCCACTTCGGACTCCGAGTCAACATCGGCAAGTAGTTCAACGTCCTCCTCAGTACCGCCCAGTGCCAAAATCTCCTGGCGCAAAGTATCGTCGCTATTACTCTTCTTCGCACCCGCGTCGAACTTGTCCTGCTTGCTCTTTCCAACCTTCTTCTCATCTCTCGCAATCACATCGCCGTTGCGATCCCGCTTCTTGCCCTGCGCAGAGCCTTCTTGCTTCTTGCCGGCCTTGTGGTTGTCCTGCTTCTCTTTCGTCACAATCTTCTGAGCGGGAGCAGTCGGCTTGTCGTTCTTCTTCTTTCCCTTGCCAGAGCTCTGATCCTTCAATCGTTGCTCGATCTTCTGTCGGAGGCCAACGAAGGCGCCCTCGTCTAGCTGAGGCATCTGCATTTCGGGTGTGGATTCGGTTTGGGAAACAGAGACACCTGCATCGGCCAAGGCCTCGTTTGCGCCCGATTGGCGCTTTCCTTTCCCTTTCGCCATTGTGGTGTAATGACGGCTTCGGGTGACTTTTTTCTTGACGGAGAGAAAATTGGGCGGAGAAATCTTTTGCGGCGGACCGATTATCAAGGCGCTCGGACCACCCGATAAGAAACACCCAAGGGCCGCCGCGCGACGCTTTTCTGGAGTTTCCTGTTGGACGCCCGGTGGTCGGGAACTTTGACTTGATGGTTGATCGTTTGGGATTTATCTCCTCAATGATCACTAGAATACGTCCCGTACCCAGTCGCTTCCCTGGGAGGCACTTGGTGCTGGGCCTCCGTGTCCAGCGTTGCCAACTTCATGTATGTGCCGGAAGATGACTGATTCCTAGATCATGCAATTGCAACCGCTAACAGGCTATAGTATGATGGGCGGACTCGAGTCTCCAATTTCTGGATCCCTACAGGCGGTATTTCTAAGAAGACCGTCAGCGGAGAGAAGGGTACGTCCATTGCGACAAGGAACTAATCGTTGGACAAACATTAACAAAGCGATAGAGGATGCGAATGACCTCTTGGTTAGGGGAGGATTCCTACGCCAAGTAAGAACCCAAAGATTAGTACGCATCTCGCTTCAAATTTCTGACCTTTCCGGTAGGCATATTCTGGAGTGTTTCACCTCCTGCCGCTTGGCTTGCGAGTCCAGGACAAACTAGAGAGTCTCATCGACAAGCATATGCGCTCGCTGGGTGAGTTCCATACCCCCGAAAGTCTCTCATGTGTGTACTGATATGTACACAGGGGCGTCAAAAGTATCGTTGTCATCGATTTCCTCCCAGGAGCTCTGGGAGCAATCAGGTCGATTGACCGAAGGCTCAGAGGTAGGCCTCTTAACTGGATAACCAGAGGACCAACCATTGACGTGAATAAAGGTATTCCGATTTGAGGATCGAAAAGGCGCTCGTTTCATTCTTGCTCCTACTCATGAGGAGGAGATCACTACTCTCGTCGGTAATTTAACGACATCCTATAAGAGTCTCCCTCTACGCGTGTACCAAATAAGTCAGAACTTCTCAACCCCGCCGTGAAATACACCGTGCTGACTGGCTCCTTTGAAGCGAGGAAATACCGTGATGAGGCTCGCCCAAGACAGGGCCTTCTCCGGGGGCGAGAGTTTGTAATGAAGGACCTCTACACATTCGACTACAATGCGGATGAGGCGCTCAAGACTTATCGAGCCGTGAAACATGCGTATACCCAGCTATTTGACGAATTGAAGATTCCTTATCTTGTTGCGGCAGCAGACTCGGGAAATATGGGAGGCAATCTCAGTCACGAGTACCACTTCATCAGCGCTAAGGGGGAGGACCGGGTTGTTAGCTGCTCAAACTGCGACCATGTATACAACGAAGAGCTTGCAGATGGTAAGAGCCATAACTTCCCCGAGGAATCTGGGAAGAATGTTGTACCTGGCTTCCACACAGAGGAGGATGCGCCTGTCGAAGGAGGCTCAACAGTTTCAACTGGTATGTGGATGGCCATTTCGCATGATGGGAATACTCTTCTCCGGGGCTGGTACCCCAAATTCTCGATGCAAAATTGGTCCACCGAGCCAGCGGAGCGACACGTCAACTCGCATGCCGCAAAGGCGATTGCAACTGCAGCGGGTATCGACCTCGAACTCAGCGTCGAGAACCCATTGGAGAAGTGGGTTGCCAATGCCAAGTCTCCCAAATCGTCTGAGAAGCCGCGTGTTCTCGACCTGTATGACTCGCAGGTGCGGGTGTACCAGCGCCCGCCACTTAGCGACCTTCTCCAAGAATCCGGCTGCACCGCTGCAGACATCGAGTACACCATGCTGGACCGTTTCCCCGGAACCTCGAACAAGCTCAGCCTCGTCCGGGTCCACGATGGGGACCGCTGCTCGCAGTGTGGAGACGGTGTTCTGACGAGTAACCCTGCCGTCGAGCTTGGTCATACCTTCCACCTAGGCACGCGGTACAGTGAAGTGCTAAATGCCTCGGTGTCTGTCAACGCGGCGGTTCTTGACGGATCTGTTGAATCGGGGAACAAGTCTTCTAAAGAGGTAATCGTGCCCATGCAGATGGGCTGTCACGGAATTGGAGTTTCACGCATGATCTCAGCCGTCGTGAATCGCCTGGCAGATGACAAGGGATTGAACTGGCCTCGTGCCATCGCTCCTTATGAGGTTGTTGTGGTCCCTGGCAAGGGACTGGACTCCGTGGCTGAACAAGTCTATGACAGTCTCACCTCAGGAAATTCGAAGCCTGTGGACACCCTTCTTGATGACCGTGATAAGGGTATGGGCTGGAAGCTGGGAGACGCTGACCTGATTGGTTACCCAGTCATTGTGGTAGTTGGCAATGGCTGGAAGAAGAATCAGACTCTGGAGGTGCAATGCCGCCGTCTGGGCGTCAAAGAGAACGTGTCTCTCGAGAAACTTCCCACGTTTGTTCAGGGCCTGCTTGCCCAGTTGTGAGGCGAGTACTAGGTATGAATCTGTAGCATATTGTATTTTATTTTATTGATCAAGGCGCAAAATGGATAGCCACTGTAACATAGCGAATTTACCCACCTCTCTCCTGCTTTGCTTCGTTATATCTGTAATAGAGTATCTGATACATGCTAGTAGTATATCAAGCTTTCTTGTCTGTAATCATCCAAAAAGACAGGGGCTGGACCGAGTTTCACGGCGAGACAGAGGTGCGTGCATATACCATGTTCCTCCGGAGATTACACGGTGAATGCCTAGCCGCACTATTTCCACATCCCCCCTCCCACCATTTTCCTCAAGCTGTCAAACCCCCACCTCCGCCCGCATATCGTATGCGTGCAGAGTCCACCACTGGGCGCATAAGATTCTGACCTCGAAATCTCCAATTCGAACCTCTTCATATCACACAGCCCACAATGGCATCCTCAGACAGCTCCTCGGGCGGAGCTCCCCCAGGCTCAGGTACGCGCGCAACCTGCCAAGGCACCGCAACACCAACAAATCAACTAGCTAACATACACCCTAATACGGGATTATCAGTCAATCTTGCCTCCCTCTCCGTCCCCCAACTCCGCTCCCTTCAGACCCGTCTCACCTCCGAGCTGGAGCACCTGACCTCCTCACACGCAAAGCTCCGCGCGGCGCAGGCCAAGTTCCGGGATTGCGTGAACTCGATCAACGACGGCGTGACTGGCTCCGCGAAGAAGGGTACCGACGGCCGGGATGAGATCCTGGTGCCCCTGACCAGCTCGTTGTATGTCAAGGGTCGCTTGACGGATCGGGAGAAGGTTCTTGTTGATGTTGGAACTGGTTTCTACGTTGAGAAGGTACGTGATTGGAGAAGACTGAGAGACGCATTGCGGGTATTTGGACGGTTACTGATTTGTTTTCGGGTCTTTTTAGACTGCTGAGAAGGCCATCGCTTTTTACAATGCCAAGGTTAAGGACTTGGACGCGAATCTACAGGAGTTGGAGAAGATTGTACAGGGCAAGAACCAGCAGTTGCGGATTGTCGAGGAAGGTGAGCATATCTTAGTCATGAATGATACCCATTCGAGGCTGCATATCCGAACTCATGTTCCATTTGCTAATTGTTCTTAGTTCTCCGGCAGAAGATGCTCAGCGGCGAGGCCGTACCCGCGCAGACTGCTGGCGCGGCTGCTGGTTAAACATCTACGCGCAGCTTATGAGTGCAAACTTGTCCTAGGATTGCTAAAAAGACTATCAAACGTTATATATCACATCAGCTTTCAAGTCGATTGCGGAGAGTTCGTCGCCTAGTCAGGTAAGACTGTAAGCATTCCTGTGGAAGACGTCCATACTTGATTTCGAAGTTATGGATCTACATCGTATCTTCCAAAAAAAAAAAATCTCAGCCCTCCAGGAGCTCTAGTAGGGAACGCTTAACTGGATGGTGTTTAATTTGAAAACGATCATGTTCTACAAAAGCTAGTTCGACGTATCTGACCTTACGTTCAATCGTGGAAAGCATTAAAGGACATGATAATCATCCTGGAAAAGTGTTCCAAGTTCCACGTCGATCAATCCAGTCATGCTCTCATCCTTGGCCATTTCGGTCAAACCAGACTCCGGGCTACCTGTAAGCGCCGCAATACTCTGGACAAAGATCTCCTCCAGACGCGCCTTCCTCTACATCACCACCCCGAGCTGACGGAACGGAAGACTCCAAATCGAGCGAGCACGAGGATAAGGTTATTTCGCTCGACCTTGAACCGAATCACGCACTTTTTGATAATGTACGCGTCAGGTGTATCTTTGGGAAGTATGATATTCATAGCAGCCTTGGAGACAAAGCAGTGGTTGTCGTATTCCATAATAGAGGCAGTGTACAGTAGAACGGGGATCCACTTGCGTCTTTCTGATTGGCGGATTCTCCTGAAAAACGCTAAGCCATAAGGGGAGCAAAGTGGACAACGCGTGTTTGCAACGCGATTTCTATTATTTCCCTGCGAAAGCTTTCGTCATCGTCCAGCCCATAGTCCACTCAATCGAAGTCCTTGGGTGGCCAGGCACAATGACAGTTGATACAGACCATTCGAGCGATGAAGGTTCTCGGAAACGCCGCAATGCCCGCAAGCGCGCCCAGCAATGGGTGACCAAGGGGGCCTTGGTGCACGAGGATTCGGACGATGAATTGGGCGATGAGGACCACCCTTGGGACTGGATTTATGCTGTCGGAGAGCCTGATTTCAAAGAAGATCCAGAGATAACCAAGGCCAGCCCCGAAAAATCTCGTCGACGACGGTCGTCCCGCCCTGCGAAGAAAGGCCCAGCAATTGTGGGCGCACGAATGGGTTCGTTCGAGTGCAGATTGGGCGATGTCGTGCTCCTCAAATCCCCCGAAAATGGCAAGGACTGGGTGGGAATCATTACGGAATTCTTGGAGCAGGAAGACGATGAGGAGGAAGGGGAGATAATCAAGTCGGTCAACATCATGTGGTTTGCTTCGCCGGACGAGTTCATGTCCACCAGGAACAAGCGGAGGACGGACGCATTGCCCAATGAGCAGTACCTCACTGCGGATTTCAACGTCAACCCACTCACATCGATCAATGGCAAGGCGACTGTGATGTCGAAGGATGCGTTCTTTGCCAAATACCCGAACGGCATTCCCCCCAAGGATAAAATACAACAGGCCGAGTTCAACAAGTGCATCGTCTGCCGGCGAGGCGTCAACCAAGTGCAAGGTCGATACACCGACGAGTTCAACTGGGAGCAAGTCTACGGAGAGCGCAACATCCATCAACTCATCAGCATGGTGAAAGAAGGCCTGAAAGCGGCTCGGAAGAGGAAGGCAGCAGATGACGATGTAAGCATCCCACTGCCGGTCGAGACTGCAGGATCATCCACATCGAGATGAACTAACTCTGTCTTATAGTATGTCGATACGAAGGACGAAACTGCAGCCCCGTCCACCCCGCGGAAACGACAGAGAATGGCTGCAACCAACACGACACCGAAATCACAGCGCAAGAAGGCGTTGACGACACCATCAAATAAACGGTATGCAACCTTTGCCAAGTTCCGTGCTGGTTCATTAGTGATCTAACAGACGCTCCAGAATCGTCGTAAAGAAGCCCCTTGAATTCACCCCGCTGGGTACCCGCGTCCTCGAGCCATCTCACTTCGCCTCACCCTACCGACAAGCACGTACACTACTGCACGTTTCGACCGTCCCAGAATCGCTCCCCTGTCGGAAGACTGAGTTCAATACTGTCTACAACCATCTCAGTGCTGCTATCATGGAAGGCACTGGAGCTTGCATCTACATCTCAGGTACTCCGGGTACCGGTAAAACTGCGACTGTGCGAGAGGTTGTGGCCCAACTCAATGGTGCCGTGCTTGCGGAGGAGATGGATGATTTCATCTTTGTGGAGATCAATGGTATGAAAGTCACCGATCCGCATCAATCCTATTCTCTGCTTTGGGAGGCATTGAAGGGAGACAGAGTCTCTCCTTCTCATGCACTTGATCTTCTTGAACAAGAATTCTCCAATCCCTCGCCTCGCCGAGTCTCTTGTGTCGTCCTGATGGACGAATTGGATCAGCTCGTCACCAAGAATCAGTCAGTGATGTACAACTTCTTCAATTGGCCTGCACTTCGTCACTCCCGTCTCATCGTCTTGGCCGTGGCGAATACTATGGATTTGCCTGAGCGTACCCTGAGCAATAAGATTTCCAGTCGTCTCGGTCTCACCCGTATCACATTCCCTGGATATCGACACACCGATCTTATGGAGATCATCAGCACTCGTCTGGCTAGTGTTCCAGGCAACATCGTTGATCCAGACGCCATTCAGTTTGCTAGTCGAAAGGTCGCTGCTGTCAGCGGTGATGCACGTCGTGCCCTGGATATCTGTCGACGTGCCGTTGAGATTGCTGAGCAAGAAGCCGATGAAGCTGCCAACGCTGCCTCAGCAAGCAACGATGCTGCAGATGATGTTCCCCCAACTCCGAGCAAGACTCCTGCTCGACGCAACAAAGCGCTCATAGAGAAGGGGGCAAGTGATTCACCGGCCCTAAAACCTGCCCCTGGCAAGGGTCAGCCTGGTCGAGTCACAATTACAACTATCAAGCAAGCAATCCAGGAGGCAACCTCTACACCACTTCAACAATCACTGCGCTGCTTACCTCTTTCTGGCAAACTCTTCCTTGCCGCTCTGTTAGCACGAGTGCAACGTACTGGAATCACCGAGTCAACGTTCGGTGACGTCCTTGACGAAGCTCGTCGTATCGCCGATGCAGCCGTCGCCGTCGCCGGTGCAGCCGGCGCTGGCGTCAAAGACTTTCTACTTGGAGGAGGTGCTGCGTCACGGGTGCGAGCTTTAGGCTTCGCCGCCATGGAGCTCATGAACTCTGGCGTTCTGGCTTTGGAGCAAGGCTCCGGCACGAAGAATGTGCTGGGTGGCTCTACGATTCCTACCCGTGGGGACCGGAGCAGCAAGATTCGGCTCCGCGTTGCACCGGAGGATGTGAAGATTGCATTCCGCGAGGATGTGGAGGCTAAAAGCTTTGGCATGGGAATCGAGCAGTAGCTCTCATGTGCATTGCCGCGCCTTTTGATATGCATTCTTGGAGTTTAGTTTTGCATTTTAATCCTGCGTAGCAGGCAGTCAGCATGGCATATGATACCCTTTACTCATACTTTACTTGAACCAGAGCCGTAATACCTTGAACTCTGCTCACACGTAGACTGGGAAGAAGTTTTGCGTAGAGCACTCAATAAGTGCCTTGTATGGTGTTACTTGTATAAAACATGAATCTTTCCTGAGCCGTAAAATCTTTCTCCAAAGATGATTTTCTCCCAATGCCCGAACTTCGGAATCACAGGCCAAGCACTTGAACCACCCCCGAACGCCACCCAGTGCCGTAACAAGAAAGACCAAGCAGACAAGAAGGGTATTAACAATTGAGAACAATTGGCTAAAGGAAACTCTCTAAAACCGCTGTCTGCCAAGAGTAGGAGCCCATGTCACAGGGTGAGTCTCGGGCGTGGCATTCTCATCCTCCTTCCAGATCTTGATAGTCTTGTCCGCCTCACCGGTAATGAGACGCAGACCAGTCCGGTCAAAGGTCGAGGCCATAATACCCGCTTCAGCATCGAGGGAACCGGGCTGGGCCATGCTGTCCATGGACTGGAACCGATATCCAGTCTTCCAGTCCCAGAACGACATGGAGCCGTTGTCACCGCCAGAGAACATAACGTTCTCGTCGTTGACGGAAAGCGTGTTGATAATGGCATTCTGGCCGTCAAAGTTCTGCATAAAGTCACCCTCTGGGCACTTCCACTGCTTGATGGTGCCGGTGCTGGCACTAGCAAAAGTAAATTCGGTGGGGTGAGTGGCAAGTGCACGAACACCCTTCTTGTGATGCGTCAGAACGCCCATAGACTTGCCAGCTGCCAGATCCCAGAGCCGCACCGTGGCGTCTAGCGAGCCGGAGATAACCTGAGGATCGGCCTCTTGGCACTTGATGTCGGCGACGGTGCCCTTGTGTCCGGCAAGAACGTGAACGTTGCTTCGTGTGCGCATGTCCCAGACACGGCATACACCATCACGACCACCGGTAACAAGTAGATCCAGGCGAGGGTGTAGTGCCAATGTATATACACCGCTAAGATGGCCGTGGTAGTGGCGGATGACCTTATTCGTCTCCAAATCCCAGCACTTGACCATTTTATCCTCACCGCACGAGAAAAGGTATGGATGCCGGGGTGAGACTGCCAGACCGCGCACAGTTGAGATGTGACCCGTCAGGGTAAGTCGCAATGCACCCGTCGCCATATTCCAAATCTTAATTGTCCGATCACCAGCACCACTGGCAAACCACTGGTTATTCGGCTCGACCGCCAAAGCTCGTACCCAACCCAAATGTCCCGAGATCACACGCATCAACTTCCACGGCGCGTGCCAGTCCGGCCGTTGTTGCTTCGTCGCCGAAGGTCTCTGAATCAAACTCTTGGGCTGGTCCTCGCCACCAGCGGCGCCTGCGCCCACACCCGCGGGTCTCCTGACGAGGGCCATCGAAGCACCGCTGCCATCACCTGCAGACTGAGTCTGAGCTGGTTGGATCTTGGGTCGTTTTGTGCGTCCTGCAGCGGCCTTTGCCTGCTTTTCAGCCAATGCTGGGGGCAATTCCATCACATCTTGGTATTCTGCTTTTCGTCGGTAAGACAAGCCGATTGAGCCGTCTGCCAGGGTCGAGGGTGTGACCATCAGGTATTCTGTGCCGAAAAGGTCGGCGGTACGCTTCGCAGAGGTACGGACAGCCTCATCGGCCGTTTGAGAAGGTAGAGAAACCATTGCTGTGAGGAGAGGGGGGTGTAAATAAGGTAGGGTCGCGGTTGAGTGAGATCGGAGTGTCGCGAAAGAAGTCTACGCGCAGAGGCTTTACGCCTCGAAAGGTAGCGTGCGCGGTGGAGAACCTTTCGTCGGGTCGCAATTTGATTTGTATGATTCAATAGAGCTCAGTATACACAGGTGATACTGGCAGTCAGCTCCAGTACTGCAATGGTGAGGCGGAGGATTGGGGTTTGAAGTGCAGTGGATGCGGATGCGAATCTTCTTGATGAGAAGTCGGCCAGCCGTGATGCCTGAGGTGTCAACTATCAGGTGTCAACCATATCTTACTTATCGCAGCTCTTATCGGAATTCCTCCACTCATCGTCATGGATTCTGATCAGAACGCCAAATTTCCTCTCCATGAGGCTGCCCGCGAGGGAAAGAGTTTGTATTACTGGTTCCTATATGTTGAATCTCTTCTGACCACATGAGATAGCTCAAATCGCCGAATCATTGCTGAATGTGAGTGGTCGCCATTTGTAGAGCTTTGAGCTGCCCCGCAGAACCCACACTTTGCTGCCGGGGAGGACCGAGTCTACAATATATCTCCTAACCCATCGTGTGCCATTCGGACTGATAAAGCTCCTCAGGCGAATCCCAAAGCTGCGCTCGTAAAGGACGATGATGGACGTCTTCCTATCCATTGGGCTGTCGCGTACAATCGACTACCTATTGTGGAGCTACTGGTTGCCAGCAAGAATTTTGATCCAGACGTTGAGGTGAGATTTCACCCCATGAACACAAGCTTCTACCTTGAGCTAAGTAGCCTAACCTGAAACTTATTATAGGATGGATCTGGATGGACTCCTCTCATGATCGCTGCCAGTCTCAAGGATGCCGAAGGTGATAAAATCATCGACTTGCTTCTGCGCAAAGATGCCGATGTCAGCGTAAAGAGCAATTCTGGCCAGGCTAGTGACGGTTTCGAGAATTCAGTGTGCAATTTAGCTGACTATTTATAGAACGCTCTCCATTTCGCAAGCTCCAAGTCCAACATTTCTACTGTCCGAAGTCTGCTGGCGCATAAGTGCAGTGCTCGGGTAAAAGACATTCGGGGTCAACTACCTCTCCACCGCGCGGCGGCTGTTGGGTCTGTCCCTATTATTAAAATGCTCTTGGAGGAAGGAAAGAGCCCTGTCAACGCGACTGATAATGACGGACTGACAGCGCTGCATCATGCTATTTCAGAGGGTCATGGTGATGCTGCGATTCTACTCTTGAAGTCAGGCGCAGAGGCAGAAAAGCGAGATGGTGATGGCAGACTGGCAATCGAGCTAGTCCCAGACGATAAGGTGAGTGTTTTCTCGATGTTGGGTTGTGACTCGAATGTTTCTTGTTGCCCGGTTCCGCGTGCGCTTCCTTGGAACTGTCTCTGATGCTTATTTTAACTACCAGGTCAAGCAATACATTCTGCAGACAGCAGAGAGAGAGGGAATCGAGCTACCATGAGTTAAAATTGTACTTAATTTTTCCGCGGAGCTAAGGTTTCGTAGTAAAGCCATGGATGATTCATGCAGCCCGAGCTACCTCGGTGCGTAGCCAGGTTCCCCGCACACCGCGTTGCCGAACCGTGGCAATTGTCGACATATTATCAGCGCTGTAACATATCTTGATAGTCATTCTAGTGCCCTTGTAATCACTATGGCATGGACATGAAGTCGAGTAAACTAAGTTTTGTGGACTGGACTGCATAGGTGACCCTTTCCAGTTGAGCTATGTAGATGGCCTTGCACCTATGTTAAGTTGTGCTCCTACCGGACCGAGACTGGGCCAGGATGTCCGCCTGCAGACTCATTGCAACAAATGAGGGGTCTCGGGAATAGGCAAGGAACTTAAAATCCGCGTGTGGAACTGGGCTATATAGAACATGATTGCTACCCCCGCAAGGTGTGGCGGACTAATTTCTTGTGACTCTTGAGGCGAGACGCTTTCTATCCCGGAGTCAATATGCCTGCTCTCTCCAATACTCGTCTTCCGGTAGGAAACAAAGACTTCACAAATGCAACTGTCGTCATTATTGGGGCCGGGATATCCGGTATGTTGGTTATTCATGATTTGAGAAAGAAAGAAGCTGACCGATCTCGCATTCAGGCATGAATATGGCCATAGACCTCATCAAGCGAAACAACTGTCGAAACTTTGTCATCCTTGAGAAAAGTAGTAGCATTGGTGGGACGTGGAACGACCAGAAATACCCAGGGTGTTGCTGCGATGGTATGCTGGCTGTTCTTGAAAATATACCAATCAAGCTGCTGATCCATACCAGTCTGGAGTTCGTTGTACAGTTATTCATTCGAGCAAAACCCCAACTGGTCTCGAGAGTACCCTGGTCAGGAGGAAATACATGTCAGTCAGCCCCTGCCCCTCAATTTCCGCGGCCAAATGGAACCTGACAAATGTGTCATCTTAGGCATACCTAGTTGGCATCGCAGAAAAATGGGGCCTCTATAAACACATTCGATTTAATTCGGCCGTGGAGGAAGCTCGTTGGGACGATCATGAATCGAAATGGAGAGTCACTGTCAATTTATCGGGACAGAAAGACAGCGAGTTTGCGACCTCATATGTCATTACCTCCGATTTTCTGATTTCTGCAGTCGGCCAGCTCAACTTGCCACGATACCCTGACATTCCAGGCCTTGAAGACTTCCAAGGACGAATGATGCACTCTGCCCGATGGGACTGGAGCTATGATTTCAAGGGAAAGAAGATTGCGATTATTGGAAACGGTACGCTATACCCTGTTTCAAACCTTCTGGCAAATATATTGGTCCTAACGAGCAGTATAGGAGCAACGGCAGCCCAAATTATCCCAGAAATTGCACCAAGTGCTTCTCACCTAACAGTTTTCCAGCGAACTCCGAATTGGGTCATCCCTCGCCTCGACGGGCCCGTATCCGCGTTCCAAAAGGCACTGTTGACCTACATTCCACCTATTCGCTGGCGCAAACGTGCGGCGATGATGGAATTTCGTGAGGATTTCCATTCTGCCATCTTCGACGATGACTCCGACAACGCGCAGGGGATTCGAGACTGGTGCACGGGGATGCTGAAAACACAATTAGCGGATAAACCAGAGCTCTGGGAGACACTGACGCCCAAATATGCACCTGGGTGTAAAAGAGTAATCCTGTCCGATGATTACTATCCTGCGTTGGCGCGCGACAATGTTGATCTAGAGACACGGCGAATCAACCGCATCACGAGCAAGGGCATCGAGATCGAGGGCGTTGGCGAGCAGGAATACGACTTTATTGTGCTGGCTACTGGATTCAAAACGGTCGACTTCATGTATCCGATCCAGGTCTATGGCACCAAGGGCCGCCCTGTTGCGGATATATGGAAGGATGGGGCGAAGGCTTACTACGGAGTCACTGTGGAGGATCTGCCTAATTTTGGAATGTTCTATGGTCCCAACACTAATCTTGGTCAGTAAAAGTGTCTTCCTGGCGGCTTATCTATCCCATCCTAACGCGAATGCAGGCCACAACTCCATCATCCTTATGATCGAAGCACAGTCACGCTACCTGAATGCCTTGGTTAGCGAGGTGATTCGTTCCAAACAGCAGGGAAAGAGCCTCGCCCTTATGCCGACACCAGAGGCGTTGAAAGAGTACAATGATAGACTCCAAGCTGTACTGCGGAAGAGTAGCTTCGCAGATCCCAAGTGCAACAGTTGGTATAAGAGAGACGATGGAGTTATTACTAATAACTGGTCTGGCACTGTCGTTGAATACCAGCAATATTTGTCACAGGTGCAATGGGAGGATTACATCGCCAAAGGCTCTGGTAGTCACCTTGTCAAGAATCAGGGACCTACTCACATAGGACGGGTCCATGAGGAGCCGTACCTTAGTAATACCTCGCTTCTTGCAGGTGCAGCAAGTCTTTTGGCTGTCGGCGGCTATATTGTCACTCGTACCAAGCTGCAGAAGGCACGCTAAGCTTTGCTCTCGTTAATTCATCCCAGCTTCATCATTTCAGAATGAATCAATTTTAATTTCAGGGTAGACACCCACAACTAGCTTCTGAATGGGAAAGCTGTATCCTAGTTATCCGGACTGATACTATGATCCAGCATCAACACCGTGCTCGAATGTCCTCGATGTGCCTCGCTTCATCAACAAATGGTTCAGTGCAACCAAGTACCTCTCCCACAGCCCACCGGAGCCCCATGACAACAAGCGCTTAAACCTGGAATAGAAGCGCACATGTTCATCTTCTTCCTCGGTTTCCAACTGACCCAGTGAATCCGGGCCCCAAACCTCCCAAAACTCAGTCCACCAAGGCTCCTGGCCCCAAGCGAACCTGATCCACGCAGAGGCCATATTACAGCCCATCGCACTTTCCTTAGCGGTAAGCTTGTTGTCGAGATTGCCGAATAGATACGCCACATCGAACCCGTGATACGCCATTCCATTCAGGGCATTATCTAGACGGGAGCGCTGGTCGAAGTGGTACTTGAAGATGGCCTTCTCATCTCGCATTCGCTTGTTAACGTTTGCAGTTAGATAATTCTGAATCTTGAAAACAGCCTCTCCGCCCATATCGCAAATTTTTTGGTTGAGGTCTAGACCTGAAGTATTTTGGGTGATGCCATATTCGAGTAGGATTCTGTCGACGTAGAGTTCATTTTGTATGCTTTCCAGCAGCGTCTGTCGAACGGTTTCGTACGTATCATTCATGACATTCATTGTAAATATCACGCCTTCATCATGTACGTCGCCTATCATGAATGATTTCAACCACGCTGGTGCCTCAGCCTGTGACTGACGTCGCGGATCAGAGGCATAAAACCACCCATCATTGCAGGGATTACCTACTCCAGAAGGAACACCCTGAATAATATGGTCCGCATTTGCCATATCCTGTTCTGGAACTTCTCTTAACCGAATGAGGGCATCCGCAGCCTTGGGATCGATAGAAAAGTAGCGACACGTTGCGTCAAACAATGCCTCGTGCTCATATAAGTCCAACGGTGCAAGAGTACTCCCCAGGCCAGACATGCAAATCGCCCGGTCAAACTTCATCGGGTTGTTCGCCGTCATCTGATGTCCAATCGAGACGCCGCCTGCCGACTGACCAAAGACCGTGACGTTGTCTCGATCTCCTCCAAACTGACCGACATATTCCTGAATCCACTCCATGGCAACTTTTTGGTCCGTAAACCCAAAGTTCCCATTCCCTTCGAATCCATCTGCTTTCAATTCCTCGCCAATCTTTGCACTGGCAAGAAATCCGCCTAGTCCCAGTCTGTAATTAAAGCTCACCACCACAACGGGCCAACCGATATCGACACTGTGGGAGACCAAATTCACGGCATCGTAAATCCCATAGTTTGCACTTCCGAAGAGCAGTGATCCTCCATGAATCCACGCGAGCACTGGGAATTTCTCTTCTTCCAGTCTTGGATGTTGTGGGACCACAATGTTCAGAACTAGAGCGGTCTTTTCGTCGACTTCTGGATGACGAGGGAAGTTGGGGTTTGGAGGAACGGGTATGAAAACATTGGTCGTGTTGTAGCCCGGACCTTGTGGGCGTGGCATATCATTTCTGAGAAACAAATGAGTTAGAATTCCAATCTGTCATTGAAGATCTGTACCTCACCCCAGTTGAGTTCCATTGTGGTAGTCATTTTCCCAGGTTGTGCTCAGTATAGAGCGCGTCCATCGCTTTGATAACGAGGCGTAAGGAATGCCGCAGTATTGCTCCACTCCGTTGGCATAGTGGAATCCATCTATGGTGCCCAGCCCTCCAATGTGAGTCGATACCGTCGACACGGGCGTCTGAAACGACATCTTGATGCGATTGGCGTGTCTGATGAACCAGCCAGGGTTGAGGAAATAAACCGGTGGGAACCTAGGCAATTGGTAGCAAAGAGCGATTTCCACAGTGAGCGGGTCAAATGTTGCAGTATGCGAGGTGCTGTTATCTTGAATGAATTCCGAAATTTGGAGGAAAGAAAAGGCGTGCGCACCATCCGAGATATTTGTTCCTGTCACAGTCCTTTTCTCGCTGGGTGTACGGCGAATAACCCGAGGTGTAACATGGGAACTTCCTTCTTGCTAGAATCATAGGCCCAGTACATAGTTCAGCTCTGAATTCATCAATCACTCAGTCATTTCTCAGAGAAGTGGATCATGTGTGGGGGCCTCTTTATTTCACCGTTGCATCTCAATGAATTGAATCGAAAGCCCGCTCGGCCGAAGTTGTAGGGCTAGGTTTGGGCGAGATTGACTGGGCGACAAAGAGATGGTTATCCATCTTCTAAATGATCGGTATCGTATCATTTGAATCAACTTCAGATCCTGGTTTTCATACGAGCTAGTTCACGCATTTGACTTCGACAGCTTGGCGAACCGAAATCCAGCTTTGTAATACACAGTTGTAATTGAAGGTTGCTGGAATTATGGTAAGGCGGCTATTCGGGTGCATGTTTTTTCTCTTTCTAAGATTCCAATATCAAAAGCGTGTTGTCTTTGAGAAGCATCACCTAGGTAGTATCCCACATTTGGCACCTATCTTCAGTATGGCTCAACACCCCATGATGGTAGGCGTTTGCCCATCCAGCAGCACATGTTGGGTAGCACATGTTTTGTTCCTAGTTCAGTGGAGAGTAGTAGCTTATATATTCCCCGTAGAGTTGGCTTTTACAGAAGGAAAAGCATGAAGATGCGAGAAATCCTAGACATCTTTAGCCCACTGTTGAGTAGGCATTATTTATTCGTCGGTTGCAGCTTCAATATATATAAATAATCAATGTGGACCCTAGCAAGCCAGCAGCCCGATGCCAGTTCAATTTAGAAAAGGGCGTCAATAAACACTCATGGTGTAACAATAGAGCAAGCCACCGCGCGTCACCAAAACGGTATAGTATAGACTATTTATTCTCCAAACTCCCCGACTGGCGTGTGGTGGGACTGTACGACGTGCCGAGCCTAGCTACGGCCCACGGTCGGGTTTCCCGCGTCGGCGCGACGAGGCCGAAACCTGGACAGTGGCCACCCTGGGGCTATCAAGCTGTCAAGCTAGGGTGGATCTTGACTCTGGGACGATTTGGGACCGGCAAAGGAAAAGAGGTCTAATGCACTCCGTAGGACTCCTGAGATAAGGCAATATACTCCGTACTAGAGGTAGAAAAGTTCCGGAGATAAAAAAGAAAAGAGGGTATCGACAGGTCTAGGCTCGAGACTCGGATCAAGCACACGACCAAAGTACTCCTTCCGCTTCCTGAAACCGAGTCCAGCCCTTTGAACCTTTGCAGGTTCCGAGACATGGCTGGCCGCTTTTCTTGTCTTTCATGTACCCCATATCTTTCCCCTCTCCAAAGGTAGGAGATGCTGGCAGGTCTGGACTCCAACCCTATGGTGAACCATGCTAATCGTACGAGTGGTTAGCTGACTCTTAGGTTTCTATCACAGTATACAGTTCGTGGCTGGTCAAGGGGCGCACGACTTCAGCTTCAAAGACGATCACCGGCGATGAACGAGAAGAGGGGATCATCGAATGACGGTTCCTAATCTAGGACTACCATCGTTAATCTGATTCTACTGGAGCCAATGCCTCACCGACACCAGCATGGGGCAAATCGAACAGTTGACGCCCTCTCCAGGAACTCCTCCGGGGACCCCCTCGTTCTACCGCCAGATTGGCCAGGCCGATGTGGCCTGAACAGCGCAGGAACAAGACCAGGCTTATTGAAGAAGTCCACGCCGGCCAGGCATTGGCCCGAGTGTCTGGCGAGGGTGAGTGATTGGGTGATGGTCAGCGCCATCTGGCGCTACGGTTAGCCCTGCAGGACGGGAGCACGTTCACTCATGGTTTTCTGGCCATGCCGCCAGCTGGCCCTGGCCCATACTGTCATCTTAGCTAGGAAAGGAACGGCATGACCGGCGCGTACTGTAGAAAGTATGAAGATGAGGGAGGGAGGGGCCAAGGACTAGAATTACATGCACGGGCCGAAGAGAGTAACTGCTGCACGTAAGTGTCTTTGTCTCCGCTCGCTTGACCGGATCAAGGAAAATAAAAAGGGGCAAAGATCTTTTGATCCACTTGAGAGGTTGTACACGATTTTCCACGATACTGGATGTACACTGTGGTCATCGATCGAGGGGCCTGGAAAGGTTCAAAGGTTTGGAGGATCGTTGGGTAAAAATGGGGAACCCCCTTAATCTATATCGAGCAGCAGGAAAGCTCCATTTCCTATGTAAATTAGGTGCGTAAGAAGATTCATGTTTAATAGTGTCTATGCCATTATGGAGCTTCAACCGTCAGGTTTGTACTATAGTAGGTAATATGTAGTACTCCATACTCCGTACGTTATACGCTATACTACGGTTAATTAGGAGGAGTTCCTCGGAATGACGACGAGAGGTGTAATCAGCCACGTTGTAAGCAGAATCCGACCGTGCATTGCTCACGATAGGATACTACGGGAAGCAAAAAATTGTTCCAGCTGATGCACAGTGGACGCGATCCGGGATACGCCGTCGACATCATGGTCAATATGGTCAATGGGAACCGACCAGCCTTGCGTGGCCCCAGGAACCTTGGGCCCGGGGCAGGAGTTGTAGAGAGGTACTGCAGAAGTATCGCTGACATATACGGTGCATAGTCAAAGTACCTGCCGGATACTTGGACGGGACCCGGTTCTACCCCTGAAATCGAGCGCCCCTCAATCCCAGCAACTAGCGCGGGTTGGACCCGACATCCAACCGCTTGATCCACGACTCAAGGGGTCAATTGGCAGTGGGGACTAGTGAATCCAGTTTCTATTTTCATCTTGACAAGAGTCGGTCATACTGCGAGGGATTTTCTCTTGCGAATTGAATGTGGTTGTGATATACGGCGTACTCGGTGAGTTATAGGATAGGAGAGTATCTCCTGCCAAAGGGAGGAGTAACACCCGTAACTTCGTTATCTTACACTAATCATCTTCCCCAAATTTCCTTCAACACGTTCATCGGCAAGCACTGTCGATCACCGCCGGCCAGAGCGCACCTTGGCAAGCCGCTCTCAGCGCGCCGATTGTATTGCAGTGCCAATCAGATGCAATCCATCCAGTCCCATCCATGCAGACTGGCCCCGTTCGCCCGTTCGAGAGGGGCCAATGCTCCACTCACGTCTGACTCGCCCGGCTCAAGGGCGCTAAATTGTGCCAAACGCTAAACTATTTTCTCTCCCTGCCTCTTTTTTTTTTTTTTTACCCCTGGACCAGCTGGAAGCACTGGAAGGATTGAACGCTGGGAACCAGACAAGCAGTCCTGGCCAGTAGCTCACCAGCCCACGGGGCTTGGCCCAGCGCTAATCGCCCGTCTTTCCTCCAGAACAGCGCTAAGCTGACCACAACTTAGTCTTCTGTCTGCGACTCCGTTTCGTTCTGACTTTCCTCCTTTTTATTTTATTTTATTTTATTCTTCAATTTTATGGATGTCCTGAACTCTCTCATGATTATCCTTTGATAGTCTCGAACAGAGGAGACCACTCAATCCTTTCCCCTTTGAGCCACTCTCTGGAGCGCGTGCCAGTTGCTTTCCCCTCTTTCACACCACCAACCCCCTAATCCCCCTAATAGTCCAATCTCCATTCTTTGTCCCGTGTGAATTGGCATGGACTGTCGATCGATGGCTATTTTTTGATCTTCACTAGGCTGGTTTCATGGCGTCTCCTACCTCTCCTGCTCCGACTCGGGGTGCTCCCGCTTCTCGGCCTTCAGATCCCATTCCTCATTCCACATCTGTGACCACGATTGATACTACTCCTGCAACGACGGCGACTATCACTCCTCCCCCAGACACCCCGACTAGTCGCTACTCCGTTGTCTCCAGAGCCAGCTCCTCTTCTTCTTCCGGCTTGGACTACTACTCCCACACCTCCCCACCTCCCCTTTCGTCGCAAGTCTACGATCACCGCCATTCCACCTCTACTTCGGGCCACGAGTACCATCGGTCCTACGATCAAGCACAAGTACGGGAATCTGTCTACCGAAAGCCCGTCCCGCTGCCGTCGCAAGACCAGCATGCCAGTCCTGTGATCGACCCTGTCCACCTTTCCTCGCCCTTTTCGATCAAGAACAAACCCCCTCCCATTCCTTCTTCTGCTGCCGGTTCTATATCCCCTTCGTCCGTCGAGGGAGGCGACTCCTTTGTATCCGCGCCAAGGAATTCCAATAGGTATGCGACGCCATTTCCACCCACCCCCTCCCCCGTTCCGCTCTCATCACTATATACCCGGACGCTGCACGAACCTACCTGATATACCCACAATTTGGCTAGCCTATGGCTACTCCACGTTTCATTTGTGACCAAGCCAGAAAAAAAAAGCCACAATTGTCAAGCAGGAGCTGATCGTGTGTTCGGGGAATCCTTGATGGACATGGTCGATCCATGCTGTTTCGCTTCCCTCGGACCTGGAAGACTTATCATCGCTTACCGTCATCGCAATTCCTTAGATACTCCCGAGGCCGACACCCTGCCAAACCACTCCGTATCGATACAACCCCAACAGCCGCGTTTCTCAGGTCCGTGGTTGAGGACGAAGACGACGACGACGACGAAAGCGCCGACTATTTTGACGAAGATTACGAGCACCAGTTCACGAATGGAAGCGGCTTTGGAACCCCCCTGCACAGTCGTCTAGTGAGCGAGCCATTTATTCCGATCCTCAACTCGCCACCCCCTGCTCAGCGCCGCGCGACGAGTATGGCCTTGCACCCTCCCACGCACCGCCCACCTCCTTTGCAGATTGATGTCGATCCACGATCCATGTCCATGGGCCACGCCGACCCCAAACAGCCTAAAACCCCCGGAAACAAGATTAGCTCCTTCTTTGGCTGGAAGGCTAATACCGCAACATCGCCTGGCGCCGAGTCCTCGAGTACCGAGATTTCCGACGGCGGCCGATCACCAATGCCTTCTCCCATGCCTCCCCTGGCCAACGTCCCCATGAGGCCCCCTTCTTCATACGACACCAAACCTGGTGGATTTGGCCCACCTGCACGGACGCCATCATTAGGGACACTCAGCGCTCACGATACCGTATATGCGTCCAAGTTGGCCGATCTTGAGAATGAATTGCGCGAGATCAGCTCCGAATTGGCGGGGTCGATCCGCCGTGAAATGGAACTGGAAGATCTGATTGAGCGTTTCCAAACAGAGGGACCGGAAGTCAACCGCCGGACGAGTGACTACTTCTCTGATTCGGGCACCAGTTCCATTCGATATGGTCCGGACCGACACGAAGATATTGAAAAGATCCGTCGGGGTGCGGAGCAGGAACGGGCGCAATTGAAGGCTGAGTTTTCGCTGAGGCTCCAGGAAGAGCGCGTGCAGCGAGCTGCGTCTGAATCGCACGTTCAGATACTGGAGAACCAGGTCCAGCAGGTGAGTTTGAGGCTCTGTAGCGGCATCCAAGGAGCCCTTCACTGACGACATATGCTAGCTTCGGCGAGAACGAACGGATCTATCAGATCTCTCATCGAAAACGAAAGAGTTGGAGACTGCTTTGGAGAACACACGGCGGAAATTACTCGAGGAACGCCAATCAAAAGATAATTTTGAAGATCTACTCACAGCCATGCGCGTGGAACTGGAACAGTTGCGAAATGAGCGCGATATTCTCCGAGAGGGGAAGGCAGCTCCTGTCGTAGAGGCACCTCCCGCGGCGGAAATGCAGCGATTGATCGAAGAGATCGAGGCATTGAAGATTGAGAACGCTTCACTAGCACAGCTGCAAGGCGGGCGGTTCGCATCCATTGCCGAAGAGGACGGTGTACAAGCGAAGCGCAACTCTGCGTTTGGTCTTTCACGAGCCAACTCGCTCGCCCGCAAGCCTACTAGTGGTTTGGCGCGCTCCGGTTCCTTGTCTCGCTCCAACTCGGTTTCTAATAACAAGGACCGGGAGACAAGCGAGTCGCTGGTCGACAAGGTCAAGGATATCGAAACCCAGCGAGATGCGCTCCACCGTACATTGAGAAGCCTGTTGAGCCGCCACGCCTATCAGGAGCGCGAATTTGAGAAGCACGTTCGCCTTCTCGAAGCCGAGGTCAGGCGTGCTCAAGAAGCTGTCCCGCCACGTAAACTGGGTTATGAGCGAGAGGTGCGCAGCCTGCGTGATGAGGTGAACCACCTCCGCTTGCGCGCAGAGGATGCCCTGGATGGCAAGTGGCAGTGCGAGAAGAACTTGGCGGGTCTCAAGATGGATCTCGACCGTGCCGAGCAAGAGACTAGCTCTCTTCGGGTTCTCCTTCAGGAACACGATATCGAAGTACCCGAGTGGCTCGAGGCGGATCAGGAAAGCTTTGCCGAGGTCATGGCAACCTCATCTTCGCTGGAATCGGCCTTCCAACAACTCCAAGCAGACCGGCAACAAGCCGAGGCTAGCGGCGAATCTGCTGACCTGGAGGCGATCAATATCCGCAGCAATGAACTCGCGGGCTATGTCCACCAGCAACTGCAGGTCAACAGCTCCCTCCGCGGCCGTCTGGCAACGGCCATTGAGAAAGGCGAGCGCGACCAGCAAATCTCCGTCGAGCGCATCAACACTCTGCAGAACCGAATGAAGGAGCTCGAAGAGAACCTTCTGAATGCCCAGAATCATTCCGAGGAGGAACTCGGCAAGCACGAGGAAGAAATCCGCCTGCTGAAGGAGAATCACAACGCCCAGTTACAGCGCATGAAGAACGGGTCTCGCACGCCCGCCAGCCTCTCCCCCCGACCACCAAACACCCCCTTCGCCGGCCGCTCCCCACGCCTGGACCAGACTACCAGCGGCGAGGGTGTTCCCCTAGCGACCGTCGTCCGCGCCGAAGTACTGGAGAAACACGTCAAGGCTCTGGAGCGAGCCATCCGCGATGTAGACATGGAGATGGAGGAAGTTGTGGGACGGATGAACCGCGCACAAGTTGATGTGGCCCAGCTGCAGTCTGACAGGTACGTTTTAAAAAAAAATCTTTTTACACTTTGCACCCTCCGGTCAATCTGCGGATAATAATTCCGATCTCATCCCGGCTCGGATACGAGATACATCGTGTTTCGGGGCGTCAGGCTAACCCTCTTCGTTTATCTTACAGGGACGAGGCTCTCCGCCAGACCCGCCGCTTACAGGCAGACATTCAGGCCGAGAGGGAAACCCTCCGGTCTTTGATGTAAAGGACCTGACCTTTTTGATGCTGATGATATAATATTTCATATCTGGTATTCCAAAAAGTGTTGCGCTTTGATCTGGGTCCTGTTTTCATTTCTATTTACATTTTTCACTGCTTTCCTTTACCTATCTATACCACCTCGTCTGCATCTGCATCAGGACTTCCCCTCCAGCCTTAGGGGTTGGAGAAGCCGGGTGTCCGGGAGTTTTGGGTCCCCCAGCGTTGTTTTTGTCTGTTTAGTATTTCTGTTTATTTGTTTGGCTCTTCGTTTTCCACCTTGGATTTGGATCTTGGACCTTTATTTCGTGCGTGTGGCATCACGCAATCCGGGCTCGTGTTGGGAGCGACGGTTGTCCATTTTGCAAGGTTGGGTCGTGTCCACTTCCCACTTGCGCTCGTATATACACATCACCACTACTTACTTTGCTCATCTAGTATATAATCATTGATCATGCAGTACTTTCCATATTTATGAAAGACTAGCATTATTAACTTCCTTTTGACCTCTTTTCCATCATGTAGCTTGCTTTTAGACTCAGACTTGGCAGTGTCCTGTCTCCGGCTGCATTCCCCAACTCTGTTTGTTTGTTTTGCACCCTCTTATCTCCGCAGCTACGCGGAGCTCCAACCCAGACCCTTCCCATCTTTCCACCTTGGCCCACCGTCGCATTGCCATATACACCTCCTCCTACTCTTCCACTTCTCTTTGTTCTAGTTCATCCACAGTAAAGCCTTATCGTCTACACCTCGACCCCTGAAAATAGCACTTTCTCACAAAGAAAGCTTCTTTGTCCTTGCAGTCTACCATCTCAATCACCAACCCGCCATCTAAATCAATTCTCAATCCCTCGAAAACATCTCAAGACAACCAAATAACAAAACCTCACACCAGAAAGAAAGAAATCATGGATCACCTCCCAGGTACACAATTTCTTTCCCCCCAAACCCCAACCGCTTCCTACATCGCTAACCACCCTCCCAGAACCGCTCCAAGCAATCCTCACCAACGCAACATCCACCTACCTCCGCTCCACAGCCCACTCCCAACTAACAACCCACCTGTCCACCATCCGCACGACCATCGTCGATCCCTACCTCCTCGCGCCCCTCTCCCACCTCCTCGCCGCCACACTTGGATCAACAACGATGCCCGATTTCATGTCCGCGCTGGTCCTAGCGGGTATCCTGTTGGTCTCGCTGATTATCCTGGATTATATACGGCGGTTCGTGGTGTGGTGGGTTATGTGGTGGGTGAGGTTTATTGTGCGACTGGTCTTTTGGGGATCCGTCATTGGTGTGAGTGTCTACGTTTGGAATGTTGGTGGTGAGCAGGCCGTTCAGGATGCGGGGAAGATCTGGGGGTTTTTGATGGGGTTTTTGGAGGAGGGCGTGGCTATTGTTGAGGGCAGTGGTGCTGGTGCGAAGGGGAAGGGTGGGCTGAGTAGGTGGTTGTAGGGTCATACAAGGGAGATCGATGGATGATATCCTTTTTTGGGGGGATACCCTTTACATTGTTGGCGGCGTTGGATATCGCGGGTATGAATGGACAAGGGCATGGTGTCGTGTCTATTTATTTTCGGTTCATTCTGCTCTTTTCAATCCTGATTTGGTCTGGAAGTTGGGATTCCCGGGCTTTTGCACATGTTCATCAGTCATGAGGTGTTGATTATTTTGGAGTCTATCAAATTAGATAATTGGGTTTTCATATCAACTTTTCTTGTGAAACAGTCGCAAGGGTACAAAAGCAAAGACCAAAAAAAGAACTCCAAATAAATGCTGGGTGAGTTTGTGATCTCCAGTACAATCAGCCCCACATTCGTGATTGCGGGACAGGCTTCCCAACAGGGTCCGGAATTTCGTCATTAAAACGGGGATTTGCGACATGCCGTCGCTGTTTATAGGCTGAGTGTAGCTTGGTCATGGGCGTAGGTGAAATGGCGTAATTTGGACCGCGGGAGATCTCGGACGCGTCGCTGGGCAGAAGTACCGGATAGAAGCCGTGTGAAACTTGCGGGGGGCTTTTATGCCAAGTGGGGGTTGATGTTGATGAAAGTCCTCGACATAGCTCGAGGAGTTGGTGTGATGTTTGCGACTACCTCGCTTTTTTATTCCTCATAATTCACCTCTTGCTCATCCTTGGGCTCCCTAGGCTCTTGAGCCTCGTGGTATTGAATGGCATCGTCAATGTGGCTCAAAATACCGGCAACGCTGTCCTCGTCCGAGGCATCTAACTGCAGGAACGAGACCATACTGAAATCATCAATCAACTGTGCCACTGCCCGGTTGAGCTGATTGAACGAGCCGCCGCTCATCAGCGCATCCTTCGCCATAGGGTTGGTGGGTGCCCCAACATCCTCTTCATCTTTTTGTAAGAGTTGCACATCGACATTGGCGAACCGCCTTAATTCACGACGAGTCACCATATCCCGCACCTGATCCATCTTGCTGAGAATGTTGACATGGGGGATTTCCAGCATCAACATGGCAGACATGGCGCTGAGGGTGCCGGCGAAAAACTTGGCTTTGTCGACAACGAAGGTACTTTCGAGGAGGTAGGCGGCGCAGAGGTTGATATTCAGGGGTCCTTGTCGAGAAAGGAACTGTGTTAATGATGGGAGGAGGGGGATATGTGTGTAAAGCTCGATCTGGCCGGGCATGTCGAAGATGATCAGGTATTCCTCGCTCAGCGGGTCGAGGGCCTCGTTCAGGAACTCGAGGTTTTGGAGGAGGAACTCGAAACAGTAGATGAGGCCGCCGTTAGGGCCGAGTCCCAGTTCTTCCATGACATCTTCGAGGGTGATGAGCTCACGGATGTCGAGATCGGGCTGGTAGGCAAAGTTCTCGGCGGCCGGATCGAGGTTGACGTAGAAGCAGCTGCGGCGGTTGCTCTGCAGGTGCTGGATAAGGGAGTTACTGAAAGTGGTCTTGCCTGCGCCCGCAGGGCCCATGACCAGAACACCGAACTTGGACATGGTGGTGTAAGCTTGGTGCTAGTGATGGTGCTGGTGCTGGTGCTAGCTGCTTGTTAAGCTTGAGCAGATAAAATCATGGGCAGCGTTTCATATCAGCTTATCGGCCCGGGTAACGAGAATTTGCACTTGCCGGAGGGGCTCAGATATGCCGGCCGTGACCGCCCGGCAGATCCACGGGATGGCGCAATCAGGAAGGGCTGACAGGCGCAGGGCGGTGAGGGACCCAGCCCCGGGTGTGGGAGAGTTTCCTGCGGGATAGAAAGTACGAGGAACAATGGGACATCGGATGCTTGGAACCCAATGGTTCCTCTGCAGGTGGCTACTAGACCGGCCCCAAGTCGTGACTTCGGTTGTACCCACGTGCACCACCACACCACCATTGGCGACCAACGTACTGGCCGAGTACATTTATTCTGCCACTGGGCCGCAGAAAAAAACCCCACCTAATTATTACTTCTCCCCCCCCCCTCTTCTGGTTTTCCTTCTTCTTCTCCCTCCCTCCCTTTTTCTTTCTTTCTTCATTCCTCTTCCTCCCTCTCTTTAATTTTCACCCCTTCCCTTAAGACTTTTCTCAAGTCACACAATCCGTCACAATGGGTTCCCTTGCAAACGGTTCGCAGTCCGGCACCTTCCTCTTCACCTCCGAGTCTGTCGGTGAGGGCCACCCCGATAAGATTGCGTGAGTTTTTTTTTTGCCCCTGAGGGAAATACCTCAACTTGATCCGATATAATCCTAACCCTCGTCCCTTATATAGCGATCAGGTTTCCGATGCCATCCTCGATGCCTGCTTGGCTGAGGACCCCCTCTCCAAGGTTGCTTGCGAGACTGCCACCAAGACTGGTAAGTTATTTTTTTTTTTTCCCTCTCTGCCCGTCGGGGACATCTCGGGAATCCGTCTTACTTCCCTGGCCCCTCTCCCGAAACCCGAATTGGCCCCCATCAAATCTGACATGCATTGCCTCCAGGTATGATCATGGTCTTCGGTGAGATCACCACCAAGGCCCAGCTGGACTACCAGAAGGTCATCCGTAACGCCATCAAGGACATCGGTTACGATGCCTCCGAGAAGGGTTTCGATTACAAGACCTGCAACGTCCTCGTTGCCATTGAGCAGCAGTCTCCCGATATCGCCCAGGGTCTCCACTACGACGAGGCTCTGGAGAAGCTCGGTGCTGGTGACCAGGGTATCATGTTCGGTTATGCCACCGACGAGACCCCCGAGCTTCTCCCCCTCACCATCCTGCTCTCTCACAAGCTCAACTCTGCCATGAAGGCCGCCCGTAACGACGGCTCCATCCCCTGGTTGCTCCCCGACACCAAGACCCAGGTGACCATTGAGTACGCCCACGACAACGGTGCCGTCAAGCCTCTGCGCGTTGACACCGTCGTCATCTCTGCCCAGCACACTGACGATGTCTCCACCGAGGAGCTCCGCACTGTCCTCAAGGAGAAGATTGTCCGCAAGGTCATCCCCGCTGAGCTGCTCGATGACCGTACCGTCTACCACATGCAGCCCTCTGGCCGCTTCGTCATCGGTGGTCCCCAGGGTGACGCCGGTCTCACTGGCCGTAAGATCATCGTCGACACCTACGGTGGCTGGGGTGCCCACGGTGGTGGTGCCTTCTCCGGCAAGGACTACTCCAAGGTCGACCGCTCGGCCGCCTACGTTGCGCGCTGGATCGCCAAGTCCCTGGTCAACGCCGGCCTTGCCCGCCGTGCCCTTGTTCAGCTCTCCTACGCCATCGGTGTCGCTGAGCCCCTCTCCATCTTCGTTGAGACCTACGGCACTAGCCCCAAGACCTCCGACGAGCTGGTCGAGATCATCCGCAACAACTTCGATCTCCGCCCCGGTGTGATCGTCAAGGACCTTGATCTGGCCAAGCCCATCTACATCCAGACCGCCAAGAACGGTCACTTCACCAACCAGAGCTTCTCCTGGGAGAAGCCCAAGGCCCTCAAGTTCTAAGCAGGTCTCCTTTTGGTGACCTCGGAGAGCATTGTGACGACTGTGATGAGTATGCTTTGTTTTCAACAACTCGAAGCACGTGCATAGACCTTTCTTATAAAACCACACAAACCTTTCTTGTGACAAAAAGTTTGGTTCTTTCCAGGTGATGGAAAGGCCAACCCTTTGTTCTTCTTCTTTTCCTATTTCCTTGTTTCATTATCCTGCATGGTCGCCCCAACAGACGGGCCTTACGGCGAAGACAAAATTCAACATGATACCACTATTCATCGGCTGGGAACGGGAAGTTTTTGGCGTTTTTGCGGAGCGAAAGTCTTCAACAACCATACCACCTTTTCACCACTCGACCAGCCCCCCCGACTGTGACTGACCCTGCGTGCGGGGCATCAATCCTCGGAGTCCGGGTGGGTACGGGTCGGAGAGAGTCCCTGTTGCTTCTTGTTTTGTTTTTCAACATTCGGGGCTCTCTCTTGACCCGTGGGTCTGCTGCTAATCTAAACATTAGCAAATAGAAATAATATTCACACCATTTCAACGATTCAGTTGAATAATCATCACTCTCCATCTTGTTAGAGCTTTGTAACCCTCCTTCCCTCGCATTCGTCCTTATGGAAGAGCTCTGTCCAGTATCTATGGTTCCCCCTGCCCCCCTGCAGCCAAATCCATGTATCCGAACGGGGTCCTGAAGTCGTCTGTCGAAGCCACCTGGCTTGATCTTTTCGTAATGGCCCCCAACATATCATGATGCAAGCACAGGCTTTATTGATGTGATCGGTCCTTTGCATGAATTTGCTTCTTTTTATTACGCCATGGGATGTAAGGAAAGATCCTTTTGATTGCGCGTTTCCTTGTTTTAAGGATGCAAGCTGGCTAACTTTGCAGACTTGATGCCTATCGGTGATGTCCTGTGTACTCGGCACTCTGATCACTGCTCTCTTAAGTTACGATCAACAGCACAGAACAATTTCAAGTCACATTATAATCGACTTCACTATACAGTACATACTCGAGATATCAACTATATCAATCAATAACATCTTCGCTACTCGAAAATCCCTACCTCCACGTAACCCTCTCACAAATTCGCCCCAATAGGACTCCCAGCCGAACTCCCCTCGATAATCATCTTACTCAACTTCGCCGCCATCGCAGCAATAGGCGCCGTCGGATGTCCACTAATCTGTTCGGGGAACACACTCGCGTCCATCACACGCAGACACTTGACACCATGCACCTGACATTCGAGATCAACCACACTCGTGGCTGGTGACGGGCCCATGCGCGCCGAGCCTACAGGGTGGTACAAGGTAAACGCCTTTTCATCCATGAAGCGGAGGAGTTGCTCGTCGGTGATTTTGTCGACATCGCTGCTGGAGTAGGGCCACCAGTATGAAGCCGGGTCGTCGTTTGCGGGGATAGGCTCGAAGTATTTTTTGAAGGCGGGGCTCTGGAGGAGTTTTAGGCAGACGCGGAGGCCGACTAGAAGGACGTTGCGGTCGTTGTCGTTTTTGTCGGTGAGGTATTTGGGGTCGATTATGGCTGTTATTGGGAGATATCGTTAGTATTTTGATACTCGTATCTACGTCTGGGTTAGATTGGGTAAGTTACTTACGTGCATCAAAGACATCCCGGCTTTTGATTGAGACTGTGCCGTGGCTCTGTGGGCGAAGACCGATTGGGACGATGCTGAAGACGCTGCTATTATCGATTGGTTTCTCTTCACCGTGGTGGATAAATGCTAGCGGGGCACCGATGAGCTCGAGATCGGGTGCGTTGTTACCAGAGGTGAAATCGTTCGGAGCATTCACCGTTTGGGGGAAGTTGTAGTCCGTTGATCGAATAAAGGCGGCTGCCTCGCCGACATTGCTGGAAAGTGGACCGCCACCGGTCAATAACCAGCGTGCTAATGCGGGAAGGGCCTTGATATCGCTGCCTAGGTAGTCCAGTGTGACGCCGTCCTTGGCCTTGACGATGACGGGCGTCGTGCATAGATGGTCTTTCAGATTGCGCCCGACTGCCTCGTTCGCTCTGATAATTGGGATCCCATAAGCTTTCAGTGTCTCTGCGGGACCGATACCGCTCAGCAAGAGCGTCTGCGGTGTATTGACTGCTCCGCCGGAGAGAATGACCTCGCGTCGCGCATGAACTTCGAAGCGCTCACCACCCCGACTAGTCTGGAACTCGACTCCAATGGCCGTCGGCTCCTTGGTCGTGAGTTGATCAAACAGCACACGGGTCACCCGGACATTACACGCAACGTACAAATTCGGCCGTGCCAATACCTCCGGCGTGAGGAAAGCCGTGGCTAACGACGAGCGCTGACCCTTTGTGTCGATAAAAGTCTGGAACCGAGTCACGCCCAGACCCCCCTGGTGAGTATTCACATCCTCGATAGCCGGGATCTGCACGTCATGACAAGCCGGCAAGAATCCCTTCTCGACAATCTCAGTTAACCACGAATAACCCGTGTGCCATTGTCCGGTGGACCCGCGATGCTGGGGGTCGATCGCGGGCCGCCCCGGGTGGGGAGTGAAGCGCTCCATGCCGCGGAGGAACGGGGCCAGATCTGAATAACTCCAGCCCTCGCAGCCATGTGTAGCGGCCCATTCGTCAAAGTCGGATTTGGAGCAGTGGTGGTACATCATTGCATTCATGGAGGAAGAGCCTCCGAGAATTTTGCCTCGCGGCCAGTAGAGGGCGCGGTTGGCGAGTTGGGGCTGTTCGACGGTGTAGTAGTCCCAGTCATGTTTGGTGTGGAACAGTTTGGAGAACAGGATCGGGACTTTGGATTCGAACACTTTGGTGTTGTCGCCGCCGGCTTCGAGGAGGAGGACTGAGACGTTTTTGTCTTCGGACAGTTTGTTGGCCAGGACACAGCCCGCTGCGCCGGCGCCGATAATTACTGTGGATTGGGGAGGTGGGTGAGCAATTGCAATGCATGTTTATTTGAATATGAATGAATCGGCATACCATAGTCATAGCTAGTAAGACCTCGTTGGGCGGCTGCGTAGGTGACTGGAGGTCCGCTGTGTAGTTGCGGCGTGGCATAGTGAAGCGGGTTGGTGAGCGGGTTACGATATTTGCGGCCCATAATGACGAGGGAAAAAAGCGAGATGATCAGAATGATCGGGTTATACACTGAATTGTTAGATTTATATGTTCATTTAGAAAGATTGATTTTGTCGAGAGAGATTTCGCCGTCAACCCGGACCGACCTCCTTGTGAAACTTGCGGGGTACCGATCATCCCTCGGGAACTACCTATTTAGGCATTTTTTCTCCGCATTGGATGTCTTGTCTCTGGTCCCTTTCCCTCATTAAACGCCTCCCTCGGAGCCGTGTCGAGTCCTGATTCGTCGCAGAATACGTCTCCGACCTTGTTCCTGACCTTTGGGGAAAGAGCCTCCGACGCATCTGCTAATAGTTAATGCATGCTGTAAAGCTGAGTCACTTCGGGGTAGATGGACATCATGCCATGGGCCAGCTGGAAATTAATTCACTGTCGAACATGTAATCGCTTCCATTCGATTTTGATACATATATTTGAGTGTCTGCTCATGGAAATATCTGGTCTACATGGAAACTTGAGCGAGTTTTGCGTTCAGGTTGTGCAATGAAATACGCTTTCACTGGTCGAGCCCCTGCAGCTACAGTGCAGATTCGCGATTGGACCAAGTAGAAAGACAACGATACTACAGGAGATTGGTTAGCAAGCATAGAGACTACTTGAGGTCTTTTAGTTCCATCAGAGTTCCTCCGTTATTTCACCCACCGTCCCTCCATATCCTTACATCGTTTGTGGAAAAGCGAGGTTTGTTTCCAAATTCCGGTTTCCGCGGGAAGCGATTCTCTCCACCCTGTGAATGCAAATTATTACGGAGTGATTATATGCTTTTCTCTGCTGTTGCATAGCACTGACGGGGCTAAGTCTGGCCCTATAATTTGGCGGGCCGTCTCTATAGACGGTACAACATGGCACGAACAGCTGCCTTGGGCAACAGAATGTAATTCTCCCTCGACAAGTGATTCTCCCTCGACAAGGACAACAACCTCTGCTACCCTTCATCGAAATTTTCATTGGCCAAGATCCCCTCGCTCTGATCTAGCGGTTTAGCTCAAGGTCCTTTGGGCGCCTACGAATCCTAGCTGAACTTGTTCGAACACTCGACGGAGCGAGATGGATATCAAGTGTTGTGTGTAATGTTATCACGGCAACATACTGTATTTCCGAGTAGCCCTTTTACAATAGTGTTGTCAAGTATTATAGATTGTATTAAAACAAACGTTCGTCACTGCGCACTGTTCGCCTCCCACAGGCTACTCATATCCAAATCAGGAATGTTGTACCAGCCGCACATATCCACATAATTCTCTTGAGGCGGAATATCAGCATTGACGATAGAAATGTCCAATCCAAGGCTTCTCTGTTCTTCACTGAAGTCAGACACAAGGCCCAGTACGTGACGAGCAATGGTCTGGATCTCTCGAACGTTCCTTGCTGATCTGGCCCAGAATTCGCCTAGTGCGTTAAGACAGCCAATAGCCACTCGTACCTGGTTTCTTGCGATAGTCAAATCTGTCCCTTTGAGCTGGAACTTGCAGGCCGAGAGTAGCGCTAGCATTCCCCCGCTGATCATGCAGGTCACAAAAGGAGAGTGTTCAAATTTGCGAGTCGGTAGTGCCAAAAGCTGGACCTGGTCTTCTACAGACTGAAGAACTCGCAAGGTGTGTATGTTCACAAGCTCCGGAGTTGGAGTGTCAAGAGGTGGGTCTCGAGCACAGCTTGAGATGTTTTCGACAGGATTGAATTTTAAATCCGAGAACGGGCGATGTAATCCAATGATTGACCTATAGGAGAAGTTAGAATATGACCAAGTTCGAAGAGCGGAACCCCAATTCAATATCTTACACGTGAATGACAAGGCATGCTTGAAACATAAGCTCATCGATCTCGCCAGTCTTTGCCATGACTTGCTTTCGATTCTTGGGCAAGAGAAGCAGCCATGCGTTAAGGATAGAGTCGATTTTCTGTATCACTCGCGTCGAGTCCGGCCTCGTCACACTCAAAATTTCAGTTATAGCCAATGCCGAACATCGCACAGCACCGACCAGGTAGGCAAAGGACGAAAAAAGTGGGACGTCAGGTGCAAATTCACGATTATCAAAGTCTTGGAGGGTTTGAGGTTCTGGAATTTTCTATAGCCAAGTCAGCTCCCATTATACATAGCCGCGACACGCCGACAACGCAAATAAGACAACGTGGAAGTTAGGCTACACAGACTGCACGTACCCCAGATTCATAGTCAGATTCTTCGCACGGCAAGCCCACGGTAGCCTCAACATCTGACAGGCCGGTTCGTATAGATGCGAGAGTCCCGGCATAGTAAGTATTCACGATATACAGCATCCACCAAGTTCGCCTCCAGCATTCCATCAAGATGGCATCGTCTGCTCCATGCTTGACCGGGAAGTCTTTTTGGTACATCTGCAAATCTAGCGCGAGGCAAATGGCATTGTCCATATGATGTATGGCGTCTGTCTTGTTGTCATTCCAGAATAGGGCTATTGAGTATAATAGCCGGCACTGCACTAAGATTGGATCCGTTGGTGGTGCTTGCGTAAGGCAGGCTTCCGCGTAGTCATTTAGTTCAGTCGACCAATTACTCGAGGCATAAATATTGCCGATAAATCGCATAAATGCAATCAGTGGTTTAAACTGAGACTTTCTCCTTGGGTCTCGATAGAGCCTCACGAAGTGCTTCTGCGGCAGTAGGAACGGGTGGAAATTGTGAAAGTTCCGGTAGTACGAATCAACAAGGCAATCGGCCTCGACGTCGTCAACAGGGCTCTGATTAACCGCCGTCGAAGATGAGAGAGATGCCTCACTCCCGGTGCTGATATCAGGCTGCAAATCTTGGATACCATGGTAGGCTATGTCGACAACTGGATTCGTGAGTAAGGGGTCTGCAGGACTCCTTACCAAGTACTGTGTCTGCGGCATGCTTATAGCTCCAGCTTCTGCATTTACAAGGCGCTGTCTGCGCCGCTCTGCCAGGGCTGCGCGATCCAAACCACCTCGGCGTGAGGTTCCATAATGACACTGCTGGGCGGTCTCGCTGCAACGGCCGCAGCACGGTCGGATCCCATCGCATTTAATGTGACGTGAGCGACAGGGCAAGCAAGCTAGAGAAGACCGTGCTGCCTTTCTAGTCCGCGGCAGCGGGTCGTTGCTAACGTTCATGATGTCATGCCAAAGATAGATTTGTCTTGTAGTGTGGGAGGTTAGGCATGCTTAGTACAGTACCCTCGGATCCGTGTCATCCCACCGCAGCGTGGTAAGCGGTGAGGTGAGGAACCTGCGGGTTTCAATCCCGACTCTAAATTAGTGGCAATAAAGGACCAAGCCTTTTGTTCTCATGCAATCCAGTGGTCACCTCAGCCCAAGCAAGTCGAACGATAACTCCAGGCACAAAGTCAAACTTGATTTCATTTACATTCTTATACTAAGATCTCTAAGATGATTGGTTATTTGAGTTCACTGAAAGACTTATCGTCACATTCGCCTCCTTCCAAACTCCGAAAAGAACGAAGGTAAGCTGAAATATCTGGATACATCAATGAAGACACCTAGGTTCAACCACGTGGTCCTGTAGGCTACCTTGCCTTTGCCCCCCTTCTCACTCCCTTCCCAGAGTTCCCTATGGGTCAGTTTTTACCCTTGGGGCTGACAACGTTATGGTGGCATGGTCAGCATACCGTTACTGTAATCATTGATTGGGAGGGCAGCGGCTTTTATCCGGCGAACTATGAATGTACTACTCTAACACGCATCCTGAGCCTCATGCATGAAGAAGACTGGTACTTCTACTCGCCACAGAGCATCACACCATCGAAGTTTCTTATACGCTGGCTGGTTGATCGGCCTTGGGATACCCATGTCAGGTCTCCATAGCTCAAATCCTCCTCAGAACTGACGACAGACAATTTTTCAACTCGTGGAAATAACAAAATTCTGGCATAGCTTATCAATATTGGCTGTCATCCAGATATCTGCTAAGAAGGCTGAATCACTGTCTAGCAACTGGAGTTTGGACTATTGATCACCTCCATTAGATGACTACGGTTTAGCGCTAAGATCGTTGGGATATTCGCTCGGAGTCGGGGGACAAGACTAATAGCAATTCTACTTGATAGGGGCTTCAGGGTAAGTGATAAGAGCCAACCGACCTACCGACTACAGGAAAACAATCCGTCGAACTTTTTGATGGCTCAACACCACTGAGCAATCAGCCGGTCAATGTGATATGAGGATACCCGTTTAATCAATGTTGGGTTTATTATCGAATATCCGAGCAAGTATTCAAGCTACTAATATGTTCATTCTACTAAAATTTTCACAACTAAAATACTCAGTTTACAAAGTTTCTGGCTGCAACTGTATAATAAATACACATTCATTTCAGGAATATCTTCTCCCAGTAGCAGTCAGGAGAGAATCATACTGGACAATCAGAAACTCTTGACCCTCTCGCGTTCACACCACTAGTCAATTCTGAGCAATCATGCTTCCACTCAAATTCAAAGAAAGGCCCCGAGCTCGGGATTCTGACTCGCTCCCAGACAATGTCAAGTAAAAATGAGGGTGAATTGCTGGGAAAAAAACGTTCATGTGTGAAGTCGACCGAGCAACCCTCACATCAGCGTTCTTTGACGGACATTGATTTTGGAGCTGTCTTTCCGGCCTCGACTATAGGAATCTCTATCTCGGATGTTCAACGCTCGCGCTGTCCTCCTTTTGCGTAGCTTAATATCTTGCTCCTTAAGATAGTCATCTGCAACCTGCTCTGAGGTTGCTCGAAATTGAACAAGCTGCATCTCAGACCTCCAACGATAGGCCATTGAGGTTGAAGACCAAGGATCAGGTTCCACTTTAATACCTGGCGCTGCTAGAGACTGGGGGATACCGTGGGGGCTTGATGGTTCGGAAGGCTCCCGTTTCATGTACTTGTCGATAGTTTCGTCCACGTCATCGCATAGTTCAAGGTTCTGCGCATCATCCATATCAATGTCGGCTTTGAAATCAAATTCATTCTGTGCTGTATCGGAATCGTTTTGCAGTTCACCAAATTCCATCGAGTTGATATCGTCATTGGCCGAGTCCGGCGTTTCAGGATCACCAATTGAGGAGGCTGCTTCTTCACGCTTGGTGTAGGGGTGGTCTTCCTTTGATTGCCCACTCGGCTCATTTGCAATGAGACCGAGTTCATGGTGCCGGGCATCTTCAAGCTCTTTTCCTTTTTCCAGATTTGCCATAGACCTGAGTCCGTCAGCCACACCAAGGCGATAGCTGAAAGTGGGCCCGCCTCCTTTGTAGGCACATGCCCATCCCAAAATCAAATTGTGAGCCATTTCAAAAGCTGCCGAGGCCGCGAAAGTGTTATCTGCAATGTCATAAAATGTCCAATCCACAGAGGTGTTACGATCGGTCGAAAAACATTTGCAGTCAAAGAAGGTGTAAATTGCTTTCGCCAGTGTCTTAACAAAGGCTTCCTTCATAACCCTCCGTGACGAGCCCGCAACCTTTTCGATGCGAACAATACTCCGACCGCCGTACTGCGCTTTACTTCCAGTATCATTGGCCATAAGATCCGCTTGGGTGACATTATGTTCGCTCATGAGTTTCTGGGATATAAAAAGGGCGGTTTTGGCTTCTGCTTCTGATGCGTTGGCATGGTAGGCGCGGTTCAGACATTTCTGGATTTTATCCAAAGCGGCCTTATTGACATCAGAGGCTGTTTGAGGCTGATTATCACGAGCGGTTGTAAGAACAGTTGCCTTCTGAACAGGCTTCCTGGGTGCCATACTGTTTTAAGATAATTGATCAAAGGACACGGAGTGGATAAATGCCTACAGAGAGGACAGAATGTAAGACGGAGAGATGGATTGGGAAATAAGAAGACGGTTCCTTTAAGTACTTTTCATTCACAATTAGACCCCACCATCTTACTCTTCTTGGTCCACAGTGAAGCTTTATATTACGCATCCTAGCATTAATACACATAGTAGCGCCTCCCTATGCTCTCGTTCTATGACCTCCCAGCATTATCAGTCAGCCAGAGGATGGCGATCTTGCAGGCTCTCAATTTCTTTGGCCTTACTGCGTGACCTCTACCCCTTTCAGTGGCATTTGAACAAAGAAGGCCTTTGAGCCTTCAACAGAGGCCCTGGGTGGGTTCCGCGGAATTCGACTACCAATTTACAGCCGATACGGGAATCTGTAAACAAAGAAATCTACGCCTACGAAACACGCTTTCCGGTGGCGGATCAGATCCAGCCGCTGAGCGACACAATTATCTTCCGGCCGTAGGCCTGTCCAAGGGGGAAGCAAGGCAGCGGATCTCTTGTAGAGTATACTTTACATGGGTGTATATCACTTGGTGGGTTTTGGGTCAAGGAAGGTCAAATCCAACCCACAATTTTGGCGCCTTCGAATCGGTTCACCTTGAATTTACATTATTCGCCGATATCCATGGTGTTTTCAAAACTTGACACTTGTCAGAGAGAGTTTCGTCCTAGCTTCATAAGTGCGATTAGATAATTAGCACTATTATGCCCTAGTCGTTGCCTTTGACCTCTCAATTCACAGGATGTTGCCGATTTGACCGCGCCCCTCAGGAAAGGGAACAGTGTGATCACCGCGTCCGTTACGTACGCATAATGTATTGCTAGGCGACCAACGGCTTACCATGTAGGGTGAGCACTATTTTAACGCTCAGTGATTTGATGCCCACGGCCTGTCTTTGTTGAACTTTATGACTCGCTAATCAACAAACATTAATGAATTACCAGTGGTCTGTCATAAGCCGCATGAGAGCGGCTAGCCATCGACTGCAATTGGTTAGGATCTGTTCTGGCCACCAAGCTCTAGCAGTATCACCCTGCATCATTTAATTGGAATGTCCGATTAAAAGGGTGGTTCTGTTAGCACTACCCCAAAATTCTACTCACACCACCTGAAACACCGTGTTTCTGCCTAAGTTCTGCTAAGCCCGTCATGGCTGTTAATTACAATTTCAACCACCCCCTTCCTTCTTATAAACATACATCCTCTAATCCATCCGTGCTCATAGAATCTTGTTATACTACCAGAGCAGCTCTATGGTCCTAACCTCCTCGTCAGCTTCTACATCCAGCTGGGATTCCGTGGTTGTAACGCGATGGAATCGAAGAAGCCACATTTGATAGATATGCTTTGGACAAGGCCTTTGGCTGGTTGCACCTGTCTTGGCAAAAAATATAGTACACGTAATCTTTCAAACCGTCGGGGGCTGTCTAGCTAGAAAGATAAAACAATCTAGAACTCTGAATGTGGGATGAAACATAAAACTATATCTACATCCTCTTATGCTGATTCTTGACAAGTCTGTAAAATTCCTCAAACACTCATGTTCTTCTCAACTACTATCGAAGTAGACCTATGCAGTATAGGATTATCTTTTCTCACAGTTGTTTCAATTATATCGAAATCAAGCAGACAGTAAGAAGACCAAACAAGAAAGATAACTACTGATTCAATGACAAATCGAAAACAATCTTGCCCCTTGAATGTCCTCCGTCCAATCTTTTGAACGCCTCCTCAAACTGTTCCAGTGGCCATACACTATCCACCATTGGTCGACACTTTCCCTCATTGACCAGCTTCGTGATCTGCTCCAGATGCTTCCTACTCGGCTCCATCACAAAGAAAACGTCTTTCACAGCTTGCCCTCCATAATCTACTGGACAGACCTGGTTCGGTGGCTGGAATATACTTAGTATGATGCCACCGTCCCTGACAACCCACCAAGCTTCCTCGAGAGATTTTCGGCCGATACAGTCGATCACGACATCCACTTTATTGCCTGGTTGTTTAGCCCAGTCACGCAAACTGGTTGTTCGATAGTTGAGGACCTCTTTTGCCCCCAAAGACTTCACGAGAGCCATGTTCTCGGGACCACATGTCCCCACAACATCCGCTCCAAGCAGGCTGGCCAATTGTGTGACCCACATCCCCACGCCGCCAGATGCAGCAGTGACAAGCACTCTTTTTCCACTCCATGATTTTTGCGCGGCTGAAAAATCCGTTTCTTCACCCGTAAAAACCCCCGCATGGATGAACAGGATCTGCCATGCAGTCTCCGCTGAAACTGGGATCGCAGCCGCTTCTATCCAGCTCAATTTCTCCGGTTTATGCGCAAGTTCATCGGTGACTCCAATGGTATAGTCACGCGCATTAGATGGGCGGATGTAATTGGTCCGAGCATACACCGCGTCGCCAGGTTTGAATGGGGAGTCGGTAGGAGCAGAGATGACGGTACCGCTGATATCTGGACATGGTACCAACTCACGAGGCTGTGGCGGAGGAAAGTTCTTGGGCCAAAGAAGTTCACCAGCGCATGGGGCACAAGCGTGTACGCGAATCAGGTGCTCCCCTTGGGATAGGTTGGCAACTGGAAGTTTTTTCATTATAAGAGAAAGATCTTTCGACTCAGCCCTTGGCTGAATGAGAGTGCGCATAGTTGATGGAAGGGGCATCGTGAACGTTGAATAGAGACGTCTGTAGAGAGGCATTTAATTGATGGCTAGAGCATGCCGGGGACCTGGGTGTCCTAAAGGACTTATATAGTTTCAGGTTATCCATGATCCAAGTCACTGGTTAATTCTACCGTGTCACTGAAGTTACAATACTCAGATGACTTGGGAGAACCGTTTGCGGGCAGGCTGCTTCGTAATTATGAATAGGCTATTGACAACCAACTTAGCAGGAAGTTCCATCAACCCCGGCGCCAAAAACGCCAAAAACGCCAAAAAGTCAAATGAAACAATTACCGAGTTAAAATAGCACAAATTCTTTTGAAGTAACGGGTACAGTGCCGCCCGTCATCGCCTTCCATGTCGAGAACATAGACGCTCTTTCAAACCCTAATCGCATGATACCATATTATTACCAGTTTGTACAGACAACGTAAAATACCAGGATTGGTTTATAATACCCAGAACTTCCATAACTCACGATTCTAAATATACAAACATAATCAGCAAAGCAAACAGAACAAATATCTGAATTGGTGAAATGCTATCGTTTTTGAATATTATTCATTTATCCAGTTCACGAAAATGCGCCGGTAGGTTGACATGTGAAGATTGAATTATGAGCTACGGACCTCGAAAGGCTAAGGAGCCCCAGAAAACACGATTCCTGACAGCATAAGTCGGCATAAACCCTAGTATTTCGTGCACTGTCGGAGCAGAAGACCGATCTTCTCATAGATCATTAGGGCTATGCAATCGGATCAAAGATCCACGATTGTGGACGATAACTATCCACGACAGAGTGAGTCGATACAAGGGATAAACAGTGATAGGTTAACGCAGCATGGCCTAGTTGCTTTACTAATAAATATGAATAATTCTAAACTTGTTTTTCCCGACTGGGAGAGTAGGTAGTATTTATAACTTTAAGTATATAGTGGAACGTCATAGGAAATGACTGAAAAAAATCCTAAATAGGAAAAGGGGCATACGAGAGTGTTAGGAAACTCTTTGCTGTTTTCATCCGATGTGATAATTAATAATCAATATTCTAGATCATTTAGAGGTATATCAGATAAGTTTAGTCTAAAGGTTTATGCAATTGCATGCACACGCTATATGCGGGGTATCGCATACACACATGTTGACAGGAGGTCCAATCGCGCAAGCTGGACTAGTATGGGGTGAGAAGGGCCTTGATCTTCCTATTAGCCATTGCTTTGGCGCTAAGTACACGAATACCTGTACCTTGCGGAAATCCGACGGCCCAGCGATCTAAATTAGTGGAATACAGCCTAAATATGCTCTAGATGTTACGGCAGATTAAGTCGTGATTATCACGAAAATGGTGTCAACCTACGACAATGCCGGGAACAAAAGCAGAGGCACAGCAATATCGATATTTCCTCTTCCGAGAATTTCTCCGACGCTTATTCCTGCTTCGGGTTGTATGTACGGAGATACCTTTCAATCCACGACTATAGTACTCGAGATACTGCTCTGTGACCTTTGAACTAGTGAGACTTGCCATATATGTGGTAATTATTGTAATAAAGAAGAAATACATAAAGCCATATATAGGTCCTAGACGCCCTTAAGACCACCAGAAGAGCTACCTTATATATAAAAAGGAACTTTTATAATAAGACTACTAGCAACTGCAACATAACAACCACAAGTGCACTATCATGATGATAGCCAATGTTAGCACGATCCTTACCCTGCTACCTCTGTTGGCTATGGCAAGACCTTCATCGCCAAAAATAGCCATCAAGAAACGATCAGTAACCTGTCTAAAAGTCGGCGCAACTGCTACAGCCACTTGGACCAATAGTGCTGGGCAAAGCTGTTCCTTTGTCGGCGTGGTAGGAAGCAATTATGGCACCGACAGCGCTGGATCAGGAGAGTAAGTTACGCTTCCGCGTACGAAGACGTCTTAGTTACTATCTGCTAATCGGACGATCTAAATGGTTCAGTTATTCCTGCAATGGCCGATGTGGCGCTGGATGCACGGGTGTTGCACTTGGCAATGCGTATACCCAAGACTGCTTCTCCCATGACATCTGCTCCTATTTTAACAATGCAAGCGGAGGGGCAAGGTGCGTCAGCATTGACGAGCTTTAACTGCGCGAAGGCTTACCTAATGCTATTCTAGTGATCCAAACTGCGGAACTGCTTATGATGATGCGGTGGACGATTTTCTCCTTGGTGTTATAGATGGATGTTCGCAGACGAATCCATCCTCGGCAGTCTCGCAGCCAACCTCGACTCCTGTCTGTACATAGCTCTATTCTATTTCAAGGACCTTCTTAGATACTGCATATGTAGGTATCATCAGCCTGCTACCCAATGACTAGGAACGTTCTGGACATTTGCCCCTCGTGTATAATATAGTCGTTTCAATAAATGATCGGAATCGCGTTATACATATCAACTTTAGCCAGAGACGGACACCTAGGGCAGCAACAGGCCCTCTACAGTGAAGCAACTGAGAGATCGAGGAGAGAAGTTGACAGGTTGCCCAGCGGTCGCCTAGTTTACTCAGTTTGTGTCATGAGCCACTGCCCGGTTGTTATAATATATTCTGACGTGAGGTTATCCGCTGATGAAGGTTACACGGCCTAATATTCATCCCGCTCCCAAGGGCTCTTCCCTTCTAAGGATCTACATCCTTCCTGTTTTGGCAACGAGAATGCATATAAATTGAGCCATTAAGAGGAGACTTTACGCTCGTCCAGAAATAGTCTTATGAGAAATCTACAGGTGCCTATCTTCCTTACCTGATCAACATGCTTTTCTACCCTGTAAGTAGATCATATCATAACCTAAGCTCAGTTGAGCGCGCCAGAGTGGCAAGCAACAGGTCTGCACCGAATTAGTCATTTGACAGAGATATCAGGTAAGCCAGTCGGTGTATTGGGAGCAATTCATCATAATATCGCGTTGTATGCATCTAAGTGTGTTTTTAGCTATGCTTTTTGGAAGTTGGTAGATCCCCCCAGGCGGTCTCGTAGACTTTTGTGTACATAGACAAATAGGTATTATTACTGTGTACATACAAAACAGGTAATTTACGCTCATTCCATATCAGGCCTAGCGAACCATGTGATCAGGGATTAAAAGAGTATCTATTTTCCTGGACATAGAAGGCAGTAACGGTCGGCACTGTAAATCAGCAGGCTCATGAAGGGAAACAGATACCGTAGTCGTGACTCGCGTCGACGGTGGTAAGGACAGTCTGAGCTGTGCGAAAAATCGGTCATCAATCTTCAATCTCCGCATTGTTTATGATCCGATGTGAAAGGCTATGCGGGGCAAGTCGCGGGTATCCACCGGGCAGTCGGAATAATCATAATCCTGTAGCCGGATAGCCTATTGAGTAGCCTACCAAAATAAGTTGCCCAATCGTGGCCGAATATTGGTTCCCTATTGTCTTTCAATATGAAATCTAGTTCTAGACCCAAGTCATAAATCAGTGGTGGGCAGCCCTATACGTCATGATAAGTAGTACCCGCGGTGGTCTCAAATATTTAAAGTCTATAAATGCACACTAGACCACCCTCTATGCTTCCTTAAAAGTCCACAACAGACACATTTTCTCTCCAAAAGCGCAGTCTTGAGTCATATTAAAACGGAACATATCCCTAAAGTTCTTCAAATGGCTGCTACAAACCAAAAGGTCATCAAAGTTGGAGATACCTACCAAATCGAAGGGTACTTAACGCCGAAGGAACAACATTGGCAATCGTTAACTTCTATTTATAGGCGGCCACGGGAAAATGTGGAGGTCCTCAAAGTCTACAATCCCCCAAATATACCGGGAAAGTCCCTTCTCGTCCTCTCAATCGATATGGATCCAAATGCAGCCACCCCATCTCACACCCATGGTGGAGCAACAGCCCTTGCGATAGTTGTTGATGGAACTGTTCTTAACAAAATGAATTGTGATGAACCAATCGTGTCGAAAAAGGGGGACTTTTGGTATGAAGCCCCTGGTTGCCACCATGTTCGATCGGAGAACGTAAGTGGATCGGAGACGGCCAAATTTTTGGCAATACTCATTGTTGATGATGAGGTGATCAAGGAAGGCTTTCATAACATTTTAGTTCTGGATGCTGAAAGAGAGGAGATTAAGGCATGAAATGGCCGAAGAGGTGAATCCTAGATCGCTGACAGAAATCAACTTCTTATCTACACGATGTGTATATGAACTCATGTACTATTAACAGATCTACTTGCATGGAAGAAGGCCTGTTGATAGGTAAGGATCAAAGTACCAAGTTTGATTCTTGACAAGACTGTTTCTTGAGCAGTTTGAAATAGTTGGACCGGCTTATACAGTTTGCCGAAGTGAAAGCTTTCTAGGCCTATACAGTCCGGCTGTCTCTATTGGATCAACATCGCAAAGATTGGACTTGCTTGTTTCGGCCCATGTGCGCTCCACGAAGTTGACACTCGGACTTCAATCGGGGCATTCGACATCGTTCGAATGTTTGATCCAAGCGTAGAAATAATGAATAATTGAGATCTTCGAATCGTGGTCTTGGAAAGTATCCAAGCGAACGTGTATATCTTTTTTTTGTTTCGAATTCACTGCTTTCTTGCCTGCCCATTACTCCTAGCTATCAAGAGGTAAGTATCATTGAAGACCAAGTGGCCGCAAATAGTTGCAGTTTATCAATTATTTTGAACGTGCAAATGGTATTCAAGGTGATATAACGAGATTTAGAAGGGCTCTAGGCAATAGTAGACGGTGTGGTGAAGTTGCTGATCTCGAAAAATCACGAGCAAAAAGAGACACGGTTTTACTGCTAGCGAAAGATTATCGCCAATCACATACGGGAATCGGGCATCTATCTTTGTGGTTATTCTGTCAGTCATGAGCGTCTTTAGGGCTGGCAATTTAGTAAAGTGGGGACGAAAACGCATGGGCCACGACGCGTGACGCCAACTCCCAGACTCGCGCTCCGCCGGCATTATCCATTCGAGCATTCGAGTATACGGGCAATTGCATAGCGTTTGTTTTTTTAGTTCTGATTACTGCCTTCCGTTGCTGCTTTTGACCTCGTTAGATCGGCACGACAAGATGCACACGACCTTTTAAACGCGACTATGACCACGCGCGCACCTCCCAGCGCCCTCGACCCCCTCAGTTCCTCCTCGCTGAACAAGCTGCACGAAACCCAACCACCTGCGAAGAAACGCAAGATCGGGACCGACAGTGCTGTGTGCCGGCTCTCAACAAGCTCAATCGTGATTCGAGTTAGTACCTGGCCCCTCGAATTTGGTGTGCTGAAATCGAGGAGGAACTCTCCCCAGCTAACCGTTCGTTTTACCGACTTGTCCAGGCCCATGCAGCGTCCTTATCAGATGAACCGCTGATCCTCGAGCCAATCTGTCTAATCCCTCGATCTCGATGCCCACTATCATGGCTTGAGGATACGTCTTGGTCGCGCTCCGATGCCCGGCCCGGCGGTCTCTTCGTCGCCGACATCCCCGCTCTCGAAAGGGACTTGCGAAGTTGCGCCGAACCGACGGTGCTGGCGGTCCGATTAGCCGCAAATGGGGGTCTCTACGTTGTCGAGCGAGTCAAGCGGGGCATATACTCTCTTTCTAGGCTTGCACAATGGGTGCAGGAAGGCGACGTGGTCGTCGTGGTCAAGGGATGGCAAGGGTCGGGGGACGTTGTCATGGATATCGACGCCGATGACAAGCCATGCTCAGCGATAGATGCTCTCGATTGGTGGCAGACTGCGCAAGTTGAGGAGCCACCCTCTGATCTGGGCCTGGGCGAGGAGTTCGCTGGGTTGCAGGTGGATGTTGTATTTGCGTCTTCGGAGACCGATACCCAGGTACAACCATCTTTCGTGGATATACTTGAATACCGGAGCCAGTCTCTTGCGCCAGCTGTGACTGGAGATGATTCCCAGATGGATACTTCATTTGAACCCGGTGATTCGCGAGTCCTCGGCATTGCAGGCTCTATAGACATTGATCCTGTTCCGGATACGAAGCAATCTCCAGAAGAGTTACTCAAAGGGATGCGAGAGCACTATCTGCAAGCACTCTATATCTCGAAGGTGAGAATCCCAGTGAATTATTGGTTTGAGTCATATTTGACACGTAATATAGACATCTTTGGCCTATTTTGCCAAGGGACCATTGACACGCTGTCGGACCGCTTTCCAAAATCCCGACCTCGAGCAAACCCAAACGCCCGATCAACTCATTGACTTCTACCGAGAGGCCGTATTAGCTGCTAAAAAGATGGACATCAAATACCGCGAGTCTCTCCCCGCATCGGTTCGCGAAGCCGTGCTCGCTGTCTCTGACGACGAGGCTGCTCTAACCAAAAAGCGCAAAACTAAGAAGCAGAAGAAGAAGCTAGGCAAGAATGGCCTTTACCCTGAAGAGGACGAGTTTTTCCGTAAATGGTGGAAAGATCGGAGCATGGTAGAGGCCTCGACACAAGAAGGCTCCCGTGAGGCGGAAACGAAAAAGCATATTTCCGATCTGCGACTGCGCGAGACACAGTTACAGATCCTATTGATCTTGGAAGTCATGGCTTTGGAGTCGACTCCCATTGACAAAAACAACGCGGAAAGTGGCACGCCAGCTGGCCAAGAGACAACAAACACACCCAAAAAGAGGACCAAAAAGCCTCAAGATCTGAATGTACTTCTCGAATTGCACCTAGATCGACTTTGTATCTGGCACGCTGTTAGCATGGATGAATCCACGGCTGCTGACTCGGCAAAGGCGTCATCCTTCACCGACGGCCACAACTCCGGGAAGAAAGTTGAGAGTGACGCAGTCCGCGACTTTTGCACGGAAGTCGTCATCCCGTTCTATGCATCCCGACTGCCCGAAAAATGCAAGCTGATTACGCGCAAGTTTGGCGTGTCTGGTGGCATATCCCCTGCGGCCAAGAAGACCCAATCGTTGACCAAGGCACGCCGCCCAGAACCGGGCTCTGATGTCAAGCGAGACCCGCCGGGGCAAAAGCCTCGACGATCACTTCAACGTGTTCTAACGGACGAAAGAGCGGCAGCGTCGCAAATTCGCCACCCATCGCTGAGTCGGTCCAAAACCGCCCCAACTCAGCACGATACAAAACGTGATTCCCTAGAGCCAATGCTGCCAACGGTTATGAGTGGCAGCGTCCGTGGCGGTATACAGGTCAAGCGAGTGGAAAATCGCGAGATCGATCTTAACGCAGCTGCCCGACAACACGAAAGCAAGTTGCGCAAGGTGCAGATGTTGGCTGATCAGAAGAAGGAACTGGATAACGCCATTCAAACACTTCGCAAGCCGAATCGGGAGGTCGTTGCTCGGGACATTGCTGAAGATGCCTCTAAACGAATATCTACTGGCGGGGGCAGCTCTCGAAAGTCAAAAAATCCTGTCCGAAATCCACTTGGCGAGGGTGTGCAGGTCATGGCTACACCTCGTGGAAATCGGAGGAAGGATGCAGTTGTGGGACTACCCCCTCTACCGCGCAGCTTGGCGCCTTCACGGTCTTTCGCCGGAGAGATGGAATATCACTCTCTTGCAGAGTCTCCCGTCATGATCCCCTCGTCCACTCGGCGGGCTATCTCATTCTCTGGTCCTGATTCAACACCTTTTAGTTCTCAACGGGCTTCAAGAAAACGGCAGCGCGAGCCGCAGCCCCAGACAACTGGACTTGGCTCAATTGAGGAAACACCTACCCGCCCTCCCTCCAAGTTATTCTTCGATAGCCAAGGTACAGACCTATCACATCGTCCGTCTATGTCTATGCCTTCAGGCAAAGGCAAAGGTCTTTTCCGTGTACCTGATCTCCCCGTGCCTCGATCCAATGACGCCGACCCATTCTTACAACCTCAACTTACTGCACCAACTACACCTGTGTCATCCCGCCGCAAGAATATCACGATGGCTCTCAACTCGTCTCCAAATTCAGGAAGGTCCCCGCAAGGTCCCAGGTCTTCGATGATCACCGAAACTCCTCCCAAGCAGCAAGGCCCTAATCCATTGCTTGCTCCTCGATCAGTACCCTTGTTCGCTCCTAGCACATCCCAGGTTCCGTCTTCCCCAGCTGTCATGGGGTCGCCCATCAAAAGTGCTCCTCTTATACCGGTTACACCGGAGAAGGCACAGACGAAATCGATTTATGAGCAGCTGGGCTGGGACGACGATGAGATGGACCTGTGAGGTATCTTTCAATGTACTGGCTCAGTTTCCGGGCTGATATTTATCTTGTCCCTGTTCTGCATTTTGCGAAGGCGCTTCGTGGTAGCATAGATATCCAATATCATACATCATGTGCTAAAGCATGCAGTCACTCACCAGGGGCAATTTTTCTGATTGATAGCTTTCTAAGAAGCGACTTTTCCTCTATGATTTGGAAGAGCTTGGCGGCCGTCAAACCCGTTTGTAACGTGCTTAAAAACGACCTTCAGAAAGGCTTACTTGCGTGTGGCGCTCCTTTGCCTCCTTCGAATTCTCCCGGGGTTCAATTCCTTCAAGCATTATATGACTTTCTTCTACTAAGTGTCTTGCTAGTGCTATCAATAATTACAATACTAAAGCGGCTATATCAGAAAGCTCAGGTATTCAGCAATCCTGGTCAACAGCTCCCCTCTCCGGCGTATTCTGAAACTTATCCACGTCTAGCTCCTCCTTAAAATCAAGCTAAGGAAATACTTGGCTCTGTAGGTCTTGAAGCAGAAAGAAAAGATTGCAAGATTGTCATATAGTGTCATCAAGGAAATGAGGGCACTCTACGAAGCCAAAACGGAGTCATGCCTACGATGCTATAGGCTACCAGAGAAGAGCATGGAAATTGCCTACCCTTGCCGCTGCATAGATAACTGCTACATCAGCAATAAACTTGTGTGTGATTACCCCAACCTACCACCTTGCGATTACTGTGAAAAGAAAGGACGAAGAGAGTGCAAGGCCCAGAATCTCACCACAGAAATGAAGCCGTGAGGACGACTTTTTTGAAGTCTCATCAGCAAGAGTGAATCTGGCGCTGTTGGCGCGCAACTCGCTTCAGAAGGGAACGGTACTAAGAGTTCTTCTCGAAGATTACACCAATACACCAACATCAGTTGGGTTATGTCCTTTTATTGGCTTGGATGGGAGGGTTCCACTGGTTTACACAGAGATTTCGGAAGAAATTAGGAATGTAAGCGCTCCAGCCTATTTGCTTCCTCATCATGCTAACAGGAAATTGGACGCTGTCTTGCAAGCTGGGGGTTGATAATGTTTTGAGAGAGGGGAACGCATGGTTCTGAACACTCTACATGTCTTGTACACAGAGTGATGATGTTGGATAATGACTCTACCAGAATGAATGAATCATTTAACATAACATAATGATGATCATAATGCAAATCTTGGTCCCCAAATCCTACCAACCCTTTTGCCAATATGGTCCGCTAACAACCTTAGCGCGATGATTCAAGTGCATAGCGTGTCGAGCATTATTTCCCCGCTTACTAGCAAGAGGTCGCTCCGGCCGATCCAATTCATCAACGACGCCCCCAAAAGAGCGGCCCATCACCCTTGAGGTCGTGCTATCAGACAAAGAAGGTGGAAGGTCCTGAGGTCCAGTACCCCACGCACTTTCATTGCGACCCAGAGTGAGCACCAAGTCTTGACCCTCGGTGAAGAAGTCGTGGTCAACCCAGTTTCGGGTATATGGTTGGCCATCCAGAGTGGCAGACTGGATAAAACCGGTACTCCCAGTGTCGTTGAGTGAATTGAATTTACTCCAGTTCGCAACGCGTACAGTAGCCGTGTTGCCCGTCAGAGGCGAGACGATGCTCACAGATTCGAAGAATGGTACGGTTATGAGATAAACGCTTTGTCCTGGGTTTGGGAAAAGACCCATCATAGACATCGCAACGAAGGAACCCATGGCACCGGAGTCGTCGTTACCAGGGAGTCCCGCTGGTGTGGGAGAGAAGAAGTCTGGGATGTATGTGCGCACCCGAGCGGTGGACTTGGCAGGACGACCAGCATAATGATATTGGAAGACAGTGAGGAAGGCAGGTTCATTCCCAATGTAGGTGATGTTCTGATCGTGGAGGTAGTCAAGGCGCTTGACGAAGCTGGCAGGGCCACCGAGCATGGGGATTAGAGCTGCCATGTCGTGTGGAACAAAGCTTTGAAGTATCCGTTAGTTGCAGATAACGGAAAGGTAAAGGACATGTAACGTACAATTGGTATTCCCAAATACTGGACTCAAATGTCTCCACAGCGTTATTCTGAAGCGAACAAATACTTCCGCTGTTATCGATATTTGAGCATTCAAGAGGGTCCTGGTTTCCCCAGGTTTGATTCAGGTACTTGGGTTGGAAGAACCCAGTAAATCCGGTGTCTTTTCCGTTGATGAAGGAGGTCTGGTCTTGTTTGAACAAGTTCTTCCAAGACTCGGAGCGTTTCTCATACTTCTCAGCGTCACTGGTCTTATTGAGATCCCGGGCCATCAGGGCGATAGCAAAATCATTGTATGAATACTCAAGAGTGCGTGATATACTCCGGGTCATAGTGCCAAAGCCCATGTAGTCAAAGTCTTCCACGGGAATATAGTGGAGCGATTTCCAGCTTCGAAGGCCTCCACGACCCTCATTAGACCAATCGTAAGGCTCATTTTCGGCGTCTTTCTGAACTGCTGCGTAGCCTGCATCCCAATTAATGCCGTCATTGAGACCTTTGACGTAAGCGTCGACTAGGATGTTGTCCGCATTTGAGCCACCCTGTGTGAAACCTGAAGTTACAGTCAGCCAGTGTGCCCATTTTCAATCCATCGGTGATAAGCATCATTGGTACCCTTGCATAGCGACATGCGGCAGTCGGGTAGCCATCCCAGGTGGCGCTGGGTATCAATAAGAGAGCGCACCATCTGGGCCACGGAGCTAGGATCGAAGATCGTCAGGAAGGGGATCTGGGAGCGGAAAGAATCCCAAAGACTGGAAATAGTCAGCAATCAGTCTCATGATCTATCAACACAAACGAACCAGTAGAAAGAGTCAAAATATGGCTCGGAGCTTTTCCACAGAGGGTTCTCTCCCGTATAGTTCTGTGGATTAATCATAGTTCGATAGATACCACTGTAGAAGTTAGTGAGGACAGACTCCTTCACGCCATTTCGCGACACGCGAATAGGTTGCATTTTTTCAGTCCACTGATCAATGGCATCTTGGAGTGTGGATGCAAAATCGAAATCTCCTATCTCCGCTTCCGCATGAGAACATGCTTGCTCTGGACTAATGAAGCTCACACCCACGCGGGCTTGGATGATGCCATCAGGAGGAGCCTCATGGCGAATAAACCCGCCTCCCTAGAATCCTATCAGACTCAGAATTTAATTCCATGTGCTTTTAATTGCTTACCGGAAGTGGATAACCATTGATACTTCGAGAAATGGTCAGATCATGGACGTCAGTGCTTGCTCGAGCATCGACAAAAATACCACTATCCCGCAACGAGCCGGAGCTTTGGAAATCAGCACAAAAATGTAGAGTATAAGCTCCACTTCCAAAGCTTGGGAGAAATCTGCCACTACCCGTCATGCGGCCACTGGATTTGTCAATGGAGATGGATGCGTTGTCCTGTCGGGAGTCGGATAGATCCGAGAGATCCAACAGGATAAGCGGCTTGCTCTCCTCCGGGAAAGTGAATCGAAATAGAGAAGTATGCTGGGCGGCAGTCATTTCGACATCCACTCCCGATTCTAATGAAAGTGCAAAATAGCCCGGGCTGGCCTGGACCGAGCCCGGAGTATAGGGCGTTGCCCGGGATTTCTTCGGATAGACGCAGCCATTCACATCGTCATCCTTGCATTGTACGTATGGAAAGAGAGGAAAATTGCCGAGAGAAGGACTGCCACCTGTGCCGGAGTCGTGCATACTTGAGAAGCCAGTTACGTTACTGCCGTCGTATGCGAAGCCGCCTTGGTTGCTGTCGGAATTGGTATCGGCGCCCGCCTTGGCCATGCCATAAGGCAGCGAAGCACCCGGGAAGACATTTCCTGCAGAATGAGATAGGCTTGTTAGATAATGTAGGTTGAAATAAAGACAAAGAGTGGCTCGCAACCCACCTCCGTTGGCGCTGCCGATCAGCGGGTCGATATACTGGAGTACATCATAATCCTCCACAGAGGACACGGCGGTGCCAGCCAGCGCGCGACTGCTGGCAAGAAAGAGCGACAGAATAACATGCTGCGAAAGCATCATTGGAAAAGAGTGAAAGCAAAGGATCCGACATTATGCCCAGAAAGGAGGAAGACTGGTATTTAGCAGAATTGCAATGCCCCTGCGCAGGGAGTCGTGGCTGCCCGCCGGCATGCCGCCCCTGTCGATCATCCCCGCGTCGCGGTGTTGCATCGCGGCCCTGAATTTGCAACACTACATGCATTCTGCTGCATGCTATTTATTTTTGATTGGTGACACGATATGGTTATACAGTGGGTAAGTCGAGCAGCTGGTACGGTCGCCCGGGGCGATCAGGCGGCCCGATTCGAGAGTCGGCTGATCGGCCCAGCGTCCAAGAAACCCCTTCCCTAGTCTGGATCGAGACGAAGTGGTCAACGCCGGACCCGATAATAGTATATCGACTTCATACAAGGCGCAACTCATCGCCCACCATTTGTGGCTCCACACACAAATAGTCCAGTGCTTAACATCTTTTCGTCTGATTGAAAGACCTGTGGCCTTAACCCAAAATATGACCGTGGCACGTGGGATGCTTTCGTGTGGAATTCCGGAGATCGTTCGTCGTATAGATCGTGGAAGGTCGATGTGTGTGGCACTTGCGTGGATGTCAGTTGTCTTTTCCCGCAAATTATATTAGGACTGCCACAGCTGAGATAGATTGGTGAAGTAGCAGGGGAGATATTCACAGCTAATGAATTGCTTGGCAGCTGGCATTCTGCTGGTGTTAAACTGCAACACGTATTGCATTTAACAGCCTCTCGGTCCAAAGAGATTGGGTATATAAACCTGCCACAGTATAAGCACCGCACAGAAAGGTTCAGCTTCAGTATCAACAGGAGAACATACCTAGAACGAATGGAATATGCTTGTAAATATAGAAGGGCATCATTTTGCCCCGCGTAATGGCGGCACGGGTGAAGGTAAAGATACTTCGCATAATGGCAAGGGAAGTGGAAAAGATTTTTCAAAAAGACTATCTAGCTGAGCAAGGTCGTTTTGTAGAGATTTGAAGGCTGAATTGCTGCTCCATCTCATCTATACCACAACCTCATCTAGGCCTAGGTATAGGTACTTGTCAATGTAAATACGGGGCGATTGGCTGGCATTTATGGTAGTATAAACTGCTATCTGAACAGCATTTACAAAAATGTAAAGTCTCCCTTCAAATAAAGAATGGTCTAACAAAGAAGCGTGCCCGGAATTGAAGCATTCGTTGCCTTGGCGCCGCGTGTCGTATTCGTCGAATACTCCTTCAGTCCTTCGTACAGGAGAGTTGTCCTCGCCAAAGACCGAGAAAGTCTAGTGATATTAGAATATATTTTCACATAAAGACTCATTTTTATTGGAAACTCTTCTAGATTTGCTTAATGACTATACAGAGGTGATTCAATTGCAAAAATGTACGTTCAGTCACATATCAAACTGAAGGACTTCGTAAGTTCTCGATTCAGACATTAGATACAGCTTATGAGCTTGTCTAAGTCTCCGGTACCTTCTATGAAAGTTTTACGAAAGTGTTTATACAACCAAGCGACTGAAAAGGTCTCTAGCTCTTGCCCTCGACTTTTATCTTCTCTTCGTATTCGTCGCATGTTTCATATCCCATCCTCATCCATGCATCCTATCATCCTCATAAACAACTCCTACTGCTTCCATCTCTTTATCAATCGCATCTACAACTCCTGCGGCTTTGTCTCTACCTGAATCGCATCAAAGACTCCAACATCCTCCCCATTCTCATCAAAAAATGGCCTCCCGGATTGATCCCACTGTCATCCAACGCTCCGAGAACCCTTCCTCTCCAGTCAACCCCCTGATATCAGCTCTTTTCTCTGTTCCACCACTTCCTGCACCTATTTCAGGATGTGGGGCTTGCAACAAACAGAGTGATAGTCTGATACGTTGTACTGGATGCAAAGTGATGCACTACTGCTGCCGCGGACACATGGCTGCTCACTGGCTAGCACACAGGGCCGAGTGCAACCGCCTCGATAAGCATGAGTTCATCGGGCCCATCGTTGAAGGATGCAGTGCAGCATTTTTGGCCAACTTCAATAATCTGCTAGGGCCAGCACCTTTTGCTTGGGGACCAGAGGTAGACCTGGTTCAGACGGAAGATACTATGAGTTATCTCGCAGACCTCGCTCAGATCAATACAGTGGCGTCAGTCAAGATCCAGCTCGATCGAGTCATGGGCCTGCTTCGCATGGGTCTAACTGAAGATGCTGGGATGTGGGATATACCACCAGCTCTGCTCCTCCGACTTGGCCGCTGGCAAGAGTGCTACGACTTGCTCAAGTGGTACGCGGCCCCCACCACGGACTCTCCATACCTGTGGAAGGATGAGGAGTACGTGGTCTGCCGCACAAAAGATGCCGACTTCTTCGAACCGGTCGACGTCTTCCTCTACGATCCTCATTCTTACGCCCCTGAAGTGCACCACACGTTGGCCCACCATGTCTTCCTCGCCCTCCTCAAGATCTCCTTGCTCTTGGAACTCCAGAAGATGGATTCCACAGCAGTTGTGCTTCGCAAGCGGCTGCCACAAGAGCTTGTGGATCTTGTGTTGGGATACGTGGGTGATAACCCGGCCATCTCAACGGATCCTCGTGCCATGCAATACGATGCTCGCATAACATTAGTGAATGAGTTGAGCGTTCAGATCTTCACAGTCTACAGACATGTAGACCATCTGAACGTCCACTTCTGGGGGGCGCTGCTGAGCCCAGACATTCACTTACGAGCACGGCCGTCTTCCTGCAGGCCGGGGTCCGTGGAGGAGGCGCGGGTTGTCCTGCTTAGGACCCATCGCGAGTGGGTTCTCACGCCTGGCGCGATGGATTACATCGACGGCCTTCGAGGGCGTGAGAAGTGAGACATGGAGGATAGCTGAGCTTGCGAGAAGTGAGTAGTCGTGAGTACCGCGCTGCTCATCTAGCTGTCAGGTTTAGGTCTGATACAGAGGGTGAGAAGATCCCGAAATAACGATCTCCTGTTAAACCCTCTAGATATCCTCGTGAATGTCACCCAATATAGTTCATTCCAGACTCCCCAAAATCCGCACACTGCCCCTACATGAATTTAAACCTGAAGATCATCGTAAGCTTCACGTCACTTAGCGGCTAAAGATCTGCAATAACCCGCCCTGACAACCATTAAACTTATTTTCATCTGTTGGTTTCTGTACATTTACTGAACAAAGAGAAGTGGATCCTGCTCCAGATATTTACTGGACACTTTGATTGATATCTACGGAAAGCTAGTTACCGTGTGCATATTAGGTTCTAACCCATCATGAGACAGATAGGCTCAACAGATCTTGTGAACATGATCAAGACTCCTGAGGACCGAAAACGAGATTGTTTCCTTTGTTGCTTGAGAGGAATCAGAGATCTCCTGCTTCGATCATGATTCTCTCGAGAAGAGCGATCGCCCCGGGAGTCTCGATCCACGATTCCCAATTCATCTTCACCTGGGCTTTCATCTCCTCCTCCAAGGTATGTTCCTCCCCCGGCCACTGAATGTCCCCTCGCATCGACCACACCATTCCTTTCCAAACCAAGGGATTCATGCCCTTGACCTTGCGGTAGAGCTGTAGAGCCTGTCCCAACAGGGTCTTCATTGCCTCAAAGCGTGCGACGGCACTTTTGGTCAGGGCCTCGTTTTCGGCGATCTGCTTGGTGAATGGGACGTTCTTCAAAACAAGGTCGAAGACTTCGCCGCCGAGCTTGTTGCCGAATGCGCGGATTGCCAGGTTCAGTCGTTGGATATCAAACAAGAATCGGATCTTCACCAGGCACAAGGGGATCAATGTCATGATGGGTGTCTCGGGCTTAAAGACTTTGATTGATTCGAAGATATCCTCCTGTTTGTAGCCAACAAAATCTTTGCGGGGGTTAGGAATGATCGGGTCGATGATGATGGGGTTTCCGAATCGGCAGCTCAGGTAGTCGAAAGCAGTCTTGTGCACGGGTTCCCCCGTTTGATTGGCGTGCCACTTCATGAAGTCGTAACACTCTTGGTCTCTGTTGATGCGCATCATCAGAGCGGGGACCTTGAACCTGTAACCATTGCTGTCGATTCCACTCATGTACATGATGTGACAGGCCCAAACAAGCTGTCTTTCAACGGCGGTACGATGTCTGATAGGCTCGTGTAATGCGATCAAATTAGATAGTTCAGCCAAGTAGGGCTGGGCTTCGGGGATCAAGTGGAGATGTCCGAGGTTTCTGCGGAAGGGCTGAGTAGAACAGGACTCCAGCTTCAGTCTCCATTCTTCAGCTCTCTCGCGAGCAGCTTGAATGGGGTTGCAAATCTTCTCATGCGAAGGGCGGTCCAGCAGTAGGTGCTCATCACTGCAGTATGTCATGGCACGACAAGTCCCGCAATCAATAAGACCATCCTGCTTTGGGCAAATGGCACAGCCCGAGAGAAGAACTGGCCGCACTTGAAGGTTCAAATTCAAGTCCAACGGGTCCATTGAGCGAGGTTCAGGATCCGGTGATGGGTTCAAGGCGGAGTCGTCCGGGGATAAGGGAGCTTGCGAACCCTCAGAAAACGAATAACTTCTTCCATCGAGGTCTTTTTCTTCATCGACAGCTGAAGTCGGGAAGTCTTCTTCGCCCACGAGGGACATGAGATCCTCTGTGATGTCAGGCAGCGTGGGAAGATCCCACAACGGGTCGAGCATGGGACTATCCCACGCGTCAAGGCGCTCAAGCTCCTTCAAGGCCATGGCGTACATATCAGCACCCCAGTTCAAAGAGGGCAGATTTCGACGACTAATGAATAGCATTATGAGACTGAATAGTTGATGATATTGAAAAAGATACTGTTCGGGACGGAAGGTTCGAGTTTGGGAGTCTGGGGTATGATGTGAGCCTAAAGAGCGAAGGTGGGGGTTGGTCAAGAGAGAGAGATTGTCGAAGCACCAATCCAAAGATAAGTTGTTTGCGAAGTTCGGCCATCCAGTAGAGAATAGACTCTTCGATAAACTTCTTCATAGAGTATCGGTCTCTCTTTTTCAGGTCTTTGTTTTCAACAATCCCGATCTATCTCTAGAAGTCTTGGTAGCTATGACGAAGACATAGTCGGCTATCATTCACCCGGTATGGAGTGTTCTCTTGAAATAGAGAGTATTAAGATCAGGCTTTACAATACCATCAAATGTTACAAAATGTAGATCTAGCACGTTTTACCCGTTATTTACTCTCGATTTTCCCTTCCCCTTCGCCAACATCATTCAATACCGCTCAGTGACTCCACAACAAAAGTCATATCTGCCTATAATCGTGATGAATTAAGTCTCCATAATCTATTTTATCAATCACCGAATATCAGGAAATCCGGATAACACTCTAAACGTGCTACACAAGGGTGCGATATTGTCTCAGTGTCTTCCTATACTTCGGCACAGTGGTTTATCCGGGGTCACGTGTTACAAACGCTAGCCGAAAACGGACGGCCTGCTCTCGATGGCCGTAGTCGGGCGCGTTTTTTTTCGATGACTCGATTCCCGAATGAATTCGTGTCGGGTATTCTTGTGTAACGCTGATCTTGAATGTTTTATGCATCATAGCATATTATCCGATGGCACGTACGTGCGTAGTCAGGAGCGACGAGGCTAATCATACGGCTACGGTACCTCCGTACATCGTGATTCTTCCAAACAAACTGAACATCATTTAGGGCCACCTTTTCAGACTATATGAATAATGATAGATCCTGATGTATGGGATTGGAGATTGCAGGTAACAAATAGTAACTGGTTTTGATATAGACTGTCTTCGTTATTGGATGGCGATAACACGGCTCTGTCACGATCACGACAGGCATTCATTCCATTTCCATTGCAACAGGCCTACCTTGCGTGAATTTAATGTCCAAGAACAAGAAACCCGAGATATTGTGGTTATTCTCATGAGACTTTCAAATGGCAACCTGTCATGGCTGCAGGCGTTTATCATGGATGCTTGCTACAAGTATGCAGTGGAGCGAGCGGTGGAGATAAATCTGCACTGGCGATCTAAACGGTCATGCCAAACCCAAAGCAGACAAATTAGAATCGAAAAGTGTTCATAAAAAAACATCTCGACACTAATACACTCTATGTACTCATAAATATTAAAGCCGAAGAAATTTTCAAGCTTAGCCACCACATAAAATTTGAGTGTGCCTGGATTGATGACAAAAAGTCCGGACAACGCCCAAGAAGGACAGGATGCCGAGGTAACTTGGCCGGAGTCCACTCTCCGTCCTCAACCAACCTTTGCCTCCCAACAACTCGACCATAACGCCCTTGAAGCGGATCGGATTTGGATCATGCTCCGTCCGTCCTCTTTCGCTACTTCCTCCTTCTCCTCTCTTCCCTCCTTCACATCGTCTACAGCCCGATTGACGCCAGCCCCATCTCGGCTTCTCCTCCAGCGCCGGATAGCCTCATCGACAAATCGACACTCGTTCGCGCCTCCGCGGTATACACGCAGTCGACCCTACTCTACCGGTAAGCCATGTCCTAAAAACTACATCCCGATGCACCTGCGCTATCGCATCTCTAAGTGGAAATGTTTCTAAACCGTCGGCAATCGCAGAACCGAATCCTTCCGTTCAGCCGCAAACACCCCCTCCTTCTCCTCCTCCGCGATCGCGATTCCGCCGTTTCCTAGGCTTCACCTCGATCGCCGTTCTTGCCTTCTCTGCAGGCCTTCTCTACCAGACTCAACGTACCGTCTCGCGACTCATGGCCGTCCCTATCATCTCCGACGCCGAGACCCTGACGGCGTTCGTCCCCGTTGACGCTCAGGCTGAGGAAGTCAATGAGTATATCCGCACACACCCCGAGGCCAAAAGGCTTCGCGCAGATGCCGAATTTGAGGAGTCGCGCCCGCATTTGCGCTTTCCAGAGGCGCTCCGCGCGCGCAGTCTGACGGCCGGCGCTCTGGCGGGCCCGAACAAGCTCGTTGTTCCGCCCTTTGTGTTTTCCCACCGCGAGGGAAAGAGCCTGGTCTCATTAATGTATCTGGGCTCTGATGTCTGTGGTCACCCCGGTATTGTTCACGGTGGTATGCTGGCTACGTTGTTGGACGAGGGTCTTGCTCGCTGCTGTTTCCCAGCGCTGCCGAACAAGGTCGGTGTTACCGCCAACCTCAACATTGATTACCGGGCGCCGGCCATGGCCAACTCCTACGTGGCTCTCCGGGCGGAGACTGTCAAGGTGGAGGGCCGCAAGGCGTGGGTTGAGGGTCGCATTGAAACTCTTCCCGAGGAAGGAAAGGAGCCGGTGGTGCTAGTTGAGGCCAAGGCGCTGTTTATCGAACCCAAGCAGGCTGCTGTAAGTTGACCCTGGATTGTTCCAACTTTAAACTTTTTGTTGTGGCGAAAAGTGTGGCTAACTGGCTAAATTCAGGCGCTCTCCTTGTACCGTGGCATCAGCGATTAAAGGAAAAAAATCTCTGACGTGATCAACTTTGTTCCTGGTTCCTGGCGCACCGGGCGACTCTTGTTTTTTTCTAATTTTCCTTTCTGTATCTTGTTTTCTAGAGGGCATTTTGTAATCATCCCGTCGGACACGACTGGATTGTCTATAGCATAGAGTTTCTTGATCGGCCATCTTTAATGGAATCCAGAGTTGACATCAAGACCCGAGTGGATCGATGGCGCAATTCGTATCAAACCGGCAATTTCGTATCAAACCCACGCCAAGTCCGGACCCCGCGATCAGCACTCGTCTTCCGCTCTTACGCGGCCCGTTTCACCGTCTCTTTTTAGTCTTTCTTCCTCTCTTCTTCATCCTTCCTGCACATATCACACCCTCTTCACAATGGCCACGTAAGTCAATTGATTCCCTCAAAATCTCAAGGATCATCTCGCCAATTGCCCTCCAATACGCCCCAAGAAACGGCCCCAGAACCGGGAACAACTATGCTAACCCCACCTTCTCCAGCAACATTACCTTCCACGCCGCCGCCCTCACTCGCAAGGAGCGCAATGACCTGCGCAAGCAGCAAGGTCTCACCATCTGGCTGACCGGTCTGTCTGCCTCCGGTAAATCCACCCTCGCCGTCGAGCTGGAGCACCAGCTCCTCCACGACCGCGCCGTGCACGCCTACCGCCTGGACGGCGACAATGTCCGCTTCGGCCTGAACAAGGATCTGGGATTCAGCGAGGCCGACCGCAACGAGAACATCCGCCGCATCGCCGAGGTCGCCAAGTTGTTCGCCGATTCCTCCGCCATCGCGATCACCTCGTTCATCTCCCCCTACCGCAAGGACCGTGAGACTGCCCGTCAGTTGCACGAGGTTCCCACCCCCGGCGAGGAGACTGGCCTGCCCTTCGTTGAGGTCCACGTCGATGTCCCCGTTGAGGTTGCGGAGCAGCGTGATCCTAAGGGTCTGTACAAGAAGGCTCGGGAGGGTATTATCAAGGAGTTCACCGGTATCAGTGCCCCCTACGAGGCTCCCGAGAAGCCCGAGGTGTACATCAAGAACGTGGATCTGGCTATCCCCGACGCTGTGAAGCAGATCATTGATTACCTTGACTCCAAGGGTTACTTGCCCCCCAAGAAGGAGTAAACTGGCTTTTACTTCCTGGTTATGAATGGTGTTCTTATGATGAAAATTTTGAGTTTGTACGAGCAGATTTCGGCCTTGTGAGCATTGAGGGAAGGAGGCAGTCGCATACTGTGGGGTGGATCTGGAGAGAATGGTTGTTTTTGTCTTGATTCCCCGCATACAGGCGCTGTATATACTTGACAAATATAGATCGCTTTGCAAAAGAATTGATCCTCTGAACAGGACCTAGAGATTGGAACCAGAGAGCTCGGTCGATGTAGAAAAATCGCAACCTGGATCAAAACGATAAAAAAAAGAAAACATGCTAGTTTGTGCTCAATGTACCTGACTTGGTATATGTACGCGAACCCCTCTTCGCAACAAGCCCCTGCTCTATACCCCGAAGGAGGTTTCACTCGAACTCGAACTCGTAGTAGACATATGGCGTGTACTCTGCGCTTCCCTCGGCGCCCGCATGCATCTCGTTCGGGTCGTCCCGTTTAACGCGGCCCTTCTTGTCTCGGCCAAAGGCATTGCCCGCCAGGTATGAGTACTTTTCTTCAAGGTTGCTCTTCGCCTTGTCTGCTTGCTTCGAGGATGGGGTCTAAAGGGCGAATCACTGGTGTTAGCAATTCACATCACGAATGGAATCCATAAACAACAATATGAGAAAAACATACCCGAATCAGACCACAGACAAAGTCTAGCGGAAGACCATACCGCAGGACAGTCTCCACGAACACCCGCAGAACCAGGATATGGATCCAGACCATAACCGCCTCGCTCCACGCAGTCCGACCTAGACGCAGTGTCTCACCCCATAGCTTGCGCTCGTCGCCACCAACACGCTCAACTTCCTTGCGCTCCTCCTCCTTGCCGCCCTCGACGTACTTGAAGTCGCGCGGGATCCACTTCTGCTCGCGGCACTTGTGCACGAACTCGACGCTGTGCTTCTTGAAGCTGGTCACAGCATAAAGAGAGAACTCGCTGTCCTCGGCGAGCAATTGTGCAGATCGGGGGACGACCATCGGGGCGACAGTCTCGTAGGTCTTGAGGAAGTCCTTGACTAGCTGGGAAGGCACGGCGATCAGGTGAGTCTCGATGTATTCGGAGTTTTGGACGATGGATCTGGGGTCGATAACAGAGGCGAGGGATTTTGTGGAGAGGTTTCCTCTGTGTATTAGCGGCAGTGTTAGCTTGTTGCAAGTGTTCGCGACAAAATAGCGGTGGGCTCGCACGTTTGTTTCCGCTGGAGCGTAGCCAACGTGTTCTTAACTTGGTTATATTGCGAGTACTTGGACCGGATATCATTGTCGATGCTAGCAGCTTCCTGTAGGATATATTAGCCCCCGAGGTCTAGTTTGAACGCTTGTTATCAAGAACCGCTCCGTGGCTTACCTTGTGCAGCAGATCGATCAACTCCGCCAGCGGCTTATCCGCACGATACTTGACCTTATTCCATGAGAACGTGCGCAAGTATTGATCAACAGGCTCTGCGGATTGTCAGTCAGTCCCTCGAGGACAGTCTCCACTTTACTTCTGACCACGTACTATCATTCACGACCTTCATGCGCTCAATCTGCGCCTCGTCGCCCTCGAGGATATTCTTCAACGCATCGCCGACCTTGCCAACCACTGCCTGGCAGGAATTCTCCAGCTTGGCTAGCTCATCAGCCTGCTGGACCAGCGCATCTAGCGTGCCGATTTTGAATTCCGGGATCGGAAAGGAGGCTACGGAGCCATTCTCGGGGGAAACGGTAGCCGATACGGCGTCGAGGGCGTCATCGCGGTGGTGCGAGGGGACGATGGAGGTCGGAAGAGAGACAAGGAGGTATCGGCCGGGCTTGGACATGGTGACGGTAGGGAACGAAAGACAGGATCAGGACAAAAGAAGCCCTCGAGGCGGGGCAGGAGGTGAAGGTTGGGGGTACAGGAGCTGCGGGAAGCTGGCGAGGTGATGTCGTAGGCGGTCGGGCGGTGATTGGCGCGGGACGAGGCCACGGTACGGGATACTCTCCAGTACACACTCCCCAGTTAATGCTCAGCACCGCAAAAATGTAGTTATCAACAGTAAGCTGCATTCTGTACATCATTGACATCTTTCTCGGAAGCTATAGATTCTCTATCTTGATGCTCCAATACCTCCTGTTGCCTGATACCCTGCCTATACTGGTCTTGCTTCAGTTCTGGTCTATTTTCTGACGTTGAATCTCTATGGAGCTCTTTGCATATCAATTCCTACCTATTTTGACATCTCATAACCAAAGTTTCTCTTTCTATACTAACTTACGACTGACTCGAACTATGTGATCTCTCACTGCCTTTTCTGGCCGGTGAAACTCCGGTAGAGTCAATCTTGGTTGGTCACAAATTAAGCCTGGTCGCATAGCCCTGTTTAGCCAATAGTCCTGAGACTTTTCTCCCAGCGCTGCCACGTCTGACCTCGTCAGCCCCGTTGATGTCTGTGCCTTATATGGTGGCTATGCCCCCATTCTACGATAAATGTTCCGATGCTGCCCTCGCGCTCATCTCCTCTAGTCTCATTCTCGCCGAATCCCTCAATATAACGACCAAAAAGCCTCAGAGCGCAGAGATATATCATGGCCGAGGTCGCGCTGGGGGTCGCGGGATCAGTGGTTGGGATCGTATCCCTAGCGGGTCAAGTCTGCACTGGCATTCAAGAACTCTATGCGTTCTTAGACTCGGTAAAAGACTCGGAACTTGATATGAAAGGCATCAAAGACGATGTCAACCTTCTCCAAAATGTCATACAGTGGATCCATCAAGACTTGACAAAAGTCCCGGAGAATGTGGATGCTACGCTTCCTAGGACGTCTCTCGAACTGTGCAACTCTCGCATTTCAAGGCTATTGGCTATTGTCAGATCCTCTGAAACTGTGGATCATAGAAACAAGGCATTCAAAAGACTACAGATAACGGCGAAGAAAAAGAGGATTATTGACTTCATGAGGGATCTTGACAGCGCGAAGATGAGCTTAATCTTGGTTCATCAGCATTATATCCGGTAGGGTCGTATATTGATCGTTTGTTTTGCGGAATGAACTGATTTTAACTGTGACCAGAGAGAGCGCTCTTGAAGGCACTGTGGGAGGAGCAAGTTACCCCGTTACTGCAGTAATAAAATCGGGCGAATCGTCTATCAATCAGGATCCAACAGGGGCTGATAACAGCAGTGGCAAGAATCATCCAATGCACATAAGGAGGCCCAACCCCGTCTTCGATACAGATACATCGGATGTTGAATATCAATTCTTGCTTGGAACAATATCCATCAAAACTCGGTCAAGTCGTCCTATAATGACGAAGACGGATTCTACGAGCAATACTCAACATGAAATTGAAACGAAAACGTTCAAACTTCAGTTGGTAAAATGGCTCGCCCCCTTCAATGTAGAGCTGCAAGCTCTGCGACGCTGGGGCACGTGGACTTATCAATTGCGACATTGGCGAGTGATAAATGCCAATTCCCTCTTATTCGAGCTGTGCAAGGATGGGGATCTGAAAAATATTCAACGCCTTCTTGGGGGACGGCTTGCCTCTCCCTTCGACGTGTCTCCGGAAGGCAGAACGGTCTTACATGTGAGTTACTCGCTTTAGACACTGGCCTACCTTGCCATATGTTGACAATCTCTGTGAAAAGTATGCCGCGCGATCGGGACATGCGGAACTGGTTTCCTTTTTCTTGCAATTGGGGGCCGACGCAAATGCTGAAACCACGAACGGAGAGTATGGGAACCTTCCACATTTTCCATCATATCTACTTACAGATTGATACAGGAGCGCGTTTCAATATGCAATGTGGAGCCCGCGAGGACAAACCCATCTTGAGTTAGCACGGCTGTTCGTAACCCGGGGACAAGTTGACCCTATAGTTTCCGGGTCACAGTATGGCATCATCCACTCATATGAAGGGACGTCTGAGGCATTCGAATATATGATCAAGCAAGACCAATTTTTCGTTGGCCCAGAGGAGCGCAATCAAGATGGCAAAACCATTCTACATCATCAGATTCTCTACAGACTCTATTATGGAGATGCCCTCCAACGGATCGAAGTTCTGCTTAACACTGGCCATCACGTTCTTGGCAGCAGGGTCACGATTATCGAAAGTCTAAATTTTCAAACGGATGGTTATACCGCGCTCCAATGTGCTGTTCAAGAATGGTCAAGATCCAAAATAAACAAAGACGAAACTACCGCCCAGCGAGCCAAATTAGTCGTGCAGAGTCTCCTGGAAAGAGGTGAAGACATACACTCCATAAGCAGCGGTCGACGATTCACTCCCCTGACAACGATTGGCGAAATGGTATACGACAAACCAAGGGCGTCCCAAGTGGAAGTCCTGTCTAAATGGCTAGACCTTCTCTCAAAGGCTGGCTATGAGCTGAACGAGTATCTTCTGACGGAGGCCAAACTGGAGCGAGAGCGACCGGAAGATGAAATTAAGCCCCGTCTCCGCCTTATCTTTGAGGAAGAGAACGGTCGGATATTACCTCAGATAATCGTGTCTTCATCAGATTCAACGGTGGTTTCGCAGGATGATCAGGTCTTAGTTACCACGGAAGAATTCACGGCTACGAAACTCCGTACAAAGGAGGTTCCGAACACTATATCGTCCGTATTACAACCCCTACATCTGCCGTTCCTTTCTCATTATGCTCATGGTCTCTTGGCTCTATGTTTGTTAATCGGTTTGAACGTGAGCCTGGCAATGACGCTTCTTGTAATGATGCCGGGCTGTTGTATGTTCATGGCCCTAGATTGGAGAAGAAGATCGATGTTACGAGATAGTGATCATCAATAATGGATGAATATGAGTGCATATGAAAAGTTGATAGCGACTAGTCGTCAGGGAAGAAATCAGGGTAACCTAAGTGTGTCTCGGAGCAGCCCACAATTCTCAAGGTAAGGAATCTTCACTGAGGCTTACCTGCAAGTAAATTGCGCCATCTATCGCGACCAGGAGTATCGAGGCCACAGTACGGATACTCTCCGGTATAAACTCTCCCAGTCAATCCTGCGCAGCACTGCAAAATTGTAGTAATCAACAGTAAGCTGCAGTTTGTAAATTAGTTATATCTTTCTATGCAGCTACAAATTCTCTATCTTGTGCTCAATACCACTTGTTGCCTGATACCCTACCTATACTGGTCTTGCTTCAGCTCTGGTATATATCCAAAGTTGAATATCTATGGAGCTCCCTACATAGCGATTCTTACTGACTGGATTTCCTACAGGTCCGCTCTAGTCAGATAAGCTGCTGGTTTTTTGCCAGTCTTTAGTTCACGGTTGCTGCTCTCCCCAAAATTATATTCTGTACTGCAGCTATTCTACACTCGCCTCGGGTATAAATGCGCCAAACTTCTTGACTGGCACCTTATCTGCGTAGAGGCGGTCGATCTCTTCGGTCGTGAGGCCGGTCTTGTTGGGAACACAATAATATGCACAAATGAAGACCAAGACTGACAGCCCCGCAAAGGGAAATGCGGCCTTTGCCCCCAAATCACCGGACTCCGTATTATACATGTAAGGCACGACGAACTGGGTCAGCCAGGTTGACAGCGTCCGGGACAAACCTCCGAGCGCGAGGGTTTTAGCCCGAGAGCGATAATTGGAATTCTGCGTAGCGAAAACATATAAAGATTATTGATTAGAGGACCCGCGAACCATTTCGCTATAGGGACGGAAGCGAGAGAGTTATTATTTAGTAGGTCGATAAGAGGATTATAACTATAGCCCTCTGGGAAGATATCTCGTTGTCAATGGATCCAGTCATTCCTTCGAGTCAATTCATACAGCCTGTGGGAATTCGAAGCTTTGATGTCTACGGGTGTAAAGACGATAGACACGGTCGACCCATGCCTTAAATCCTGTACTTGTCAAGAACTCAGATTTACTTACGCTACGCAGTACGTCTACAGGTATACCTGCAGACTTTTATGCAAAGAATTATCTACAAAAGAATGCACAAAAAGTCGAGTCTCGACCGGCGATAAAAAATACATAACGCTATTGACATTATCCAATGCTCGCTCAACACAGGTTGTGAATCCAAATAAGGGTAAAGTAGAAACAATGAAACAGAGTGCAAAAAGGGGCAGAAGCTTGAAACCTGAAACAAGGAGACAAGAGTCACTGGAAGACCACCCAAGCAAAATCAAGAATTTTTGAGTGAATTCCCCCATGCAAAGACCCAGCAGACGAACTAGTTGCAAGGCCAGGCTGACCGAATAGACAAGACCCAAGGGGGAACGAGGAGAATGACGGACTAGCTTTGAACCTGCGCAATATGTGAAGAGAAGTGCTTGCGAAGCAAAGAACGCAGAAGTTAGCAAAGGCATGGCAGGGTATCTGTATCGAGCGTGCAGCGCTGATCGTAAACAGAAGAGTGTGAAATGAGAAATGAAGGGGAGGATAGGCAAGAGACAAGCGACCAAGAAGGGGTTGGTCTAGCTTCTGTACAACGGTACAAAACATGAGGAGACACCAGAAGACAAATGGGTCAAGGCAAGACAAAAACAACGTCGAGAGTCCAGAATTAGGTCTGCATGCCCATGAAGACGTCCGAACAGTTATCAACAAGGAATTTCAAGATATCATTCTTCTTCTGCACATCCGTCATCTCGCGAGCCAAGCTCTCAGGCCGCATAATGGTCGGCGCAAAGACGACGGCGATGTTCTGACTGGTCATCAAGTTCTCATCCTGGCGCTCAACGACACGCTTCAGATGGAAGACTAGGAATTCCAGAACGTCACGATGCACAGGGGGCAATTCGGACAGAGCTTTTTGTAAGAGCTCAACTCGTGCAGGGGCGTGGGTGATCTCGGCAGAGTCAATGATCTTATCGTAGATGTCGTAGGTGATCAGTGGCATTGGGAGCTTGCGGAAGTATTGCTTAAGGGTGGAGGTGACGGCGTGAATGTCAAGGTCGGGGTCGGAAATATCATAGTCGAATGGAGAGCGTTCAAAACCGTCGCGAATACCCTGAATGGCGGAGGCGGCACCTGATTTCCGGTAGATACCTTCCATGTCCATTCCTAAATAGAGTTAGGCAAAGGCACTGAGATCATTATAAACGGGGAGAACACATACCTCGCAATTCGACCTCCTGGATACACCGTGTGACAATGGCCGGGATAATGCTCTTCTCGTGCTCCATACGCGCCTCCAAATCAGTACCAAACAGACCTAGAAAAAAAACATTAGCTGGAGCTTATAAACACCGATGAGTGAGAAAGTGAAGACTTACCACCTCCAGCGACTTCGGCCAAAACTGGCACGCTGTCGGCCTGCGACATCTTGCCGGCTTGTTTACTGCGCTGGTTTCCAAAGAATCCAAAGCCCTGTCGGCTAGGATCCTGAGTCTGAGACCGGGGGAGGCCACCACCACCCTCTGCATTCTCGCTAGACATGAAGGCGCCCTTGAGACCCTTGACACCCTTCGCAACGTTCTGCCCACCCTTCTTCCAGTTCATGAACTTGCCCTTACGCAGATTGACAACCTGAGGGCCAGGGACAACTGTAGCCGTGGCAGTTTGGGTCTCCAAGTCATCGGAAATGTGGGCAGTCGAGATAGACGGTGCAAGGCTATCGATGGTTGGCTTGAGGGTCTCGAGTGAGCCAATAGACCTGTCTTTGTTGTGAGATACAATACCGAGTCCGTTGGCACCACGCTGGCCGTCAGAGCTGGTCTTGTACAGCTCTTGAATCTGGTGCACCAGAGTGTTGTTCAGCTCAGCAAGCTGGGCGTTCTTAGACGAAAGTTGCTCGAATTCTTGGAAAACCTTTTCTTTCTGTCGATTGAGGATGGCAAGTTCTTCCGTCAAATCATTGCGCTTCTGAATGAGCTCCTCGATTTGGGGAGTGTAGGATTCCTTGAGCTTGTGAATCGATTCGGCAAGTTCACGAAGAACGTGGTTGGAAAGCTTTCCAAGATCCAAAGGCCCACCAGCGGCCCCCCGTTTCTCCGCTTCCAGATGATCCGTCAGCACCGTCAGCTCGCGCAGAACGATTTCTCTCTGCGCATCAAGAACGACCATGGTGGATCGCTTTTCCGAGAGTTCAGTGTTGACTTGCTTCACATCCGCGGTAGCGCGCAGGGTAGCCTCCATTTCAGAGACACGCTGGCGTTCCTTGCGAAGTTCGTTGCGAAGCCAGGCAATCTCTTCGGCTTGAGTGGTGCTAGCCGTAGGACTGCCAATATCCGTGCCAATCGAGCTGCCATTGGCAGGCGAGCGGAGATATTTTCCATCTTTTCCGAGGCGTATGCTCTTGTCACTGAAGCTTCGGCCGTGGCGCACCGAGTTGGACATGCGTCGGAGGAATGAATCGCTGGTTTGATCATCGTCCGGGAAGAATTCGCTACCATTGTAGCGCGTTTGGGATGGCGAACCTGCGCCGTCCATTGTGGTGGTCACCGAGGTGAGAGTCTGTTTCTGCTGCTCGGTGAAGCTATCAGGGAGTCTGGGAGATCCCCCGTAAGCAGAGGATGCAGGTGATGCGCTCACTTCCTTCCGTGGGATTTGATGGTGTTTCCCCTCGAGGGAATCACCCCGCTTGGGTGGGTAGGCCATGTTGGATGTAGGCTGCGAACGGCCCGAGTCCAATGTTGTGTGATCGTGGGGTCTGCGCAGTTCGGTTGATGGACGGGCAGAGCCTGAAGTAGCCCCATCCAACCCAGTGGCTTCCTTTGACCGGCTGCTATCAGGGCTCGTCTGACCAGAGAAAGCACTCATCTCTCTCAGCGCCAATGGCAAATCAGACCGAGAGCTGCGAGCAGATTCCGACTTGCCGAGCCTAGCTCTCTCTGAGTGTGACGTCGAGGGCTTATCAGTCCAACCATTCCGCGACTCCATGTCCCGTCGACCGGAGTCGTAATCGCGTGCGTCTCGACCTTTCTCCTGGTATGCAATGTGCGGGGAGGGTTGCTCTGATGATGCACGAGAGGGAGGTTCCCGCGTGTAATCTCGGCCGTCGCGAGAAGTTCGGAGAGACGAATCGCCAGTCCCGATCTGGCCAAAGGTGTCACGGGGCAGCTGTTGCTGAGGTTGTGTATTGGAGGAAGAGCGAAGGGCCTCTGAGGGGTCAAAAGTGAGAGGAATGAGGAATTCGCCGCCTTCGTCGGCGTCGTTATCGCGCTGTCCACTCAATTGACGACTGCTTCGGTAAGTACTCGAAGGGAGAATAAGATTGTCTATAATAGGGTGAGATGGTCAATCGATCAGTTCTCTATGGGTCATGGAATAGATGACCGGGTCGCAGCTTCCCTTACCTGTAGCAGCTGCCTCGCGAGTGGGCGACTCGGGACGAGTGTTATCGCCGTGGCCCTCTATCCTGCTGTGCGAGGGCTCCGTAGCCTCTGCGTACGTCTCACTCGCAGCCTCATCGATGGATCGGGTTTCCTCCATGCTCGGGGGAAGGGAGGGCAGCGACTTGTCCAGTTTTACCCCAGGCCCTCCCGGTCTTTTCCCCGTCGCGCTTGCCTTTTTTTTCCTTCTTCGTTGCATTAAAGATTCGTGACAGTCCATGCAGAATATGCCTTGTGAAGTACGGGCGTAGCGAAGGTTTTCGATCTTCCTCTTGCAGTTACGGCAACGAAAACACTGGGCACAGAAAGCCTGATCGCCCGTCAGAATTGCCAGATCTTCAATCTTGTTTCCACACGAGTTGCAGCTGTAGGTACAACTGCTGCAAATCAGGGAGCCGTCGCCGAGGAGAAGGAGGTGCGCGTCCGAGTCGAGAAGGGTACCGCAAGTGCTGCATCGGAAACAATCAATGTGCCATCTCTGTCCAGCTTTGCAGGGGGTTAGTCCAGGGTACGTTGACACAAAGCGTCAAAGACAAAGTAGCGGGAAACCTACAAAGCTCGAATGCTTTCCCTTCTTCCAAAATCTAATTGGGGGTCAGTCTGCGACATGGATAAACATTGTCAACACGATTCGTACCTCGCCACAACCCATACACGGGAAGGGAATATCCTCTTGCTCCATAGGAGACTCCGGATGAATAGCCGGTGAATCCATTTTGAATTCTTTCTCGTGACCGCTACTGTCGAGGTTCGCCGGTGGTCGTTATTAACCTATCCACTCCGCCGTCGCCGTCGATTGCGAGTTTGTTTGGCAGTTCAGCAACGTAGCAGGCCGAGTCACCGTCGCGAGGAATCAGATGAATACACGCGCTATGTGAACATGCGATCGCGCCCCCCGTCGGACGAATCGAGTACCGATCGTTGTGGATATGAAAGGGGTCGGACTATGGCAAGGCCGCAGCCGACGTCAAGAGTTGCGCGGGATTGGGGAAACGAGGGGGAATGCGACAGGGGTGAGCGGGCTGGTGAAAGAAAGTCGTGGCTGAAGTAGGAGGAGAGCTGAGGCGTTAGCCAACGATCAGACCCATGATCGGGTTAAGCGTGAGACACGAGGTGCAGTGCTGAGGTGAGCAAGGTCGATCACGGCTGCCGTTTTGGCTGAAATGGCTTCAAGATCCGTACCGCTAGGAGCACGGAGGAACTCCAGAGTAGCCCCAGGAATCAGTGGAAATGACCGTACGTACCAGACAGATAGAGACGGGACCACCAGACTAAGTGCTACACGATGTTTCAGGTAGATCGGCGCGGGTGTTGTGACAAGCGCTTCAGGCGAAGGGACAGTCAATTTGCCCCTCGCGGATGTAGGCAATTCGAGTCTCCGTACAGTAACGTTGCAAGGAGGGGTGACGATCGGACGAGCACGCGCAACAAAAAGGAAAGAAGCTAGATTGTGAGGGGTAAAAATAATTGGTCGTTACGGTGGAATTCGAAGTAAATTCGAAATTGAGGAGGTAGAACAAGAAAAGAGAGGAAGCTGGAGTCGCGCAGGGGGAGCCACAAGGAGGAGGAAAGGAGGCCGCGATGGAAGTTGGATTCTTCCAATTTGGTGGTGGGCAGAAATGACCGCCAGACACTTTTGTTCTAAATGACCTCCTCTTCCCTCTTTTTGAATTATCTTTCCAATGAAGTATATGCTTCCCCTTCTAACATCCCCCTTCAATTTCCAGAGATTAACGTTAAGTTACGGGCTACGCTTTACTAATCATGAAGCTCGACGCAAGTACTCCGTACTCCGTACACATTTAGGCCTAACGTGGGTACTCTTGACGACGAGAACGTGCGGGCCGCATTGCTACCCATGCCCCCCGCCCGGCCCAATAGGATCGCCCCAGCCCCAGGGGCGGTATGAATCTAATTAGACCGCAGCCCGGACGAAGATCTCTAGGACAATTCACTACCATGTCCCGATATTCAGATCTCACCATCACGGCACTTCCACGCAAAGGCAAATCTGCTCCGGCTTCCTAATGGGTCAGCAGCGTTGCTATTTCTGGCAAGCTCGTTTCTGCCCGTGACCCGACGGGGAGCATCGGTGCCCATGGAACGGCTCGTCTGTCTCAAACAAATCACCCCCGGTTCGTCCTTCTCATTCGCTGCGTGTCCGACATCAACCCATCCTGGCTGCCCCCCGCTTTTTCTCCCCTGAAGGAGTATTGGGTCGACGCGGAGGGGTTGCTCAGAACGAAAACGACAGTACGAAGGTTATTGCTCGTCTTCAATCCCCTGGTCCGGGCAAGACATCCATGATCCACCGAGACCACGGAACCCGTTAGCTTTCAGCTTGGGCCGCTTCGTTTCAGCGCCATCCTGAAACACCTGCGGTGTCACGTGGCGATCCATCGTGCCCCTGTCTCCTCTCATTCCCTTAGGTATCTTCTCCGATACAAAAGCTCAAGCATGAACAACCGTCCTTGAATATCCCTGGAGGTTATTTGTACCGTATCTCATAGACTTCATTCCACGCATAGACTTGGCTCCGATTAGTATGGTGCCGTGACCAGCAAGAGTAAACAGGACCGTCCATTTCCCCTGGATAGAACGCTGTTGATAGACGTCCTCGTATTCGTTCTTGTTGATTGGTCCGTGTGTTCTCGTTTTAAAAATAGACGGCACACCTAGATCTGCTGCGGCTCTCTCATGGTCCATACTCCATGAGCACGGCTGCAGAGGAACCTTGCGTATTCTACCTATCAACGCACCGACAGAAAATGGTTTAAAATATGGTTCGAACTATGGAATACCTCGGGAATGACATCGGACAGAAAAGGATTACCACCGAGTTAATCAAGGCGCTCGAACGAAAGAAATGATAGTGGCAGTACCCTATACGGCCAATGAAATATCAAAATGTAATCGAAATGCCATCCACCTAATCTTGACCCTTTCTCACTGATTCCAAAATCAAGCCCGGCCTCTCAGCCAACGAACCATCCTCGGAATTCTCCTGCGGCAGACAAAACCGCAAATTCAGCCTCCCATCCTTCCAAAAATTTACAACCACATCATAAACCCCACCACCTTCACACCCCGGATCCACCAGCCCTTTGATAGTGAAACACTCACGGTGGCTCGGATCAGCCTTCCAATACGCCATCTTCTTCTCCAGACTGATCACTTGAATCTCACGGTAGTGGTATCCACGCTGCTGCATCGCGTTTAACAAGCGACACTGATAAGAGGCCGGATTGAATTCGGGAGGGACGGTTGCGATCGTTTGTTGTCGCGCTGTTCGGCCGGCGGTAATGAGAAGGGCGAGGACGATTGAGGAGGTACAAAGACCTAGTTTCAATGCGTAGTAGATGTTCCCCTTTGCCCGGGTTGTGCCTTCCTCGGTGGATCTTGTGACATATAGACCGTATTCGGTAGCCGCGTAGAAGAACAACCATGACAGCACCACGCGAGAACTGGAAACGGAGTTAGTCAGGTAATTGGACTAGTCTGTGTTCACGATTTGACCTCCCTGATAGACCAGGGCATCGCAATTACTCACCTCGTCGGAAGATAACCGATGTGGCGGACGAACCGACTCCACCGCGACGATCGGTCTACGGCTGGCTTGACCCCAGACGGACCCTTAAAGGTAATAGCCCGATCATCGGGAACATGGCTACTCGCGAAAGACGGGTCCTGATGAACGCCACGACGAGCAGCTAGGAGGAATTGCAGCGGTCCTAGAATATCCACCTCGGCCGTGATGTCGCTCTTGGGGGCGATCTTGGCACTCTCCAGGTCTGACTGATGGTTCTCGCTTTCGAGAGCTTTTGCGTGGCTCATTATTGCGAGTCTGGTCGAAGTGCTGCTGAGAGATGCAGAAAGAGATTTTGGTTTACGAATGGATACGGGTTGTCTTTCCATTGAGGCGCAGGGACTGGGTAGAGGCTGAATAATGGGACTAATGGTCGTGCTTGGAAGTGGAGATGTGGTGGGCCTGTCAGCCTAGCCCCCCAGGCCATTCTGGACATAGCGAGGGCTCCCATAAGTACGTCTCACAGTCTTTTCTTTGGAATTAACAAGCAAAAGACAGAGACGCATAGAGACTATGCGAGAACCCAAGAGCAGCATGCCAGGGTGGGGAACGCCAACGTCCACAATAGGATGACCTGATTGCAGTAGAATGGATACATGCCAGTTGCGTGAGATAGACCCCTCCTGGTCATTGAACTGATGTACACAGAGCTAGTGATCATCTAAATCTACCACAAGCTCTTGCCCATGGAGACAAGCTCTTCGTTCCAACCAATTTCCCAAAGATCACCCGATAAATTTCTAAATTTCACAATTTCTGATCAAACTCAAGAGATACTACTCGAAAGAAAGAAGCCAATTCAAAGTATTAATTTAGCCTATGGGGCCCGATACAGCAGCCGATCGACCATTTCTCCGGTTCATGTTTTGACAAATCGCATGTGGAAACCCTCACTTGGTCTTCCAGCCAATACTCCAACAGTATCCCAATAAGTGAAGCTAAGACTGTAGTTGCAAACAATCCGGATAGCAAGAACAACCTACGTCGGACCCTCATTCAGAAAGGAATTCCCGTGTTCAAATGTTTCAGACTAGGACGTGCTCAAAAAAGCATGAAACAACCACCCAGTTGAATAACTGGAGGCAGACTATCCCTATTTTAAACTCACATTTCAAATACCGAGCTAGATGTTTCAGTATCACCGCTTGAAACAGGGCTAGCTTCTTTTCGCACGGTCATGTTCTTGAACAACCCTGGAGCTACGGAAATCGTCTGATTTATAGTGCAGAGTGGAGTGCGTGATGATCCGGGTAATGATGGCAGCCTTATTTGTTCCAATACGGCGTTCGCGCAGATGAGACAGGAGACATCTATGATCTCTGAGTATCAGCCCAGAGCTCATATGGTCAAGGAAAAAGATTGTATTATAGGATAGTAGGTATCCCAGGGAAAGTTCTAGCTTAGCGATCGTGTCACATCTATGTTTTTTATTTTATTCGTTCATCATTCCAGGTAGCTAGGGTATAGTCCTCATAGTCATTGCTCATCAATGGGAGCATAGTCCCAGGCGCACCGTGCAACGACGGAAGGCCGGATTGGGATCACACCGATGGATCCAATGCTGATCTTCGATCGGAGATCAATCACCCCACTGCCCTGCGACCCACCGATGATGGCGACGGTCGTCGGAGAGAACCTCAAAGCGGGGTCAATGAGTACGAGGTGATGCGCCAATCCAGCATCGGTGCTCCTGATGCAGATCTCCCCATGGGATCCACCGCGGCTTCGCAGAGTCGGCAAAGCGCGGCGCAATTTCCTCTCTTTGCCAGTTTGGCTTCCACTATGTCTGCTATGTCTGCCCTCATGTAGGTTGGCCATCAAGGTTCCGTAGCCTATATTGGATGGCATTGCGGTCATCATGTGCTTCGTCGTCCTTGTATTCCTGAAGGACAATGGTGCGCATGAGTCGGCGGGGCGCGCGGCGGCCGGTGAACAGCTCAAACTGGGCAAATCCTTGCTCGGGGAGAACGTCGAGTCCGTCTAATGCTACCCAGCCTCGGTGAGACAGAGCCCGAATTTGTTTCATAAGGGGGGTATTCAGGGGTTTATAGGCCAGCTAAAGAATGGGTTAGTTTCAGACATGCCAATCTCGATATTTGAGCCAACGGGGGACAGAAACGGATTATAATCTTTCGAACCCGATACTGGGGAGAACTTACATCGACGACGACGCCTCCCGTCGGACTATCAAGCCATTGCGTTGGGACATTAAAGTTAGGTGCGGGTTCACCACCGATACTGTGGGCTGGAATACCGGACACGATGATCGTCGGTTGCTTAAAGGCCGCGGGCCAGGGTTCATCCAACGAATCGAGAGTGCTGACTCTCGGATGTCGATCTGGGCTTCGTTCACTAGACGCCAAGTCTTGCCGGTTGTAATGATCAGCCAGCTTCTTGGCATTCGCGATGGTACGGTTGTAGACAAAAATATTCTGCACACCAAGGTGAATCATTGAATAGATAGCAGCACGCGCCATACCACCGGATCCAATGACAAGGCCGGTAGATGATGGACGCACGGCGTTCGCAGGGGAAAGACCACGGCGAATACAATTACAGATTCCAATCCAATCAGTATTGTCTCCGTGTAGTCCCTTGACCGGGCCGGCGCGGGTCTTTTCAAGATGGATAGAGGATTCATCGGACAGGCGGGGGTCAGACACATCATTGTTGCGGATAGGAATGAGCGTGTTGACGGCACCAATCGCTCGGGCATGCGGTGACATGGAATGGAGAAGAGGAATGACTTCGGTCTTGTACGGAAGACTGACACTGGAGCCGCCAAAGTACGGGTTCTCCACCAGCTCATTCAAGCCGCGTAATTCCGGACATTGGAAGATTGTATAGCGATGTGGCATTCCACATACCTTGAATGCAGTGTTGTGCATTGCGGGTGACATGCTGTAGTTGACGTTGGCACCAAAGAGGAAGTACTGCATCGGATCCAACGCAAATGAACTGAAAAGTGCTTGTTGCGCGTCGCGGGCGGTGATCGTCGGATATAGCTGTGTGGGTGTTTCGGACATGAGGGATGGGTGTGTGACAGGGGTGAGAGTAGGATTAAAACAGCGGGACATGCGGCCGAGATGACCAGTATTGTAGGCGATGAGTGGTAGGCCAGCCACCGGAAGGCTTTGAATTCGATATCGGAATCGTTGCACGGCCTCATTATCTTCCATGATCTCGGCTGGCTGGCAGATTCGCACCACATTGCACCCGAGCCTCTTTGCCCGCTCATAGATATTCATATATTCAACTCCATCCCAGCCACCAGGTAGAGGTTGGAAGGCCTCGAAATGGCCAATAATTTTGGTTTTCCCCCTGCACCTGATGACTTGAGATAGCAGCGCATCGTCGCGAGTGAGATCAACAGAGAGAAAACTGGGACCAAGTCGCAAGCCATGTCGAACGAGTGTCAGATAAGTATCATCGCTTACACGAATTTTCTGACTAGGCAGAGGAGACCCTCCGGGTTTGACGTAGCTCTCGACGTGGTACATCAACGGCACAATTATATTGCGGCGGATGGTCGCCACCACTTGACTGATCCTGTCTGCCAAGTTTGAATTAGCGCCTGGCTGGCCAGAGGGGCTTGTGACATCGATGACAAGCTCGAAAGCATCCACAGTGAACTCGAGTTCCTCAATGTCCAAGTTCCGTTCACAAAGAGCCGAGAACGGGACTGAAAGCGCCAACGTGTTTGGCCGAGTCTCGACGGGCAATAATGACAATGGAAAGGAAGCATGCTGGCGGCTCATCTCAGTGCGATCGCCAGTCACAAAAGCAATGAAGCTGAGGAAATCACGCTGAACTCTTTTTAAGGTCAAGAAAGGCGTCGGCGTTTGTGCGCGCTGGTCCAGTTTGGGTTCCGGCGATGGATCGTGGCCATCCTTAACATTTTGTGCGCCGCTGCGGTTGATAGTCTCCGAGAGATTGAAAAATTCCAAGTTTGAGCAGCCTCGGTATATCGGGCCTGACAGTTCAAGGAAGTGTCGTACTTTTTGAATATCCCAGGCTTTGAGGTACGACTGGATGCTCTCCGAATCTCGGATGACATGAATGACAGGATGCGTCTGCGCATACTCTCTCAGCAGTCTCTGACCGCTGCGCTCCATTGACCCGGCTCCGCAAGCAATAACACATCCTTCTTGATTATCTGATAGCATTGACTCGAATACCCGGGCTTCTTGTTGTCGGTACACCGCATGGTCATTGTCCCTCTTGAACGCAGCGCGAGAACATCCAGTCACCTGGTGAAAATATCGGTCGGAGTCGATCAGACGGCGGCCAGAGGTAGCCGCCAGAATAACTGCCAGGCTAGACTTTCCAGTGCCTCGAATACCGATGAGGACGATTGATGATTTGGGAGTGAAGTTGCGTGGGGTCTGCAGGAGTCCATTATCGACGAGAACCGGTGAGCCGCGGTTAGATTGCAACTCTCGCAAGGACGTCGTGATCGTATAGGAGTCGCCATATGCCTCTACCTGCTCACTCGACCGCCGCGAACCGGGCTGCGACCGTATGGCTGGTAGCCAAGACCCCATTTCTCCAGAGCCATACTTCCGGGGCTGCTCATTGTGGTCGTCGTCCAGTTTGCGCTTGGTCTCTAGGAGTGACATCGCGTCGCAGGGGTGATGGCCGGGTTCACAGAGTGCGAGAGCCCATTACCACAGGAAGCACGAGGGTCGTCGGTCAGGGCCAGAATATGGAAAAAAAGAATCCGAGGTTTGGGGCAGTAGAAAGGGAGTTGGAGGATTTGGCTTGGATAAGCGACAAAAGCGACGACATGGGATTCAAGCGACCAGTGAGGGCGCGCACGGAGGCAGAGGGGCCCCGGTAGGCGGGGATTTTGCGGGCCACCATTCTGCCGCGCTACTCCTCTTTCCCCGGAACGAGAAATGGCCCTCCTGCGAACTTGGTGACTGGTATGCGCACTCGTGCTCATCTTTTCCTCTTGTGCAGACAGCTCTCGCTAGACCGGTTATCCTCCCGAATTCGGCCCCGTTGCCTCTCACACCGCTCATCTCCATTTTGATCACGGTGATTCATGGACTAGGTCGCCAACACTAGTCTGCGCAGCGCAAGCTGCCGTCGGCAAAAGATTCAATTCCCACCTCGCTTGATCGCATTGCTGGAATATGCGGCCGAACCCGACTAGCGGACCCTCGCAATCACCATGACCTCCGAGTCTCGCCAAGCCACCGGGGCTAGCGGCAAGGCCAAACGACGAATGGCGGATCCGGACGACGATGGAAAGGCGAATGCACAAGATGATCCGGCCCAACCGAAGCGGCAGAGGGTATCACGAGCCTGCGACAGCTGCCGGTCGAAGAAGGATAAATGTGACGGTATGCAACCAATTTGCTCGACATGTGCATCTCTAGGCCGACCATGTACCTACAAGGCCAACCCCAAGAAGCGAGGACTTCCCACGGGATATATTCGATCCCTCGAATTGCTATGGGGGCTGGTATTTCAGAAAATTCAAGGCAGTGAAGATGTGATGCGTGCTTTGATGAGGTCAATCAATCTCCCGAGCCATCTTGCAACCATGGGCAAGGAAGCAGAAGGATCGGATACCCTACTATCGTCGTTTAAGAACAGTACGGTGCTGAGAGATATCGAGCGCATCCTGGTGGTCCTGGAGCAACCGGAGGAAGAGCGAGAACGAAGTCTTCAAGCCTATGGTGATGGGGACACCCCACTGGATGTTGATGCAGTCCTCGCCTCTTCCGAGGCACAGGAATGGCAAATACCAGAAGGACTCGACTATCGAGAGACGCCTTTTATGGGGATATCGCCCTCGCGGGCGTCCCAGATCAGCTCTGCCCCGAGACCTCTTGCGTATCGGACCCGGGAATCTGGCGTGCAAACTGTACCCGAGGAAGCGCGGTCACCTCCCTTTGCCATATCCCTCAATGCCGATGATTCTCGATTGATTCACAGCAACAACCTCCAACTTCCCTCCAACGCATGGCCCCTTCTCGATATTTACTTTTCTTACACACAGTGTTGGTTTCCTATCTTGGAAAAACATGACATACTGCGCACCGCCTATCAATATGCTGAAGGCGATGTATCAATGTCTCGCACCGCACCCGGGTCTGGTGACCATGCTGCGTTATGGGCTGTTCTGGCTTTGGCCTCTTTTCAAGACAATTCAGCCAATGCCGCTGATCTCTCCGATCAATTTACCCTTAGCCCTTTGCGAATGTATGACATGTCTCGAAAACTCATCCCCTCCGAGATTGGCCCGTACGAACTCGGCCATGTTCAAGCATTGCTCATCTTGTCTCTGATCAAGTTCGGTCAGCAGCAATGGACTGCCGCCTGGATGCTGGTGGGACATGCTGTTCGCATCGCCCAAACATTGGGCCTGGACCGGCCGTCGTTCACGAACCCGTCAACGTCCCCAGACAAGCAGCTGGGGCGAGCTAAACACGTCTTCTTAGGGTGCTTTGTGCTAGAAACGCTGATTGCAGAGCACACATCGCAATGTCCCTCCCTGCGAAAAGATGATTTGGCCCGAGTAGGAGCTATCAGCGAGGATGGACTAGAGGAATGGCACCCATGGGAAGATCAGACCGCTTTCCGTCCGACTCAATCTTCTCGTGCTTCTATGCAGCGTGGTCCTCTTCATGCCTTGAGCACATTCAACCGCCTCGTCTCCTTGGTTTCGATCTTGAACGATCTCTGCTATTATAAGCAAGACCCCACAATCTCGCGTTCGCAGCTGGAATCACTTGAGCTGCAGTTGCAGCGATGGGCCTCGGCGCTTCCGAAGAGCTGTCGAGTCGATTTACAGAATCGACCCGTCAGGCTGCCGTCTCCTCACATCTTCGGGCTCGAAATGACCTATCAAAGTATCGTTTCAGCGTTGAGTTTTCAGATCGCTTCACGGGAAATCGACCAGAACCTCCCCGAGATACCCCACAGGGGCAAGGCCATCGAAGCCTCCAAACGCCTCCTCCAACTGCTTCATGTCTTCGTTGAAACTTATAGTCACTCAGCAACAGCGCCGACTTTTGGAATGATTCTTGGGTATTGCCTCCCTGGCTCAACCTCCCGGAGTCTCGTTTCCGATGTTGAGATGGGTCTCCGCGCTCAGATCGAACCATTCGCGTCCAACCTTAGGCAGCTATGGATTGCCCAAGATCGATCCTTGATAGGGCAAGCCTCCGTGTCGAGGACTCAAGGACAACAGCCGGACATTACTCCTTCCACCGAAACCCCGACACTGCAGCATCAAATCATGCCAGTATCCACCCCCCGCCATCTCCTTGCTCCGACCGACCTACAGCCTCCTCAAAATGGCCACCTACCCCCGTCCGAACCTTTCCTCTCCACTCCTTGGCTCCGTGCCACCCAAGGTATCGACGATAATGGTGCTCTAATCCATACGTCTACACCGTCCATGACTACCGTCGGTGGTGCCTCGGAAGTCTCCACACAGCCAGGTCAACTAGACGGACTTCGACATTCGAGCACGTCTGCTCCATCTAAACCGCAAATCATTATTCCCGATTTTCCTCCTTCGTTTCCCTCGGGCGGGCAGTATTCTACCTACCAAGACCCTACCCTCAACATCAGTCCCTTTGTCGACATGGGCGGCTACGGGCCCCCGAGACGTCAACAGCCACAGCGTATTGCACCAGATCTTGATGCCTTGTTTGACGAGCTTGCGTCGCTGGATGGCGCTGAAAAGTGAGCTGACCCTTACATCTACCATCCCCTATGACTGAAGTACTAACCTCGAGTGCACAGACCTGACAATCAAAATGAGTTTATGCAAAATCTCGGCTTCGTCGCTGAAAGTGGTGTCCCGGAACTGTTTTCGTTTTCCAGTCAGATTGAACCATTCCTGTTGGCACAAACGCAACAATTACCGGGTACTGCGCCTCCATCTTCAGTGCGACAAGAGTCGCTCAGTATATCTGGGACACCCAAGAGGTGATGTCTCTGTGGAAATATGATGTCTCGTTGTCTGTCCAAGCCGCTGGTCGGCGCTCCACCCGCCTCTATAGTCCTAGTGGCCGACAGTGGCTAATTGTGAGAGGAAAAACTTCAAGCAGAGGTGGTTTCAGGATATTCCACGATTCCACGACTCACATTTGTTGATAGTTGAATGAATGATATTAAATTTACAATCATTCCGTGCTAAATAGTATGGCTAGTCTATGACCTTACTGACGGAAGCCTCGACCGGGGGGGCTACATCCAAAGTTTTCGTTCATCCAGTTCTGACACATGTATCGGGAGAGTAAGGTGTCATCGGCACATGCATGCTCTGCAATTTTCTGCTCAAATATGTTCATACTACAGCCTTGGAAAGGCTCTTCAATTTCGCGTTTAGAAGATTCCCTGAAAGAACAGAAATGCAACGAAGAAATGAATCTAGATCACTTTGAAGGAATTTGTACATGGAATTTATCCATTTCTAAGACATTTTGTAATCCCATCGGCCTGAATTGCTGCCCTATATACATCGAACCGGTATACACAAAAACGAAAAACCCCCTTCACCAAGAAAGATTTCCCAGTTCATCATTTTGCCCCCCGTCTTATGTGATCCCCTCAAAGAGTAGCCTTGGTCTCCTTCTCCAACTCCTTAAAGTTTACCGCAACATGCTCAATAGCAACCTTATACCCATAAACACCCAATCCAACAATAATGCCCGCCGCCTTATCACTGAAATACGAGTGATGGCGCCACGGCTCTCGAGCATGAACATTGCTCACATGCAGCTCAATAAAAGGGATACCCACACCAAGCAGGGCATCGCGAATAGCCACCGAGGTATGCGTATAAGCGCCCGGGTTGATGACGATGCCATCGACGTTGCCGCGGGCGGCTTGGATGCGGTCGACGATTGCGCCTTCGTGGTTGGATTGGAAGGCGTCAAAGGTGCAGCCGTGCTGGGTGGCGATGGCGCGGCTGTCGTTCTCGACATCGGCGAGGGTAGTGTGGCCGTAGATGTGTGGCTCGCGGGTGCCGAGGAGGTTAAGGTTAGGACCGTTGATGAGGAGGATTGATTTGCCCATTTTGATGATGAGGGGGGAGAGGAATGTGACTGAGGGCGTCTTAGGTGTATTGAAAGAGGGATAGTGATTTCAATTGGAATTGAAAGTGAAAGCGAAAGGGAAAGTTTAGGCTTCTAGCAGGAGGATGTCAATGTCCGGACTGGGATGGTGGGGGATGTTCGGGATTGTGCTCAGACGGCTATTCTGATTTGCGGGCGGCTTTCTCCCCGCAATTTGGGCCGGCTAAGCCCTTTGCCTATGCTTCCATGCGACATGCACGGACTCGTTATACCCGGAATCTTCATTTTACCCGCTGCATGGGTTTGAGAAATGTCCAAGGTCATGGTGATATGTACATAATAATGCGGGGTACAGAGATTGACATTAGAGCGAGGGATATTTACGTGATACGACTGTGGATAACTCTTATTACAGTTATATTCTTGGCTAATTGAGGCGCAGTAAAAGCTTGCCTCCGAGTCGGCCTCAAAGTTTTAGATCTCGACTTCTGCGACTAATTGACCGTCCCCAGAGTACCTTTCCTAGATGTTCATAATTAGTGAATTTTCCATAATCTTTGAATCATTGTAGGCGTGATTTCCCAGTCTTACGCCTTTATTCCTAATATAGTCCTTCTCTGCTACTAATCAGTGCACCCCATCTCTAACACAGCCAGCAAGACTCTCATACTATCTTTTAGCCCTGAAAAGACCAGTCAAGAGCCCATATCTCTCGTAATAGTAGACCCTAATGGACGTCAAATTCTAGCTTTGTGGCTTAAGGCAATGTTATCGATCGTTTTGAAGAGAATATTGATCGCCAATAGGTTATGATGTCACGACACCCTGGCACCTCCAAAGATCTTCAATCAATTGAATCATCTTAGCTTAGATCTTCTTGTTGTCAATGTTCGTCTCCTCAATAATAAAACAGCCTATCACTGCTCCTCCTGGCTCACGCATTATCGGTCATGCGAGCCACCTAGCCTCCACGACTCCACCCCGCGGTGGAGACCCGATAAGGCAAACCGGCTAACGGCGGTGTCCTCGACCTTTTTTTTTACCGGTCACGCATGAGTCAACCGTCTGACACTCCAGCATTCCCCTCAAACCTATCCAATCTCAACATCTCACCACTACGACACTCATCCGACCTGATTCCTTGCTCAATCAACTTCTACGATCTCTCCCGATATCGCTCCCGCCATGGCAGTGGGACAGCTCTCTCAGAGCGAGCTCGATGAGATCTACGCCTTTGCGGTAGACCTAGGTCGCAAGGCTGGTGATCTGTTGATGGAGCGTGTTGAGCAGCGCATCTCCGGCTGTAATGACCCGCAGACATTTGAAGAGAAGGAGAATGCGGTCGATATCGTGACTCAGACAGATGAGGGTAAGCTTCGAGAAGAGAGCAGAGCTTATCGGGATTAGCCCAGACTAACTAGAATAACCAGACGTCGAGATATTCATCCGAAATGCCATTCAGAGCAAATACCCCTCACACCAGTTCGTCTGCTCCCTGCACCCATCTTAGCCAGCCGCAACTAAGAACCTTCTCCCAGATTCCTCGGCGAAGAAACCTACGCCAAAGGCGCATCGCGCGACTATCTAATCGACGAACAACCAACCTGGTGCATCGACCCTCTAGACGGTACAAATCCTCCATCCAAATCAAAAACCCCACCGTCTAATAAGGTCCCAGGAACCGTAAACTACACCCACATCTTTCCCATGTTCTGCGTCTCCATCGGCTTCATCGTCCAACATCGACCCGTAATCGGCGTGATCTACGCCCCCTTCCAAGACCAACTCTTCTCCGCCTGTAGTGGCCGCGGCGCCTGGCTAAATGAGAAGCGCCAGCTCCCACTAATTCGTAACCCGATCCCGCCCATGCCGGTTAATGCGCCTTCCCAGTGTATTTTCTCCTGCGAATGGGGCAAAGATCGCCGCGATATCCCGGATGGAAATATGCAACGCAAGATTGAGAGTTTCGTCAATATGGCTGCGGAGATTGGAGCGAGGGGAGGGAAGGGAGGTATGGTGCATGGGATGAGGAGTTTGGGGAGTGCGACGTTGGATTTGGCGTATACGGCGATGGGGTCTTTCGATATCTGGTGGGAGGGGGGTTGTTGGGAGTGGTATGTTTGCTCCCTTGCCTTTTTGAGGGGATTCGACAAGTGTTCGGATGATTTATTGACTCGACTCTTCCAGGGACGTCGCCGCTGGAATTGCTATCCTTCTCGAGGCTGGTGGACTCGTCACGACTGCCAATCCGCCCGAGGACCCTGATACTGCACCGATTGGAGATGTGCGATTGGGGAGTCGACTGTATCTGGCTATTAGGTGAGCGTGACTCCACTCATGGCATAAAAAGCCGGGACTAACCTGTCTTTAGACCCGCTGGTCCGTCAGATACCGAGACTGGCCGCGAATCGCAAGAGCGTACCGTACGCGAGGTCTGGCGGCGGGTCCGCCAACTGGAGTACTCTCGTCCGGGCGCGTAGATGATCTATTTCGGAAATAATGTCGAGGTTACGGACTACGCTGTACAGATCGTATCTATACAATTTCCAGTGCCTACCAATTTTGCATTCGGGACAATTTGAAATGCTCCGTATATTCAGAGTCATGTCTCCATAACTGACGCCACCCCAATCTATATATAATATGCAAATATTTTGAGCTCTATACAATCGTCAAATGAATATGATGTGAACTATGAGAAAGGAAAAGGAAGAATGAAGACATCAGCATGAACAATACAAGGTCAGCAACCCATTTTTATAGACTGGAGGCCTTCTTGGCCTTCTCAGCCCGCTCCGCAACGGAGCCATTGACAACGGCCTTGACGGCGTCAACAACGCCAGGCGTGCCAATAACATCCTTGCCAGTCCAGAGACGCGCCTGCTCCAGACCCTGCCAGATCAGAGCCTCAGAGCCAAGGATAACCTTCCAGCCACCGGCGGAGGCCAACTGAGCGATCTCCGTCCAGGGAACGGGGTGGTAGCACATCTCAAGAATGACACCCTGCTGCTTAGGCGCATCAGCCGCGGTACCCAGGAATGCCTGGATCACAGCACGGGCATTCAGCTCCTCGGCAGTCTTGGGCGGGTAGTTGGGAATGCCCGAAACGATAGCAGCGGGGGCCTCCAGACGAGCAGCTTCCTCGGGATCAGTAACGTGGACCAGAGGAGCCTGGGCGTTGGGATCCGGGTTCCGCGCGCGGTCCTCCTCCATGATAGTCGCGACCTCGGCGGCGTCACGGTTAACGATGTATATACGGCTAGAGCCGAGCCAGCGGCGCATCACGTAAATAGCAGTGCGAGCGGTACCACCACCACCGATGATGAGGGCAGGGCGGCCGCGGAAGCGAGAGGCATCGGGAGCGTTTTGGGTCAACGCTTCGCGGATACCGTCACAGTCGGTGTTGGTACCGACGTATTGGCGGGTGCCGGTAGTGGGATCCTCGCGGAGGAAGATGGTGTTGCAGGCACCGGCCTGCCGGGCGTGCTCGGTCAGATCGTCCAGATGAGGCATGATGGCGACCTTGTGCGGCATGGTCACGGAGGAGCCGACGAATTTGGGGTTGGCCTTGATGGAGGCGAGGAAGGTTGTGATGGGTGGAGAGCGAGTGTAAGGAGGAGGGTAGGTGGCTGAGGTGCCGGTCACGCTGGAGAGCGGGATTTGCTGCCAATTGAGGCCCAGGGCATTGTAGACGGTCTGGTGGAGGGGTGGAGAGAGAGAGTTGAGGAGAGGGTGACCGTAGAGGTAGGCCACGCCGTCGAGGTGGGAGGGGCTGGTGATGGGCTCCTCGGGTTGTGTTTGAGGAACCGAGGCTTCGACTGCTGGGGCGGCCATTGTGAATTGTGTATGTAAATAGGGTGTGGAAGTGGGATGAGAAGAGAGAGGGGGGAAGGGGCGGGGGATCTGTGGAAGCTTTGAAGATATTATACAAGTTCCAAGTTCAGAGTTCAGTCCGGGCCCCGCGACACGGAAACTGGGGCTAGGCTAAGAGATCTGCCGTCAATTCCGCAGGGTGCACGGTTCTGAAAATTTGGATTCGGCGGCAACAGTACCCCGTATTCTCATCAGAGTTGAGCGAGATGGGTAGAATCAATCAACTATTACTCGGGCGATTATGTTGTGTTATTCAATAAGACCATCCATTCAGCTAGTCTCTTAAGAGTCTTGCCACTACAAGCCTACAAACCAATGGGTGGATACTTCTCCCGGGGTCAGCCACGCTTAATAGATCTTGTACAAAAGAGCTGGTAGTAAACTCTTTTGCCACGAAAAAACGCACAGACTTGCGATCCAGTGATCATTCCTTTCTTTCCCGTGCCCTGTCTGTTTCTATTATTGAAGCCGCGAACTCGTACATACCTAGAAATCCAACTTCATAAGCGCTTAGCGCTTGGACTTGGTTCATGTAAGAGACCCGATCGGCAATCCTCATGTCAGTCATTCTGTGATTTTGAAATAGGTAGGCATGCTCTCAATTTAAAAGGTGTATTCCCGGCGCTACGGATAGTTAGTGAGTGGCGTATCGTCATGAGATAGTTGGTTGTGGGCTCGGCGGTGGTTTTGAAGTAGATCGGCCGCACCCATTCAAGGTTGATTGAGCAATTAATGCTGTGTTAAGGTAGATGATTAAATGACTATTACCCTGGAATGTTTCTTCTGTACAGACTATGGAGCACACGACTATGCAAAAGTAGCTCAATCTTGTTCTGGTCCACGTGATGGCCACTGCCTCCTGAGCAAATTCCCGCCCTCGCCTGACTTCACCTGTCCTTCTCATCAACACCGCCGCCCCCATGAACAAATCTTTCTTGCTCCGATACCAAGAATTGCCCAGGATTCACGATCGAATCATAAACCCCGTCAAAAGGACCAAACAAGGTGTAATTTGATTGAAATCTCTTTCTCCAGAACTGGGTACAAGCTACCGCACGTACCCTCCACGGCCAAGCTATCCCCGGAGGATCGCTTTTCCCAGCCACTTCGGCTACCCACTGGATCATCGCCTTTGGCCACCCGTTGCCAACTGTCGGACGAATCAGAGTCCAGATGTTTAACTGCCGAGCCGACATGCTCTCTGCATCGATTATTGGAGCGTGAAGCCGGCCGTGCCCCCGCCAGAAAACCAACAACCCCGGGTTGTTTAGTACCCCGTGGAGAAATTGTTCGATGGCCATGCGGCCGATGAGTCTAACTCTAGATATGTCCCTTTCCCCGTGGTCCCACTCCGCGATATCGGACCTCCCCACAATTCAACGCCCCAGCCAAGCAGCCCAGCCGACCAGCAGAATTTTCCAGCCCAAATGGACCAATGCCACCGTCTCTGCCCAGCCCTTGGTCTTGTTCTGCCTCCAAACCTTTACAAAATAGCCTTTGGCGCAAGCCCCTGCCTTTAAGCTCTGTACGCTGCTCTGACTATCGTTTTGCCGGAGTGGCTTTTTTAGCCTTTGCGAGAAGAAAGGTTGTGTTATACTCTTCTCCGCGAGTTCAAACCTTGTCTCCAAGATTTTCTTTCGCCCCCCGGGTCTCCGCAGACACTTTCTTTCCTTCTTCCCCAGTTTGAACCAGTGGTCTGGGGATCGCGTGGCTATTTAGATCTCGCATATCCCACTTCCTTTCGAACTTCAGCAAGAGCCTCTTCCTCCCCCCTTCTTCTTCATACCCCGGATTTTCTTCCCTTGAAACACTACCTTCCAGCTTGATACCCTTTTAAGGGCGCGAGTTGTTTACCTCGTGCTTTGGAAGGGATCGATTCGACTTCCTCTGGACTCAGGTCCAAGGTCACTACCTATAATCCCTATTTGCACCTCTTGTCTTATTATCATTGTTCGTTGATTTTATTTCTTCGTCACCATGTCTATCCTTAAGATGGTCGAGGATCGGCCGACGCCCAAGGCCGTCTACAATTGGAGGGTCTACCTCCTGGCAGCCGTGGCGTCGTGCACATCCTGCATGATCGGTTATGACAGTGCCTTCATCGGTACCACCCTCGCTCTGGACTCGTTCAAGAGCGAGTTCCACTTCGACACCATGTCCACCGCTACCAAGAACCTGATCAGTGCCAATATCGTCTCCTGCTACCAGGCCGGTGCCTTCTTCGGTGCCTTCTTCGCCTACCCCATTGGTCACTTCTGGGGCCGTCGTATGGGTCTCATGTCTGCCGCTATTATCTTCGTTCTTGGTGCTGGTATCATGCTGGGTGCTAACGGCTCCCGTGGCTTGGGTCTGATCTACGCTGGTCGTGTCCTGGCTGGTCTGGGCGTCGGCGCGGGCTCCAACCTTACCCCTATCTACATTTCCGAACTGTCACCCCCTGCTATTCGTGGTCGCCTGGTCGGTGTCTACGAACTTGGGTGGCAGGTTGGTGGTCTTGTGGGCTTCTGGATTAACGTAAGTGCCCCTTTCACAGACCAACCAAGAAATCTTGCAGTGCGCTAATCCCGTCTCCTTAGTATGGTGTCTCCGAGACCCTGGCTCCCAGCCACAAGCAGTGGTTGATTCCTTTCGCCGTTCAGCTGATCCCGGCCGGTCTCCTTTTGATCGGTGGTGCCTTCATCCGCGAGTCGCCCCGTTGGCTGTTCAGTTGTGGTCGTCGCGAGGAAGCTATCAAGAACCTTTGCTGGATCCGTCAGCTGCCCGAGGATGACATCTATATGATTGAGGAGATTGGTGCCATCGACCAGGCCCTGGAGGAGCAGCGCTCTACCATCGGCGTTGGCTTCTGGAAGCCATTCCAGGCTGCCGGCACCAACAAGCGTGTTATGTGGCGTCTGTTCCTGGGTAGCATGCTCTTCTTCTGGCAAAATGGCTCTGGCATCAATGCTATCAACTACTATTCGCCTACCGTTTTCAAGGTAAGCACGAGAGGGGTGGAAAAAAGAGCAGAAACAAGATGTGACAACCTTGCTAACCCCCTTTTTTTCCCCATAGAGTATTGGCGTTACTGGTACCAACACTAGTCTCCTGACCACCGGTATCTTCGGTGTTGTCAAGACTGTCGTCACCTTCGTGTGGTTGCTGTATCTCATTGATCGCGTCGGTCGTCGTAACCTGCTCCTGATCGGTGCTGTCGGTGGTTCCATCTGCTTGTGGATCGTTGGTGCATACATCAAGATCGCCGAACCCGCCAAGCACCCCAAGACCAGCATGGACGGCGGTGGTATTGCGGCCATGTTCTTCTTCTACCTCTGGACCGTCTTCTATACCCCGACCTGGAACGGTACGCCCTGGGTACTCAACTCGGTAAGTTGACAAAACTTAGAAGCCAAGCCTCGTAAAATCGAAAAACAGTGATGCTGACTGCCAAAACAGGAAATGTTCGACACCAACATGCGTTCTCTGGCCCAGGCCTGTGCCGCCGCCTCCAACTGGCTGTGGAACTTCCTCATCTCACGCTTCACCCCACAGATGTTCACCGCCATGGGATACGGCGTGTACTTCTTTTTCGCGTCGCTCATGATCCTCTCCGTCTTCTTCGTCTTCTTCCTCATCCCCGAGACCAAGGGTATTCCCCTCGAGAGCATGGACCGTCTGTTCGAGATCAAACCTATCTGGCGCGCTCACGCACAGATTGTTGCCACTTTGCGCGAGGAGGAGGAGGGCTTCCGTCACGATATTGAGGAATCTGGTCTCGCTGAGTCTAAGCTGAACGCCGAGCAGGTCGAAAACGCTGCGACCCAGCAGTCCAAGACTTCGTACGCTTGATCAGAAACGCCGTATTTATTTTGTCGTCGTGGTCGTGTTTTCGATGTTTTAGATTCGTGTGTGTGTGTTTTGATCCGTTGATTCAGATCAAACAGGGTGTGACCCTATAATGTTGATATATCCCTTGAATGAACATAATTTGATGATTGAAATGTGGAATGCCCCTGTCGTAGATGTAGAACCTTCAGTCCACGGATGCGTCCAACAGTGAATACACAAAAAGCTCTGCGTCAAAATTGGGAATCACTTCGTATATCAACTTGCACCTTGAGGGAAGAAACATAACTTCAACGGAGAAAGAGTTCAAATTGGACATGACTGCCAAAGACACCTAGCTAAGAATCATTCGGATAGTTATCTCACACATTTCCAAAACAAAATCCAAAATTATTCATGAGTAATGATCCATATTTATCTCACCACCATTCTCACCCAATATCCATGGTGTTACTACGCCAACGGATCAACAGGAATATCCACCGGTAACCCCGTCTGCATGGCCGTCTGCACGGCCTTACAAACAATCAAAGCCCTCAACCCCTCATCACCCGAACAACTAGGCTCCACGGTCCCAGCAATAACATCCACAAAATGGGCCAACTGCAAATCAAACGGAGCCTCCTCGTCCGGCAACGCAATTTTCTCCGCAACCAACGGATTCGCCCAACTCTTCTCCGCAGACCCGTAACTCCAGCGCGTCAAATCCGGCACACTGAGCGAGGCATCCGAGCCGAAGATACGGTAAAAGTCCGACGAGGAGGCGTCGGTCGCACGCGGGATCATCGGGTTCTCGCCCGTGCCGGACTCGAAGTTATGCGCGGAGGGGGTTGCGTCGCAGACGAGGAACGTGCCGACGACGCCGGAGGCGAAGCGCATTGTGAGTGCAACGCCTTCGTCCGCGTCGTGCGGGGGGCTGGGTCGTTGAGGCAGAGTCTTTTCGGCTTGGATGCGTACGATCGGACCGAAGAGGTGGTGCATCAGGTCGATGTCGTGAACGAGGTTGATAGGGATGACGCCTCCGCCGCGAGCCCCCGAGGCACGCCAATCCGTTGGCGCGGCAAAGTACGAGTCCGGTTTGTAGAGGGTCCATAGTCCATTGACGGCGATCGTCCGGCCTAGCGAGCCGGACTCGAGGACGGCCTTCGTGGCGCGGACGTAGGGGTTAAAGCGCCGGTGGTGACCGACTAGGAGCTTGAGGTGTGATCGTTCTGGGGCTCGTGCGAACTCCAGGAGGGAGCGGCCCGTCTCAAGAGTGTCGCTGACGGGCTTTTCGAGGAGGACGTGGATGCCGCCTGCTAGAAGCTCCTTGGCGACGGGGACGTGTGTGTGGTTTGGGGTGCACACGATGGCGGCGTCTGGTCTGTGGGGGGAAGCTAGGAGGGCTGCCACGGAAGGGTAGAAGTTGGTGTTTAGCGTGGTGGCCGTTGCTTCCCCGGTAGGTGCCGGGTCGACGAGGGCAATCAGCTCGGTGGTTGGATTAGCAATGACGGATTGAGCATGGCGGGGACCGATGAGGCCGGCGCCGATGATGGCAACTTTGAGAGACATTGCGGATGGGAGTCAATATAGAGAATGTAGAGGTAATAGGCTTTGTTCTATTTGAATAGTTGCACAAATGATGCAGAACAATTGCAATTGAAGAAGGTCAGGGTGGCATGAGTGAATCATTCGGATATGTCATGTCCGGAGACCCCAACATAGTGGACATGGTGTTGCTTGGTCACCTCGGTTGACGGGCCTTGGCGTACCAGGGAGGAAAACGTTCTTGCCGCATAAGACCTAAGGTTTCAGAGGATATAACCGGGGAGCTGTGGGGATTATATTCGGTGAGCTGGGTAGGGAATTCTGGCAATGAGCTTTCCAGGTGCCGAGTCTGCGGACGAGGTGAGTGGAGTGTTTCTCCCCGGGAGTGGGGATATCTAGAAGATTAGAATGGACATAATTGGCACGGGTAAACGAAACAGTAAGTACCAGCAAGCCCGATTTACAGTCTATACGGGCAGGGTCGTATCCTTGATACCAAACCCAAAATTACGTTTGGTTTTTGACTAGGTTAGCAGGAGCGGGAAAGAGCTATTGGATGTAATACGGTTACTGGACTAACCGTATGTGGTATAGACCTAAAATCTTTTGCCATGCCTGCTTGCCCTTTCGTTTACCCGCGATCAGTGGCGGGTCAACTGCAGTCGGTCATTATTCGTCCTCCAGGCCAAAATGCAAAACTCTCCGCGCTGATAATACCACCAGCATAACAGTCGAGGGGAAGAGGGGGTCAGGGATAATGGTTTCTCGCCATCCTGTTAATAGTGAGAAAAAAAAGTAGACCCGTGGGCACCCGTCTGTTTCCTTTCACATATTGATATCTAGTAGTCTTCTGGTCCTTTGACTTTATACATCTTTTGCATCTGCCTATTCTTGCATTAACCAGCTTCCTTTATTTTCAAGCACATCTCGAGGTATTCGGAGTACTCCAGAATCCCATATTCATCCTTGACATATCAAAAACACCCCTTCCTTTCCTCTTTCTCCTCGGATACATACAACGCCGGCCAGTCGGTTAATCCTCATCCGACCGCCAAGATGTTCAACCGCCCCGGTATTGCCTCCATGTCTCTTGGTAGACCTTGGATTCACGACCTGCCGGGCAAGTTGATGCAGGCTGCTGCCCATGGCTTCGAGGGTATCGAGCTCTTCTTCGACGATCTAGACTGCTATGCGCAGCGCACGTTTAACGGTGACCACTTGGAGGCCGCCCGTCAAACGCGGCGCCTGTGCGAGAGACTGGGCATGACCATCATCTGCCTGCAGCCCTTTTCCATGTACGAAGGTCTGATTGACCGTGCCGAGTCCGATCGGTTGATCAATGAGAAACTGCCGAAATGGTTCACCCTGGCGCGGGCGCTGGGAACCGACATGATTCAAGTTCCTTCCAACTTCCTCGGCCCCGATCCCACGACCGGTACCCCCAGGACAACGGGCGATCGCACGGTGATCGTCCGTGATCTCCAGCGTCTGGCTGATCTAGGTGCCGGCGCCGGCTTCCGCTTCGTGTACGAGGCTCTTTGCTGGGGTGATCACGTTGACACTTGGGAGGCCTCGTGGGAGGTTGTCCGCGATGTCGACCGCGCTAACTTCGGTCTCTGCCTGGACTCTTTCAACATTGCTGGTCGGGTATATGCCGACCCCGCCTCCCCGACTGGCAAGACGCCCAATGCGGTCGCAGATCTGGCTGCTTCTCTCCAGCGCCTGCGCACGGCCAACATCGACCCTGCCAAGATCTTCTACGTCCAGCTCGTTGATGGCGAACGCCTCACGGCCCCTCTGAACGAGGACCACCCCTTCCACGTTGCTGGCCAGCCCGTCCGTATGAACTGGTCGCGGAATGCTCGTCTATTCCCCTTCGAAGAGAACCGTGGCGGATACCTGCCCATTCTGGACATTGCGCGGGTATTCTTTGACGACCTTGGCTTCCGCGGCTGGGTGTCTCTAGAGCTCTTTAGCCGTACCCTCGCCGACCCTGATCCGTTTACCCCCGCTGAGCATGCTCGTCGTGGAATCGAGTCTTATTATAAGATGGGTCGTGTTCTGCAGTGGGATGGCCAGGTGGAGAAGAACACCGTCTCCATTCCGGAGTGCCTTACGGAGCTTACTTCTCCAGTGCAGCATCACCTGTAAATGACGGGTTTGGCTGATTCTTTTTTTTTCTCGGTTATTTGAGACCTGTATATATTTTCATGTTTCACGATTGTCGTACATAGCTACTGCTAGTATAATAAACTCTTCTTCCATAGACCACACAAGACTCCACGCAACCGAGGACTACTTTGTGAACTAGGATCATGCATAATGGCTTGTGTAGTATTGCCTACTTGGATCTCTAGGTCAATCATTGCTATCAAAGCTACTGCAAATGTTATTGGGTACAAAGCCCGGCGCCCACCAGTCATAACGGCCGGACTTCATAGCCTAGGCTGCAACCGGTAGTGCCAGAAAGAGGCCAATCTGCCCTGTAAGACGTGGAATGCTCTAACCATTACCGGCGTATGACTTTTGTGGATGAGTCGGGGTCAGTCCCAGACTAAACGGCACATGACATAGGCAAGCGAGAGAATTGCTTGCAAAGAGATAACAGACCGGCCATCCACATGCCTGAATTCTCTTTTGAACATTGTACTCGATTGCAGGTCTCTATTCAACTTTTTCTATGACATTTCTTTTGGTTTTTTTTTTAAAAAAAAAAAAAAAAAAAAGCTATCGTGTACGCTGATAAGATAAGGTGCACACTTCTGACTTGGTCTTGCAGATTCGCTATCCTTATGAGAGGGATACGAGATACCCCGCAGCGGTCAATTCAGAGACTTCCTCCCATTGGAAACCCTTTCCCTTCAATTGAGATCCACAAAGACTAGCTATCCCTTGCCTAGATGCAGAATTATCATGCACGAATGGGAATTGGGCGTATTTAATTGCTAACCGGATGACGTCATGACGAAAGTTAGCTCAAAGATGCCGCCCCGTCCATTTTGGGAAATACTAGGGGAACCAATAGAGGCTCTCATGATTCTGATTGATGTGTCAGATTGTATTTCTGATGTAATTGACTAATTCTCAACACGAAAGTCAGCAAAGAATGAATACTCATAAAAGAAATGTCTCTTCCTCATCAATACCTTTGCCGATTCTTTAAACCATTCAGAATTGCAAATTGAATCACGCTTGAGTTAACCTGATCTTCACTATGCCTGATGAGCGATATTATACCCTGGCAGAAGGTAATTCAAAAAAAGGTATGAATTGTCTGGCAATCAGCTAACTGTAATAAGGATGTCCCTTCGCAAGCAGCAGCACCGCTGTTCTGATGCGTGGCCAGCAGGGCGGTGCTCTTGGTCTGCTTTCAGACACTCAGCTCATTGAGACTCTGGCGCATTTCTCCCGAGAGAGAATTCCGGAACGGTATGTACCAATTGAAGCTCATGGAATTCAATTAGGCTAATTAGTCTTACACTATAGAGTTGTCCATGCTAAAGCTGTTGGGTGAGTCAATTGCGGTCGCGCAATATTGATGAATTTATTAGCATTGACATTTTATCTCTAGCGCATATGGAGAATTTGAAGCTACTGCCGATTGTTCTGATATCACCTCTGCAAGCTTCCTCAACAAGGCTGGCAAAAAGACACCAGTCCTCCTGCGCGTTTCTACTGTCGGTCCAGAGGCTGGCTCGGCTGATACAACTCGAGATGTGCATGGATGGGGAATGAAGCTCTACACCGACGAAGGCAACTTGGATTGGGTCTTCAACAATACGGTATATGCCATATTTAGCTCTGCCATTTCCAACTCATCACTAACGCATTGGAAGCCTGTTTTCTTCATTCGGGATCCCATCAAGTTTCCTTCTATGAATCGCTCGCACAAGAGACACCCGCAGACTCATCTTCCTGACGCGAACATGGTGAGTAATTCTTGGAAAAACTATTACCCTCTGGCTAAAGCTAATCATTTTGTTAGTTCTGGGAGTACGTTGCAAGTGTTCATTCTATTGGCTTTGGCTAATCTCGTCTTAGTTTCCATGTGGGTAATCCGGAAGGTATTCATCAGCTGCTGCATCTCTTCAGTGATCGTGGAACCCCTCGGTCCATTCGTTTCCTGAACTCCTACAGTGGACATACCTACAAGTTCACCAAAGAAGTAAGACAATCCTCCTGAAAGGAAAGGGTGCAGTGCTAACCTATCCCAGGATGGCTCATTCAAGTACATCAAAATCCATATCAAAACTGAGCAGGGAGTCAAGAACTTCACTGCCGAGGAGGCTACCCGCATTGCAGGCGAAGACCCAGACTACATGATCCGAGACATGTTCGAGGCCATTGACCGCGGGGACTACCCCAAGTGGAAGGTCTACGTTCAAGTCATGGACCCAGCCGACGCTGAGAAGTACCGGTGGAACATTTTCGACATGACCAAAGTCTGGCCGCATCAGGACTATCCATTGAGACAGATTGGCGTGCTGACCCTGAACCGTAATGTGAGTTAGCATCATCATTGGATAGTTCTATAACATACCTGTAGGTACTGACCAACGCCAGCCCAGCAATTATTTCGCCGACATCGAGCAGGCCGCTTTCTCCCCGTCCACCATGGTGCCGGGCTTTGCAGCATCCGCCGATCCAGGTACGTCAAACATTCCGCTGCTCATACGTTCGTTCAGGCTAATTCAATGATCAGTGCTCCAAGCAAGACTATTCGCCTACCCCGACGCTGCCCGCTACCGCCTCGGCGTGAACTACCAACAGCTCCCGACTAACGCGGCCAAGGTCCCCGTGTACTGCCCATTCCAGAGAGATGGCAAGATGAGATTCGATGGTAACTACGGCGGAGACCCTAACTACGTCAATTCCAGTCTCAAGCCTACCAAATTCTATCCCGAAGTCAAGGGAATCAAGCCCCAGGCAGTCAGCCTGCACACGGAGCACGAAAAGTGGGTTGGAGAGGTCACCACTTACACCAGTCACATCACGGACGAGGACTTTATTCAGCCTGCCGCTCTATGGAAAGTCCTTGGCCGGGAACCTGGACACCAAGATCGGACCATTGCAAATATTGTGTCTAGCCTGAAGGGAGTTAAAACGGCTAGCCTGAGAAATGCCGTATATGGTTGGTATTCCCATTGCCGCTATTTTGGAATAAGTGCTCGGCTAATCAGTGATCTCCAGATCTTTTCTCTCGTGTCGATAAAGAGCTTGGCAGCAAACTCAAAGAGGCTACTGAAGCTGCGATCAAGAAATGAGAATTGGGCGCGTTCGCTTTGCAACGTTGGAAACTCGGGACCTAGAGTCAGGTTCATATTTCGTTATCTAACTCTGTGACTGTTCGTTCACTGTTTGTTCACTGTTTTTACCATCAATCACGCAGGTATATTAACTCAATCCTGTCTATTCGAAAATTGTTACTTCCTCAGTTGGTTGTCTACAAATTGGGTAGAAATGGTCGAACTACAATCAATGCCCCTGAAAGTTGTCCTGGTCTTGTATCTTGAATAAGTTGAAAATCTTGCTACGCTGATCTCGTTACGCGCACGACAAATTAGAATAGCTTGTGCTTGACTCCAAAAGATGATACGATAAACAGTTTCAAAGCCATCTAGTAAATTGGCTCAAAAGATCATTAGAGCGATCTTTCCGGCAGGCAGTCTGAGCGATTTCAGGCAAGCTTTTTCTCCGATCACTAGATTCTGGCTTCTACATCAAGGTAAACAAAGGAATCATCGTGAATGTAGGGCTGGACGAAGTATGAGTGACTTAAATTTTCCGATCTCAACGATGGCAAGTGCATATGCGAGGCATATTTGAAGCTCTCGATGTAGTGGTACTCTCAGAGGAAATTGGGGAGCATCAGTCACGGTGTAATGCCGGCGCGTTTTCACCTGTACACCTCTCTCCATCTTTCAGTCTTCGTCCTTTCCCTTCCATATGAACATCCACTAACCCGATTCACCATCCGGCTACGGAATCCAGTCCTCAGTCTTCCTCTACAAAGCCCACGCCTCTGGAATCGCCTCCCCTCTCTGCTATACTTATACATTAGCCCTAATCCAAAATTGGATCATCATCCTCCAAACCATTGCCATCGCCGAACAGCATATTGCCTCGCGGTATGCGCGGCTTCTCCACAAACTCTGGTTCCAGTGCCCGAAAGGCCGGTGTCGGTGTCGAAGCGCGCGATGCGCTTCGGGCGGATGTCTTTTACAGAGGGGGGTCTTGGTTTGAGGATGGTGGGCTTGTATTGGAGGGGTGGTGGGGATGGAGGGGTTTTTGGCCTCGCCATCGGGTCTTCCGCATGGTCTTTCGGGGGGTTTTAGGTAGGTCTTAATACCTGTGAATTGGGTTTTTTGGAAGGTGATTTTCTCTCCTTCATTTACTGGCAGATGTAGATGGATACTCAACGGACAGACTTGGCCATCGGGTCTGGTTATTGGCCTCAGGCAAGTAGTGCGGGTATGAGATTGCAATAAAGATCTGTAACCCGATAAATTGAATTATCGAGGTTCTAAGCTTCACAAGAGTGTTTCAACACCAAGTATATTATCATTAACCTAGCTAATGGCTCCCTGTATTGGTATTGCTATATCTTCACCGGGGTAGATCCAAAGTTCAAATACCCCTCACAAGCCAGCAGTATGTGCAGTGCAAAAAAGACAGGAATAAGCAAAGGAAATAACCAGAGACAAACGACCGAGGGACTAGGAACGATAGATAAAACGAATTAACCATGATTTTTAGAAAGAAGCCCCAACACCGTCGTTGAAGACCACAAATGACGTCGCAATACATAACGCGCCTGCAACGGGCCTCCTTTCGCTCCGCTCGAGCACGTGGTTCCCCTTTCCCGCACTCATTGGTCGCTACCGAGATCGGGTCACGATAACAGCGACACATGGCAATGGCAGAACACCGCTAAGCGCGACTAGCTACGCCAGAACTCTCCGCCAAGTGGAGAGTGATGATGTAGACAGGCGGCGTCATCGCGGGCAGCTAGTCTCGGCGCACGACGAGAAATTGGCGTACCACAGAGCCACGGGTGGCCCAGCGGCAAAAAAAAAAGCGTGCGTCCATTTTTACCAGGGGTTTGGGCAGGTCGTGACTAGTGTCGACAGCGAAGGTTGTGGGGCGTGGCGAGCGAAAGGGGCCGATTGCGGGTGGGCGTTTATGCCGCTGGGCCAGGTGGGATGGAGATGCAAATGCCAATGCAAGATGCAAGAAAAAGCAGGATTTAAATGAAATGAGTCGTCAAGTCAAGGAGAAGGCCTGCAGATGCAGTGGAGATAGGAAGCGAGGAGAGGAGGGGGTTGGGTGGAGCGACAAGAAGGGACAAGGCAGGCCATTTGCGAGGAGATGGAGGGGTAGGAGGGGTGATAGTGTCAAGCCTCGTTCCTCATGCCTCCTGCGCCCAGCGCTTTTCACGGAGGGGCATCTCCTCGCCAGCCTGTTTGCGGCTGCCATCGACCTCGCGCTTCCACGCCCAGTATTCGCCCAGTCGCTGCTCCGCGTAGTCGGCGTAATCAAAGTCAATCTGCGAGATCTGGGCCTGGATGAGAGCCCACACGCCCCTGTAAAAGTATTCAGCATTAGCACGAGTAACTTTCATCGTCTCCCGTAAGTTGGAAATCTCTCCAGGCAAGGAGACGGCACTTACCAGTACAACCCGGGGATACCACGGAACCGGTCCACGTCCTGGTAGAGACGGTCGACGATCTCGGCCTGCGAAGAAGCGTCGAGTCCGCGATTCTCGCAATAACTCTTGGTATACTCGGTGAGGAATTGACGGCGAACCGAGCGGGTGGGGATCATATTGTAGTCACAGTCGTAGCCGATCCACTCGGCCAAGTGGTTGGCAATGTCAAAGGCCGCTTGGGCAGGAACGGCGTACTCGTAGTCGATGAAGTTGACCGGGGCGATGCCATCCTCGGTCTGCACGCCCGCGTCATCGGGCAGAACGATGACATTGGCGCAAAGGAGATCACAGTGAGCGAAAACAAGCTACACGGCCAGAAAAAAGGCACAAAAGAATTAGTGATGCTGTACACCTTAGGGGGGTAAAAACGCAGGGATAGATCTGCAAGAGGGGGGGGGGGGGGTGGCGTACGCCGTCTTCACCAATGCCGACACCATCATCCAGCTGGCCCACCACCCATTCCAGTTCCTTCTGCAAAGTCAAGCGACGGGCCTGCTGCTCGGGGGTTGCCACGGGTAGAGCGAGGACCCATCGCTGGAGGACTGCCCACATAGAGGGACCAGCCCGGCGGGTTTGAATGGGTGTCAAGTCGGTATCGTGCTTCTCGACTCCGTTCGTGGGTGCCGAGCCAGCACCGGTGTTGGGGAGTACGGCATGCCATTGTGCGAGCTTGCGTGCTACACCTCGGAAGATAGGAGGAGTGACGAGGTCTTCATGGCCACAGGGCTTGCCGCGAATGAAGCGATAGAGGAGGCCGTTGTTGAAGCGGGCGAGAAGGGGAGGAGCCAGACCACGGCTGGCAAGGAGGGCATGGGAAGTGGTTTCTCCTAAAGACACAGAAACGGAATTTACTTTAGCGAAATTGTCGCACTGGGCCAGCGGGGAGCGAACGAAGGGCAAGCCATGGAAGTTTGTCGCATGGGGCCAGATTCAGGGCAGGCTGGAGGGAGGATGGGNGGAGGGAGGGAGGGAGGGCTCTTGAGACGAGGTCCTGGGGTAATTTCTCATACTTTCACGGTCTATAAGGATTTCTGTGCCATTTCCATACGCGCGCATCAGGACCGCATCATTGTCTATCTCCTCATCCGTCAGGCCAGCCTTGCGGTTGATAATTTTCAGGAGCTGCGCGGTCGAGGTCAGTGGTTGTGTTCGAGAAGAGGATCCGGGCTAGGACGTACAGTGTTTGTGATGCCATCGGTGAATCGCACGAACTCGATCTTGTTGCCGGGGCCCTCCCAGTGGGGGAAGAGGGTCAAGATTAGGCGCAGTGCGGAGGCCTGGGAGTCGGCCGGGGTATAGGTGAGGGGGATGTAGCGCAGGGCGGGAGCGCCATTGGTGGTGTCGCAGGAACCCATGATGGGCAGTGGAGAGGACGAGAGACAAGAGAGAATACTGGTAGGCGTAATCGCAAACGTGGTTGAAGTGAAAGTTGTCGCAGTCGTAGATGGTAGGAATGTGCCGACAAGGAGGTGGACTCGGACAAGAAGGGGGGGGAAATCACTTGGGGGTGGGGACGCTTTTAAGAAAGCAAAGAAAAAAAGTCAGGGTCTGGTGGGGGCTTTTGACACGACGTTAGGCTCAGATTTGAGACAAGAGTTGGTGTCGCCTCAACAATTAATCTTCTCTGGAGCCTGGAAACAAAGAGACGGAAGATCTGCAGGGTTGAAAGAGGGAGGAGGGGGGGCAGAGAACTAAATATGGCCGCACATCACAGGGCGAGGTCTATGATTTGTTCGATGGGGAAAGAGGTCGCATGGGAAGGGTCCAAAAGGGGCACGGTGGAATTTGGGGGCAAAAAGCTAAACTTTCGCGTACTCTAGACGGCAAACGGAAGTGACTACTGGGTGAACTACGGAAGATGAGACAATAAGACAATGAGAGATGGTCTCGTGCTGTCGTACCTTGATTGGAAGAGGCGGGCCTAAGGTTGCAGCGTGATTCGATGGAATCCATCTGGAAAAGGCTAAGGCGCAGGTTCCTGTCACCCGTCCACATTCCCGTCCGGTTCAGGGCGTATCGAGTACCAGATATTAGCATGCACACATAAAAAGGGGGCACTGTCGAGGGATTCAAGGTTCTATTCCATAGAAATACTGTAGGTGATGCATGTCGGTACCAATGTCCATCATCTTGAGCATGGAGCACATCGATCGTTGACCGCTCTGACAGGCATCACGCTCTCCCTTGACCGCCATCTAATTCAGGCGGCTACTCAGGCTAAGGCGACTAAGTCGACTTGGCTTTGACGGACTGGTCACTGGACTCTCGCGTGGAGACTTTCACATGCGAGTCTACGCCCCCTGAGACAGCCCGTATCACATGAGCCCCACAAGCCCTGACCCATGCTTGCCCTACTCTCCCTACTGGGCTAGCACTAAAACAAATTTTCTCGGACCCCGGTGTATACTTTTCCCGCACCTCCCAATCTGCACTAGCGCAATTGCCAGATTTTGCCTTTAAATACAGCTCCCACCCGCCGCCCTTTGCTTGTTTTTTTCTTTTCTTCTTCATCATCAGTAGAGGTTTACTATATCTACAATATATGTAAACAATCCCGTGGCTCCATCACAGATGGCTTGCTGAGGGTTATCCTTGTGGCTTTTGCTCTATGGGTTTCCTTCCGTTCCCGGCTCCGGAGAATAGTTCGTCTCTCTTTTTTCCCTCATATTATGGCTGTGCAAGGGTTCCCCTTCTGGGGAGCTCCATGCGCTCTAGCTGTGGAGGGGGCGGTACATACCTTTTTCTCAACATCTTCATTGTGTTGATGGTTGGCTTTGGTGCATCTGTGGCTCGTGGCATTTTGGGAGCCTTTTCAGGGCCAACCCTCTCGTAGCCTTTGTATAATTCTCAGCCGCAAGTCGTGGCCATCCAATGATTTCTTGTGATGGCCCGAAACGCGCTTAGGGGATTAGTCTAATGACCCTAGTGTCATGATTGGCACGTCGCTTAGCTCCGTATGCAGACTTTGTTTGCGTGACGATTGCGTATAGCTAGCCATTTTCTAAGTGTGGCACAGCTTTCGTATCGTGGCCGGCTTAAAGTTGGCAACTTCATGGTCAGTCTGGAAGCAAACAACGAAGCTTAGATATAGGCGGTGCCATCTTGGCCAAAAGCTGAAACAGCTCCAATTGCCGAGCGGCGGTAAAATTTCTTGATGGGTCTAAATTTGGGTGATCCACTTGGCATGCATAAGGCTAGGCTACCTTTTAGGGTGCAGGCTTCAAGATCGCGAAGCTCGATCAAAGTCAACCATCCATGTCGACTACATGGAGAGCGGGATCGGACTGTACCAAATCTATCTTATCAAGATCATTTCAACCAGACACTGGTATCTAGCCATCTACTAGACTGTGTGGGCTCTTCCCGTGGGAATAAGTTATCTACAACATCCTGGCGCAAGCCCAGTCGACGTAGGCAGATATATATCTTCGCGGGCCTACCTACGGAACTTCCTCGATAATGAATGATTTCAGATCAACAGCAAGCATTAGAACATTCGACAGGCGAACCTCGGGGTAGTTTCGAATTTACCAAAGCCTTAAACGATGGAGGATTGACCAGGCTTGGCTATCAGGAATAGACGAAACCACGAATATGGTGGACACTCCGAGAATAATCTTTGAGATACCACACGCTTGTTAGCAATGTCTTGTCTTGCAGCGCAGGGGTAAACCCGTATTGGTACTCTCCATCTTTCAGGCTCACATTGAAAACCGCCGAACAATGTCGATAGTGATGGATGGGTTCCTGAAACTGTTCAAGATGTCCGGCGACTCATCGTGGCTCATCGGGCGGGACTCATCAGTAGAAGAGACGGGGCTTGTGGCAGTTTAAACTATACGGTCTGTCCACGATCATCGTATTCTTCGAGATAGAGGAAGCAAAAAACACGCTCGATCTTTCTGGGGTGTCCTCGTGCATTTCAACGGCTTTATTGGGAGATTCCTAAAAGAACATCTGCGACTGAAATCAGTCTTCATAGTGATATTTATGTTGTTCTGGAATTACTGGAGAATGCAATGTGGAAAAAGCTCGATTGCGTGAAAATTTAATGCAATCGAAAATTCTGTCCGTATTCACCCTGGGGCTACAACTACCCAAATTCAAAGACTTACGGTCATCTGCACAACTGCGAAGACATGTTCATTCATATTATTCAATAGGCCTTCGACTCGACCCTAGTCATCAATGCATCACCATCATAAAACGGCATCATTAGAAGATCACAATGGATCCTCAAATTTTGTATTCCTCCCCTTCTACTCAACGTATATGCCAAATCTGCTCTCGTTCCTCTCACGCACGACCCGCATTGCCAATTTGAATGCGCTCCCCGGACCACTTGTCATCGCTGCGCAGAACGGGCCAGCTAGTGCCATCGGCCTTGACCAATGTCAGCTCCAGCTTCGTACCCAGCACGCGGAACGATGACTTCTCCGGGTCAATGGGAGCGAAGAGATTGTATTTATCTTGGAAGCGTTTGCTGTCGGAGGTGGGGAGGTCAAAGGTGATAGTGTTTTCGGCGAAGTCGACGCGCGCACGATCCTTGTCGATCTTCTTCAAGTAGAGGGAGACGTTCACGGAGGAAGCAGTCTGGTAGAAGTCATTTCTAGAAGTTATCTTGTTAGCTGGTTCGTTACAATTGCGGACCGCAAAACTTACCGAACAGACTCGACCTTCTCCTCGCCGGCCGGTTTGGCCTTGCCTACAAACATATGCCTGACCTTCTCCGTGCAACCGGGGATCTTCAAGAATTGATCGAATTCCAGGACCCGCCGCTTACAGCAGGACCAACCTTTGCTGCCTTCGTGGAAGACGGGCGCTCCAGGGTGGTGGACGCACTTCACATCGCGAGAAGCCGAGGGGGTATATTTAGCGCCGCAGCCCTTCCGGCGACATGTCGCGTTCTCAGGAATCTCCGCATCAGGATCATCCGAGTCGGGCTCTTCGACGATGGGCTTTGCGGGGGTATTGGTCGGGCGCTCCGGTAGCTTCGTCTCAACGGGTACTGGCGCAGGTGCGGGCGCGGGAGGAGCAGACTCGGTCGCAGGCGCAGCAGGCTCCTCGGTAGCCTGTACGGGTTCCGGGGCAGGTGTATCGTCAACGGTGGAGTGCTTGCCCGTCGTGCAGGGCGGAATGGCGAGGAATTCCTCAAAGGTCAGGACGCGGGGTTTGCAGCATTTCCAGCCTAGACAGGATTCGTTTTAGTCTGACCCTGACAATGAACGGGGTAGCACCAAGGTCCCTTACCCTTCTGCCCCTCGTGGAACACTGGTGGACCTGGATGATACACGCAGGCCTCCTCCGGATCGGCGAAAGTCTTCCCACATCCCTTGTGAACGCATTTACCGGCCATGGTGTGTAACGGCGAAGACGGGATTGAGAATGAGGTTGCGGAGGGTCGCGGAGACAAAGATCAGGGTCGTGGATCCTGCGAAAAGAGTCGATCGGACCTGCAGAGAGTATAGAGGGATGGGCTTAGAGTGTCCAAAGCCGTGAGATTGCCGAATAAATGCAGGGCCCGCACGATTTAGCCGGGGTTGAAGCTCGAAGGTTCCATTGCTTCCATGACTTTGGAGAATGAAGGTGGGGCGACGATCCAATCAGACGTTGAGACAACCAGCCAAGCTTGAATTGGGAGAAGTCACCACACTAACGTGGTTTGAGCTTTACATTGGAATTCTGGTCATATATCTGGCTGGGCATCTCATGAGATGGGACTTCTGGAAAAGTTCGTGCTCAGTCCACGGTCAAGTCAAGTGGAAACGCGGTCTTTTGCATCTAGGCCAGGGCAAGTAGGAGCCCTGTATCAGCCTCTGTTTGACCTACCTTGAGCAAATAACTTAGAGTTAGCCTCGTCCTACTCAGGCAGTTGGATTGTGAAAAACATTGATATAGTCTGATGATTGACGATCCATGCTGTCTTCATAATGACTGATGATTAGTTACTATACTAATGCCCACACCAGAGGAACAATTCAACATATTCAAGTTACAGTCGATGAGTCGGGAGACATGAAGGATCGGTACTACAGTACAAATTCGGCCATGACTGTCATTTAGCCCAGATAGTGCCACAGGACGGTTGATAGGAGATCAACTCGGTCACCAGAAGGTTAGCTAGAGCTTGGGTTCCCAGCCTGTGAGCCGATGCTCTTAGTTCCTGCACGGGCGGTGAAAAACAGCAGAAACTAGCGCACCTGGAAGCGGTCAAACGGTTTTGAATGATCCAGATACAGAAATCCGTCGAATGGGAGAGTAAACGAAACAACTACACCTACAAATTGGATGGATCTCTCTTGACCACTATCTTTTTTTCTCTGGCCTTCCTCGTTCAATATGGCTTCTCAATCTCTCGCTCGGTTGACCCTGTTCACCCGGGCCGGATGTGGTCTCTGCGACACTGCCAAGCACACAGTGATTCAACTCCAAAAACGACGACCCTTCGAGTACGTGGAGAAGGACATTATGGATGCCAAGAACAAGCTCTGGAAAGATGTATACGAATTCGATGTTCCCGTTCTACACGCCCAATCTGTCAAAAATGGGTTGCCAAAGGAGGCCGAGCTTTCTGACGCAAGGAAGCTATTCCATCGATGGACCGAGCAAGAGGTTGAGAAATTGGTCGACGAGGCTGAGAAATAAGCTTAATAACTGGTCTGCCCCTCGGGTAATTCCTTCCAGCCTTCTTCTGTTAGCATCTTGGCACTCATTGTTTTAATCCTGTCGACACTATTCTTGTTGCAGTAAGCAACGCCCCATGTTCAAATTTGTCTCAACACCCCGACTGTATAATAACAAGGTGATGATATCCATATTGTGCTATATTCGCTCTGAAAGCCACCTATTTCATCTCCTTGGATCGTCAGTCCAGGATCCCCGATCTTGCCCTTCGCGTTTCCTTGTAAAACCGATATTTGCGGAATGAGCACGTGCGTGGCGGCGTTTAGGAGCTTATTTCCGATACGCAACCTTTGCTTACTTCCGCTTGCTCAAAATTCTTCTTTCAGTTACCCAACTTCAAGAATCACGACTTATAATCCAAGAAAAGATCCAATTAGAAAGGATGAGAGGGGATTCGATGGACCACCTAGATCCCGCCTCGAGGCGGAGGCTTCAGAATCGTCTCAATCAACGCGCCAGTCGTAGGTGGCAAAGCTCCTCTTCTCCACTACTCCTTCGCTAACCTTCATGCAGGTAAGAGAAAACAGGCAGAGAAGCAAAAGCAAAATCGTGGGAACCGTTGGATAATCTACACCAATGATGCCAACGCCTCTCCCGACACAGAAGATCGCACCACAAGGACGCCAGAACCGAGTCCAACGCCTATCGTCTCACCAAGAAGCCAAGATCAAATGAGCGTTTTTGCCTGTGGCACGTCTCGGCTATCGCCATCACAGTTATTTGACCAATTAAAGAAACAACTGCTAGATGCGGCTGGCAAAATACCGCCTTGCCCCAGTCTGATCCATTCTGTGACACAGTTCAATATTATACGAGCAATGTGCGACAATGCAGCCATCATGGAGCTCACGATGGATGTATTGTGTGAAGATATCGCATCAATATTCAACATTGCCGGTCCCATCACTTTTGATTTACCGCCCAGCTTACAACCAAGCTCGACACAAAAGCAAGCCATCCATCATCCGTGGATTGACCTACTCCCCGTTCGTTCATTTCGAGATGTTTTGATAGGGAGAATGGCTGAATATGACGACGAGGAACTTTGTGGAGATCTTTATGGCCTGAGTACAACTTCGGGAAATGTTGGGCTGCTTGTTTGGGGCGAGGCGTGGGACCCTTTGGCTTATGAACTATCAGAGGAAGTGGTCCGGAAATGGAGCTGGATTTTGAAGGATTCTCCCGAACTTCTTACCTCGACAAACTATTGGAGGAGGAAACGAGGGGAGAAGCGATTGAGATTCTTCGATTCGCAAGAGCACTATATCCACGAGATTGAATGAAACATTGTGAAGGGGTTACTTTAGTATGGCAGACAAATCTAAATGTCGTACTTTTCCCCAATCATCTCTTCACTGATATCCCAAAGACGCGTGATGTTCTGCTCATTCCGAACATGAGAGTGCATGTGGTCATTTGCCACGGCATTTTGGCTCAAGAAGGATCCGTTGTAGTCAACTACCAAGATAAGAAAAGTGTCAGCGCCCAGGCTTCAAACCGTAATAGGTAGCACCAACCTGAGATGGTAGTATCAATCATTCCTGTGATCATGTTCGCCGCTCCTTCCGACCGGGTTGCCCACGGTTGCATATCAAACTTGTTTCCGTCCGCATCCACAAGAGCTGTTCGAACTTGAGTACTGTCCTTGTTCCAAGATATTATAGTCACTTACAGCCGGGCTTCTCCAACTCCTTGACCATTTCCAAGAAATGTGGAGGGCAATGTCTCTGCAATCCAGTGTTGACGGCTGTCGAAAAATTAGTCTTCAGCAAAAATTCGTCCGAAGGAATCCCGTATACATACAGCCAGGATCAATACTAAAGACACGAATGCCTTGGCTCTTCAATTTCTCACCGAGCCTTTTGGCGAACATGGTGCGCGCAGCATTGGATTGGCCATACGCCGCCCACGGCTCGTAGGTCTTTCCATCCTATGAAGAGAGTCAACCTTCAACATGTCTTCCGATATGGGGAAACGTGGCTCGGACTCACACTGAACTCAAGATCGTCGAAATTCACCTTCCCTTGTCTCATAATCGCGCTCGATGTAATGATAATCGAAGATCCTGAGCCAGCTGCTTGAACCTTGGGCAGTAAAAGCTTCACAAGCAGGAAGTTGGCGAGGTAATTCACTCCAAACTGCATCTCAAAGCCATCCTTGGTTTTGTTGAAAGGGCATGCCATCACACCAGCCACAAAGACTACATGGTCGATCTTGGGCACGTTTGCGAGGCCCTGTTCAACTGCCCGGCGGACGCTACTCAGGTCTGCCAGTTCGATGTCGAGGAAGCGAGTTTCGACGTTGAGCTTGGACTCCTTGATCTTTTCGATGATCGGAGCTACCTTTGACTCGTTGCGCGCACTCAGGATGAGGAGCTTGGGATTGGCGGCGGATAGCTGGATGGCGAGTTCGCCCGCGATGGACTCCTCGGAGATACCAGTGATCAGAACTGGTGTAGCTCAGTGTGTTAGAACAGATCAACGATAGAGATACATCGACAAATCAGTACCTGTTTTTCCGGCAAGCGATTTGCCATACTTGTCCAGCACGACCTCGGAGCGAAGAATCTGCTTGACAGACATTGTGTTTGGCTAGGATTGGAACCAAAGAGATAATTTTCAAGAATGTTTCGGAAGTTAATGATCTTTCAAGAAAGTCTAGTGAGCATTGACTGCGATACTTATACCTTTCTTCATGATTCTGGATTCGTTCAACTTGGACTTAACCAAAGCCATATATCCGAGAAGCAACGGGGCTACTAATTTCAAACTCCGAAAGGATGTCGCTTTTTCCCTTATTGAGCTAGTGTCTTGTCATCTGCCACGACTAGTTATTTAAACTCAACTCTTAAATGGAATGACAAAAGATAGAAAGGCGAATTATATCCTATGGTAGAACCAATCACGGCGCAGGCTGGGTTCCACAATCGAATCACCAGAATAGGTTAGCGCACTGTCATCAGTTTAATGCCGCGGCACTCCTAGAAAGCTGAATATTTTGCCATTATGCAGCATGAGTATTGTGAATAGATATGCCCTACGATCGATGGAGGCCTTTCTGCGAACCACCGTGACTGCCATCAGCCATGATGAACCGACTATAGTGGTTCATGAACGCCATCGGAGAAACAAGAGCTCGATTTCGATTTCACCGGCACGACCGTAGATTATGAAGTACGAATTTCACCAGATAAAAATTAAGCATGATCGGCCAAGGATATCAGGCCACGGGGCTTGTCTATTGATGGAGCTTCTCACTGCCTTGTTCGCGATTAGCGTTTCGCTTGGAAATCGTCCTCCCGGCAGGTTTTGTTTGATTTGAATGGAAATGGGCTAGAGAGCCGATCATTCCACTGTCGCTCTTCCGTCGACAGACGGTCGTGGCTGCCTGTCTGACCGCTTGGTTCATGTCAATGGCATTTGAATGCGCTCACCCGTTGCGTCCCGCTGGATATGAAGATGCTGGGCCACTCGAACAGTGCAATTGGACTACGTCTTCTACCTGATGCCATTGGTACCGGGCTCGGATCTTTCTTGGTTGGATTGGTCATTCGAGTGACTGGCAAATACGGTGGCTTCCAATATACCATGACTCTGATGCTGGTGCTGGCATCGTTCGCTTTCGCTTTTATCTCGGTTCACACGCCTTGAATTCTTCCAGAGGTGTATCTGTTGTGTAAAGGCTTTGATATGGGTGGAGCCTTGACTGTGTTGATCTTGGATTTGCTGCTTTCACTTCCGCATGAGAGGCATGCTACTGTGACGTCTGCATGGTATGCATTGCGATCGACTGGAGCGACCGCGGGACTGTCAGCGGCCACTGCCAAGTTCTATCTCTGGATGATGGTAGACACGGGGTTTAGCGCTAAGGAGGGAGACCAGTGTTATCTCGATGCGTTGCGTGGAGCTTTTCAATTGGCATTAGCCTTTGGCACTGCCGGGTTGATGTCTGCTTTGTTTGTCGCGACATATGCCAAACCTGGCCAGGAAGAAGAAGGAAGAGAATTGGGTGAAAGTGAGTAACTATCTTCTAGGGAGCCTAGGCAACGCTACCTACAGAAGTAACAGTTTCCTCGGGCGAGAATTCAGGTTCCACCAAGGTCCATTAGGCTAGGAACCGTATACTTACTTGATTTCGTAGGGCTGGCTAGGTCCAATTATTAATACAGAAAATGGGATTAGTTAGGTTACTCATGTTGATTATGAAATTCGCAGTGGATGTCCAGGCCATTTGGAGAGGTCTCGAGCTGTTTTGATTACTTGATCGGAACCAGAGCGGAAGCACAAATGGTTGAGCCCGTCCCCACTCTCTCAACGCGATCGGGTTCGTTCCGTAGGGTTCGGAACTGACTGCCCGAACGGGACATTGGATGCGCGACAACATTTGACTGACACCAGACCAAGCTGTAGAAGTGCTATTTCTTATTGCGATAGTTGGTCGGGACATAAAAACCAACGTATTACAGACCACAATGTCCTTTGCAAAGCCTTTCGAACTAAGCCGTACCCGAAATTACAGGTATCTAGGAATAGACCGACCGATAAGTAGATGCTGACGTCATTGACCCATCGTGCCATCAGCATCGCGCGATCGCAGCATCAATGATGGTTTCCGTTGCGCGTTGATTGCAAACGGTAATAAGCCTGTAGATCGTGTATTGGATACAGGAAGGGCGGTCAGCATGTGTACTCGTCAACTCGACATGGCTGTTTCGAGATATCCCTCGATCTAATCTCCACGCGCGGCCAAGAGATTCTTGAAATAAGAACCCGAACATTGCGAATTCCCAGCGCCTTGAACCTTGCCATAGAACACTATCTTCATTGTTGTCTTCGTTCTAGTAGATTCCATGTGCTCGCGGGTGTTTGAGTACGGAACTGGGGGCCCATCGCAGCTTCCGAGGTCCAACGTGGATTTGGGTGAGGGGCAGCCAATGTACCCCCGAACGAAGAGAGTTCGGAATAATGTGCAAGGATCATCGCAGGGCCTTATGGGCTCATAGCGCCAAGTAAAAATAGGGAAGCTGCAGCTTCGTAGCAAAACACGGGGATTGCCGGCCACTGTGATTCGCAAGCGCGGTCCCCCGCGACCAGAGACGAAGAATGCTCTCCCCCGCTCTCCACATTCCGGCAGCGGCGGTCTGGCCCAATGACAGCGGCGAGCTTAGGAATCAGTGGCCCAGAACTAAGGAGCTGACAAAGATGGCCTCTTTCCCGAGGATTTGGCCCAGGAAGTATTGACGGTAATTGTGTTTTCCGTCATTCGCTCCGTGGTTGTACTGGTCCTGACCTTGGGATCGCCCGGCCTTTATAAGGTGCGGGGGTGCCCTCGCCGGCCGGGCGGTTCTATTTTACTTTTCTATTTTTCTCATTTCTCTATTATTAAACCATCCTCTCTCTGTATCTCCTCCCATCTCCCCATCCCTCTACATAACACATACAGTCAAAATGGGTGAATGCCCAGTACACAAGTCTCCCAACGTGGCTGGCCACGGTACTCGCAACCGCGATTGGTGGCCCGAGAGCTTGAAGCTCAACATTCTGCGCCAGCACACCGAGGCAACCAACCCATTGAGCAAGGACTTTGACTATGCGACTGCTTTCAAGAGCCTCGACTACTATGCCGTCAAGAAAGACCTCCAAAATCTCATGACCGACTCCCAGGAGTGGTGGCCTGCGGACTTTGGCCACTACGGTGGTCTCTTCATTCGTATGGCCTGGCATAGTGCGGGTACCTACCGTGTCTTCGACGGCCGTGGTGGTGGCGGCCAGGGCCAGCAGCGATTTGCTCCTCTCAACAGCTGGCCCGATAACGTCTCCCTCGACAAGGCTCGCCGCCTGTTGTGGCCTATCAAGCAGAAGTACGGTGACAAGATCTCTTGGGCCGATCTGCTGCTCCTGACGGGTAACGTTGCCCTGGAGTCCATGGGCTTCAAGACCTTTGGTTTCGCTGGTGGTCGTCCCGACGTTTGGGAGGCCGATGAGTCCGTCTACTGGGGCAGTGAAGTTGAGTGGTTCACCAACGATGCTCGTTACAAGCCCGAGACCGAGGAAGATGCCGCCAAGCAGAGCGATATCCGCACTCGTGATCTCGAGGACCCCCTCGCTGCCGTCATTATGGGTCTGATCTACGTCAACCCCGAGGGTCCCGATGGCAACCCCGATCCCGTTGCGGCTGCCCGTGATATCCGTGTCACCTTTGGCCGCATGGCCATGAACGACGAGGAGACCGTCGCTCTGATTGCCGGTGGTCACACCTTCGGTAAGACTCACGGTGCCGCTAGCGCTGATAACGTCGGCAAGGAGCCCGAGGCCGCCGACCTCCACCAGCAGGGTCTTGGCTGGACCAACGCCCACGGCACTGGCAAGGGTCCTCACACCATTACCTCCGGCCTGGAGGTGACCTGGACTCGCACTCCTACCAAGTGGAGCAACCAGTACTTCGAGTATCTCTTCAAGTATGACTGGGAGCTCACCAAGTCCCCCGCTGGTGCCAACCAGTGGGTGGCCAAGACCAACGACGAGGTTATCCCCGATGCGTACGACGCCAACAAGAAGCACAAGCCCACTATGCTGACCACCGATCTGTCCCTGCGTTACGATCCCGCCTACGAGAAGATCTCGCGCCGCTTCCTGGCCAACCCCGACGAGTTTGCCGATGCTTTCGCTCGCGCCTGGTTCAAGCTTCTCCACCGTGATATGGGTCCCCGTGCCCGCTGGCTCGGCCCCGAGGTCCCCAAGGAGAGTCTCCTCTGGGAGGACCCCATTCCCGCCGTTGACCACCCTCTGATCGACGCCGAGGATGCCGCTGAGCTGAAGCGCCACATTCTCAACTCCGGCGTCGAGCCCTCCAAGTTCATCTCTACTGCCTGGGCCTCTGCCTCCACCTTCCGTGGCGGTGACAAGCGCGGTGGTGCCAACGGTGCCCGCATCCGTCTTGCCCCCCAGAACAACTGGAAGGTTAACAACCCCGCTCAGCTGCGTGAGGTCCTGAGCGTCCTGGAGGAGATCCAGCGCAAGTTCAACGGCTCCCAGACCGGTAACAAGCGTGTGTCGCTGGCCGACCTCATCGTTCTGGCCGGTGGCGCCGCTCTGGAGAAGGCCGCTGGTATTCCCGTCCCCTTCACCCCCGGTCGCATGGATGCCAGCGAGGAGCAGACCGACGTCGATTCCTTCAGCTTCCTCGAGCCCGTTGCCGACGGTTTCCGCAACTACGGCAAGTCCTCGCTCCGTGTCCGCAGCGAGCACCTGCTCGTTGACCGCGCTCAGCTCCTGACCCTGACCGCCCCCGAGATGACCGTTCTGGTCGGTGGTCTACGTGTCCTGAACGGCAACTTTGACCGCTCCAACTATGGTGTTTTCACCCAGCGCCCCGGCCAGCTGACCAACGACTTCTTCGTCAACCTGCTCGACATGAACACCGTCTGGAAGCCCACTGACGACAACAACGAGACCTTTGAGGGTGTCGACCGCAAGACCGGTGCCAAGAAGTGGGATGCTACCCGCGTCGATCTCATCTTCGGTCACCACGCCGAGTTGCGTGCTCTGGCTGAGCTGTACGGCTCTCACGATGGCCATTCTAAGTTTGTTCGCGACTTCGTTGCTGCCTGGGACAAGGTCATGAACCTGGACCGCTTTGATGTGGTCTACGCTGGCAGCCAGGGCCGTGCTCGTTTGTAAATGTTTTGAAATGTTGCATGCCGTGATGTTTATGATGTGAAAACTTTTGGACAAGCACTACGGTCTGCTTACCTTTATGTATCCGATTCGAATGACGAAGAATGTGAATAGTGAATTAGCCAGTTAATTATTTTCCACTCTATTGATCTCCTCTTGTAGATTTTCCTTTATTGATCTTGCCTTTCTCTATTTTAGAAACCAATATTCACTAGGCCCCATGTGCCCCACCTACAAACCTTCCAACCAATCAGCATCCATCTTCGTGATAACCTCGCAACTGGGTTCAAATAGGAAATTCCTGCGTATCCGTATCTCGTTCTTCCCCATCCCTTCATCTATCAACCCAGAAGAAACAAGAACAGTCCAACGCAAAGCTTGTCGATCCTTGTCTGGACCCTCGTCAAATCAATCTTATTTGACACTAGTTTCCACGATCCCTGGACTCACGCTTTAAGGTTTGCAGCAGGCTGCAGCCATTAACGGCATTAAAAGGAACGAATACGACCATTCTTTAACCTACGCGAGATATGGATCTCTCGGGTGACAAGCCCTATAGACCGAGGCGGACACATCGGAAGTCGCGGCTCGGTTGTCTCAATTGTAAGAAGCGGCGTATCAAGGTGGGTTTAAATATTGCCTTGCACCTCTTCGTGAGATGCACGACTTGACCTGACCATCGGCTCTCCGTCGCGATCGATCATGTTGGACATTCTGCGTGGACTATTTTGCTTCCCTCAACGGAAGTCCTGGATCACATTGATTGCCGAGACTGACGAGCAGAATGATATTCTACAGTGCGATGAGAAGAAGCCGAGTTGCACCAACTGCGATAATCATGATGTTGAATGCTCGTTCTTAATCGTTGCCCCGACACCTCCAGCTTCAGAGACAGTATCGCCAAATGCGACAATATCTGAAACATCGCCCGAACACCAGCCAAAACCACGATCTCGACGATTCCGACCCTATGCTTACTGCAATGGAGGACTGAAGCAGACTTTCAGATTGACCAATCCCAAGAATCAAAACCAAGCACCGATCGAAGAAGCAGAGCCACCAATCGAATTCCTACCCTTCGAGTCCATCTCGCTGGCCGATCTACAACTGTTCCATAACTTTATTATCTCAACATCCCAAACCATGACGGATGACGGTGACCGGAACGGTATCTGGCGAAATCACATTGTTCAATGGGGCATGGAATTCCCTTCAATCCTACACCTCATCCTCGCTCTGTCCGCCCTCCATCTCGCATACACAAACCCTGAGTCTCGCGAAAGATACATCCAACAAGCAGATGACCACTTCACATTCGGCGTCCGAACAGTGACAAGCGTGCTATCCCAGCTCAACGCCGACAATTGCCAGAAGATCTACATGGCCGCTGCATTAATTTGCTTCATCTACTTCGGCCATGGACCCCAGCCAGGTGAATATCTCATCTTCAGCGATGCAGGCGCTGCCGAGTGGAAAATTCTCTTAGGAGGCGTGAAGACGATCGTCTTCTCCTATCATGCCAAGGTATTCAGCGGAGTTCTGGAACCAAAGGTCGAAGAAGTAGAACCGCCGTGTTTGAGCGAGTCTATGCGTACCGAGTTGCACGAGCACACCATCCACGTGGAGGCATTACGGCGACTCGTCGAGGAAGAGATAGCAGACGAAACTCAGCGAGTCATGTATGAAAAAGCAATCAACGACCTGCTGGAGATAATGCGAGAAGTCTACGAGAAACGATCCATTGGAGACCCGGGCGTTGGCTTAATGCATCTACTGATTGGTTGGCTTTATCGATTGCCCGACGAGCTGGTGGGCTTGTTGGAACGGAAAGAGCCGCGAGCTCTCGTTATATTGGCGTATTGGGCCGTTATGTTGAAGTATATGGATAATGTGTGGTTTATGAAGGGTTGGTCGAAGCATGTATTGGAGGGAATATCGGGGTATCTTCAGCCAGAGTATCGGCCGTGGATTGAGTGGGCTTTGCAGAGAGCGAAACAGGATAGTCGATTATGATACCCAGTTGAATCGCACGTAATTTTGACGGAACGCCTCAAATGATTGTTTTCTGACTCGGTGGATTAGTAGCACTTGCCTAGCGGCAAAAAGAGAAAATGCGTGTCCGCAGTTAAAGTTTGCTTATCATCTATTTTTTGACATCAAACATGGATCCTGTACAAAGAAATTTCCATATTAACCTAAAAATAAGTATACATCTGCCTGGAAGCCCATAATTTTGAGGATTTATCGGCCTAGTCAGGGCAAAAAGGGTTGGCATCAGGTCCTAAGCGCGGGACCTTCGCAAAACGCTCCACTGGACCCACACGTATTCGTTCTCAATATTTCCCGATCCGGTAATCATACATAGATCGTCAGGGCGACACTTAGGATGGCTTGAGAATAAATATGGCAGCATCGTCTTTCGAGAATTAAGCATTCATTAACATTTTTCTCTTTCTCACCAAGACATCGGGATGGATATCGTTTTCCATAATGGCACCAATGGCTCGAGTCCTTGGGTTGAGTTCTACCCATACACACCTTCTGCAACGGCTGGATATGCCTTCATGGCAGTCTTTGGTATCGCGACAGTCGTTCATCTCGTTCTAATGTGTCCCTTCCGTGCTGCATACTTTATACCCCTAGTATTAGGCGGAATATGTACGTGCTGTCCAAATCATGACATACATTACTTAGCTAATCGAACCGACCAGGCGAAACATTTGGCTACTACGGCAGAGCATGGTCCCATCAATCCCGAACTGAAATCAGTTCTTGGGCACTCCAAGAAATGCTCATTCTATGTGCACCACCCCTCCTCGCCGCAACAGTCTACATGGTACTCGGTCGAATGATACGAGCCTTCGACGCCGAGCATCTCTCCAGCATGCGCCCGAAATGGCTCACATTCGTTTTCGTCATGAACGACGTACTCTGCTTCTGCACACAGCTAGGTGGTGCAGGTGTCCAGATCACCGGAGATCCTCAAGTCATGGATGTCGGCAAAAAAGTCGTTCTGGCAGGCTTGATATTCTCGTTATTCGTCTTTGCCTTTTTCGTGGCTATTGCAGCGACATTCCATCGGCGATTGCAGCAAACCCCTACGACCATTCTCACTATGAATCCAGATCTTGCATGGAGGCGGTATATGTGGACGCTATACGTTGCTTGTGGAGCCCTGATGGTTCGCAATCTTGTTCGAACCATTCAATTTGGCGCTAATCGGACGGCGGATATCAATACGAAAGAAACGTATATCTATATCTTTGATGCTTTCCTGATGTTTTTGACTATGCTTGTGTTGATTATCTGTCATCCTGGGCTACTTATCAAAAAGGCGCGACGGGCGAAGAAAGTTGTCGAATTCAATCAGCCTCTGGCGGGTGATAGGAATTCAGGGCAAGTCCCTTTGATGGCATATGAGCCACGACCGATGGCTTAGCGCGGACTTGACAGTCAGTTTCTTTCCTCATTTGATTTTTGGGTCACGGCGTTGGGGGTTCGGAACTATGAGGACTCGCTCCTATTTCACTGCTTCCAGCATGTCATTTCGAATTATAATGTTTCCAGATTTGTGCAGAGAGATATTAGATAGTAGTTCCCAGATCAGGGACGATGTTGGAATTTTTCATCAACGAGCAATAGAAGCGCGAAATAGATATGAATGTGTCTGAATCGCATGACGAACCGTTGAACTCTTACAGCTGCTGATTACGCTAGACCACGAAGGATAAAATTACAACATGTACCTGCGACCTCGACTCTCCATGTAATGTTTAGAAACTATTCACCCACCTCGTCTCTGCTCCTCCCCGAGTGGCTTGAGATTCTGACCTTAAAAGTGAGTACTCGACATGAGTCTCCTCCGTGTCTGAGACTTCAAAATCAATCTAGTCATCGAGGCTGAAATGCACTCTCGCTCACCAGTAGTGAGGGAAGCAATCATGTATACTGTGCTGCTCTAGATATACGCAATCTGCAAGAAATGGAGTCAAGGCTCAGTATACACCATCGTAATCGTAATCTAACACTGTCTGTCATGTATCAATAGTACCGACTAACGCGTGACCACTATGTAGTAGGACAAGAAACCAGGTGTTTCTCTTCTGCATGAAAGTTATATGTAAGTAGATGTAGATATCATTATTAAGATCCGCTGGAGGCTAAACCAGAGCCATCCATCCAAAGTCCAACCATGTTTCGAGCTGATAGACCTAAGAGCATACTCGTCATAGCACCAGCATGAGTACTAAACCGGCGATCCAGACTTCCAAGAACAGAAACGCCATTCACCACCAAGCGGGAAGAAGTTTGTACATGTAAAACTTGACATGCCACCCGTTGACCAACAAATCATGTGACCTTGACTTGAAGTAGTGGACCAAAAATTGCACCTGGCTTAGAACCACATGATCCCTGCTACTAGGCCAATGACTATAGCCATGCAGCTGCCCCGCAGTTCTGCCGTATGCCCAGCGGCATCCGTGGGCTGATCACTCGGCGCTGCGTGTAGCTTTTGTGTTTGGCCCGTAACGCCCGGACCGCCATTACTCGCAGGCGGCCCGTCTTTTGCAGAACGGGGTAATGTTGACAATTGCTCGCCGGTTGCGTTTTGTGATGTGGGAGTTGGTTCCAGGTATTGGGATCCTAGCTGAATTAGAGGTTGCACCCAGACGATAGATGCAGTACGCTTGGCGTGTTCCCAGAGGTCAGTCGCCCTGCGGCAGGCCTGCTGCCAATTGCTGCACAAGGTCGGAGTTTGCAGTCCGGTGTCCTCCCTGGAAGACGTATATGGAGGTGATGAGTTATTATTTAGGTAAGGCGCGGGTTCGGAGCGGTCATTGTCAGTTGAGGTAGGTAGAGGAGAGGCATTAGAGGGCGTGAGAGGGAGGTTGGGGATCGTGGGAGCGGCGGGGAGACTCCGATTGGAGAAGGAGGTGAATAGTTGATAGTCGTCTAATTGCTGTATAAAGTATGTTCGAAATGCGCGCGCGCGTCGACCGAACATGAATGATGATGATTCGGGAGAGGTATAGGAGAGTCGACTTTTGTTCTCGACAGGGGTCACTTCGCCCGGGACTGTCGATGCACCATTGGATCGTGAGGAGCGCGGTATGCGATTTCCACGCGTGCGATACTGCGCAGTCATCACCCACGGTTTTTGAGGGTCCATGGAAGGCGTGTCCGGTGGGAATGCAGCGGCGCCATCTTGAATCAGGGGAAGCTCTGTAGGCACCAACCATTAGCATAAACAGAGTATTTCTCGTGAGAACCAGGGCCAATGAACGTACTGCGAACTCCGCCAGTAAAGTAACTAAAGTCCGCGAACTTGATATTGTAGATACTCGACAGCGACGGCACGAGAGTCAACAATGAGAAGACGATCAATGCCAGGAGAGGGAGCGCGCCCTGTTTATCCAGCGCCGGGCGCATCATCCACGATCACCGGTCGGAACCGGAGGCCGTTGGCGATGATAGTGCGAGGGTGTCTATAAGAACCAAGAGACACTAGTAACGGTCGCCTTGAATGCCATGGAGAGGGGTCCGAGGTGGTGGTTTGGGGGGAATGTCTCGGAATTGACGGGGGCTTGTTTTAGCTCGAATCGAACCTCAAGAAGCAACACGCGCCCACGCGCAGAAATGAGGGGGGAAGGGAGGTCAAGAAAGAGGTTGTGGGGAGCGCAGCAGTGTCTCGAATAAAATTAAATAAGATTTGTCTTGGGAGGGGAGAGGATCCAAGAAATGGATGACGGCGATAAGGCTGGAAGAGTCGGTAGTGCGAAGTCGTTGCTCTCCTGCTTGCTTGGCGCGATTTTTCTCCGTTCGGCCCGAATGACGTCGACGAGGTCGCGCAGGTAACCGCTGCAAGCGTCGCGATTGGATCTCGTTTCCCCTCTTTTATGTTTGACGGATCCCTGAGCTAATTGACTCTATACACTATCCTTCCGTCGCATGGTTGATAGAATTACTGGGGCCAGGAATGTCTCCACGGCCACGCCAGATTTTGAGTTTTTCCAAACGGCTTCCAGGAATGTAGCCTCAGGCTGCCAACATCCAACCCAGATTCTCGAATCAGACCAAGTTTCTCCAAGTTTGGCGTTCCGGAAAAGGAAATCATACCTTGGTTCGTTTAGAAAACTGGGTCAAACAGGGTTCGACCTAATTGATTGACGTGGGTGGAGTCAAGGTTACTTTAAAGTGGAAGTCTCTATGGAGGACCGACCGCAACGACGTCCTTGGGTTCGTGAATCTGTCCATACAAATCTAGATTTCTGGATTCGTGTACCTATTATAATTAAGGATAACTCCTTGCTACTGTATGTACAGCCTATCATGCTATAAACTTGTGGTATGTGCGTAGAGGCTCCATTCAAATTGTTCTTCTCTACCAGCGGGTAAGGCTGGATGGATCAAGGGAGATGGACCCCTGGGGTTTATATGGTAAAGTCGTAGATGAAACTCCCTGCAGGAAGGTTCTCGAATTGAAAATATCATGCTTCTAACTAGACATAATCGTATTCTTTTTTCTCTCCCAGCCAACAAGTTCCCGGTCAACACGCTCTGTTTTCCCAGCCCCGTCGGCAATAGTATGTCAATCAAAGTACAGTCAGTACTCCGTGCGTCCTCTGGTAGACGATAAAATTCACACTAGATATGGGTACTAGCTACCCGAACACCCTCTGCCCTACGCAGACTGCTATGATCTATCCCGGCGAATGATGCCAGCCAAGGATTTCTTTACCGGGCAGCAACCGTGTACTACTCCCAAGAAAGCAACCGATCGGCACGCTTAGTCTCACTTGCATTGCTCTAATCATGTCATCGTCGCCCGGGGAGGCTGTGGCGGGCCTATCCATCTGACACCTTTTGGGCTGCTTGCATGCCACACAATAAATATAGAATAACCTTGGCATTACATTGCGCGTCCGCAACAATGTATCTTGAAAATAAAATCTAAATCCAACACTGGCATACTGTCATACAACCCAATCGCTATTCCGACAGTAGCCAACACTGCCGCTCAAATCTAAATATAAACAACTTCCCTCATACCGCGATGTTTATCATGAACACGCAGTGTAGTGCGGGGTACACCTATCGCGACCAAAATAACTACCACCCTAGGCTAACAAATTTCCAAATACCGCCACATCCTGGAATAGCCAGGATCGACCAGGCGATTCCAAGAAACTGGGCAGCCACTCTGGGAGGGGCGTCGAATTGTAACCATGAGATTCTTCACCGCCGCGGCTATGCAGAGACACCAGTGCATGCTCCAGCTGAAAGCTTGTCCCTCCGTTTTGTCCTATACTAAACGCTCCTAGAGTAACCGTCTCGCTGTCCTCCGCATTTAGCAGGATCTTGCGGCTAGGAGAAGAGTGCAACGTGCTATGCAAACTCTCCAGTATTTTCATGCCCTTCTCAGCCAAGCCGTATTGAGGAGCTTGCTGACAGAGTAGAGCAAAGGCATCGAAGAAGGTAGCGAAACTAGACCGGAGTCCCTGATCAGGGCTGATTTTCAAGCCCCTTTCAGCAAGCTTCCTTTCGTCGGCTTGAACGGAGAGTAGACAAACCCCAAGACCCGCTAGAGCGTTCACAAGGCAGATGGGCAATATGAAGAGCCTTTCTGCGGCTCCACCTTCCTCGTCGCCCGTCAATGCGTAGAGCTTGGCGATGGAAGAGATCTCCTTGCATGTAGCATCCATGAGTGCTCGACGGTGAGACAGTGTGAGCAGGTCAGTGCCATGCTTGGGTGGCGTATTTGTCTCTCGGTGGAGATGGTTGCAAGGGTCAGCAAAGGCCCTATAGAGCGAAGCCTTTGTATTGTAGATAGAAAGATGAAGATATTCTCTTTTGCGAGGAATTGCTGGGTCCGCAACATCCCAGGCTGTATCTGGGGTATCGAGCCAATATGCTGGGGGCAGCGGGTCAATTATCACCTCTTGAAATCGCTGTGCAAATTCGGCGACAACGGCTGCAGTGTGTTGATCGTCTTTCCAAGAAGGCGGACTCATAAATGCTGTGAGATACCGTGCTAATTTGATATGGAACACCCGGTCTGTGAAAGGAGTCAGAACGTAAGGCGTGACAGTCAGTGCCTGTAAATTATCGTGAGGCGGATCGATGTCGAAGTATCCCTCGGGGATAAGAGGCCAGAACCCGAAGAGGGTACACATATATCTGAGACACAAGGTGTCAGGGTAATAATTAAGCGGACTGATGTATGTGGGTTCTCTTTGGCCTTACGTACCGATCCCAGACATAGAGGTTCCAAAATATTCTACGACGAACTTCCATTTTCAGGTCACTGATGGGGATGGCTGGTTCTTTCAGATGTAGGCCTAGCTCATGTGCATCCTTCACGGCAGCACTCAAAACCGACCAACTGGGCCGAACCTTGGCGTAATTCTGCAAGTAACAAACGTGATAGAATCTGTGTTGGACTGTGATGATGGAGGGCTTTCTTTCAGGCGACTGAAAATTCCCGAGATCATCGGCGAGGGTACAGAACCAATACTCCAAGTGATCGAGATGAGTACTCAATACTCCAAAGGTAGGATATTTTGAATGTGGTAGACTCTGAATGCTGAGAAGGCAGACCCGCAGAACTAGCACTCCAAAATCGGCATCATCTTCTGAGACGGCTCCTCCAGAGTGGTCATTTGTCTCATGTGATTTGCACCATACGTCGTAACTTGACTGAAAAGATGGGGGATGAATCATTTCGTGTATCCGGTTAATCTCATGTAGAAACATGCCAACTAAGAAATCTGTGATTGATCGATCTGGCCAGGTTCTCCAGGACCTCGATGATCCGGTGGTGTTAATATGGTCACTATTCAATCAATGTTGGCATAATGGCTAATTCTAATCACAATTTACGGCTTGAGAAACTAACTGTGATTCGTAAGTGGTGGGAAGGAAGCGTGGTCCTCGCGACCCACGCGTCAGAGCTTCTAGGACCATGTCGTTGGAGTCAGAATCATATGAAGATAGCGTCGCGGAAGTTTCCCGCTCTTCACAAAGGTCAATACTAGAGCTTGGTCGACGGGTAGATAAATGGCCGCCACCATCTCTCCAATTACCGATCTGTGGAGGAGAGTTGGTATAAATGCAAAGATGTTCCACCCCGCGGCCTGTGCAGTGATTGCATGGCTTCTGTCGGTTGCACTACGGACGAGTCAATGTTTGTAAACCCACAAGTTAAGGTGAAATTATCATCATGCCTTTTGTTTTCGTCGATTACACTCCAGGCAAGACTTGATAGGCTTGCGTCGGGATCGCTTCTCAGACTGCATCGTACAATGATACAGCGAGAAAATGTAGCAATGATTAAATCACTCAAATCAACGGAATTAAGTTCAAATTCAAGTTCTTTAGTATTCATGTTGTAAGCCGCCAAGGCCTGGAATGGCCCCCATTTGATGATATTCCAGTGCACCTTAAACCACACGTGGCTACCAGCATCGTGGAACATGTTGAAATCTCACTGCAGAAGCCCTTGAGCTTTGCATATGGCCCCAATATCTACTATTAGTAGATCTCAGCTAGTGGGCCACGACACGCGATAGTAATCTAGAATATTCTCAAGGAACAATCACAGGCTGATGTAATCCATTTCGATTGAGATAGTTACGTCAACCCGCTGACCAACAAGCTGACCTGCTGGACTATTAACTAGTTTGACTATCCAATGCTTGATTACGCGGACTTCTGGATCTCCTCGTCCTCTTGCGCAGCCTTTTCATCCGCTCCAGACGGAGACATGTGACATGGTGGACGACTCAAAGCTGCACAGAAGATTCGAACTAAAATCGGGGCGCTAACAGGTTGGGGGCCGGTGCGGAAAAATGGCCCTAATTCGAAGGGCCAGTCTATCTTTACTCGGGAGCCGTAGCATCGGGTCCCCGCCACGTGGGCCCGCTTACCCTACGACCCATGCAAATGGAGCGCTGACAGCCTGAAATTTCAGAGATGACCGGACATTCTGCAGCATCCTAAATTAGTAAGTGGTTTCTAGAACAAAATGATAATAGTTCCTACCGAACTTGGGCTAGGAGGATGGGGCAAGATATCAAGTTATGCACTAGTGCAGTGAGCCGGGAAGAATCGCTCTTCTCGGAAATTGGTAATAGTGCTGTTCATCTAGCTTTAGGGGTAAATAAGTCGATTCCTCTGTTAAAATTGCGCAATGCATAATTAGCTCTTCCTTCCCGTCTTGGTGCCTATCTCTGTCACTTTAGCCAGTCTTCTATCTTCGAATCCGGCAATGAGATATTCGATATTAATGATGCTCATGCAAATGCAGTTTCGGTCGGACGGATGCATGTGGGCTCCCCTCAATGAACGAAGAAAGGAGCAAGCTACATAGGTATGAACAGATCACAGAGTGTTCCAAGTACTTGGAAACTCTAGCAGTTGGATATTCGGCGGACCAAAAATTCTCGTTCGGCCGTTTGGATATCTGAGAACGTTAAGTATATGCTAACGGTGTACATTGTTATCATGATGTGAGGGCCGAATGAGAAAGCTCAACGTAAAGCCCACTTATTTGACACTGAAGGTTTCTTGGGGACGTCAGCGTCTTGTCTCCCTCCAACGCCCGTGTTTTGAATGCCCCGGGGGTGTGTCTACAGTACTTTTTGTTTATGTGCTTTCGTTTAAAATTGATTAAGATGGAGAACGTAACTTACGTCATAGCATTCCAAGGCCCCTTAAGGGTAGCATCACAAGAAAAGCAGAGAGCATCCCAACGTAGGGAAATTGCCTCCTTTAACCCTTCAAGTCTACCTACGGACTCGAAATAGCACCAAAATATTTCATATTCTATTGTATATAACCTTCCAAATTTGTCCGTATATCATGATCAGGAAGGTTTGGAATGATAAACCTTTAAAAATTGTTCGAGTAACTGCCACCAAAATCGTCATTTCTACGTGTATTTTGCGATAGGGTCCACACCTATTAATCTCAGACTTGTTCTATTGAAACTCAAAGTTAGAAAGACTGATTAGTTCGACACGTAGATCTTTCTTGAACTGACAGAAAACCGCTCTCTGACTGACCCGCTTTCTGGTATTCGAAATTCTTGAAAGAAGCTGGGATCATATTCTCATAACGCCATTCGTTGTACGAAGTACATACGTTAACCTGACCAGAGGAGCACCCACACAACCTTTAATAAGAAACAGTACTCTCAGAGCTAATCTCTATCCAATAGAATTCGTTATTGAAGACTCCTTGTGAAACCATACGCCCCTTGTTGTGATCCTCCGGGAATCATCCCTTGATAGAACGAGCATCCCTGAAGCTTCAGGAATTCCATAGAGCACAGACACCCTTTCAAGGCTCCCAATCTCCTTGATCACAGTGGTCCCTTTGCAATCAAATTCACTAGCTGTACCCCGCTAAATTCTTAAGCCTTTTAGGACCCCGTCGTAGGAAAAAGGGTTGTATTGACCCAAGCGATGATTCCTCGCCCAACCGCGACCTGAAGAAAAGCAAAAGGCATAGTCTGTGAGCCTCCGAATAAAACGCCAGTTGCATATCAATGGGACACCCTGAGATATCAGAAGACACGTTTGGCTATGAGTCAAAAACCACCCTCGGTCTCCGGGAAAGTATCGACGATGTAACACCTGTTCCCGCGCAAGAGAGCAGACTGCAACTATTCGAAACGCAACCTTCACCCGAAGAACAGCAATGGACACCCGATCTGCGAGACTGGCTAGTGTTCGTCAACATACTCATTCTTGCGATGATGGACAGTTTTGATGCGACAGTGATGATGCCAGTTCTGCCGGTAAGAAACAAATCACCATAGACTGCTGGAAATCTGGAGCTGACATTTCGGGTTGAAGGAACTGGCCAACGCCTTTGACAAACCCTTTGTCACTACTCTTTGGGTCAACACGATTTACCTCATCATCAGCGCTGCCAGCCAACTATACTTCACGATGATGTGCGATGTTTTCAGCCACGGCCCGTTGTGGATTATAGCAGGCGTATTGAGCACAATCGGCTCCGGTGTCTGTGGAGGTTCAATGAGCCTGGCTGAGCTTATAATCGGCCGCATGGTCCAGGGTATTGGCGGAGGTGGCGCAACAGCGCTTTGCTTTGTGATAATGGCGGATACAACCCCAGAGTCCATTCAGTCGCGATATTCATGCTACATCCTGTTGGTCCGACTGATCGGTTCGATGTTGGGCCCCGCCGTCGGCGGCCTTTTCATTGACAAGGGCAGTTGGACGTGGGCTTGTTATTTCAACTTTGTCTTTTGTGGACTGGGGTTGTTGCTAATTCCTATCTCGGTGGATCTGCGCGTCTCCAAGAATATCCCGCTCCGGAAGCTGCGCATCATGGATTGGTCTGGAGCCACGATGGCATTGTTGGGTCCATCGAGTATTCTGATCGGTCTAGGTTGGGGTGGAACTTTGTATCAGTGGACTGAGTGGAGGACTCTGATGCCGATTGCCGTTGGGATTGCAATACTCATTGCATTGGTGCTGTATGAGTCGATGTGGGCGTTGCATCCGCTGTTCGGTGCGAAGATTTTTAGGTCTCCGGGAGAGATCATGACCTACGTTGGCTGCTTCTGTCATGGCTTTGTGGTGAGTTCAAACAAAACTTTTTTCCCTATTCAAATTTGTCTGTGGACTGACACCGAAATTTAGATGCTTTGCCAGATGCAATACTTTTCGCTCTACTTCCTCGCAACCAAGTATTATACTGCCACCGTTGCAGGACTGGCTCTCTTGGCTCTCACTGGTCTGGCACTTACACCTGCAGCCGTGGTAGGAATCGTACTCGCAAGCGAGCCGCAGTGTTCCAAATATCTCATCTCTGGAGGATGGGCCTTGACCATTCTCACATCCGGTTGTTCCATCCTACTCGACCGCAACACCCCGACTGTCGGGTGGGTATTCCTGTTCTTCGCAGCTGGTTTAGGCCACGGACTTCTTCTGGCAAGTTATAATATCGAGATCTACGATATGCCTAAAAGCGAAAGAAGATCATCCGCCGCCAAGCCGATTGTCATTTCTAATTTCCTGCGTGCATGGGGGATGGCAGTCGCTATTCCCATGGGAGGCGTGGCCTTCTTAAACCTGTTTGGGGATGAGCTTCAGAGCCTTGGACTGAAGCGTGATGTGGTCAATACCGCCAACGGATATCTAGTGCTGATGAACCAAGTACAGATGTCAGGCGATCAGAGAAAAGCTATTCAAGATGCCTCGGCCACGGCATTGCAGATTGTATGGGAGCTTATCACAGGCGTCAGCGTCGTGGGCGGCCTCTCGTCAGCATTATTATGGAGGAACAAGTCATAGAAGTATGAAGATAATTATATTCGTGGGTTTTCCAAGGGGGTTTGTTCTTTTTCTCCCAGTCTCTTGCAAGATAGACTGGTTAGCGATAAAAGAGAGACGCGATATTGTCGTGCGCAAAGTTATACTGCTAAGGCACCGTATTTATAATCAGCATGAACAGCAATGAGTGTGGGAAATATGGGCATTTAGGCTGAAAGAAGTATTAAAGGGAGGCATGCAGGGATCCCAGTCTCACAGGATGCTGCATCGATCGCGCACACGCGTCGCTCGACCGGGCTTGGTATTCATAGGGATTTCAGGTGGAGTGGGGGCGGACGGACCAGGAGTCTCAAGGGACGTCTTCAGTCTTTTTAGTTCCTGCTCTTTCATCCGTTCCTGGACCTGGAGCCTGAGAGGAGTTACAGCTTCCCTGCCGCGTTTGATAGCCCAGCCTTGGAGGCGATCTTTTCCAAGCTCCTGCAGGGTCTTTCTTTCAACAATACTGTAGTCGCTTGGATCTTCACGGTCAAAGTTGAAAGGCGCATTCAGCGAGACTGGAGGGTTGGTGATGATGCGCGGGATTCTGAGGCTGTTGACCGAAGCGGAATGAAGCATCAACGGATGAAGCAGAATCACATCGCCCACATTACCAGTCATCTCGTGAAATTCATGGCATTCCTTGACGATATCGTCGTAGAAATCACCACTCTGGTCATCGGGCTGGCCTCGAGGTACCATGTATGGGGAGACCCCTTCCGGATTGTCATACTATCACCAAATCAGGTTAGAAGGTCCACAAGGATTCAAATGAAATGCCAAGCCAGCGTACCAGGTGCTGGGCAATCTTCTTGATGGCATCAGAACAGACCATCGTGCCACCGGCATGTTCCTTGATATCGGTAAACAAGGGAATGACCAGCAGTCCCTGCTCGGGCGAGTCGAGGAAATGGGTAAAGAAGTCACCATCGACATGCCATCCATTGAGCTCAGACGGGTGGGGCCATTTGCCCTCAGACTCCTCCGTGCCTAGATTGACGATAAAGGCGTCGTTCCAGGTGGCCGAGTGCCCCGCCACGCGATCCTCGCCGCCGAGCAGCTCGCAGATGGCGGACCATGCTTTGGGGGCGAAGGTCTGAACGGGCTCCGACCTGTGTTCGGGCATGTTGATTCGTTCAGTAGCCCATGTCGACTTGTCTGTCGAAGAGTACCCGAGTCGCGTCCAGACGTCCGCGGTCCACTTGGCTGCCTTTTCTCGGGAGAAGCATTCGGTTAGACGAACGTAGCCGTGCTGCATAAAGTGGTCGATCTGGTCCTGGGACAGATTGTAGTGGCTAGGTGGATTACCAGAGGCCATGATGTCAGTGAAGGAGAGAGCTGGAAATGATAGAATGTCTTCTGCTTTGTCAATGTAGCGATTCTCCGTCGAGGACCAACGTTCAGAAGTACTAATGAACGATCGGGTTTGCGTGTCACGATGCTGACAAAGCCTTACACCTTCCTCCATCCATGATGATCCATGATGGGCTGCCCTTGCCTCTTTGATGAGAGTCAAATGTTGACAATAACCATGTCGAGCTACGTTCCAATGTGGTAACCGTTACTCAATCGTGCTGCCAAGAGGTGGTTCCGGCTAAATTGGAGGTTGGACCTTGAGTTTGAATCGTCCCCGTCACGTCTCTCCGCAATTGGCGGCGTCTTACGCCTAGCCGTCTCTGGCTCCCTCCGGCCCCGCCCCCGGCTCGTTTGCGCCTAATCGAATTCCTGCCCTCCTGAGATTGGCTCAACCTCTTGGTCACCACTTTGCTGCAGTGCTCCCTTAGGCTAGTCAAGCCAAATTGCCTTTTTGGTTAGCTCATTTGGCCACGGAATGAGCTCCTGCGTCGAATGCAACTCGGGGACTTGCCAGCTGAAGGATGGCAAGCTTTTGCTCTCAGACCTCAATCGTACAGAACTTCAAACATCCCAAAAGTTTGATACGAGCCAGTTCAAACACTTGAACCTTTTTGACTGTCGTTTGACTTCTTCCTAAAAAGAAAACGGGCCCGGTCCATTGACTATTGACTGTGGTGGAGGATGGCCTAGTGGGCCTCGGCCCGGCTGGCCGTGCTAAAATGGAATATGGGGAAGTCGACGCTCGTGTTCAGAGGGTATCCTAGAAGTTCTATCCAAAGGGTCGACTATCGATGAAACCGAACATCACACATACTGAAACGCTCAATATGTGTTTTGTCATATAGCTAGATCATGTCGGGTCTTATTCCTTCTCTCCCAACTGGTAACAACCGCTACTTCAAATTCCTCGACGCCTCCGGATGAAATGGCCAGGTCGGCTTTCCTTGGCACTTGGCAGGGAGGAATGCCGGGCTTGGTACTGTTCTTGCCCAAGCGAACCCCATTCATTGTTCTCAGAAAGTTCTCTTTCGGGCAAGGCTGGCTTCGCCGAGAAGCTAAATTAGCCCAATAATGCACCAATGGTATGCTATGCCTCAACAATGGCCGTTGCACCCGATATCGAGTCATGAGCGTGACCCCCTTGGCAACCTTTTGCCCCCCTCGTGAGATGAAATCCTTGTTTCAATTTGCCTTTTGAGGAGAAGACCTAGTCTTCATCGAGAAAAGCTGGGGTAAGGTTTCAAAACGCCATGTGAGATTAGCCGGTTATCATTACAGTCTAAGATTTTAGGATGGCGGCTTTCGAGGGCTTAAAGATCTAGGGTATCCCGCCAGAAGGGGGCTATCTCCCCCTAGTTCTCAGAACATTCTGGCGCCTTGTCTTGCTGTGTTGTTCAAGATTTCCAACCCCGTCGGTATCACATCTCCTGCCGCTGAATCTTCTTCATAGGCATCATGCCTATCGCAGTCGGACAGTCCGCCCTCAAGGGTGAGGTTGAGGTTGCCCAGGCCGAGATCCCTCAGCTTGAGGAGGTCAAATGGTGGCGCGAACCTGGTCTTCGAAGACTCTACTTCTGGGCTTCCGTTCTTTGCGTCGCATCTGCGACTACTGGTTATGATGGGTAAGCCTGATCTGTTGTATCTAAATACCGATTACTAGCGAACCGAGGCTTATTATGCACTACAGAATGATGCTTAACACTTCCCAGAACCTGGATTCATGGCAGACTTTCTTCAATACCCCTTCCGGCTCCAAGCTAGGATTGATGAACGCAATTTACCAAATTGGTAGTTTGGCCAGTTTCCCATTCGTGTACGTGAAACAATCAATTCGGGTCCACTCGCTCAGAAGATTTACTCATACTTTTCATACAGTCCCTTCATGGCCGATCGCTGGGGCCGTAAGCTCCCTATTATCATCGGATGTCTGCTGATGATTCTGGGTGGATTCCTTGGCGCATTCTGTAAGGACTACGGAAGTACGTATCTTACAACAATCTACATGTCTTCGGCGGTTGCTAATCGCACTTCGCAGTGTACGTCGCCGGTCGGCTGTTCCTCGGTTTCGGCAACAGTCTGGCCCAGATGGCTTCGCCGGTTCTTCTTACGGAGATCTGCCATCCCCAGCACCGTGGCAAGGTCACGACCATCTATAATTGCCTCTGGAACCTCGGCGCACTGGGTGAGTATAGTTACCTTGGTCATAGGTTACACCACTGACCTCAACTAGTTGTCGCATGGATCGCATGGGGCACGATGTACATTAACAACGATTGGTCGTGGAGGAGCTTGACTCTCCTTCAGGTTTTCCCCGCTGTGATTCAGATTGCCCTTATTTGGTGTAAGTGTTCCAGTAGCCTTTGAACATCGTTTGTCTAATCATATTAAAGGGGTCCCGGAATCGCCCCGTTGGCTGATTTCCAAGGAGCGGTATGATGAAGCTCTCCACACCTTGGCCTACTACCACGGTAACGGTGATGAGCACAATGCAACCGTTCAATTCGAGTACCGCGAAATCAAGGAGACCATCAGCCTAGAGATGACTTACCAGAAGAACAGCAGTTATCTGGACTTCATGAGGACCCGAGGCAATCGCTATCGTCTGGCTCTCTTGGTTTCCCTGGGAATCATCTCGCAGTATAGTGGCAATGCTTTGTTCAGCAACTATACCAGCTTGATCTATAACAGCATGGGTATTACCGAGCAGAGCAAGAAGATTCCAGTATGCTACCTAACATGAACAAATCCCTCATCATCATTCTTTGAAAAAAGCTGACAATTTCTCCCAGCTGAACGGTGGTCAAACCCTATTGAGTCTGGTGGTTAGTGTCAGCAGTGCATTCTTCGTTGACCGAGTTGGACGACGACCTCTCTTCCTGATTTCCACCGTGGGCATGGTTCTCATGTTCCTTGCATGGACCGTCACTTCCTCTGTATATGAAAAGACCCAAGATGTCAAGTCCGCCGGTTACCCCCAGGTCGTCTTCGTTTGGCTGTTCTCCGTCTTCTATGCCATCGCGTGGTCGGGACTGCTGGTCGCCTATTCGCTCGAGATTCTGCCCTATCGACTGCGTGCCAAGGGTATCATGATTATGAACTTGACTGTCCAAGCCTCCTTGGTTCTTGGGAAGTAAGCAGCCCCGCTTCCCAAGCTGACGTTGCCATACTGACTGAGGTGTACTAGCTATACCAACCCGATCGCCTGGGAGAATCTACCCCACCACTGGAATCTGTCACTTATCTACACGGTATTTACACCTATCATCAAGCGTACTGAGCGGGTCAATGTGGAATCCTTACTGACATTTGGCTAGATCTGGATCTTTATTGAGCTTCTTTTCGTGTATTTCTTCTATGTCGAAACCCGTGGACCAACTCTTGAAGAGCTGGCCAAAATCTTTGACGGTGATGATGCAGCTGTGGCCCATGTTGATTTGCATGAAGTTGAAAAAGAGATCCATGTTGGTGGAAAGGCCACTCATCACGAGAAGGCTGTTTGATTTTTATGCTGCCTAAGTGCTTTTGCCTAATGGGGATGATGTTCATGACCCGAAGCTTACCGACCTAATTATACCCGACTCGCGGTGAAAGAATTTAATACAAACTTTAGGGTCTGATACCTACAAAGAAGTAATCGTAGCGTTCGCGTAAAGACTTGAACCGTTCCCAATCTTCTGTATCTTTGATTATAGTTACAAAAAAGGAAAGTGCCAAACAGGGTTTCGTTTCTCAAATCATTTCCGCCCCCACTAAAGCTGATGCGCTTTTCTTAGGCCAACGCTTAATGGCAATAAGCCCCCTCATAGCCTCCCACTAACAATAAACGTGCCCTTCCGCGATCGGGGTATTGCACAGCCGCACACACACCAACAAGATGACAATAAGGTCACAATAATAGCCCGGTGGTGGCTGGTTTACAATGGATCGAGATCTAATAGTGCGCTTATTCCAAATTCACACCTCATCCATGCTGTCACGAACCCCCGAATCCCTCCAAATCGAAGCGGGCGTCGTGACCTGGCCATTCTCTTTGGCCAACTAAATTCAATTCCGCAGTCGTACAGCGCCTCACACAGACGAGTTCCTAGAGCTTCCGCGATCATGCTGACAGCAAATCAATAGCTTGGCAAAGGCGGTTGGCTGCGCTTGCAGGAAGCGCCTTCCCCAATGATCTGCCTGCCCGCTGAACCCGGACCTGGCCGTTGACTATTTACAGGCCGCGATGCCCTCGTTCTTCAGTCTCCATCCTCCTCCATTCTCACATCCTCTTTGTCTTCCTTGAACACTATCTTACAAGATCCATTCTTCCCAGCAACTCTTCGACTCTTGCTATCTCGTATTACAAACATTCACTACACATCATCAGAATGCGCTTTCTCGATCTTGCTGTTGCTCTTTCGAGCCTGGCAACGTTCGTCACGGCTGCTCCAACCTCGCTTGGAAAGAGCCAACTGCCCGACGGATTGCCTTCTCCGAGTCCAGAACAGCTAGATCTAATCAAGCAAGCCGCTCATGGTACTCTGCCAAATGGTCCCCCTCCGCCAGTGATCAGCAGCGATGGCATTGTGAATCTGAAGTTGATTGCCTTCAACGAGCTTTTCGAGGTGGCATTCTTCAACGAGCTGATCACCAACATCACCAACAACGTTGAGGGCTATGATATTGACGATGAGGAAGATCACATCAAGACCCTGGATGCCTTGAAGGCAATTCTCGCTGTATGTATGCCCAACGCTGATGATCAGGCCTCCCATTGATTAACGTCTTTCCCCTTACAGCAAGAGGAACTGCATGCCCTGCGTGCCAACGACGCCTTGGTAAACTTCAAGGTGGACAAGATCGAACCCTGCCAATACAAATTCCCCGTCGATAACTTTGAATCTGCCATCGCCCTCGCCGCGACCTTCACCGACGTCGTCCTGGGCACCCTGCAGGATGTCGTGGAGCGCTTTGCCCTTGGGCGCGACGTCGATCTCGCTCGTGAAATCGCCTCCGTCATTGGCCAGGAAGGAGAACAGCAGGGATGGTTCCGTGTACTCCAGGGCAAGATCCCTAGTGAATTGCCCTTCTTGACTACCAGCGACCTCAACTTTGCTTTTACCGCCATCCAAGGCTTTGTCGTGCCGGGTACCTGCCCCAATATCGATGAGATTCCACTGCGCACCTTTGAGGGATTGGAGATTCTTTCACCCCCTGGCCCTCACAGTCAGAATATCACTATCCAGTTCGAAGACTCCGACCACGAGGCGGAGCACTCGCTGTGGTTGACTTATATCAATCAGCAGAACTTGCCGATTGTTGAGCCCCTCCACATTATCAGTCGGAACAATGACGAGGTCAAGGCAGAGGCGCTCTTCCCATTCGATGACCATGAAATGAATGGCTTGACCATTGCCGCGGTGACAAAGTCTGCCGGTCCATTCAGTGATGCGAGCAGCGTGGCTCAATGGACACTTGCTGGGCCTGGTTTGATCATCGTCAACTAAGCCGGGCAAGCAATTCTTTTGCTGGAGTTGATTGGTGTACATGACTTCATTAAATTGCATTGGCGGGCTCTTGATTGATTGGTATTGTTAGGAGTGTGATTAGTGGCGAGTCGGCCCGAACATTGGCTTTATGTCTTAGCGAGCGGTTTGCGTATATATACTAATGAACCAATTGAAGTTTTCGTTGTGAATATTGGTCTCTAGATGAGCTAAGATTGTAGACTTTGGCAATTGCCAGCCATGAACACTCACAACGTTACTAAATACTCTACGCGTAAAGGAGCGGCCCACGGAAAAGCTAGCCAACAGACACGGAGGGCACGTATGGGCATAGACGGCTGAAGATATGAATAATGCTGTAATGCAAGAGAGAATCGCTAGCGGAGACTTGAATCTCACTACGACGAATTAAATCGTGGGTGAGAGGTTACATAATTGATTAGAAAGTAATCACCCCTTTTTCTAGAATACTCGAACATCCATCCTTCACATCCCCCACATGCACAAATCACGAACATAAGCACAAACTACAGTCGTGCTATATTGCTATACCATTGTGCTCCATCACCATTCCAACTCAAGCTGTAAGACCAGCTTACAGGTTACCCTGACCAGCGTTGCTAGTAACGCTGGACACCACGGAGGTGTAAGCAGTAGCAGTCGCGATGTTCTGGCCAGAGAACTTGGAGAAGAAGCCGGTATCAGACTGGCTGAAGGAACCGGAGCTTCCAAATCCGTTAACCTGGCAGACACGGCCAAGGTAGTTGCTGCAGGCTTTGTTGGCGCTGGTGGAGGGCGAGGTGAACAGCGATCCGCTGACGGGCGACTCGACGACGGTGTCGATATTCTGGAAGACGTTGCCCTCAGCGAGGACGTAGCCGCCAGAGCCAATCTCGAAGGCGTGGCCGGAGTTGTCGTACCAGTAGTTGTTGACCTGGAAAAGAGAAAGGGTGAGGTTAGTCAAAACTCGACTTTTCTCGTATCTGGGTCGAGGGGGTGACTTACAGCGTGCAGAAGGGTGCTGCCCTGGACCTTGGGGGCACGGCCACTGGTTTTGTAGATGTAGTTGCCCTTCAGGGTGACGTAGTCGTTGGAACCGTCAAGGTAGATACCCCAGTAGTGGTAGCCATCGCAGGTGGCGGAGTAGGTGGAGGTACCGTCAATGAAGCTGTTGGAGATGGTCACGCGCTTGGAGGCATCGGTACCCAGGACAATGTGCTGACGGCCAATGCGAGCAGTGGTAACGTGGTCGATCCAGACCATGTCGCTGTTATCGATGGTGATGGCATCACCACCCCAGACGTACTTGGGGTTGATATCGGTGATGGCGATGTTCCTGAAAAGGTGTCCGTTAGTTAAAGTATCCCGATTGACGAATATGGAGGGCGAATACATACTGGATGATAATGTTGCTGGCACCGCTGACGATACGCAGACCCTTACCCTTGATAATACCAGCGGAGCCTGAACCAATGAGGGTCTTGTCGGAGGCAACGGTGATACCAAGAACACCGGCGTTGTCACTGGTCGACCGTCAGTATGACATTCGATACATGACAATGACAGGGCTAATCTAATCCACTTACTAGGAGACCGAGACAGAAGGAGCGCTGGACTCGTAGTTCTCGCACCAGGAGTTCTGGTCAATAGCAACCTGGCAAGCAGAGGCGGTACCCCAGGGAGCGCAGCCAGTGCCAGTGGTGGTACCCTCGGTGTTACGGAAGTCAAAGGTCTTGGTCAGGACAATAACGCGAGCCTCATCATCACCAAGGTACGAGACCAGCTCGCTGGTGGTAGAAGGGTAGACGGCAGTAGCAGAGCCACCACCAGTAACGCCCTTGGCAAAGCCCTCGGCAGCACCGGAGACGCTGACAGCAGCAGCGTGGGCAGCGAAAGCTGCGAGCAGGGCAGTATACTTCATAATGACAACAAGGGCCCGAGGGAGAAGGAATGAAAAGAGGGTTGGGGTACGAGAAAGCTGTCAATGGGGGCATGCAGCATGCATCTTATATACGTGTCAACCGAAAGGGAAAGGGGAGACACTAGATGATGAGAACGACATGGCTACCAAACAACGGCAGTATTAATTATGCCGCAGGAGTTCTTGGCTTCGGCATCCACAGCAATCCACCCTTCATACACTCCTTGGGCTAGGTTTAGTCTGCTCTTGTTTCCGAACGTCAGCGATCACAGGGTGTATTGGAGCGACGCTGGCCAATGCATACGAACTTTGCACGGGCGAATAGGAACAAAGTCTTGCCCACCGATGGCCATTCACGACAGGGAGGAAACCATGTTCCATCATAGCCGCCATTGCGGAGTAATCGCCAGGGGCAGTTTAGTTCGATTCGGAGGACCGGCCGGCGAGCAGGGTAAGGGTGGAGAGTCCACGTAGTTCGAAGAGCTGGGCAAAAAGCTAGGCAAAGCTTTGGCGTTGGTACAGCTCGTACTAGAGGAGGATCAGTAAGGAGTAGTAAGCACGCGGTCAAAACTTGATCAAGCCACTATGGAGTACGGAGTGCATTCCATGAAGGGCGCTAGGCTAGTAGACGGCGAATTAGCATGAGAGGCTCGGCATGGCGGAATACATGATAATAATAATCCCACAACTCGAAACTGATTAAAGTGCAGGCCGGTGCGGTCGCAAGGCGCCACATAGGGGGTCCGTTAGAGGATCAGCTCGGTGCGTGAAGATGTTTCACCATGAGAATCGGCGGTGCCCCACTCTCCTCGATGCAGTACTGACTCCGTGGTCTGCCCGGTCCTCACTTTAATTTAAGGGTGACTCTGTAGCACGAAAGAAGATGTGTCCAACCAAGGAAAAAGAAACGAGAGGAGTTCAGTAATCCGGGACATCTCCGGCAAAATAGATCAGTGCGCTATTACTAGCACTCACCACCCCTGAATTCTCTTCCGGCTAGGCTATGGCTATGGCGGATATCAGTATCAGGCAAGCTCAGGGCTGGTGCGTTTTGCAATTTTTTTAAAGTTAAAAGACTCCACGAATTCCTCCGTCTTGGCATATATGCTGACGGATATGAATCCTCGTCGTTAACTCCGCCATGATAATACGGGACCTTCTCCGTGCATTTCAAAGTTTGTCGATCATGGGCATTGAGGGGTCTGCGTAGGCAAATTTCGCATCAATCATATCAGATCCCCGGGATACAGCAGTCACCATGACTCGAGACTCTCTCGAGTGATCTGCAATCCCTGCCGCATTCCGGTAAGCGTGATGTGGTGGACGATCAATGCCGTTCATTCTGTTGACCCACACACGTCTATCAGATGGGTCAAATGGATTAGATCCACCATTAGCCTCGTCTTTCACTTGCTCCTGTTCTGGAAAGAGACTTATTGTAGTTTCTACCTGAAACTGGACATTCATACTGCATAGTCCCCGTGGGTCACCATATGGCAACGAATATGGCTTCTGGAAGACCTTTATACTCCACCCTCGGATACGTTGTCCGCATGTGGAAATGCATGCTATATTGAACAGACGGAATGGAGCAACTGGCAAGGGCAGCCACCACGGAAGCTCCACCTTCGGATATCAGTCATATACTCGGTACGGGCATGATCCAGACCGGAAGAAGCAGGAGTTGATTGGAGATGTAATATCAAATTCCCAACAGGATACTTTTAGAACGAGATTGGGAAATTTCGGGAATTGTAAGCGGGATGCCGACCGGGATATCCGAGAAGTGACAAGAAAGGAGCGGCAGACTACAGAGATACAGAGAATGTGTTACAAATCCGGGAGAAGAGAAGAGAAGACGGAAGCTGGAGAAATCAAGATTGGAATACCTTTCAACATACCCTCCGCTTATAGACGCCTGGATGCTCATTCATCCAGCAGAAACAGTTCAAGTCCACGAAATTCGTCGAGTATTACCTGATAGATATCAAAATGGAGTTTGATAAGCCACAAATTATGGCATGTCAATACACGTTCCCATAAACAAGAATGTAGCCCAGTCCTTGGAATATTTCAGCACCATGATCCGCATTAAACTAAAGGTATCTGAGATACGGCACAGTCGTCTTAATAGGGGCAGTCATCTACCTAACTAGGAAAGGAAATATCGGTCGGGTCAGTCCACAAATCTTTCTCCGAAAATCCCTTGGTCCACCATAGATACAGTGGTGTGAACCATTCAAGGAGCATGCCACCAATGGCTCCGATATCGTCATTAGACTTCCACCCAGTCGACGAGACTTTGTACAAATCTTCGGTCTTCTTGCGTTGAAAACCCTCATAAAACTCAAATGCTCTAAGAGGTGACTCGCTCTTGTAATGAGAGAGTATGAGCGAAAACCTGATTGCGTCCTCAAAGGCATGACCGATACTCTCTCCTTTTGGTGGCATCTGCAACGAGGGCATGTTTAAGTGACAGTCCTAAATCGGCGAGGCGGAGATCAAACAACTTACCGCATGAGCAGCATCACCTAGTAACAAAACACGATTCGTATGCCACCGACCATTCGGAGGCAAAACGTAGATCGGATAAAGAGTCCAGTCCCCGACCTTCTCGATCATCTGCGCCATCTTCGGAAGAGGAGAATTCTGCGTCCTTCTCACACCCTCCAAACGAACCCTCTCCTGATCTTTCCCAATAGACTTCCACCCCTCCCTCGACCCCTGCTCTTCCATCTCCATCAAAAGGACGGTATAAATCAAGCTCCGAGCATCATCACAGAACGTCGTCAACGCAGATCCATACCTCGACATCACAAGCGCAGAATCCTCAAAGAACGGCTTCTCTCTTTCCCCGAATAACTCCTGCACCTGAACAAACCCGTACGCAGCAGCCCATCTAGAGTACACCGGTTTCCGATCTGGCTCAACAAACAAATTCCTCGTCGCTGAATGAATCCCATCACAGCCCAGTACCATATCCCCAATATCAACCCCTCCATCCTCAAAGTGGACACAAACCTGATCAACCTTTTCTTCAATCCGAGTCAGTTTCTTGCCATACCGAATCTGGACCGTGTCCAGCCGTTCTGCCACGCTCAGCATGGCCTTTAAAAGATCGAATCGCATCACTCTCCACCCCTTGTACCCGCCAAATCCGCGTCCGTCTGCGCCCGCATAGTCAATGGAAGCAATTTCGCTGCCGGTTCGCATGGAGAATATTTGGATCGCGTCTACTTCACAGCCGAACCGCATGCGTTTCAATTCCTCGAATACGCCGAGCTTGTCGAGGCAGCGGAGTGCTTTGGGTGTGAGATTTACCGGGCCGCCGAACGTGCTGGGTGCGTCGCGAAGTTCGTAGACGGTGATTTGAGGCTGCACCTCGTGTGAGGAAAAGGCTTGTGAGATTGCTATTGCGGACGCGAGGCCGCACATTCCACCGCCGATAATGATGATCTTTTGGCCTGGGATTGCCATGGCAATGAAGGTCGAGGCTGGGATGAGGGGAACTTTGGGTGAAGGAGTATGTGTAGATCGACGAGTTCCAAAGCTTGTGAAGTGGATGAAAAGCTCATGTTAAAGAGCTCTTGGAAGGGATGTCAACGTTCCTACGGTGAGGTGGCCGTTCTTGGGACGCAGGTGATTCCATGCAATCAGAGGGCCGGGAATACGAACACGAGCGCCTGCCGGACGCCATTCGTGTTTGCCGATGATATGAGAGTTGGCTTTCCGCTTTATGATCAAGCAGGCTGCCGTGTAATTCGTATATTGAGAGGCACCTCGGGTTGGAATGTACGATGGTCTGTGTTGCTGTTACCGGAACAGCCAGTTAGTTAACTACGCGAATCTGAAGGTGCAAGGGGAATACCGATCAGGGAGCTACACATAGTAAAATGAATATCGGAAAAACTCCGTATCATCTATTAATTAAGCCCTAGTCATACATGATGCTCAACTATGTGAGTGTTTTATATGCAACAAAAACCACACCCTCTTTATAATCTCTGTGGGCTTTTTTTATAGCCACAGTCAGACCATTTACATGATCACGGGCAGGTTGCGCTGGAGGTAGCCGCGCCACTCGGGAAGAGTACGCTGCCACTTGGTGCCAGAGGTCTTCTGGAGATCCTCAATGGCACTGGCATACTTGATCAGAGTGGGCTCTGAGAAAGCAGTGTTCATAATAGCCAGACCGTAAGGCATACCAGACACCGAGCTGGTACCAGCGGGGACGGTGATAACGGGGTAACCAGCCTGGGCGGCGATCTGAATGCTCTGGGCAACATCGGGAGGAACCAGCAGACCGTCCAGGGTGCGGTTACCGTACTTCAGAGCAGCGTCGATACCCTCCTCACGGGTGGTGCGGCGGCAGTAGTCCAAAGCGGAGAAGTAGGTCTCGTTCATGATACCCTTGCTCTCCAGGGAGGCGATGAAGCCGTCCTGGCCAGAGCCAAAGGCAGGGTGGATGCTGGGGAAGCCACCCTCGGAGCCGTAGTTGTCCTCGTTATACTGGACGAGATCCTCCAAAGACTTGATGTTGGTGTTGTTAACCTCGGCGAGATAGTCGCGCAGGTTGTTGTAGAAGTCGACCTTGATGTAGGAGTACTCCGACTCGTTGGCATAGCCACGGGTCGAACCGTAATCCCAGTTCCAGCCACTGGGGGAGACAATGTCCTTGTAGTGGGGGAGCTCGGTGCCGTTGACGATGGTCGCGCCGGCGGACTTGATCAGATCAATCAACTCCTCCAGCTGAGCAATTTGCTCGGCGTCACCGAGAGCCCAGAAGGACTCCCAGGGCAGGCCAAAGACGGCACCCTTGAGGGCATCCTTGTTGGTGAGGAACTGGGCGTAGCCGCCCTTGGGGGTCAGACCCTTCTGGGCGAGGGTGTAGTTGTCACGAGTATCGACACCGTAAATGGCATCGAGGGTGTACACCGCATCGCGGACAGTCTTACCAAAGGTACCAATCGTATCCTGGTGCAGAGACTCGGGGATGACACCGGCACGAGAAGTCAGGCCGACAGTGGGCTTGATACCGACAATAGCGTTTCTCTGAGCGGGGTTGATGACTGGAAAAAAGGGATTAGTGATTTGGCGGTCAAAATGAGCACGTTGACTGGATAATATCACATACCACTTCCGTCGGTCTCGGTGCCAAGAGCGATAGGGATCAGGTTAGCACCAACGGCCACACCGGGACCAGTGCTGCTACCACCGGGGTTGACGGTGAAGTTGTAAGCACTACGGCACTGACCACCACGAGCAGTGAAGCCCTCGGAGTAGTTGTTGGAGCGCATATCCGCCCACTCACTCAGCGCACCCTTGCCCAGCAGGAGAGCACCGGCCTTGCGCATACCGTGGACCACGAAGGAATCCCGAGGCACGACGCTACCGATCAGAGCCCAGCAACCAGCGGTGGTCTCCATGCGGTCCTTGGAGGCAATGTTGTCCTTGACAATGAAGGGAATACCGTGCAAGGGGCCGCGAACCTTGCCCTGGGCACGCTCATTATCCAGCTTCTTAGCGATGGCGTGAGCATCCGGGTTGAGCTGCAGGATGGCGCTAGAGTACGGTCAGTTCTTGGGTCCGCGTCAGACGAGAGCCAATTGCACTCACTTGAGGTAAGGCTGGGTCTGATAGATACGGTCGAGGTAGCATTCCAGCAGCTGAACGGTAGTCAGAGATCCGTTGCTCATACGCGTCTGAAGATCATCGACACTGGCCTCCTCCAGCTTGAACCCATGGCAGAGACGCATGGGGAACAGCGAGGCGCCAGGGGCACCCAGCCGGGGGAAATCAAAGGCATAAGGGTCGGTCAAGATCTGGGACGCGACGAGGGAGTCGACCTCCCGTTTCTGAGGGACTGCGATGGCCGAGCCGGCAAGGGCAAGGCCGCTCACGAGAGCCTGCAGCATGGGCGACATGGCGAGTTGAAGCAACGGATGAAATCAAATGGAAGAACCCCACCAGAAAACCATGTGGCAAGAGAACACGACGATCGCAGGGGAGCTTGGCTTCATATACCGAAAAGTTTAGTGAGCCCCTCCCATCCCCAATTGGCCCTTTGCCCTTCTGGAGAATGAAATCGTGACTAATCGTGTTCCACACCTTGCCACGTTGATTCACCTCGCTCGACATCCGACTTCCGGATCCATCCCATACTGCTTCGATCACTCTCGTCCGATGGGCTTCGGAGTAAAATCAATAGTGCCTTATTCAAGATGGAGTATGGCCGAGTGCCATTCTCCCCCCTCATTGGCCCGCATTCGCTCTTTGTGGGCGTATATCAGGGCGGAAGTCTCGGAGAACCCGGCTCTTGCTGATGCTGAGATAGAGGCGCCAGGGGCGTTCGAGTTAAACCCTTTTGGTCCGACCACGATGCCCCATCGTGCGCCCGGCGGCGTCCGTTCCTGCAGGACCACCGGTCGCCCTGAACAACCTTGGAGCCAAAATACCTTGACCTCCTGCCTAATTGTGCATAGCTTCCATATCGTGAAAAGAATTTTCCGAGTCTTTGGGACCCAAGGACCCAAGGGACCCACGGTCGGAGCCGGATCTTACGTTTTGCCTCGATCGCTTGAATCGATCTCGACCCACCCCAAGTGCCCATTCCTAACTGTCCAGTCCGTTGAGTGGTCTGCCCCGTTCTAGGGCGAATCTCGTGGTGCACTACGGAGTGTACAGAATGCTAATAAACCACCTCGGTATAGTGGGCATTACGTGTCCGACTTTTTTTTCCCCGATAGGTATCTCGTAGACGGTTACATTGCCCACGGCTTGGCTATTATCAATATGCTTTTGGTATACTTTCGGATACGAGACATCATTCGTTTGCCCAAACTCAACGACTCTGGAGTCTTGAGGTGAACGGTAAATCGTCGTGCCTGCTTTTCAAAAGGTTCCCAGAATGTACGGAGTAACATTGAAATGAAATGAAATGACATCTCCCTCTTGGCCAGCAAATCATTAGTGGTGATATCAGCACTCGTGCCCGGGGAGAAACCGAGATTTTTTTCGTTCGAGAACCACGGGCCCGAGTGGCGGTACTCCGTCCAGCACCTGTGAATGCTGCTTTTTTGGGTTTTGATTGATCTAGAACAAGAACTGATTAAACTCCACCCGTTCCTGTTTTTGAGGTCTCGGCAGAACTCTGGGAGAAGCTCCTCCTCGATCTCGTTGGCCGCTCGCTTCAGAAACCCGTTGCATGGTCGAGCACGAAAGACCCGCTCCCGCGTCCACTTTCCGTTCCTTCCTTCTCGTCTCGACTCGTCTCGACTTCAAAGTCGATCGTTTATTATAGCCGGACTGCCCTTCGCACGACGCTCGTTACTCGCACTCTCGTTTTTTTGGAGAGTCGGCCATGTCTCGTTAGACCCCGAATCCGTGCCATGACGATTCCCGACGACATTCTCGCTGCAAATGCAACGGGAAGGATCCCCGATGGCATCTCTCTGTCCTATCTCGCACAATCGCGGGACCACTCTGCGATTGTGGGCATCTTGTTCATGGTCTGCCTCGCCGGCTTGTTGATGCTGATACGCCTATATGCGCGGTTATTCTTGGTGAAGAAACTTGGTCTCGATGATGCGTTGGCCGTTCTCACTATGGTATGCGCACTTTTTCCAGCCCTAATCAACCCCCGCAGTGGCCCAGTGATTTCCCAGCTGGGGCATAGCGATGATCGACGCTCCGTGCAAATGATCCTTATCTCATTCGCATGTCAACGATCGCCAACTAACTCGATCCCCCAATCTTCAGGTTGTATACATCGTCTTCGTCATTCTCTCGGTCGTCCTCATCCACCTGGGTAGTGGCCGCCATATCGAGTACATCGAACATGTGCTCTCCCTCCCCACCGTCCGCAAAACGGAAGTTCTCGACTTCGTCGCCCACATTCTCTATACGACGGCGCTTTTCCTTTGTCGACTATCCGGTCTCGCATTCTACTTCCGCATTAGTGCGCGCTCCAGCAAGCTACGACTGGGTATTATGATTGTCACTGGTATCATTACCGCCGCCTACTTGCCCCAGATTTTTCTTTTGATCTTCCATTGCAAGCCCGTGACTGGTCTTTGGCCTTATGAGTGGCAGTCGGAGCCTATCACCTACAAGTGTCTCTCATGGGGTTTGGTCTACTCGGTCAATTCGGGCGTCTCTCTCGCTTGTGATGTGATGATGTTTGTCATCCCGGGTATCCTGATCAAGGAACTGCACGTCTCCTTCGAAAGGAAGATCAAGCTTTCCGTTGTCATGTTCCCCGGTATCTTGTGAGTGCTTCCACATATCCCAGCTCACTGGACATATAGCTAACGAAACCCCAGTGTGATCGTCATCTCCGCGGTCCGTGTCTGGCTCGTAGTCGTCGGACAATGGGCGGCCGACGGCAGCTGGGCTTACAACCCCATGCTCTGCGTCGAAAATGCCGAGATCTCAAGTACCCTTATCGCCCTTTCCGTCCCCGCCCTGAAGCCCGTCTTCGGAAACATATTCAGCCACTTGACCGAGTACACCTCCAGCCATACTCGCTCCCGTTCCGCCGGCGGCCGACTGCGAAGCCAATCGAAGCCCGTCAGCGCGCTGGACTCATCTACTCGTGATGATAAGAGACTTTTGAATTGGTCTAAGCGCGGCCACGATGATTATGAGATGATGCCCTCTGAGATTTCGGTCATTGGCGACGTACGCCGGCCAGACTCTTTGGCGAAGAGGCCCGGAATTCGTGTCACGAATGAGGTGAATATTACGAGGATGGAGGGTGATAGATCGCCTTCGCAGGCTTCTTCCAGGGCGTCTGCTTCTTCTTCGCGAGATAAATAAAAGCATGCATGTGCATAGATATATAGACTAATACCCTCTAATCCTTTTTTTTATTATTATTGTACCGAATTATTTCAACGTTTTGTGTATGGCTATGGAGACCTGGATTGTGAGACCGTAAAGGACCTGGAAGTATATATCGCGAGCCACCACGTACTCCGCCGGCGCCCCCTCGCGGACTGTGTGTGACCTAGTGCCCCACAACATGAGGGGGTTGAGTAACACATCAAAGATATGGAAGATAGTCTGTCACTCATACCTCACGGGGAAATCCTCTGAAATCTTGATGATATCTTCCTTTGTGCTCATCGGGAAAAAGGAAATCTCCCACTACCTTAAGTTAGTCATGTATCCATTGATGTCAGCAACCTCATTTCGTACGCCTGATCGCCGAGCCCAACCCCACCTTTCAAGGCCGAATAACCTCTTTCACAAAGAGAGTCACAAAAAGAGTGACATTATAGTAGGCATGGTGATTACTGAGCCTCTCCAATGTGATGAGACACTGACCTACTTAGGCTAAGGTAACGTTTAAAGCTCGGGAGGGTTCGGCCTCAACATTCTCGGTGAACTCTGCCCAGCGACCGAATCATACAGCACAATGCCCGTTTAGGTTACACTGCTTAGAAATATGCTTGCTTACCAACATGTGATTTACTTGGCCACGAAGCCTCAATTAACGTCTAACAATTTATTGGATGATTCTTGATTATCTTACGACATGTCTTAAACTTCGAGAGTATAAAAGATCCTGTTCAGGCGCTGGTCAGTTAGCTTGTGTTCCGGTAGTCTAGCTCCTCGCCCCGACAAGAAAGTATTGGTGATCCGTCCACACTCGAAAGAACATACTCTATTATTGCTAGTTGAGTGGAAATCCCGAAACTGATAAATTACATCCATCTTCACTATGACTCTGAAGTATCTCATCACCGGCGCTACGGGTGGTCTTGGCTCTCAAGTACTGTCCTACCTTGTTGCCAATGTCCCCGCATCACATTACGCAGCCGCATCTTCAAGCGAAGCCAATCGCAAGCGATTCGAAGACAAAGGCATCGCCTTTCGCGTTGTCAACTACGATGATCCCCAAAGCCTGGAGGCCGCTTTCCAGGATGTCGAGAATCTCTTGTTTGTGAGCACCAACACCTTCGACGTCGCGAAGCGAGAGAAACAACATCAAAACTTTGTCGATGCGGCGAAGAAGATGAATGTCAAGCATGTATGTCTGCAGATAGCATCCGTCCCATAATTGCAGGGGTTCTGTCTAATCTGCGAACGATAGGTGTGGTATACATCTCTTGCCTTTGGCGGGTTCGGGACCTCTGAGGCAGATGTGCAAAGGGCCCATCTGCTGACCGAGGAGATGATGCGCAAGTGAGAAAACCCCCCTGTCAAACAACATGTGTAGCGACGGGATAGCTAAGCGGTCGGGCCAGGTCTTGCATCAATTACACCTCCATCCGCGAAGGCCTTTACACCGAGGCATTCCCCGTCTTTATGAACTGGTATCCCAACACCTCAGTCATGCATCTCACGACCGACGGACCGATTGCCTTTACCCTGCGCACCGAGCTAGGAGAGGCCACCGCGCGATTGATGATTCAAGGAGGTCACGACAAGGAAATCGTGCTTCTGACGGCTCAACAAACCATCACCTTCTCCGAGATTATCGACGTCATCAATGAGACCACGGATCGAAACGTGCGGGTGGAATTCGTTTCTCCCGAGGAATTCGTGCGATTGAAGGCTACTAACGACGAAGGTGGCAAACCAGAGGCATTTTTCCAGAAGCTGGAGTCGTGGCACCAGGCAATTGGCAAGGGAGAAGCTGCCACGACGGATCCGTTGATGGCGGAATTGCTGGGGAGGGAACCCACGCCGCCCCGTGAAGCGATACGGAGATTGTTGAGGGAAAATCGCAACTATGAGTGGCACCAGAACTATGTGAATCGGGGCTAAAGTGGTAGTAGTCAGTATGGAACAAGCATCAAGGAGAACATGTTTATCATTCCAGGCGTCGTGATTCGTTGCATGTGAGTGTCGGGAAAGACGGTGCCAGTGCACCGAGGCAGCAACTCGAGTCTGGAGGGATGACGGCGGGCCTTGGGTTCGGCCGGGGAAACGTTTCTTGTTTGCTCGGCAACCCAGTCGGGAGTTGCTGCCTTGTTGTAGCCTGAGGAGGTCGCCTGTTGGAAACGGCGAGAATTGTATATACGAGACAGTTTGCATGAGGATGATGTTGGATATAGCTTCAAATTTATCTAATTAGTGTTCCTCCTCTTTTGATTCGTTACTTATCCCCCTTCTCTGTTGAGCGACTCATCGATCGGCAATTAAGCAGCGGCAATACTCACAGCCATTGCTGGCACACAGGAATTTCAGGCGACGCCGTGTCCGCCCGACGCTTGCAATTAGCCCGCCCGTGATTGGCCTATGCACGCTGAGTCAGCAGGTTGCCGACCCTCAAACCCGAGGTTAGTATGCTGGACTCCTTGACTTCATTTTATCGCCATCGTTCTTCCTTGCAGTGATTCCAGGCCTGACTCCGCAGCTCCGTCTCCATTGTGACCCTCTCACCTACTCTCTTGTCGCTATTGTCCGACGTGTTTTGAGATTGTCTGCTTTGACAAAGTCCCCCACGGGCGGAACTTGCATTTTCACACCTTCTCCATTCGCCCGCCATGGCCTCCCTCCGCACCACCTCCCGCCTCTTCGCTGCGTCGCGGCCCCTGTTCCGGCCCGCCAGCTTCGCTCGCTCTTATGCGACCGTCGAGGCCAAGAATGTCGACCCTGCCGCCTCCGAGAACCCCAATATGAAGACCTTCAAGGTCTACCGCTGGAACCCGGACACCCCGACCGAGAAGCCCACCATGCAGAGCTACCAGCTCGACCTCAACAAGACCGGTCCCATGATGTTGGACGCCCTGATCCGCATCAAGAACGAGATCGACCCGACCCTGACCTTCCGCCGTTCCTGCCGTGAGGGTATCTGCGGTTCCTGCGCCATGAACATTGACGGCGTCAACACTCTGGCCTGCTTGTGTATGTGCTTCAATTCCCCACCGAGTGATCAATTCGAGGTCAATTCGATGTTTCATGCGCGCAGATTTGACTAACGTTCCATCCAGGCCGTATCCCCACCGACACCGCCAAGGAGTCTCGCATCTACCCTTTGCCTCACACCTACGTCGTCAAGGATCTCGTTCCCGATTTGACCCTCTTCTACAAGCAATACAAGTCGATCAAGCCCTACCTCCAGCGTGATACCCCCAGCGCCGACGTGAGTGATCCTTCCGAACGACCCGCGACCGTCTTTGCCAGATACTAATGGATTGAACTCTATAGGGCCTTGAAAACCGTCAAAGTCCCGAGGACCGCAAGAAGCTTGATGGTCTCTACGAGTGCATTCTGTGCGCCTGCTGCTCGACCTCTTGCCCCTCATACTGGTGGAACAGCGAGGAGTACCTCGGCCCCGCTATCCTGCTCCAGTCTTACCGCTGGCTGATCGACTCTCGTGACGAGAAGACCGCCGAGCGCAAGGCCGCTCTTGACAACAGCATGAGCGTGTACCGCTGCCACACTATCCTGAACTGCACGCGGACCTGCCCCAAGGGTCTGAACCCCGGCCGTGCCATCGCCGAGACCAAGAAGATTCTGGCCGCTTAGATCTGGATATAAAAACGGAGTTGGAGATCCTCATTTTTTCCTTTCTGTCCCTATGTCTTTGCCAGCCTCATTTCATCTGTTTCCCTTGTCTACTATCTTGACTTTTTTTTTTTTCTTCGACCTGTTCCGGATGTCTCAATAGGTGTATATTGTGGAAATTTGATTCTTACATGAATGCACTCGTGATCCATTAGATTTATATCGGCTTTTGCAAGGAACTTGGCGGCCGGAGCTTTTTATTCGGCTACATGAGATCTCGCCCAAGCCGAGTCTGTCGCACAGCATGCCCACCATTCCTCCGCACTAATTGGCACATGTTGATCTGATTAGATCCAAGTTTCTTTGTTAATCTATATGCTCCTTGTGATTTGATACTTTCTTGCCCATGATCGTGGTAAGACCCCGCTACTGGCTACTGGTGCATATTCCCCCGGTTATTTGTTTTCCATTATTGACGCCCGGCGGCTGAGGCTGATATTAACACGTGATCTTGCGCGGGGCGATTTTCCCGTTCACCAGTTGGTCGATCTCTTGATGTCTTAGGCCGCAAAGGGTTAAAGATCATCGGCGATCGGGCATCGATCAAAGAAAGGCCCTCGTGGCGTTGATCAGCCTGCATCATTCCAATAACCAGGGCTGGACCGGCTGATACCTCGCATACATGATTTGTTATAACCAACGGCGCTTAGGTGACGGACATAACTAGTCCAACAGGTGTGGATCTTGCCGTGCATGCTCGGCTGTGCCTTCTCTCAAGCCCCATACACATTCCGAATCGAATTCAGGTACTCGCCGCAATCCATGAAAGGCCAACAGCCTCTGAAAAGGTTCATTTGCCATACAAGGCGCTTCTCGAGGAGGGTGTCCCTGACTCCGACTAGTTCGAGGAGCTCTTGGGCTCGTGCGGGCTCACCATCCACGCGTTATAGATGGATTTCTTTCATATAGTGAGGGGGTCCGCAGCCCCCGAATGCAAGATCATGAGAATTTGTCACCAATCACGGTCAGAGGTCTCCATATAGTCCAATTAGGTCGACTCCGTGAGCCCCTGTGGGTTTTCCTTGAACGATGGAAGTACCCCTCTCTCCTTCTTTGTTCTCTTTCCAGACTTCGATACCTCTTCATCGTTGATATTGGCCCCAAGTCTTGCCCACGAATTTTTGAAAGGCATCACTTCATCATCATGTACGACTCGATACTCGTCCCAGTTATAGGGGCGATATCCTTGGTGCTAGCTCTTCTCACAGTCATCTATCGACTATATGCCCATCCACTGGCGGGATTTCCTGGTCCAAAGCTCGCAGCTGCCACGTTTCTCTACGAATTCTACTATGACATTATCAAGGGTGGGATGTACATTTGGGAAATTGAGCGGATGCATGAAATATATGGTACGTCTGCCCGTTATTCAGATGAAACAAGATTTACATGGTATATGTCTCATAATAAATGACCGGGGACGACTAACATGCATATGCATGCCCAGGTCCAATTGTCCGTATCAATCCTCGAGAGCTACATATCAAAGACCCATCATATTACGATATAATCCATGCTGGCGGGTCTCGTAAACGAGCCAAAGATCCCAGATACGCCGTGGCTTTCGGGGCACCAAACTCTCTCGTTGGAACCATCCACCATGATCACCACCGCCTTCGTCGCAGCTACTTGAGCAATTACTTTTCGAAGCGGTCCATAGCCAATCTAACACCGTACATTCATCAGAAAGTGGATCAATTAATCCACCGTTTCGAGAATGCCTACAATCATTCCACAGTCCTGCACTTACAACTGGACTTTGCTGCCCTCACCGCAGACGTGATCACACAGTATTGCTATGGCTGGAGCTATGGATACCTGGATGACCCCAATAGTGCACAAAGCAACGACCTAGTTGACGCCGTCGCAGGTTTAATGGCAATGTTCCATATCAACCGCTTCTTCCCTTTCCTGATTACCATCTTCCTGGCCGCGCCGCCAGCAGTCGTTCGCTTATTACAACCGCAAATGGCCAGTCTATTTGATGTCAAAGCTAGACTGCGCCGACAAGCCGAGGATGTTGTCAAGAAGAAAACGGCCGAAAATTCCGACTCTTGTGTAAACGATACTATCTTCGATGCCTTGGTGAGTCCAAGCGTGCCGCCTCATGAGAAATCGCTGGATAGGCTAGAGGATGAGTCTGCATTGCTGCTTGGAGCCGGCACGGAGACTACTGCCAGGGCTATTGCGGTCTCGATGTTTCATCTCATGAACAATCAAGAGATGGGACTGAAACTGCGTGAGGAACTGAAAACTGTGTTGAAGTCTCCACAGTCTAAAGCTTCATGGACTGATCTTGAGAAATTGCCATATCTGGTAAGTATTGCGGTCGAATACAGGAGTCTTGTTCCAGAGGACACAGGCTGACTACTTGATTTAGACTGGTGCTGTCAATGAAGGCCTGCGCCTCAGTCATGGTATGACGGCTCGTCTAGCTCGGATCTCGCCCACTGAGCCTATGGTCTACAAGGACTGGCTCATTCCACGTGGAGTAAGTTGACATTTATTCCAAATTTCACTGTTTGCGATCAATGTGCTGACCAGCCTCAGACCCCCATCAGCCAGTCAAACTATTTCGTACACATGGATGCAAATCTATTCCCTGAGCCAGAAAAGTTCGACCCCGAGCGATGGGTTCGTGCTTCGGAAAAAGGCCAGCATCTTAGCCGATTCATCGTCGCATTTACCAAGGGAAGTAGACAGTGTCTGGGAATCAAGTGAGTTGCACATCATGTTCCAACACAATATCTCCGAATAATGTACTAACTGAAAACCTCCTAGTCTTGCCTATTCAGAGATATACATAACTCTAGCCCACATTGTTCGACGTTTTGACTTTGCACCATTTGAGACCACCGCTGAGGACCTGGCTGTATACCGAGAACAAGGTGTTGGCTTGCCAAAGCGTGGGTACTTTGGTGTCAAAGCCATTGTTACCAGTATTGTGGAGGAATGAGTTATGGATTCTATTGCAGTTCAATAATGGGTCCAGAGTTATAGGGATGGGGAAGTGTTATCCGTAGTGAATATGATATTTCGAGATGCCTGCCAGATACTACAAAACCAATGTGACTACAGTTCTATCAGAAGCTTCTTAATATTCTTGGTCGAGAGTCTGGACTCCGTCGTAAACTAGCTGACGGTAAAATCGAATGAGTTTGTCACCTTGTCACCTCGCCGCCCTGAGAAAGTACCCCATGGTACTCGGAATCGATGTCGCTGGCACCGGACTCGATGTCGGCTAGGACTTTTTGTGACTTACAAATTGATGGGCGGGATATTGTCGATGAGGATCGAAGATACCGCGAAATATGGACGGACATTGAGATCAAGTTCATCATGACTGTGAGCCTTGCTGATCCCGACAGCTGTGTTGTTTAAGTGTATACGAATTTCCTAGTGCCAGCACTGGCTAAAAACATACTTTGTACCGGCACCACAGCCGCATGCTGTCGGACGGGGACTGGCCAAGATTAACGGTGCCTCAGAACTCAACCGGAGGGGGTTGTCGGCTAAGATTTTTTTGATCTCGCTGCCTTAGTCTTACAGACACATCCAATTAGTGCAGTTAGAATGACTTATTGCAATAGGGAAACTCTTCGGTTAAAATAATAGATTATTTGAGATACATTGATCTACATCGGAGAGCATAGTGGATCTTGTTTGTTCAAATGTTTACTTAAATCGAAGCAACTGGCGGAGAGATGCAGTTCTCTTGCTACTTGGAAGGCATGAGCGATAGAGTTCTATAATTGGGTTAAGTGATTCGTCAGAGAGTCCAACAGGGCAATGAAGTAGATATCTTACGCCAAGGGCTAAAAATATTATTTTCGCGCTGAAAGGAAGCTCAGCGGAACTTTGACCCACGTTTAGCGTCTGGAAGGGCCTCTTTCAGTATTCAACTTCGTTGAGTGATACCAAACCATAAAACAGATTATAAGCGAGCGAATTCCATCAAACTAGTACACTGTCGCAGGCATACCTAGTACATCCTCAAACCACTGCTCATTTCCCAGGTCCATCGACCGCATCCAGATCATTTGGTCAAGATCTGGCACATAACCATTGTGAGAGATGGTGCCAGGGTTGATACTCCGAGACGTCCTGGTCTCTACATCTTGTCCCCGAGAGGTGGTGTGCCACCGATTTTCACCCCACGCGCGGCATCTGCTCAAAATCTTCGACAGATATTTCAGCAGATGGTCGTTGCACTGAAATTCCGGCTCCTTGCTACTCAATTCAATTCTCTGTAGCATGGAATCGATGGTTGTTATGAGATCGACAGTGCTGCGCACCACTTGGCAGTCCCAGTCTGGGTCTTTCAGGGTTGAGAGATATTTCAATAGTATTATACTCAGAATCATTCGCGACCAGAAATGGAAAGGTTGGCCGGCAAGTTTCGAGCACGGGATTTTGTAGAAACTTTCCAGCCATGACTTGATGTTCTCAACTGACAGCCGCAAACACTCGAGACGTTCGAGTCCCAAGTTCATTTCACCGTCATTCCTTTGTCCTGATGGATACAAAGAAAGTGAGTCTGGATTGATGAAATAAGCTAGGTGATTAATGTATAGTTCGACATATTGTGTGTGTGTGTGGATTAAGAGTGTTTCAAAGAGCAGCCAAAGGATACCCCCAGTAAGAACAAGAATTAGCAGCCCGGCAAATGAGATAATTCCAGCTTCTAGTTTCTAGATTTACTTACCAATCTGGGGGGTTATCCGGTCGGAATGAAGCACGGAGCTCTTGCAATTGTCTTCGCAGTGTTTTAATATAGAACAAACGAGGATAGGTATAGCCCGTGTAGGTAGAGCCCGTGTAGGTAGAGCCCGTGTAGGTAGAGCCCGTGTAGGTATAGCCCGTGTAGGTATTACCCCTTTGATAGCTTCCTATGTATTTAAAAGGTAGCTGTAATCCGTATTTCTCGAAGTTCATCACACTGTTGAATCACAATACCTACTTCTCATATCATGGATGTTCTTCTTGACGTTCTCGACACCTTTGTGTTTGATCGACTCTATGCAGCGATATTACGTGATACTACTGCAGACTCTAGGGCCATCAATTCCAGCCTCTTGAATCAACATGTTAAGGTCTATTTCCCCCTGGAGCCATCTGGTTGGGCGGAAGCAAGCCTATTGAAGCGCGACAATATGGCGAGACAAACTTTATCGCTATTTTTGATGATTTGGTATGTATCATCAACCCTATGCTGAAAACATGAGCCGGCTGATAATATTATTTCCCCATAGGTTCTTCGGTCTAGCTATGTACCTTTTTGGCAGCTTCATCATGTACCACACAATGTATGACAAGCGCCTTCTACAGCACCCCCGATACCTTCCAAACCAACTCCAACAAGAGATCAAACAAGGTCTTTCCGCGATGCCCATCATGGCTATCCTCACAGCACCTCTGTTCCTCGCAGAGGTGCGGGGATGGTCCAAACTCTACAATTTTGCCAGTGAGGCTCCATTTCCAGGGTACAACTGGTTGCAATACCCACTTTTCATCTGCTTCACCGACAGCGGGATCTATTGGATTCACCGTGGCTTGCACCATCCTCTTGTTTATCGATGGCTGCACAAACCGCATCACAAATGGGTCGTTCCGACTCCTTTCGCGAGCTATGCATTCCACCCCCTGGACGGGTGGTCGCAAAGTCTGCCATACCATATCTTCCCCTTCTTGTTCCCTCTGCAGAAGATCGCATATTTGGGGCTCTTCGTCTTTGTCACGGTCTGGACTGTACTAATTCGTGAGTCCCCATCCTTACTTATCGCATTGATATCGTCTAAAACAGGCAAGATGACGCCGAATACCTTTCCACATCCGAGATCATCAACGGTGCAGCATGCCATACAATGCACCACCTCTACTTCAACTATAATTATGGTCAATATGTCACAATCTGGGATCGACTGGGGGGTACCTACCGCAAGCCTGAGGAAGACACATTCATACGAGCCCAAAATTATACTGGAAAGATCATTGATAAGGAGGATTGAGAATGTGGCAGATAGGTTGTCTAAAATTTGTCGCGAGCTGTAGAAATGTATATTGTCATAATCATCAATTCATAACTTCATGAGGTACTTCGATAACACCATTGAATGAAATCATTCAGGCTCCCAAGTTCATCAGTCGCGGCGTTGTCAAGATATGGGAACCTCTTGTCGTGCTTGTTGGCAACTTCCAGCGTGGCGTTTAAAAGCCACCAAAGTTCTTCGGCATGTTTAGGGTAACCAAGATGCAATAATTGCTCTTTCTTCGGTGTTTTGACAACCGAATCCCAGATTTGTTTCCAATTAGCGGCAGCTCGACTAATCTTTTCAGGCGAGAGATACTTGAGCAAGCCTGACCGAGCCTGAAATGCGAGGGAGCTTATAGCTATTATGACCATGTTAGCAACCGGGATTTCATTGCAGAAAAGATACTTTGCTTACCGTAGATTATAATCAGAAGATGCTCAGGGGATAATGACGAGCTCCAAGGTGTTGGACCAGCGGTTTTGGGCGTTTCAAGTAACTGATCCACTACTTCACTCAAAGGAGGGAGAGGCACGTCTATTGCATGAGCCACGGCAATCTTACTGAAGGACTCAGCATCCTCAGCCTCCCATAGCTCAGCGCTCCAGGCTAAGTGACAGTCCATCTCGAAAACCGAGAGTGCTGGATAATTTTTGAAACAAACTGTAAGAAATCCGTCCGCGAGGAAGACCCAGCATGCAATTCTCGAATAGCATCAGCTTTGCGATCCTAAGAAGAATATGAGCTCGCATAAATGACTTACCTGATACACATCTCTTCCGCGACCAGCATCGTCCACGTCCAGTAATCAAAGACCCTGGGAGCCGTGCTGCGCTTCAATTTGAGAAATCCAAGGGACCTGATAGTCGAAACGAGGCAAGGGTGTCGAATTATACGGATGCGACGTCTGGTCTGGATGTCATCTCGCCCAAATTGGAGCATTTCCATGATGAGGGCGCTTTGTATCAGCTGTACGGTGGGCATCAGATGTGTCAGATCTTCCTGAGATGATGCAATTGATAAATTCGCAATTTTCCGAAAGATATACTCCTCCGCCACGTCAAATATATATGGTGAAAAGTTTGCATCGTCCCTGGGAAGGCTATACGCTGCACCAGCCAACGAGATAGCCAGCAACAGTGGGTTCGAAATATTGCCTGGGTCGAATGTGGGGAAATGCACGATTGGTAAGTGCCAGTGCAGGGATTGAAAGAAAGCCGATATAAAAGATGGAATATTAGATACACTCAGCACCGCAGATAATTCCATGAGCTCGAGTGGTTGTTGGGTATTTATGGGACCGTTGATCATTGATTTTGACGTTTCAACCAGATCATTCGTCAATTGAGTAAGTTGATTGGACAATTTCGACGGCAATAGAACTTCAGACGGGTATTCGGAGAAAAAGTAATCTGAGGACAAAGCGAGCTGCGTGGAGATCCCAGGTATCTGGAGATCACCGGAAAAGGCCGCTAGCGGATCCGCAGGCACAAGGGCATCTTCGAGGTTGGTATATAATTTTTCGAAATTTCTGCGAATGGAGCATTTCGCAGTCTCTCCTATGGCAAGCCTGTCTTTGTGTACCGATGGGCTGGCAAAATGCCGAAGAAAAGAAAATGGGCCTCCGCCATTTATCATTCTGCGCGAAGTGTTATTGATCACTGGTGAAGGGGACATTGACGTGGAGATATGTGCAGGATAAGAAGTGCTAGTAGATGTTTCATAAATGCACTGTCTCCCTAAATTCCGGCAACGAGAGCATGGACAGCTCCGATCGCAAGCCGTCTTTGCCAAGAAACATGGCTGACAGGATAGTCGCTTCCTGCCAGGTCGAGCTGAAGGAGGCAGGGGTTGATTATTCTTTTTGGCGCATGACTTGCTATGTCTTCGAGTGATCTCCCTGTCTGGTGTTAGAAAAACCTACATTTCAAGGTACGGAACAGGTTGATGTACGGTTTTTGAAATGATTTATGGCAAAATGGGCAGCTGGAAGTCAGCAGGGGATTATCTATTACTTTGTCAATCAAGAGCTCGATATAGAAATATTTCGGATTCCTTACGTGTACTCTCATGGCGCACCAGATGCGTCTTTCTTTGGTATGCTTTATCGCACTGCGAGCACTGAAACATCATACAGAACTGGCGCCACGTCAGTTCGAAGATGGTTGGAATCTCCAGCCTAGGAGGATTGGGTCACGTAATCCATCAGTCGAGCTCGGAAGTGTCGGGCCCGGCTTAGCCGGCTTACTAATTCATGGACGCGCACACCTAGTTCTAAGGGAGTCTTCACCAATACTTTCACTATTATTTCTCACAGATAATATTATCTTACTCCTCATACTATTTAGAGCTAGATATAAATTAGGTAGGCTTGTAAGCAAATTCAGTGTGCTTATATGTTCCCCTTTTCATACATATTTGGTGTCTAGACCGGGTGGCTACCGCGCTCGGACATATATCTCAGCTGTGCGCCCGGTGCTTCCTCATCTATTACCATTACGCACCTACCTAGGCTTTACTACAATCAATGGGTATTCTTATTCATTAAATCTGCAATTACTGGAATTCATGGATCAATCTCCTTACAAATCTCGCGTCGGTGCCTAAAGATTTTATCCGTATCTGTATCGACTAACTGTTTAAGAACAATTTTACCCCTGCATCATGCTGCACGGAGTTTTTCATGAACGTGGATGATCTTGATATTAAGTTGATTTAATGGCTGTGCTGACGCTACTTCCTTTAAGTGAATAAGTCTGCATCTGGTCTCTTTTAAAACACAAATGGAGTAGGACGTCCACAGGCTTGAAGCTCATTTGGCGCAGCAGAAGAACTATTTCGTTAGGGGTGTCAATCAACTGGTTATAGGTTGCAATGAAAAGATGGTTTCGAGTGGCTGACAAGCCCATACTGCCAGGCCTGTTTTGAAAAGAGCCAAGGGATGCTTCGACAGATACCTCGATGCTTGAGACAATCCATCATATTGACGGGCTTAATCAAGGGTTATGCGCTCTCACATCGATATCACAAAAACAAGAATGTAAATAAGTATTCCGAAAGGCCAAAACATCGTGAACAAAGAGACAAAAAGAGAGACCGTTGGAATCAAAGGCTGGCAAAAGTACTTGTGAAGCTACGGCAAGCTTGCAGGGTGGGGAGGCTGGTAATGCAAGGGGTTGCCCAGGTTGCCCAAAGAATGGGACCCCATCGTGCCTGTACACAATGCCTATCCCTATCCCTATCTACCATACTCACTCCCGCAGATTTGCTCTCAAAAAACAACACCACTCAATCATCTTGACTGGTCCACACGCCACAGGCAAGTGTGCGCAGTCAAGGGTAGTCTAAGCGCATCCCATAGTCCCCGCGGCTATTTCAATGTGTCCAGGGCCATAGAATGTACAATGTAGTGGATACTACGAGAGTGATGAGCAATCAAAGCTATACATGGCTACTACTCCGTACTTGCATCAACTATGCGTCTTCTGTAAAACCCAGCCTCTTCCGCCAGTTAGCTAGTTGATGTATATCGCGCTCGCCTTCCGAGCCCTGAAAAGCTTCTCTCAGAAATGCGGGCGTCTTTTTAGGAACCGTAAAGCTTAAGGTTTATAGCAAAATCCAGCCACTAAGGAGACTTGACAGATAACTCTAAGGCTGATCATTCCATAGCTACCGGTTATTATTCGCGGACATGTCGCTAAATTCCAATTGCGTCCCTGATTCTCCATACCGGGGAAGGCTGCCCGCCCCTTATGCTATGCTATTCTCCTCATCATTTGGGGCAGACGATGATCTTTTAAAACCGCTCGTGTCCGGCATGGAAGTCGATACCCACAAAAAATCACAACAAACCGAAGATCACTAATCTCGCCAGTCTCGTCAATCGCGGCATAAAAGCCTACGCGCCCTCTGATTCTTGGGATCAATCCGCCTTCCGACCCTTTACGCTCTTTAGTGTTTCCCAGCCAGAGGCTATTACTGTCATTCAATTCCTCCAATATGCACACTTCTTACGTTTCTCTTGCGGTCTTCGCCATGGGCGCCGCTGCCGTCCCAAACATGCCAAAGACGCCTAGCAATCCTTTTGAAGGCAGCTTTCCTTTCATGCCCTCCGGAGCTTCCACAGGGGACGATGATGGCATGTCCAACCCGGTTCCTGCTTATATGGCTGCTATGCAAACTGTCGAGGAGGTACAGACAGGTTCATACAGCAACAACAACAACAAACCTGCGCCCATTGCCCAGCCTGTCCAGGCCAAGCCGGCGAGCGACGACAACCAGGAGTTTAACGCACCTATGGCGCTGCCCTCGGCGCCTTCGATGAATGACCTTATTCCTGAAAGCCTTGAGGATGCTGCCCCGTCATCCCTGTCGTCGGTCAACGCACAAGTCAAGCCGAGCCCGGCATTCTCTGCTGTGTACGAGTATTCATCTTCTATGTCGATCATGGTCTCCGTGCCGTCGGCTTCTTCGTCCATGGCTCCTCTGGTCATCTTGGCTACCCCTGCACCCGAATCTATGCCCGTGGAAATGGCGCCCGTCACCGTCAACCCGGTGTCGGTGCAATCTATCGTGCAGACCCCAGTGGCCACGCTCTCTAGCTTCATCACCCGGCCCATTTTGAAGGCCCCAGTCACCTCAATCGTCGTGCCCAAGATCGAGGCTCACTCGGCCGAAATTCACGAGCAGCACATTGTTTCGCAGATTGCAAGCTCCAGTGTTTTGCACGCTGCTGCATCCAGCTCGGCTACCGCTACAGCTAGCGCAGATGCTGTCGAAGATGCCACTAACGTGCTCAGCAAGATTCCTCTCCTGGGCGGTCTTCTCGGTGGCCTTGGCCTTTGATTTGACTCTTTCTGCGCTTGTAACTGAACATATCCATGAAGGGATAGGAGCAACTTACTCTCCGGGGGGTAATATTGATATCCAAGAAATTTTTAATCAGAAAGGCGTTGGAGTTGGAGTTGGAATCGGGCTTACACGCTTCTATTTCTTAATTATGACCAGATTAAATAATCTGAACACAATGCTATTAATAAGAGTAAACACGCTCATAATACAGTCATGTCTCAAGGGTATCTTCCAGTAGCTCCAAGCATGTCCATGCATCTCTCAACCGCCTTCTGCATTTCATTCGTAGCCTCTTCAAGAAGAGTCGTCAATGGGACCTTGCCGGCCTTTTCTTGTTGCACCTTGATGTACTCGTTGTTCAAGACCTTGTTGATGTTGATCTTGGATACTCCACAATCAATGCACTTCTGGAAGATCTCCTTTGTGAACGGATCCGCGCCATGGAGTACCAGGCGCACCTTCTTGCCAACTCTATCGTTGATTGATTGCAGTCGGTCATACTCCAGCTGAATACCGCGAGGCCCATACTCGCCATGGACATTACCAAAGGCGGGAGCCAACCAGTCGATGCCAGTGTCCACAAACTCCTGGCTCTCTTCAGGCGTCGTCAAGAGACCCTCCAGGTCCGCCGTATCAGCCACTCCATCCTCGCCGCCCTCGATGCGCCCAGGCTCCGCTTCCGTTGCGATACCCCGCGCATGGCAATACTCCACCAATTCACGGGTCAAGGCCAGGTTTTCGGCCTTCTCGTAGTGCGACATGTCCACCATGATACTGTCAAATCCACCCAGATCAGCTGCCCGGCGAATGATCTCGGGAGTTTGAGCGTGATCCATGTGCACGGTGACAGGGACCGAGGCGTTGCGGGCGGCCTCTGCGGCGGCGTGCACAAGGATACCATCGGCATAGTGCACAGCCCAGGGGAACAGGAGAATCATAGCTGGCGCGCGCTTAGCTTCTGCTGCTCGGACCGTTGCTAAAATTCCCTCCACGTTATAGCAGCACATTGCGGGCACGCCATAGTGATTGTCGGAAGCATGGTCGAGGATGCGCAAGGCGCGGTTGTCAGTGAGAACCATTGCGGCGTGAAGAGGTGGGATGATGGAGCAGGAGTTCAAGAAAGAAAAGTCGAATGAGGGGTATTCTATAGCATACCTCCGGCTGGGAATTCTCCCCACACTGTTATATACGAGAGTTGACGGCTTGTCCGAGTATCGCGGAAAATCGCCGAGCCCTCCTCGGAGAAAGCCCGAGATAGGCAGACTACGTCAAATTGACCGAGGCCCACTGTACCCCCACTGTGTCAGGGTCCAAAACCGGCCGCTCGGCGGGGTCGGGAATATTTTGGTCAGTACCGGGGCAACACCGACAGAATGGAATGCTTTGCTGGAAGGGGTTGATTAAGGTAGGTAGGTATACGAGTTGGGCATATTGGAAGAACTACGAGATTCAAAGATGAAGAATTCGGTAAACGAACGAAAGGACACTGAGCGCATGCAATTAATGACTATAGACAATACATGGGATATCTACACTAAATTCCAAACACCTTGATCATACTACTACTTCCTTCGGCACCTAATCCTGCTTGCTTAGCCATAAGCAGCACACTTAGAGCAGCATTGCCCAGATTCAATGGACAGTGCAGGTCTCGTGCTTTCTGTACGCCCTTCTCCAAGCGACTAACAACATCATTGACTGTTTCGGAGCTCTGTCCAATGCGGCCCTCAATCATCTCCAGTCCCTTGGTCATAAATTGCCGGCTAGCACCTGCAGCATCGCTGACAAGGGTGAAGAATTGCTTGAGATCAACATTGAGGTGACGGGCGAATGAAATAGCTTCCGCTGCGGCTACGAGATTGGTCAATTGCATGACATCGAGTACGAGCTGTAGAGCCTCTGCGTTCTCCTCGGTGGATTTGGTGTTGGAAACTTTGGTGATTGGCTCTGAGTAGTATTGGCGAACCATGGACGAGTCGTCAACAGGGCCATAGCCCTGGAGCAAGGCGGAAAGATAGACTTGCTCGGCCGTGGAGCAAAGGGGCGTGGGGAACTGGTTTTGACGGGCAGACGTAGTGATGATTCCCTGTTATATTCGAATTAGATGCGAATTTCACAGAAAGCAAGTCAATTAGGCACTTACCACATCTTTGAGAATGATTGTCAAAGCACTAGCACCAGGGTGCCAATCCTCTTCCAACATGCGCTGCAAACGATTCTCGTGCATCCATGTCCATGAATCGGATGACTTAATAGCATCTGCAGTCTTTGCTGCATCTAAGCCCAGCTGAGCAGCGAAGCCCATAGCCTCGCTAGCACCAAGGATGTGAATACCCGCCAACACCTGATGAACCATCTTCATATTGCTTCCCGCCCCGATCCCTCCAGGAACGAGGTACAGTTTTTTCGCGTCGGACATGGTCTCGAGCAAGAATTTACCCTTCTCCAACGCAGTATCTGACGCACCAGCCATGATTGACAGAGTGCCATCAGCAGCGCGCTTGGCTCCACCAGAGACAGGAGCATCGATGAAATAGATGTCGCCACGACCGCGCGATTGCAGCTCAGCCGCGACAGACTGGGCATATGAGGCAGGGACGGTGGAGCAGAGGACAAGGGTGGCATTTTGAGGGAGAGCTATGGATCAGGTCAACACTTTATCCAGTCCTCCAATTCAGGGTTCGCTCATACCAGAAACAATGCCGCCATCGCCAAAGAGTACAGTCTGCACCTGGGGTGCTGAAGCGACCATACAAACATAGTAGTCTTTTCCGTTGGCAGATTCCTCCAGCGATGAGGCCGGAATACCTCCCGCTGCCTTGAAACGCTCCACTGAAGTGGGGAAAACATCGAAGCCGTGAACAGGGTAACCCTCCTTTACAAGATGGGTGGCCATGCCGAAGCCCATGGCTCCAAGGCCGACAAATCCAACAGCAGGCTTAGACATGATAGAGAAACGATAATCGATCTTTGAAAGAATATCCAGGAAAGAGCGAGAATTCTAAAAGAAAGGATTCAGGAAATACAACAATGCGTGGGGGCATGCGGGGCTTTTCTGGGGAAGCCTCCGCGTGGGATGCTCGGTCCAAGTCCGACTGCCTGAACGTCGAGTGCCCACCCGGACCGAGTGGTGGCATAGGCTCTAGTAGCGCATGGTTAATTCGGGAAATAATACGGCTAAAATGCCTAGGTAGAGCGTACACTGTTGACGTCTATCCATGGCAGGGATTTCTTGCTTTCGCTATCGACTAATGTTCCTAGGCCCTTTTCGGCCGAGATACATGAACAGGGGTAAAACTAGACACCCTTCTTCAAAGAAAGCTCTGCCCTTGGACAGATAAAATCGGTATACACCAATGAATATAGCAGGTTTGGAGAGAGATTCTTAGATGATAGAGTAATGGTGGCTCAATATACAGGGTTACGGGGAAAGCTATAATGCTATTATTTTTGCGTGAAAGCCACATTCCATATTGTATTCTAAAGTAAATGATTATGAGTTGTCAGGGAATGGAATTAAAACGCACCTCCCATAGACTTTGTTTCGAGAAAGTTGAGTAAAAATGTCACCGGTAGCGCGGCTCCGTGAACCCATAATTATCCCATCGATCGTCACCAAGGTGCCATTCTGGAGTCGCATCGGCCTCTCCATGAAGAATATCAAGGTCTTCCTCCTTACAGACCTTTTCAAGAAAAGTGTCTTCGACAATAGAGTCTAGCGACAAAAATTGAGGGGGCTGTATGACTCTCAGCGGCTCTGGGCAAAGTATCGGGGTAGCCGGTCGGTCGACTACCAGCACAGAGTCTCGCAAAGACGGCAGCGATACATCGACGCTATTGGATACTAAAGTTGAGATAAAAGGTGAGAATATCTTCGCAAAATCATCGTCGGACACATCGAGCAAATCACAACCACCATCTGACTCGTCGTCGGCATCCGAGTCGTCATCAAGGAAATTGAGATCATTTGGATTTCGTACCTCGCTTTCATATACAAAGCCAGAGCTATCATCCGAGTAGTGGAACATTTCTTGTTCTGGCTCATTTCCAGAGTAGGTCAGTCTAAACTCAACCGGTGACATGTCCTCAGACAGGTCGAAGAAGCTCGTTGCATAAGGATTTCTGCTGTCGAGACGCTCCAAGAGATGAGCATCTTTGTCAATGCCAAAAGGAATAACACCGTGCAAGGAGTTGCGAGATTTTCGGGCATCTACCTGGGTCGATGAAGGAGAGATGTCTTTCTCCAAGGTTTGTCGACGCAAAGCTTTGCAAAGGTCAGCAATATTTTGCTCCTCGCTAGGAAGGACTTGAGGCAAGATATCGAATTCTTGACCGGTATTTGTTGGGCATTCTGGCCAAGAAAGAAAACCGTCTGGGCACTGCGGGACGTCAGCCACGATATTTATGGGACAAATTGTATCGTCGGGACCTACTCCATCGCTGGCCGTGGGTGCGGTGCAGTTGTAGCAATCACAGCCATGACAGTCCTGATAAATAGATGGACGATTGTTGTTCCAATCCTTACCACTCAAGTTGGTATTCATATGACCAAAAACCTCAAAAATTGGGGCCTTCGAGTCCAGGCCCTCAATCGTGCGATGTTTCGAGGACACGGAAGAGTCGTGGACACGACGGGTGGATAGCTCAAAATCACACTGACCGCAAGTGTCAGACGCAAGTTGTAGCACAAGATTGTGACTAGTTTGAATCTTATTGCAGTATCCGGTCAGACCTCCCCGGCTTTGCAATCGAAGGCTGTTGGTATACTCCTTACAGCTGGTCAATGTCCAATTAGCGATATGCCCGCAAGCGGAATAGTGGTGGTAAGTGTAAAAACACATTGTTATATTTGTTTGTGGCGGTTCCGAAGAATGACGATTGTAAAAACGATGATGCTTGCCTGTAGTGGCTTGGGTTTTGAGGATGAGATGGAGAAGAACATTGCGGTCTAGCGATTCCTGGGTCTTAAATAAATGCGACTGTTGGATCTGAAGAGAACAAGTAAATCTTTGAAAGGAGGACATAAAGCCATTTGCAGCAAATTTCAGAACAAAGAACAAAGAGTTGCTTTAAATTGTTAGCAATGAAGCCTTTCAGTCAAACTCTTCAAGGCCTTTGATTCAAACCTCACAATGAACTTGCAAGAACTCACTAAACAGTGCAGATAATGGAAATACTATAGCATTGTATGGGAGTACAAGAGGAGTGATTCTAATAATAGCTTGAGCAGATCCAGTCATTCTCAAGTACTGATGGCAAAGCCGCCGTAGACAGTCAGACTGCGACAAAGGAAATACACACGCTTTCAAGGTTCAAAGAAACGATATTTATATCAAGGCACCTTAGCTTTCCAACTCCATTAAGTACTTTACACCGGAGTCCAGTAACCACCAAGCAGCCGTCTCATGCATCCAGCGCAGTAACGGCTTCTCCAGTGGCATAGCCTGCGTCTCATCGGACCGTCTCCACATCAAAGTCTCGCTGGAAAAAACCACCTCATTCTCTGTTTCGCAAAAGCTCAGAGCTAGGCGACCGTTAATGAATTCCATGCTCTTCATCGTAATCTCGAATTCCACCTTGTTCTCGGAACGCGCGATCACGCGATACACGCCACATACAAGATCTCCTTGTGTGAAATCCAGAGAAGAGAGGTGGGACGCCTTGAAGCTTCGCTGCTCCTCTGGAGCTCTGCTCATAAGTCGGATCATCAGAGCTTGAGGGAATCGTGTGAAAGCCACCATATTGCGGCGGACTAGCTTGGTGAAAAGTTGCTCCGTAGGAACATTCTTGGGCAACGCGTCGCGCGCGACAGACTTTGATGAATGATCGTAAAGCGCAAAATATTGATCCGTAAAAATATCCTCCGGGACCGACTCGATCTGTATCGGTTTCGGAGATGGTGCCGATAGCTTTCCGCTGTGCGACTTGTGTTGGATGCGCGATGACAGCCTTTGGTGAAAAAGGTAGAAGTATACGGCTGAGCCGCCGGTGATGACGGCACTGGCCGTGAATATGAAGCGCATCATAGTGGCTGGGATGTTTTTTTGTTCTTGCGCTGACTTCTCTAGCCTTGGAGGCGAAACAGTCGGGCATTATAGGGCGCAAGAGAAATTATGGCTGGTAAGGTGACCGCATCAGCGGATCTAAGCAACCCCGAACACGAGGATGTCTTGGCGTCATGCGCCACTCACGCGAACACATGAAACATCTATCCTAACCTATCAAAATATGATAAAAGAAAAGGTTGTTATACTTTTTTTTGATCTCTATTTGCTGGGTTTCCAGAGAAAAAGATCATGGGTCTGAGTAGTGGGGATATTGATGCAGAACAATCATGGACCTGACGAGAATAACGAAACGTAGCCCTCCCAAACGAAACGCCGTGATGGCAATATAACACGAGTGGTATCACTTTGGAAGCACAAAACAAATCAAAGACAAAGTGTTTCGAAGATCAAGATGGAACTAGAGCGCACCAGCCTCAAGCATACTGGTGCATTGGGGGAGCTGGCTGGGGCTGCGCTGGTGGGGACTGGGGACCATTCTGAGCAGCCTGTTGAGCAGGGTGTCCTGCTGCAATCTGGAAGACTTGAATGCGCCCGCTATTATGCCAACAGGCAAGCTTAGTACCGCAAGCGCCGCAGTAGTGGTCGACATCCTTGAGTGAAGACATCAAGTATGGGATACATCCGAGGCAGCAGCAGAAGCATAGAACGGCAGCCCATCCACTATATCAGAAATCAGTATCTTCTTATTTCCACCAACAAAGATCCGACTTCAACTCACTGTGTAGTCATCCCAGTCACCGGCTCCACTCGAGTCATCTCTCGGCGACCACAGGCGGGGCAGTCCACCGGGCACGGCGCGGACTGAAGCGCATGCAAGGGGACCGCGGTCGCATATCCACTAGGGTGGCCATAGGGAGTATAGTACATTTGCTGCTGAGGATTTTGTTGCATCTGCTGGGGGCCTGGCTGGCCTGAGTACGCCTTTACATCGGAAGGATGAGCGGGAGCTTGGTTGAAATAGCTCCCTTGGGCTTGCTCGACCGGCTGGCCATTATATGCTTTTTCGGGGGCGGTGGGGGAATTGTGGACGGGAATAGGCGCGTCGTGATCATGTCGTGACTTTTCATAGGTGGGCAGCAGAGTGCCTGATTGTTCTGGGGAGGGAGACAAGGGAGTGATGCCAGTAGGCTCGGGGCTAATTGGCGCCATGGTATCTTGAGGTTGATGGGAGGATCCAGCTACTAGAGGACTGGGTATCGGGCTAACAGGTGGGCTGGTGTGGTGGTGCTCAACAGGAATGAGACCTACAAGGGTCAATTGACTTAAATCACCAACTCATGGGAAGCAGGTAGGTGGCTCACCTTCACTATCGTGTCTTCGAGTTGCCATTGTGATTAAATTGTTTGGCAGAGAATGTCACCGGCAATCGTACGACAGAAATGCGTTCGCGGGTGCACGTTCGTGGATAAGGAAAATCAGGAAGGAATCGAGTCGCGCGACGGGGCAGCCTTACACTTTATTGCAAGCTCTAATTCACTGCGGAGTCGAACATGGTTCTTTAACGTTACCCATAAATAGCGTTGTCCAGTGCCATGGTCAGGGCTGAAACCCGTACGATACTCTCCATCAAAAATACAGGCTATGTTGAACTTTGTTTTGAGCTAGACTTCCTGTGCACTGCCTGATTCTTTCCGCCTGCATAGAGATCTCTCGAAACAGCGATTGGGGCTACGTAATTAATACTTTGGAATTCATTGATACAGTATAATAACCGAAGGGTCTCACAGTAGAAGTCATGTTCATGTGTATTGAGCCAGCCGTGGGTCATGTTTGACTCTAGACTCTTCGACTCTTCGCCAATCCACTTTACAATTCTCTTCAATCCCTTGTAGTTATAGGGGCCCTGACTTTCCCTTATACATCATGCAACGTATGAGGCAAAACGAACAAGGAGGCTTCAGTGCAGTGGGCGCATAGAGCTACGTACAGTATGTACGAAGTCCGCCGTACGGTAACTGAGGCTCAGGCTGTGCCAAGACGGCGCCCGGTCGTATTCTTTGACCCTTTTTGTCCCCTATGAGCTTGCCAGGGTCCACTTCCCCCTTTCATGACTCTTGCTATTCACCATCGTAGCTTGCGGAGACTTCGTGAAGGTAAAATTTTTGAGGTCATAACACTGAGCGTGTCGAACTGATGGCCGACGGTCTTGGCAGCTGGTACTGGGGTGATGTTATCCAGTGCAAGAACCGTTGGAAACTCGTCTTTTACTATCGTCAAGCCAGACTCCAAGCTCTGTAGGCACCTAGAGTGTCTTGCCTGTCGCCTACTGACCTTGGTCCTGGCGCAGCAAGGTGGGTCTTATTCCGGCTAAAGAAAATGGTCTGCGAGAGACAATCCAGGGCTCTCAAGCATAGGAGGATTATCGAGCAGAAAGAAACCATGCAATAAGTGTCAAGGTCAGGATTCTGCATCTGGACACTTGAGCATTTGCTAGTACCGTGTAAACTTCCACCACCTTCACTCCTTGATTCGTTGGTGCTGCAACGGGTTATTTGGCCCCCAGCTAACTTGGGCTTGTTAGCATGACCCTGACCCAGCAATTACCGCACAATACCCGTCTGTACAAGCTTTGTGGGCCAAGTGAAACAGATGTATGTAGCCTTATGACCCGAGTCTTCTAGATACCATCTCCCAATGGCTGATGGAACATGATACCGAAACTGATAAGAATTTACAAGCCGGTCGGATTATGGGTGCCTCAGTACAGTAGTAGGTGATCCAGTGGGTATTGCAACCGAAGTTTTTTAAGCATGTTTAAAATCTGTACTAAACACCACTGAGACAAAGAGATTTACCCACCGAACAGTCAAAGGATGGAGATGAAAGCCCACTTCTGAAGAAGGTCTTGACAGTTCAGTATAGACAAACAAGACAGATTTGATCCGTTATCCTCTGAAGGATGATAAGACATACAAATTGATGACGAACGAGCCTCCGAGGGTCAGTTCAATTTAAAGCGTCGGACTTACCATAAAAAGAAAAAAGTATGCCATTCCCGAACGCCGCTCCTGCATAGCAGTAACTCATGAACGACTACGGACTGAACTAGTTGGTAATGTGAGATACGGGATTCCAAACAAGATTGTTGAAGGAGTTAAACGGAGACAATTACATTATCCCCGGCCGCGGTGGTTACTAACGTGTCTGTGGGCCGAGTTATAAGATCTCCCATCACCGACCTCAGTCCTCCCTTCTCCATTGACAATTCCATCTAACGGATTCATTCTAAGAATGGCTACCACAATCAATTCAACACTCAAGCTGGCCAGTGGCTATGAGATTCCCCGTCTAGGATTTGGAGTGAGTAGTTATCAAGTCTAAATTCAACGTTGAAAAACTAAATGATTTCAGGTCTACAAAACGTAACAACCCCGCAGCGTTCACATCTCACCCTCAACCCCACTAAAGTTAACACATTACCGAGCAGTCCCCCAGAAGAGACGGAGCGATGCTGTTTAGAAGCACTCAAGGCTGGCTATCGCCATGTGAGTAGTCAGTTGCCGGCTGAAATTCGGGCCCAGTGTCCTGTTTGTACCAATGTCTGACGACCAAGACAGATTGATTCTGCCGCGATGTACAAGAATGAAGCTGGCTGTGGCAGCGCGATTCGCGCATCATCCATTCCGCGCGATCAGATATTCTTTACTTCCAAGGTCTTTAATATTAGCTATGATGGAGCCAAGGCAACTGTCGATGAGACCCTTCGTCTGACGAAGCTCGAGTACATTGACCTGATGCTTCTTCACAAACCAATGGGTGGCTCCGAGAATCGCAAGGGTGCATGGAAAGCGGTATGAGAGCTATCTTTTCCCAAAAACGCATTTCTCCGATCAAAGTTAAATTTGTTCTAGTTGGTCGAGGCCGTTGAAGCGGGCAAAGTACGCTCGATCGGTGTCAGCAACTACGGCGTGCACCACCTAGACGAGCTCGAGCAACATATCCACGAACTTGAACTGGAACGCGGCGGCAAAGGCAAAGGGGGCATTATCAGCATCAATCAAGTCGAACTGCATCCATGGCTAGCTCGAAAGGATATCGTCAATTGGGGTACCAGTCACGGCGTTGCGCTCCAAGCTTACGCGCCCATTGTGCGTGGCGCCCGCTTTGAAGAGCCATCCGTCAAGAAGCTGGCAGATAAATATCACAAAACACCAGCCCAGGTTCTCATTCGATGGAGTCTTGATAAGGGCTTCATTCCGTTGCCGAAGAGCGTTACACCGTCGCGCATTGTTGCCAATGCCGATGTCTTCGACTTCAAGTTGACTCCCGAGGAAGTTCAGGAACTGGAGACGGATGAATACAGTCCTTGTGCGTGGGATCCGACTGTGACGAAGCTGGAGGAATAGAGGAGAAGACTAGCAGAATGAGAGTATCGAAACGGCAACCTCTGGTTGCCAAGAAGTCCGTGAGACTTTACCTGCAATTCTGCCTAGCATGTACGAATCTGCACCAACGTGTCTTCAAATACTATACTGCAAAAAAGAGTTCATTGATTTTTTTTCGAATCGGCTGTCAAGACTGAGAAGACTCGTCTTGGTCGAGATCCATGCCCTAGGATGTATCTCATTGTAACAAACCGCTAAGATAGGTGTCATGACATCTCTTCACGTAGCTGAGACCCTCTCTGCAACTCTGGTCAGCTTTGCATTTGCAAGCACTTGATTATGATCACCACTTTCACGCTCCTCGCGACTGCCAAGGTTGTCTCAGGGGTGTGGTACTTTTGAAAACCTTGCGCAAAGATATCCTCCCCAGTTATAGCTTCTTTGGCTAGCCCCCTGGTCAGACTGATTTGTACTCGCACGATCACATTTTTAACAACATAAGTACCCTCAATATATATGATTGATATGATATCAATGCACTTCGGAGTTTTTTCTCGGGTCCGAGGTGTTACCTTAATAAGAAAGCGCGGTCGGGCCAACTTTTGTGCTATCAGCACATCACACATTCCTCATCATCATGTGCCATTGACACACAGGATTCTGTCGGCCAAGTATAGGATTGTCGCATCAGACTAAGTCGAAGAGGGTTTGGTTAGAGGGACTTGGCCGGACGGATGAGCCCGGCCGTGCGGGAAATCCAGAGGGGCTGAACGTATTTCATGTCGGACTGGCACAGGGATCTGCACATATACCGTAATGGCTGAAGCGAGTTTCATGGTAGGGCTATATGGCGGAGTAGTTTGACAATGTGACCGAACAAGGAAATCATATCTCTTTGCCTCATCAGGGAAATAGCGGGTTTGGTATACCAAAGGATAGACGGAACAAGCTGAATGGCACCATCGTCTGACCCTCGCATTCAGCCAGGGACTTGTTCACGGGGCAGAAAGTACAAATAGCCACACCTAGATGCGCCCAGGCAAACACGACCGTCGGCTGTGAAATGACTATTCAAGCGGCGTGCAGGAAGAGCAGGGTTGGGGCGGGGTAGCTTTAGAAGGTCGAGACCGCGAGAGGCTTATCTGCAAGACGCAGCCTAGAACTCTCGAGAATCCTCCTGCACACAGCCGATCATGCGAACGACAGGAACCTGTCAATTTCCTGATCCTGATAGCCATCGATGTGACCTTGATATCCGTAACCGAATACTAATACATATAAGGATTGAAGTCCAACTGAGCACTAGAAGCCGAAAGACGAGGGAGCTACCGATGGAAAGGGAGAAAGACAGATTTCGAGCTGAAGACTTTAGGCAAGGTGTGATGTTCTCTCTTTCATACTTGACAGTTTGCAAATACTAATAGCACGTTCGGCTCTCGCCCAGGTCTCGAGGTGCTGGACAATGAGATGGGCAAGGATGACTGGCTGATCGCCTTCGCACCCATCACTCTCATCTCGACTGGGGGATTTCTCGCGACAAACTTCTTTCGGAATCGAGAAAGCACGGGCGACATAGACTATCTCCTGGAGCCGCAATGGGCACACGACAATGACATCAAAAAGCCATTACAGAATGCGATCACCCGAGCGGCCCGACACCTGGGATTCGTCGACGACTGGGTAAACGAGGAACTCGCCTTTTTCGTGCCAGACCAATTCCGGCAGCTCCTTTTTGAAAAGGCCGAGGAGCAAAATATTGTTTTGTGGCAAGGCACACATCTTCGGGTTCTCGCCGTGCCGTTGGAATGGGCGCTCGAGCGGAAGCTACGGCGCATCCATAACAGCAGGAGGCATACGAAGCGGATATCTGATGTCGCCGATGTGCTTGCGATCCTAAAGCATCTGCGAACGCAGAATGATGCGGCGTTGGATAGAGAATATATCCGAACCTTGAATATCTGCTCCTTCGAGATACCTCCTGATCAGGCAACGATGAATGAGATCGCTACTGCTTATCGAGAGCAATATAAAGAGGAAGCCTTTTCCTGAGATACACACCATGGCGTCGCTCGATCGGTGACTCTAGACTGTGTAAAAGTGGCCGGTGTCGATGATAATGTTCCTCTGCGCGAATGTAGGACTCTCGCCCCCTTCTTCGAGCACGAGTCTGCCTGCAGAGTCCCGGAAATCTGCTGGAAGATTGGCAATCATCTCCGCATCGACCGGAGCCACCCTCCTGGTCCAACTAGGAGCAGTCTCTGGCGTAAAAGACGGGAGAGGGTCCTCGAATGTCTTCCGGTATATGTGCTTGCTTTTATCACGTCGCATCCCCAAGCTCATGCGCCAGTTGAACGCTTGTACCAGTTCTTCGGCGATACACGCCAGAATGGCGTACCGTACCGGGTCCTCATCGCAAGGGTCGGGTATCCGATGTGCTGCCCAAGACCCACGCGACTGGTACCAGAAGTACTCGACTTCCGGCCCGACTGCATAGAACTCACGCGCAGCCACTGCCTCATATATGCGGTAAAGAGAGCGCAAGGGAGTGTCTCGAGAACGCCACAATGGCACAGAGCGCATATTGGTGAGGTCGGCGGCCGCTTTCCGGGACTGGAGGAGCGCAACATTGTTCAGCATGGTCTCGACGGGGACCGGCTCGGGAAGGCGAAAATGCCATGTTGGCAGCGGGATGAGCAGACGGAGTAAGGCTAGGAAAGGGTGTCTGTGCCGGTGACGGAGACGCGTGAGAGTACCGCGAAGCTGGAGGGGTGACTCGAGATTGTAGAAGAATCTCCGAAGGCGCATCCACCAGGTGATTCGGGGTTTCGGACGATCCCGAGGCGACATCATACAGACAGGCTAGCGGGCTAGCTAGCTCGAGTGGGCTTCTAGAGAGTCACGGCATGGCGTATCACGTACTGGGGCTCAGTGCTGGCATGGTCAAGTGTGGTCACATTTCAGGTCATTCCAGGTCATTTCGGGCTGGGGTTCATTTGAGCTTAACGGTCTGGCCGCTAGTCCTGTTTGGGTAATACTTGGTGCCTCATCGGTATGGCTACAATGCTTGTCTACCCGAAGTATACCGAGAGGAGTCAACTACGCTGCAATCTGAGTATAATATAGGCTACAGAATTTTTCACTGAATGAAGTTGTTTGACTGTTTGACTGTAAACTTCCAAATCTCATCGGGATATCTCGTAACCATCATGGCACATCTTCCATGGAACCCCTTGTCGAGACCCCTCTTTAGGCACCAACCATGTCAAACTTTGCGCCCCTGGAATTCGAATTTTCTACACAAGCTTCCATTAAATCTTGGTCTAAACTACAAAACCTATACCATGAATGGCTTATAGTATTGCGACATTCAAATTGAAAAGTTCTATGTAGTGTACACCATCTATATACTCCACATCAAAACTTTGAATGTCCTTTCCCCTTATCCAACCAACCAGCTCCACACGTGGTGCGGTCCCTGATCGACCCATGTGAACCCACCGGCACCGCTGATTTGGTCACGTCCTGACATTCCAATACTTCAGAGACGCCTCATTCGTCCCCTGAGCCATTGTTTCTGACTCAAAAATGCATGAATCGGCATTCTATCTTGCCTAGATCAGTTAAATCAAAACTTGTGCTCTCGACGACTCACATCTCCTTCTCTTCCCAGGTGCCCTAACCTCAGCCCGGAGTGGGATTGTAGAATGAATTTCCTTGCCGTTGCACAACATAGAATGTATTTTCTGCAGCTTCTTTGCTTAGTTTCACAATAAACTATTACTCTGTAAGCTCACTGGCCATAATATGCGTCGGACGGGATTCTGAACCCCGGGAGGCCTTGATGATTTGCTTCTGGGCCATGCATTCCTAACCCTAGCGAGCTTAGCACTATCCACAGTAAAACAGATTATGGCTTCTGGTTACATCTTTACCCACCAAATATCATGTCTAGCGTAGAATTGCGAGCGGGGGGCCACCACATCCTGTCCATGGTACTCGGCACATGCGATGAGTCGCAGGATCGTGTGGCAGGGGTCCCATCGTGGGTGTGAGAGAGTCGGAATTTCCCCATATAGACCAGGTAACACAGCACGAGGCTTTTTCCATTTTCTCTTCTTCGTACTCGTACAGAAGGCAGCATTGAGTCTCTCTCATGCGCGGGCTTGATCACAGCTTACACATCTAAGCAACGATCATCTTGCAGTACAAGGCGTGCTGTGCGACATCAAGTCTTACTACAGTTTATTTTGGAGGATCTCTGAGAGAAATCTCATCATGAAGTCCTTCAAGATGCTGACCGGCCTAACTCTGCTGGCATTGTCTGCGGCGGAAGACTTGACCGAGCATGTCAATGTCTTGTAAGTGTTGTCGCACACGCAAGAAGAAAGTGAGGGTTGTCTAACGTCTTGTTAGCATGGGAACACAAAGCGGGGGCAATGATTTCCCAGGAGCAGCAAGACCTTTTGGCATGGTCAAATTGGGCCCTGATCTTCTCCAGTCCGGTACAGATTCATACGCGGGATATTTGCCCACGGGAAAATTCTCCGGCTTCAGTTTGATGCATGAACAAGGTACCGGAGGTGCTCCCAAGTACGGCACGGTCTCACAGCTGCCACTGGTGGGCAGTGTCACTGATCCTCTATCCAATATCACTGTCGCTCGGTCTGGAACCGACCAAGGCTCCGTTGGATACTACAAGGCTGAGACAGCAGATGGTGTCGAGGTTGAGCTAAGTGCTTCTGCTCGAGCGGGAATCTACCGGTATACCTTCCCGAGTGACTCGGAGAAAAATATTCTGGTAGACGTCTCGCATGTGTTGCCATCTTTCCGTGGCCAGGGGCTTGGACAGAATTATGAAGGTGGAAATCTGACTATCTTTGCGGATGGTCATTACGAAGGTCTTGGAACCTACAACAATGGATGGAATGAGGCTCCTAATTGGACTATTTATTTCTGTGAGTTTCATAAAAGAGGGAATGGCTTTGTGGAAATACTTACATCAACAGGTGGCTATTTCGAAT